ACCAAATGTATAAATGAATTTTCTGAATCCACTCATGTTTAATGCCGTTTATCATACAACTGCAGGTGCAAATGCTATGTTGCATATGTAAAAAGTTGCCCCGAATATCATCACTTCAGTGTAGTTTTATTTTGTTCTGGTCCTTTCTGATTATTGACTTTAATACTTTACTGTGTTGCAGTTTTAATGACGTTAATACAGGTGCCCCGGAACGTAAGTGATGTTACACTTTACTTTATTTCATTGACAAATTCAAACAAATGAAAAAAAACGGTTCCCTAAAGAACGCCAAAGAATATAAAATGAAAATGATTTATGCTCCGTTTGATTGAACCTGTCCATGGACATGGACAGTACTGGAAAGTGCTATATACCGTCCACCCCTACACCGGCTTAAGCAGAATTCAAAATTTAAACTCGAAAATAGTAAAATTTTGAATTTAGAAACATCTGCAGATGTGTCCGTACGGCGGCAATCATGGAACCTTGGATATGACACTTTTGTGTCATTCCATGATTCATTATATATGTTTGTTATCAGCGGATTATAATGAATGTCGTTTCTTATCAAACTTACTTTCATTTTGATCATAAAAAAAGAGATAATATGAATCTCTAAAGAAAGTTCAAAACGGCAAAATTGAACCTGTTGCAGGCTTGGTTTGATTGAGTCTAACCTGTTCATGTACGGTACTGTCAAGTGCAAACTCCACGCCCCCAGCACCGGCTTTAGCGATTTCAATTCAAACATGAAATGATAAAATGTTGAATTATGAAACATTCGTCGATGCGGCGCTTACAAGAAACCTTCAATGTGGCACTTCCGTGCTATTCCATGCAAAGCGGTGTATGGTTTTGTAGTACACATTTTGTTTTCCTCTATTTCATTTGTTGTACACTTGATATTCAAATAGCCGATCAAATGTATCCACATTTTTGTGCATTTATTTTGATAGGATAAGGCATAAAATCCTTCTATTTCAAAAAGCCTATTGATGATTTGTTCCTAACTGTCATTATACTTGTATTATTTTCACTTAAACATTCTTAAGTTGCGTTCATTGAACGCCGCCTTTCCATGTTGATCCTGTTCATCATATTATTTTCATTTAAAGGAATTAAACAAAACACCTAAATTGTAAACACTTTTGCATCAGATGGTTTTAAAAATATTATGAAATCAAGGCTACAATTTACTTTTGTTTCAATTATACTGTGTTTTATTTTAAAAGTACTTCAAAATTACTGATCCCCTTTCAAAATTCCGCTTCATTTAGTTTCGCCCATTTGCTTCTTGTTAAGAACACACTCATTTTTCACTTCGGGACGTTATGCTGCTTTTCAAGGAATGGCTCTAACTTATTACATTAAAGATTCCATTATAACCACCATATGAACACATACATCAGATCATTGTTAAATCTGCATTACACACATATGTGAAATAACGTGTATTTTGACTAAATTCTTCAAATATAGTAATAGTTTAAAACAACAACTTCTAGTACAGCAACCATTTAATAAAGTCTGATTTCTACACATGCCATTTAAAATATATAATGAAATATGAGAGACTATGTCAAGATATATATTATGAATATGTTCAATACAGAGGTAGAATTAGCTATTTTTCACATTATATCATTTTTAGTTTTGTTTTGCCAAGCAAATTGGGTTATATAAGCTTATAATCGTGAGGTGTTAAACTGTACATACAGTATACCCTTGATTTAATGATAACGAAAAGTGTATGTAGGTTATTTTAAGAACATATTCCCTTAACTGAATGATGTAGTGATTTTTATAGACATCTTTACCTATCTAAAACTAAACGTTTTGCATAATTTAAATACAATCAAGGTATTATCGCCAGATTTTTAACATATCATTACTGAAACATAATCATGCGGTTTTACTACACTGTTACATTTTATTTCTTTTCTCCTTGTCTATGTATAGGTTAGAGTGCATATTTATGTTCTTCGTAAATACGAAAGCTAAAAAGGAGCGGAGCTTGCGAAGCGACTGTAGCTTTCTTATTTACGAAGAACATCCAATATGCACTCTAACCGGCTTAGTGCTCCGCCCATTTTTTTTCCGCCCAACACACTGCGTGACGTCACACGATAGCCTAAATGTGTATAACCATAATTGGAAGACGGTAGCGGTACACATTCTCGGATCATTGAGTGAAAAACATACTGTAGATTCTGAACGAGATTTATATTCAGATTGAAGCATTATCTGATGAGTGAATCTAAATTATACTGGCAATATATCATTACTTTGATACAGCGACTTAAAAACATGCCGACAGATTATTATAACTTGTAATTTTTGTAATTGCTTACTTACGAACACTTTCGTATTTAGTGTTTAAAATCGTTTTTTTATATAAACAATTTAATTCACTGATATATAAAAAAAGAAATATATACATAAAACTTTTTATTTTGAATTATAAAATGATACTGGTTCCGTAAGTAATAATTACATTTTTACTGTTATTTTGCCTGTTTTCATTTCAATGAACCTCTTCTTTTTAATTCTCTGCCGTAGTGACGATATACATTTGCGTGTACGGAAAAAACATGATGCATAAATATTGATTAGTAGGAGGAGTAAACACATGCGTATATTGCACTTTAGCGCTCTTCGAAACTCAGCTCCGCCCACTTGCGTTTTATGAAATAAAACGTCCAGTTTATATAAAATCTGTTCTATTATGATTTGAAACCTGAAAATTTGAAAAATCCTCTTCGGTGATTGGCTTAAAAAAATTGGCGATCACTAAATCTTAATAGAACAGACTTTTCAAATTTTCAGGTTACAAATCTTAATAGAACAGATTTTATATAAACTGGACGTTTTATTTCATAAAACGCAAGTGGGCGGAGCTGAGTTTCGAAGAGCGCTAAAGTGCAATATATATATTATATATATATATATATATTATATATTATAAAACGCAAGTGGGCGGAGCACTAAGCCGGTTAGAGTGCATATTGGATGTTCTTCGTAAATAAGAAAGCTACAGTCGCTTCGCAAGCTCCGCTCCTTTTCAGCTTTCTTATTTACGAAGAACACCCAATATGCACTCTAACCTATACTTGAAACCTGAAAATTTGAAAAATCCTCGTCGGTGATTGGCTTAAAAAAAATGGCGAGCACTAATATGCTCTACTATGTGCCCCTCATAGTTTCTGTGGTTTATTTAAAATAAAACAGTGTTAACCCAGCTGAATATTTGTAAAATGGAACTGAGCCTGGCCCGACTGCACGGGTGTGTATGCTAATCTGGACCAGGCTCATCACTTTCGGTTCAAACAGTGTAGAGGTTAATTGATGTCTTATAACATGTAACGATATCGTCTACTGAAAATAATTGTTATTCACCAGTAGTTTGATAAGATAGTGATATACAGTGTACATATCTCTTTGGAATTCGTGTTTCATTCGTGGTTTAAAACTATGATCATACTTGTGTCAAATAGGATTAGGATTTTGTTGCCCCGTACTTCACTTCAGTGTTGTTATATTTATCTGGTCCTTCGGGATCGTTGATGCCAGCACTATTAAGTGTTGATTATTGAGTACCGCTCAATGCGGTGCTAGGGGGCGTGAGGGATGTTCCACTTATTCATTATTCTTCATGTACAGACTCAATCAAACCAAATCAAGTAAACCATATTTTGTTTTGAATATAAGTTGTTATCAGCATAGAAATATTTGATGATATGCATTCCTAGATCCACTGGTATTAGGCTTCGGGTTTTTCTATTGACATAAGTATACCTTGTTAATAACACGGCATGTTTACTCCCATTTCTATAAATAGTTACGTTGGAATTTTTCAACGTTACGATCATTCTTTGGAGATCAAATAAAATATTTTCATGCCGCAAGTTTTAAACACGGACATAAAGTTGTTGTTTTGTTCTGTTTATATGATGTTTTAACAAGCAATCAACATTTACCTCATCTCATTTCACATGCAAGTATTCTTTATAACTATTTCGTTGTGTTTTCTCTCTCATTATTATAGCATTTATTATTAACTATAGACTGTAAAAAAAAACAATTATCATTAGATATTTTAAGGTACCAAGGCTTGCCATTTGCCACTCACCCGTGGGATCAAGTCTTATCAGGGACTTGGAATTCTTTTATATGATGAACATATCCAGCTAGGTTATTGAAGATCGGTTGTTCTGCTCAAATGTCCGTTTGTGTCTGAAGTAATGCACGAAGGAGCACATGAGGTCTTCCTTCAACAGGAAGGATGCAAAGTTGCCTAATTACCTTTAAAATGTTGATATGGCTTAAAACCCAACAACACTAGAAAAAATAACTTGTACTTATTTTAACAAATATTCTATTTTTATTTTTTCAGAACTATGTCTTTTAGACGATTTTCCTTTTTCCTATACATGCTTTGTCCGTTCAGCGTTCAAGTTGGAACCAAAAATGTCACGTGCCCTGCCTCATGCGAATGCGACACTTTCTTTGGAAAAAAGGAAGTAGGTTGTGCTAACCTCACCGATGTTCCGTCAAATATTCCCGAGGACACCAATTGGCTAGATTTAAGTGGGTGTAATATATCCCACATTCATATTCAGCCGCTGGAAAAGCTCTTCAAATTACAAGTCTTCACCTTTCAGGAAATAAATACAAATTATGAGAATTACAATCTTACAGCCTTGGACTTGCCACTTCTTAATGAAATAGTCGTCGAAGGCGGCGTTTCTACTTCTATCCCACAGCTGTTACCATCTTATATTGGTGAGCTTAGTGTAGCATATAACAATCTAGGAACACTAAAGTCTGGAAGTTTTAAGAACTACGCAAACTTAGAAACGTTATTATTGTGGAACTGCATGTTAACGAAATTAGAAGCGGGTGTGTTTGATGATATTCAGTAGTAGTGTAGTTGATAACGGTGCATTTAGAAAAACTGTTGTCTTGACATGATTTCAAACTAGATTAATAAACATCCGCAGATGTATTCATATGACGGTTATAATGAAATCATCATTTTATTACATTTTGAGTATGTACCATTTAATTCTAGCAAAATTTATATCAATTTTAGTTTTTATTGCACAGTGAAAATTTAAACATGATCATTTGATCAATCTTTTCTAAGTGAACACAGGGCCGTCTAAACTATGCATTTTCATATCAATTATTAAATAAATTATTGGTTCTTCCGCATTTCTGCATGAAGCAGAACAATCACTTTTACATATTATTTTCAGATTAACCATTTGGAGGACTTTACGTTCGCAGGGTTAACTTCACCTTTAGAACTGGATTTGTCATATAACTGGATAACAGCCATTGCCAAAGATGCATTCAAACCATTACAATCAAGCAAGATTGACCTCAGTTTTAATAAGTTACAAATTCTTCAAGCTGAGGTTTTCTCTCATCTTACAAGCAGAGCTAATGTTAATCTAGGTGGCAACTTGTGGAATTGTGATTGTCACCTAAGGTGGTTGAGAGAAGCACTGGACAATGCCACTTATACCATTGAGCTTCCGTACACTCTCAAATGTGCTACACCAGTCAAGCTCGCAGGAAAAACTTTCATTGATCTTAAACCAAGCGATTTTGTGTGTATGTAGGACAAAATTTCATTATTCAAATAGATATTTTATATGTCAAATTTGAGCAGACTTATATGTAAAATGCTTAATCAGATAAAAATTATATACTAGACACACAGATGAGAAAACCTTGTTCAATATTTTATATGCCATTTATATTTTTACGTTTTCCCGTCAAAGAAAAAAAGAGGCAAAAATATTCCCTATTCCTGAGCCATAATTTAAATGTGTAATACGTTACTACAATTTACATGTTTTAAACACCGTAAATTGTTATATAGGCAAAACAACATTGAAAATATAATCATGTTATTGTTAAAACCGAGTACACCGCTTTACGAATACAATACAATATTTTGAGAAATACTTGCTCCTGGTTTGCAATTACAAATAATAGAACTTAAAGTACTGAAGGAAAGAAATTCGAAATTTTGAAAGATAGTTTGATTTTCAATACTTTGTTCGAAAAAAATCTCGACGTTAACAAGTTCATGTGAGCAGCATGTGGTTTTTTTAAGAAACATGATTTTATTCTCCGAATAATTGTCTATAAAATTGAATCTAGACATTATATTGACATCAAGGAAACAGACAGTGGATGATTTTACTGACCTGATTGGATATACTTGTGGAAAAAATCTCCGGATTGCACGTACTTTAGCTAAAACATTATGAATTCAATATCAATACACTATTTTAACAAAATCATACAATTAACAAATGTTTGACCGACTTAAACATAGCATAATCAACATGAGAAAATAAGATAAAGTAAGTCATTGTTTAAGAAAGGTCTTTTTCCCAAACAAAAATGAATAAAATAAATGTAGTGATCACAAGCTAAGATTCAGCTAATTAATAGTAAATTACATAATGTTTGATTGACACACCTTTCTGTAGGCGAAAGATATATTTGAAAAACTACACAATTATATGAATTTATTCAGTATGAAGTTTACGGAATGATTCCGTCGGTGGATTATCTTTTTTCCTTCTAGACAAATCTACACCATATTCATCACTTGACAAGTTCTGAATATAGCTTCTAAATTCTGGTGTCATCATATCAGCTATCATATCATCTGCAATGAAAACAAAAATAATAGTATTTATATGTATATAAACATAAAATATACATATAGAGTATCTGTCACTTAAAGTAATTAGATATGCATATACGTGTCTACCGTTTTAATGGAAAAAACTGATCATTTGTAGGAAAATAAAACGTTGCCCTGCAACTCATTTTTGTAATTTGTTTTTAAGGGTTTAAATAATAACGTATTTTTTTTCTTATAATCGTTAGGCGTATTTCAAAATACTTCTAACAGTGACAACTCTCTACATCTATTTCAGAACCAAACTATGAAAAAATATTCATAAACTAACAAATAACGTATTGTTCGTGTATAATTAACAAATATTTTCTGGTATGATTTCTTCTTTTACCTATTACAGTTTGTAGAGATCCAGCACTTGGGCCTTTATAATCATCTGGTAGATATTCAGTTGGTAGCAACGACTTGTCAATATCTTTATAAACACTGACCATACTGTTACCATGAAGCTTCATCTTAAACAACACATAATTTATATCAGAAAATGTTTGAGTAGCTAAAGGCATCGATCCAAAAATTAATGTATGATATGGAAATCAAGATTTGGTTAATATAACAATTGAAAACACGAAACGCAAGAAAGACATATCAATTGTGGCATTCCTTGTACCATCGTAGTAAAGGATCTCAACAAAATGGATTGCAATATTATTTTGGTCGGTGCTACGGTGGTGAGAGATGTCACTCACCTTTCTTCGTTTCTTATAAATACGTTGAATCAAATCTGTGAGTTTACTACTAGCATTTTATTTTGTTTTCATTATGTTCGTGAGATCTACTCTTTCCTGAATATTGATCTTTCCTGAATATTGATCACTTTTTACGTAAACTATTTCATTAACCAAAATGCCAAAGCTACTCTCTCCCTATCATTGTACGTTTATTTACATAATCTAAATCGTTTTTGTTTTTGCTTTTTACTTTGTTTCTGGCATCATTTGAATTCTAATAGATCTATAACGGGTATGCTTTGTATTCTCTAGATTGTAAAATAGACACACCTGAAATTACGTTTATCATAAAAATTTCTATGGAGATGTGGTTTACCCTCATGTACAGACTCAATCAAACCGAGTCTGCAATTTGCATGTAATTTTATTGTGATTAATGCTTCCGAGGGATCACTTTGTTTCCAGATTTTTATACTTCACAACAGCAGGTTTTAAGTGTTACTTGGCAGCTATATAAAGTTACAAAGTACCTCACTTCAGTGGTGTTAAATTTATCTGAGTCGTTACCACAGATTGTTTCCAATATTGTATTGTGTCCGTCACATTATCTCTCATAAACAGGTGCAATCAAACAGACTCTGCAATTTTCACTTTTAGAATTTGAGCCGCGTCACGACAAAACCAACATAATGGGTTTGCGACCAGCATGGATCCAGACCAGCCTGCGCATCCGCGCAGTCTGATCAGGATCCATGCTGTTCGCTTACCAACCCTATTACAAGTACAGAAACTGATAGCGAACAGCATGGATCCTGATCAGACTGGGGGATGCGTAGGCTGGTCTTGATCCATGCTGGTCGCAAACGCACTATGTTGGTTTTGTCGTGACGTGGCTCAATTGTTTTCATTACTCTCGGTGGATCTCCTCATTTCTAGACTTTAAGTTTGATCAAAATGAGTAAAACAAAACCTACCCGTTGATTCATTTTCTCTGTCATTAAAGGTTTAACAATTGGAAAAATGGCGTCGAAGAATGTTGGCTCTTTGTAAACATTTATTCTCTTTACCCTGATTGGTTGTGCACGCTGAAGCATAAATTGTATAATAAACCATTTTTTTAGCACAGAATTGAAATCAAATAAGGTGTTGTCAGCAACATTTTTTATTTAATTGCTTTTAAAATGAAATTAGAGAGATAACTAAGAAGTGGGATGGCGATCCTCAGTTCCGAAGGATATGCATATATATTACAGTCTTTGCTATTTAGATAATATACATCTATAGTATGATGGAGGACATTTCCTTATAAACACAATAATACATATAACCTTATTAGTTTAAACAATATTTATTTGTAATCTACACATTAATATTATAAGGTTCATAAAATAAAATAAAATTTAAGGATTGAGTAGGAAGTTTAAAAAGCTTTTTTGAAAACTCTCTATGTAATCAGTATTAAACATATTTCAAATAAATGGTATCAACATATTCAATATATAAACTAATCTATACATATCATATCGATTTGTGCTTGCTTTTTTCGTATACTTATTTGTAATAAGTATTCCTTAAATAAATTCAAGATTCGTAACCGCATAAGTTTGAGGTATAAGCACGAATTCAAACTTATTTTTCTTTGCTTTATAACTTTATTGGTCCGTCTAGGTCTAAAAGATCAAAAGGAAGCCTTATGACACATGAGCTTCTACATTATTATAGTCCTACAAATTTGTGCAAGTGAAACTAATGGATTTACTTATTAATATGTTCAAACTATTCAATTTAATTACATATCAATCTACTGATAACAGAATTACTACCTGATACATTTTTGCAAGATTTTTGCCATTTTCTCCAGTAAATATTGTTGTCGCAGTGCTCCAAGATAGATCAGTACTATCAAAGAACACTTGAACTCCGTTCACTTGTACATTCTCGTCCATGCTTATCCAGTCATGTACTAACACTAACGCTCGAAACACGTTTTGTAAACCCCACGTCTTTTTGGCGTCATTGACGTCAATAATTGCTGAAATAAGAAAAGGGGGGATAATGCGATGATAACTACAGTAGCAGCAGTAACACTTCGGGACCGGAACATTGAATGTAATGAAAACAAAAATACAAAATATGGATAAAACTTGCAATCACGGTCGGATGAAATCTGTTCATGAGAGATGACGAAAGCTTCAACATATCTCAAACCCATTAACACCAGTCCCGTTTACGTTGTATTCAGTCCTCAGAATTAAAGGAATTGGAATCAGTGCGCCCGGTGAATTGTATAAAACTGTGAAGTAAGGATCAAAATTTTTACAATAACCCCAAAACACTTAACACCTGCTGTTTTGATAACGAAAAATTTGGAAAATGGGAGATGACTCTAGACCACTTCAATTCATGTGTAAATGTTTATAGCAGTATATAGAAAGACAATCATATACTTTCCATCCCGACATAATACAGTCAGGTTTTATTATCTCAGACAATGGCAAATTATAAATAAAAAAGAATACTTTGAATTAGAACAAAAAGAAACAACAATAAATAACACACAAAATATTACCTTCACAAAATATGTTATAACTGGACAGTCCACACACTGCACATACATTTTTTCAGATGAATATTTCGGTACCAATGTTTGGGTCAATTTTACTGGCGGATGTACTTTCAATAGTCAACTTTGTTTGGGATTTTGGGGATTTTTCCCCATAATTTGTGTACGATAGAAATAGGATCTCAAAAATATATAAAACCTGTCGGCTATTATAATTACGATGAATAGTTTCGGAAAAAATAGGCAGGCCTTAATTATAAAATAAAATAAATATGATGAAGCATTATTGAAATATAATATTTGCGTTGAAATTGTTATATATTCTAAAAGAACGAAGAAGAAGTTATGGATGCAATCCAATAAATGAGACTAAAGAGGGGTGAAGGCCTAGTGGTTAAGGTGTCTGCCTCTCAAACCAGGGATCATTGATTCGAGTCCTAATTAATCGGGTCACAGCCATGCGTCTTTATATGACAGCGGTACATGTAAGTTCAAGGAAGTAAACTCAAAAGTAATTAATATAATTTGCAAGACCTTGTTTTGCAATCGAGCTTAAATAAATAGCTTAACCTTAGCAACAATACGTTGTCGGAACTGAAAGCAATGATCAATGATTATAAAGATCTCAAAGATACAAAAATATATCTAAACATGCAAATACATGTATGTAAACCTGAGTACACGTGAATATGAGATGGCGGGGGAATGGGAACAGTGGTGTAATGGCCAAATAAAAGACATAAGCAAATTTCTTTTACCAGTTCTGTCAATTAGAACCCGTCGACCTTCACTGTCATATCGCTTAGGGCACAGCATTACCCTGTAAATATAAGATAAATGTAATTAAAATTGTAAAAAGTAATTTCTAAGATGCATCTCTTTATACATCTGTCAAAAAAGAGATTTGCACACTTGAAACTCAATTATAATAAAGTATTACAAATATTCAAGAAATCATAATTGATACAATAACAACAACTACTATTTAAGTAGTAGTTGCTATTATGACTCTATCAAACAATTTCAAACATTCACGTCATGACATGTATGCAACAAAGGAAAAAGGAACACGTGTTTGTATTTATTTTAGTTAAAATCATCTTCAAAAATAAACAAAAAAAGATTAAAAACAATAGTGGGGGTCCCAATACAAGACTTTCATTTGTCCAAATCCTTTAATGCAAACAATTTCAGAAATAAATACGAATTCCTCTGAAGAAAGGCAAAATGTTTTAATATATAGATTTTGATGTTTAACCTACGATCGAAGAAAGCAATGTTGAAAGTAAAATAATTTGTCATAAAAGTAGCAAAACGTGTTATTTTGTTTTCCATCTAAATACTTAATTACTATATTTTTACTAATTGCCCAAAAAGAAAAAGTAGCTAAATATGGTTCAGGTAACCGTTTTTCTTCTATAGCAAAATATGTAATTTGTAATGTATTGATGATCTATTTATAATGTATTGATGATCTAGATGATCTATTTATAATGTATTGATGATCTATTTATAATGTATTGATGATCTATTTATAATGTATTGATGATCTATTTATAATGTATTGATGATCTATTTATAATGTATTGATGATCTATTTATAATGTATTGATGATCTATTTATAATCTATTGATTGATCTATTTATAATGTATTGATGATCTATTTATAATGTATTGATGATCTATTTATAATGTATTGATGATCTATTTATAATGTATTTATAATGATTAGATCTATTTATAATGTATTGATGATCTATTTATAACGTATTGATGATCTATTTATAAAGTATTGATGATCTATTTATAATGTATTGATGATCTATTTATAATGTATTGATGATCTATCTATAATGTATTGATGATCTATTTATAATGTATTGATGATCTATTTATAATGTATTGATGATCTATCTATAATGTATTGATGATCTATTTATAATGTATTGATGATCTATTTATAATGTATTGATGATCTATTTATAATGTATTGATGATCGAATAGAGTATCATTGATGTTTATCACTATAGGGAAGTTAAGTTTAATATGAAATAATTTTGTTATTAAAGGCCCATTATGCCTCAGAAATGGTTTTAATTTTATTTCTTAAAAGATTTTTATTTTTGGAGGCCTGTTATAATTTCGAAAATGTTTCTCAATGGGCAATCACCTTAACCATGTTTTGCTTCTGTTGCTTTTTGGCAATCAGTATTGTTTAACTGATTCAGAATTTCGTATGGTGACCAAAATACTATGTTGTTTACATTTTACTACATTTGTGACAAATTATTTCACATTCAGTGCTACTTTCTTCATGTTATAGGCATGTAGCACGCTCTAAAACCATTCGTTAAAGGTAATTAAATTAAATCTTTGCCCTTTCTAAGACGGAAACATTTATGTGTTTCTGAAGTATAATGTGCCTTTAAAGAAGCAAAATTTATAATTCGTAATTTGGTTTTGTAGACGCTTAATTGCATGATGTATATAATGGGAAAGTTATAAGATGTTAGTATATTTATTTCATACCCTGATTTTAGAATTTCTTGCAAATTTTTCTCTCCAGGATCTACGTTCTTACACCAGTCTGGAAATTTTGTCCTAACTGTCCAATAATTTTCTAATGTTTCACGTGCACCTAATTGGCTGTACTTTCTTGTTCGTAGAAATCTTAACAAGAAACTAAAATCTGAAAACAAAATATTCAATGTTTTATTTTTTTATTAAATCATTAAAACCAACAAATACAGAAAAATGATTACTCAGTAAGGTTTAGTTTGATATTTTCTTCTAGAAATTCACATTTTATATGCTCTCCTCCGCCAATATATCAATTATTGAAGTTTTCGTCTACATATTATTGGTAAACATATTTATTTTTGTTTGCATTGTTTGGTTTTACGGCGCATCAACACAATTTAGGTCATATGGCGCCGAAACAGGGAAGATGTTTTCGCTAACCTCAGGTGATACAAACTTAAAGCAACACTAGGGGGTCAAAACCACCTCCACCCCCTCTGGAGCTTAGAGATTCACAGACTCCAGTAATTCAAACCCATTAAGTTGCCGAATATGTGCTTTTATCATAGATGAAATTCGGGTGGCTGGCAATTATGGTTGTCTCACCCGCTTAAAGACAACCTCAGCCAAGAAGTGGATAACCTTCTAAGACTGTGCTTGAATTAGCTTAAAGACTGCTGCAGTGTTTCCAAACATCAGAATTTATTTTGTCATAGTGTATCATTGAACATTATAAAAACATTGTAGGTTGTCCTATTTTATTGTTTTATTGGTATTGATTTACTATTAAAATACCACATCTGTTGCAGCTAACACGCTCCAGTTCACTTTGTGACTCGCAAACCGGATCAATCAGCGTTCATTAATTTTATCTTTTTGTAAAATCACGCTTCAAGCGCCGTTCCATCTCTATATTTTTCTCCTCAGTGAATAATACATGTATATGTTCATACTGCCATATCTATTTCTATCAATTTTCAGTCAAATGGAAGGAAACATGGCATTCACTATATTTGGGTATTTGACCTCTCAACAAGCAAAGTGAAAATGCATAAAACATGAAAATCTATATAAAAAATAAGAATGAAAACCACAGAAAACAATACGCTTTAAATACGTCCTGCGTTGAAGTAATTCCGTGCTGGTTTATTTTTGCTTTATTTTACAGTGGTTGAGACTAAGTACTGGAAAAAAAAACATCATTTTTTCGTGCATCTTACTTTTTTCGCCCCTCAAAAAATTCTCAATACATGTCACTACTTTATTCACCATGCTCATTACTATTAAATGTACCTTAGTCATACACCAATAAATACAATTTATTGTTAGGGCTATATATATGTAAATAAATATGCATTTTTACTAAATTTATTCTCAAATTATGATTTTATATGTCTTCAGAAATAGGCTATGCTAGTGCTCGGACGCCCCAAGTGACACACGAATTACTAGCCGCAAAAAAACTTTATTCAACATTACAAGGTATTAAAACTTACGAAGCATTGCAACTGATTAATTGATAAATCAAAGCATATGCCACAAAAATGTCGAAATAATTGTAAATAATGAACAATGTACTCAAAGGATATCAGTTTATTTAATTATGTAACCTATATCTCCTGTAACTCTCTGGCTTAGTGACGTGACTAGTTTCACTTCACCTCGTCGTCATGGGTACCTATTAGTATTTATAAATTATCAACAGCATCTACAAATTTCCGGAGAACAAAGTCTATCTTGATAAACTCTCGTCAATTATAAATGAAGTTATGTTTTCGCTTAAATTAGTGGAAGAGCTGACTTTGCATAATGGGGATATATATAATTTACTAAGTTCATAAATTCTTTACCAATTGCTTTTATTTTAAAAGAGTTTCTTTTGGCAATTGTCGAATTTATCTTATGTATTTGTAGTGGGCAAATATTAATGAAATTGAGACAAGTTACTTTACTGTAAATAAGTTTCGGAAATTGCTTTTCAATTTTCCTTGAGCATATAGCAGTACTACTTATAGCAATGAATCAATAAAGTGGCGTTGGAAAACAACGGACATATTATGTTATCGTATTGCAATGCTTCATTTGGTTAAAATATGCCTAAAAAAATTCATTGACCGACCTGTAGGTGTTTTTAACCAGTCTTGCTCTTGTATCCATTGTCTAAAGGTTTGGACAGCTATCGCCCTGTCAGTATCGTTCCGCTCTTGGAGTTCTTCTTTTGCCTTTCTTTTACTTTTCTCATCAAGTTTGCTGACGAACTTAGCATCATCTGAAACAATACACTATATTATTATAAATATATGTCAAATCATCAAGTTGAAGCTGTAAGGAATACCTGACATAATCCAACATTTAAGGGTATGAAAAGGTTTGATTCATATATACTTTTCTATCATATTGTTTGAATTCTTTTTTGTTACCCAAATGAATTTTCAAACTGACATCCAATTGGATATTCATGATATGAAATATACTTGAATTTTATGTGCACTGAACTTTGTGCTTACTGTTGTCTTAAATTTCTCATCAATTAAAAATTATTCTCATTTGTTTTAAGTTTTTACTTTTAATTAAACTATTATTATGAAAAGAAAAATTTTTTATGATTTTTAAAGGGAAAAGGGAAGGGAAATCGTTTTTTATGGGGCTTACTTCATCATGTCTTTTTTTTAAAACTTTAAATTTAAATTTTCTATCGTTGACCCAATTAAAATATATATTTAGAACCTTTCCTTTAATATTTGGGCTTTGTAAAAAATATGCATAAATGAAACCTTTTTTTGTATAAAAGATTGAAATAAAAAAACATTAAAATATTAAATGAAAAACAAGGAGTTTTAAAAGAAAAATTTTATCTTTTTGGGTTGGTCACATGGATTTAAAATTTTTTTTGGAAAAAGTGCGATTTTTCAGCTTTTTTTGTTTGATATTTTAAAGATGTCTTCCGTCCCATGACTTATTTGGGCCCAGGGGGGAAAAACGTGAGTCTTTTATTCCTTATGTCTACTTATGTATGATAATTATCTTGAAAAGTTTAGGCATATACGCGTTTTGGATTTCCCTCTTTTTTTCTTCTTTTTTGTTTGTTTGTTTTGATTTTTGTTCTTTGTTGTTGTTTTCTTGTTGTTGTTGTTTTGTTTTGTTTTTTTTGTGTGTGTGCGTGTGCGTGTGTTGTTTTTTTGTTTCTGTTGTTGCTTTTTATATTTTTGTTTGTTTTTTTTTTTGTTTTTTTTTCCCTTGTTTTTTTTTTACATTTTTGACAAAACAATGTAATAAATACACTGTCTTACGAGGATAAGATGGTGTTAACCATATAATAGGCTGCCTAAAACATCAGAGATAAAGAACAACTAAATACTTGTAATTTTATAATCATTTTGTCTAGACATTATTTGCTAATCATTTTATATCACTACCAATTTGCATTATTTAAATGTGATGCATAAGTTTTTACATACTTCATTGCCGTATATGTGCAGCAAATGTACAGAGACGGATCAAATCATTCACATTACTGAACAGAACAACAAATTTATTCATGACGTTTTTACATAATATTTACAATTATTAATCATAACTATAATCTCAAAATGAGATTGCAACATTTTATAAAATAAACTATAATCTCTTCTAAGAGAATGACCAACATTTAATTTTATATATAACTTCTTATTATAAGTGAAATTTAATATGAAAAAGTAATGTTTTCACAATTTATTTGTTTTATATTTGTTATAGATCTTAAACGCTTATAGACGCTAGGTCTGACAATAAAGTTTTGTTTGTTTTTTTTTTTGTGTTTTTTGTTTTTTTTGTTTTTTTCAATTTTTCCGTTTTAGACGCCTTGTAGGGAATCCGTTTTTTTCTATATTTTAATAAATGTTTTGGCTAAGCACATTATAATATGGATAAATTATATAGAGGATATTTGTTTGTTTGTGTGTAAGATGAAATTTTATTTCATCGAGTGGGCTTTAAAACAGTATTCTCACGAGTGGCGAAGCCACGAGTGAGAATACTGTTTTTAAAGTTCACGAGATGAAATAAAATTACATCTTACACAGACAAACAGACAAATTTTCTTTTTTATTTTATGCTTAAAAAACAAGTTAAAACGATATTTCCATAATTTTAACGTTAATATTAAAACTGTTTCCCCCATTGAGAGCCCCATTTATTCGGAATTTCTCATTAAAAAAAAAGGAAGTCTTGAGCTGAAAAATAAAGTCCGCCAATCAACATTAAATGACGGTGATATTTATTAATTTTATTATTAAAAAATATGAATGATCGCTTGTTTTGATAATAAAAAACAAACAATTCTTGTAGGAGAAAAAGTCCAACCATCCATCCATATTTCTGTTACTTAGTGCGAATTTTATATTAGACCTGGCTTTGTAAATTGTAAGCGGCAGCCATTTTTTAAAAGTTGTGTATTTCATGGGAGGAAAATAATTGTGTAAGATTCAGAGGGATATTTTGGATTTGTTAGTCATACACATTTTTAAAAGAAAGAAAACTTATTTGAGGATTGTAAACAGACAAAAAATAAGTGTTGACAGATGTGAAAAATTCAGAAAAGGAGCTAGGAAAATGGAAAACTTGGAACACTGCTCAAGAACGCTGGGTTGATTTAACTTATTCTTCGAGTTATGGGCTGTCAATGCTTTCAATTTTTCATAAAGCATACGGCAGTTATTGCTCGTAGGATACTTTAATATGCCCAAATGTCATCAAGAGCAGTTTTGCATGGGGAAGGAATGTATTTTTCAAGACTGTCAAAATGAAACAAAAAAACAAAATTTGGTGATTGGAATTTCATGAATTTGAATGAATAAGTTTTCTTTCTTTTTATTTACTTTTTGACATTTTAAGTTATTTATATCAATTTCAGTTTTGCTTTTTCTTTAAACAGCCTGACATTGTCAGAATTGTCAGCAAAAATAAAATTGAGGTACACATGGGGAAAATCTTAAAAAAAGTAGTTTCGTCATTGAAAGAGTGAAAATTATATTTTGATAATTTTCACTGTGAAATTACAAATATAATTTTCATGGATAAATAGTAAAATCCACTGAAAAAGGCATAAAATAAAAATGAAATAATACTCGTCTTCAAAATTACATAAAGTTACAATAAATACAATAAAGTTCATTTCTCGGTAATTTTATTGTTTCAAAATCCACCAGTGCTAATAAGTCAATGATGAGAAGAAACAACAATACAGTACAAGATTATAAATTGTGGACAAAGAATATTGTCAAAAAAGTTTAAATTATTTAAAAACATTAAACATTATTTACGATAATATAAATGAAAATTAATCAGCTTTGATGAATACTTTACTCGAAATTAAAAAAAAAATATACCTGGATGATTAATTTGTAAAACAACCCATTTCAAAAAAGATTGCTTTTTAAGTATTTCTTCTAATCGATTTCATTACAATTTCATTTCATTTATGAAAGTCATCCTTAGTTAATCAAACGTTACCTACACCCTTTCGATAATGTTCTTTCCTTATATGGGATCGCAAACGGACGCAGATGACCGACATTTGTTTAATTAACACTGTAAATGATCCGTTGAATGATGTCGGGAATAACCCAACTCATTTCATCCTCGCACATTGACTTACATAAAATTACCTTTTTACAATTCTTAAAAAATAATAAACAAAAACGTACCTATTTCGACCGCCATGCCTAGCCACTATGTAACTCCAACTTATAAGTGATATAAATAGTTTATGATAAAGGAAAAACACTGAATCACTTAACTAATACTTTATTGAATTAAGGTTATTTACTGAAACGAACAATGCTCACATGAGCCGCGTCACGACAAAACCAACATAGTGCGTTTGCGACCAGCATGGATCCAGACCAGCCTGCGCATCCGCGCAGTCTGATCAGGATCCATGCTGTTCGCCATCAGTTTCTCTACTTGTAATAGGGTTTGGTAAAGCAAACGGCATGGATCCTGATCAGACTGCGCGGATGCGCAGGCTGGTCTGGATCCATGCTGGTCGCAAACCATTATGTTGGTTTTGTCGTGACGCGGCTCATATTTACTATCACTAAACTGAAAATCTAAACTATGCTTCAAGGGCAACAGGGAAACTGTTTTTTGATCGATTTATTTTACAGTGAGAAAAATTACCATAGTTCTCTTAAAAAGCATTAATATGGAACAAGTGATGTTAAAATATATCTTATATATACGATTAAAATAGAAATTATGAGATATTTTTATCTTTCGGAAATACTATTAGTAAATTATTTTATCTTATGATCCTTTGCAAACACATTATATCAGTAATAAAGATTATTTGTCAAATTACATATAATAAAAGCCTGTACTTTAACCACTCTGTTACGCTCGAAAAAGCTATCATACCTCTATTTTAGGAGCGATAATGGGTCGTGTACTAACGATACAGAACAGAACAGAACATAGTTGCTATTAACGTATAATTATGCAATACTCGGGGTAATTTTTGTTATTTTGTTTTGGTACAGTACTTGCAGTCATTTGTGACAAAATGGGCACGCGAAATATGGATAATACGGTGTTATAATACAATGTTCGCTTACCTGAATCATACATTACATATAGTAAATATTCCATCAAGAGAAAACAAATTGGATAATCTAAAATCGTTATAAATGGATAATGTAAAAGGTAAGTTAATGAAATAAGTAATATTTTTATATAATATACTTTACTGGTAGTAACTGAAATGTCTATGTCTTTTTCTATCTCAACTTTTATGGGATCATGTGTAAACAAGTATAGGTTAGAGTGCATATTGGGTGTTCTTCGTAAATAAGAAAGCTAAAAAGGAGCAGAGCTTGCGAAGCGACTGTAGCTTTCTTGTTTACGAAGAACATCCAATATGCACTCTAACCGGCTTAGTGCTCGTTTTATAATATAAAACGTCCAGTATATATAAAATCTGTTCTATTAAGATTTGTAACTTGAAAATTTTAAAAATCCTCGTCGGTGATTGGCTTAAAAAATTGGCGAGCACTATTGGATAGATCCTTATAAGACCCTATCCTGTCTAATTCATATTATCAGATTAGTGCATTACAATAAGAATTTAACAACAACATATTTGTTAACAAAAGACCACATATTCATGTTTGTGGTTATTTATATTGTTATTCAAATAAAAGGTCAGAGGGGTAGTATCTAAAATATTTTACTTAATACGGGGGTTAAAACTGTAGCGGTTTTCCCCTGTGCGACAATTCCGGGAACGGGAGGGGAAGCAGTCCGCAAATTTCCCCCGGGAAGCCCAAAGGTAAAACAAAACCCCGGGAAAAAGGGTTTCAAAAAGGGGAAGCAACTACTACAAAACTTTTAAAATTGTGAAAAACCAACAATTTATTTTTTTCCCTCTTACAGATAAAATTTGGTTTTTTTTAGGTTATTTAAGGGTTATAAAATTCTTTTTTATTTTTAATATACAATACATTATTTTATTTTGTTTTGGAAACATTTCCGTGTATTAATACTACTTTGTAAAAAATTGGGGAAAAAACAAGGGTAAATCAAAATTGGGAAACACTTTAAATTGCCCTTTTTTCAAATTAAAGAATCCCCCTTGGGTTTTAAATTAAAAACTTTTACATTTTGTTTTTTTTTAGGGTTTTGGGCAAAAATGGCCAATGGGTGTTGTCTTGCCTTTTTGGCTTCATAAAAGAAAAAAAAGCTGTTGAAAATTTGAAATTAGTTCCATAACAAAGTGCTAAGACATTGAAGTATTATTAATATAATTCAAAATTATGATACCTGCAAAACTATGCTAAATTATCCTTTTTTAGATTTAATATATCTTCAACATGTTATATAATATATTAGGTAAAAACGTGAATGACTTATAGTTTCTTTATTTGAGATTTTGACCTAGAGGGATTTAACAACATGTCCCCTGGATTTTTATGTACTAAATTGTTCTCTTACATAAGTTTTATTTTGATGCATTTTATATGTAAATAGTTGCAAAAAAATGAAAGCATTCATCAATCATTTATATACTTATTTGACGAATCATTGGCGGACTTGTACTCTATAATGTTTAATGACACATTATTTCATTTCAACAACCACTCAAATTATACGTTGCATATTTGTACATCCGTGATGCGCCTATTGTGTAATTCTTTTTTTAACAACAACAGTCATGACAACAAACAGGATGCACTGTACCTATAAATAGTATTAGGTAATTTTTTTAATATTCACGAACATTTAATCTTCATCTATTTAGATATATTGTGTTATCATCAATAAACTATTAATAAAATAATATTTCAAAATTTAGCGTCATTTAAGATTTAATTACATATGCATATGTGTAACACATATTGTGACACCAAAATCAAATTAGATATGACTTTGTTTTAAGGCCTATGCTACAGTTATATATAAATATATAGGAACGATCTAAACTGCATAATAGAATATATCTAAATATTGCATTATCTTAGAATATGGCAACGAAGAAAAATAGTGGGGGGTCAACGTTTTAGAGTTATCTGCCTTTGAATTGGATTTTTATTTGTTTGGGTCGTCAGACCAAACAAATAATGGTAGGAAAATTTCAGACTCTAACGTTGTTAATTGCAAATGCCGAAAGTAGTCCGCTTTTTTGAAGCGGTTACTTCCCTTTATATGTACATTTACGCCGAAAAATCCAGGGGAGTTCACTGCGTAAAGATGGTCGAATGACAGGTGCATTAATTTTCAAACAAAATAATTCCCGAATGGCTGAAGATTTCTAATATTGTTTTATTCTTTATAGATATACATGTTTATAGTAAGCTCAATGATTATTGCTCCGCGCCCACGGGCGCGAAGCTTTTTGTGTTTACCATGTTTTTTGTCCATGGGCCCGGATTTTATCAATTAATCCCTTCGATTTACAACTAAAAATAAATTCGGATTCGATAACTCCTTTCTATTATTATATTGGTCCCCCTTTCGGTGATTCGCAGCATGTCATATTAATGAATGAGAACCGGAAAGCAGTTCTGCTGTACATAAATTTGAAAGCTATAAATAGCTATAAATGTTCTGATTTTTGACACTTATGTTATAAATTTGTTATTTCCTTTTTTTAGTAGTACATGAAATTATAATTTGTTACATTTTGAATAAAATTTACACACAGCATATCAAGTATACTAAAAGTGATTGAATTTGTCAATATAAAAAAGATTTCAGGCATCAGACTTTAATAATTTTGCTTTTGATAATTATTCTTAATTTATATTTATGAAACTAAAAGTTTAATATATTGGTTGCTTTGAAATAATTATAACTTTAGTATATAAAGTTACATTTCATTGGTATTATTGGTAATTACTCTGTGCTTCTAAATTAAGTCTTTAAGGGCATGACTGGCGACATGCCCGGGGTCCGTACTCGACAGCGAAAGCTGCATTTTGTGCCCGTACGGGCGGATGGACCCTCATTAAGCATAGACTGTAGATAGACAGATCGCATCATTAGTAACAACAGAAACTTTTGATCTGCAGTTTGAACATGAAGTGTATCTTTTTTAATGAATAATTTTAAAGCAATTCAGAAAAAATGATAATCATTTTGTTTATGAACAGAAGATGTAAAGTTTAAGAGCGTGTTGAATGAAGCCAGCAAGAAGAAAGCGAGAGAAGAACTGAACGAGTTAAATGAGTCAGATCGGGCAATTGCTGTACAGACGTTCCGTAAATGGATTCTAGACCAAGATTATATCCGGACACCTACAGGTAAATGTTAAATGTAAAAGAAAAAGTTGATCCACATACATAATTACAGACAATTTCTATCTTCCAATTTCATCTTAAAATATCGACTGTAAATTATCGCCAAATTCATGTCACGGAACAATATTTTCAGATGGTATCCCTAAATAATGTATAGTGATAGATTTCTCAACAACATCACCATACGAGATATCTACCAATCTATCTTTGTACCTTTATTCACATGGCGGCATGATTTTACGAAATCTTTAGTCATTATCAACAATTGTTTTAATAATTAAAGCTAAAAAATATCAAAATCTGGAAAAAAAATGATCCCTCCGAAGCATTAATGACAAAATTACATGAAAATGGCAGGCTCGGTTTCATTTCTTACTCTGTTGATTTTTTTTAATGTTAAACGTATTTTTATTTTCGAATTGTCCAAATTTTTTTGTAAGGGATTAATATTTAAAATAAAAATAATACAGTAAACAAATTAATATTTTAGAAAGCATGTTTCGTTGGTGCTGTCGTCTGTTAACATGGTAAATTGAGCCGCGTCACGACAAAACCAACATAATGGGTTTGCGACCAGCATGGATCCAGACCAGCCTGCGCATCCGCGTAGTCTGATCAGGATCCATGCTGTTCGCTATAAGTTTCTCTACTTGTAATAGGGTTGGTAAGCGAACAGCATGGATCCTGATCAGACTGCGCGGATGCGCAGGCTGGTCTGGATCCATTCTGGTAGCAAAGCTGGTAGCAAAGCCACTATGTTGGTTTTGTCGTGACACGGCTAAATTATTGTTGTAATAACTATTGAAATTATTAACAAGTTCTGACTTGTTAATTTTCATTTTTGTTATTTCAAAATTTCTGACTAACTAATGGGAATCCACTGAGGGATTTTGACATGACCAGGCTTTGTTAGGCCACATGTGTCACAAATCACATTCGTCACAAGTTTTTATGAATTTGTGACGAATGTGATCACATTCGTCACAAATGACTTTTGTGACGAATGTGATTGACCAAAATCGGGTAAAAATGCCAATCACAAACGTCACAAGCAAAATTGAGAATTTTTAAACAGGCGAATCACAAATGTCACAAGTTTATTTTTCAATATGTGATACACGGAATATCATAAGGACAATCGTGGTTATATCAGTGCGATAGTACAAGGGCGACAATGCAATAAATCGATATTGTGATGTCGACATCACGATACCAATATCTTTTCACACACCATTGCATTATCGCCATCGTACTAACTTGTTGCAATATCGTATCGTCGGCATTGTATTGTCTTCATAGAACTGTCGCATTGTCGTAATGGTATTGCTATCAAGTCGTCTTACGTTCTCGAAACCTTCAAAAAATTTTGGTGACAATGCACGGCATAGTATCAGACTTCAACTGGAAAGTGATCTTTTACCTCTGTGAACCCTCAAATTTCTTCCCACCATACAGCGACAGTCTAAAGGAATCTCACAGACTTAATCTTAGTTTCAGTACAAATTATGACCATATTTACACCAATGAGACCATATATGATTGTTTGGGAAGTAGCTGAGACCCCCGTTGACTTTCAGGATATCTAATTAGAGATTAGGACCTTTTGACATCAATGAACCTTTTTTGGTCTGACAGACTTTTGACTTCCGCAGACTTTCAGGAATCTTGGTTCAATTAAAGAGTATGACATTTTGACATCTAGGAACCTTCTTTCCTGAGACGATTTTGCAAGTCTGTGCCAATTGCTTGCAGACGCTCTATGGAACTTTCCATATCTATTCCACTAGTAATAATAATAATATAGTTAATTCGTTTAAACAGATCGTGTCTTTGTGGCGGGGCCGCTTTATCGTTTCGACGCGTCTTAGCTTTTTTCGCCTTTTATGATTAGATAGTTTCAAACGACGGTGTTTAGTGAATTTTATAGAGGATATTTGTTTGTTTTGAGTGAATATGAAATATATTTCACTGAGAAGTGAGAAAAAAAATGAAATATGTATCACGAGCGCGTAGCGCGAGTGAAAATATGAACATTTTCTCACTTCGATGTGAGATATAGTTCATATTCACGAAAAGCAAACACATTTTCTTTTTATTTTATGTGCCTTTTGAAAAGTGCTTTTAGACCGTTTACTACTGAAGCGCGGAGACTACGCGCGCGTAAACAATATGACGGCAAACGTTAACGCTGCAAGCAAAATAATCCTTATTTATTTATATTTCTTTTTGCGGTCTCATTGTCAACAATCTTACAAAATTACGGACATTTGAATCGAGAAATATGTCATTTAGAATGAAATAAAACAGTTATTTTTAATGCATGTTTAGGGAATCCAGACTTATAAATACGTACGCAGAGTGGGCGTGGCTTATATCACCCAAATCTATATCACCACACTGTGACTGATATAATATGAAAATTAAACAATTGCAGGATACATTTCGAATAAAGACTCCGGGGAAATAGTCGGTTAAAGCATAAATTATCAGGGCCCATATCACTCAAGGTCACGGCGATAATGCACATGCCCTTTTTGTATTGAAGGTTCCCACACAATTAAAATTAGATATATTTAACATTTGAAGACATGAAATACTTAAGTTATCTGACTGAATATTAAGCAACCAGGGGTCTTAACTTCGGGTAAGTGCCGTCAATATACACATCTCCGCTTGGTATTAGATGTACCCACATAGTTTTGTTTAAATTATTCAGCAGATTTGTTGAAGAATAGGGTTGAATTAATGCTTTTCTATGAACAATAAATGATAATAAATTATGGATCATAACTCTGTATTAAACGGCCAAACGGGAAATACTGATGATGATGATGATGATGATGATGATATGCACATCTTGTTTGTTTGTTTATGTGTTTATCTAAAGTCGCCGCCGGAAAGCCCATATAAGCGACCGTACCCTCAAGTCGGACCAAATCCTTTAGTGTCCCGTCGAGATTTTTCGAGATGCGCATCTCCTCTTTATATTAAACTAAATTTCGTTGAAATTCCTAGAGCGCAGAAAAGCAATAGTTCTATATACAGTGTTTTATAAATAACAACAACAACAAGGGGCAATAAGTCTGTTTTTAAAAAGAAATGGAGATATGCTGGTTATATGTGTGCAACTGGTTTGTGAATGAAGGTTCCTACAAAGTTGCAGCATCGATATCCATCCAGAAGTTGCTGAAAAATAGCGTGGAAACGAAATGATTCCATATACAGTGTATAATAACTAATCAATGGCCGGATAGTGCGGAAACTAAATCTGGACTGACAGGCGGACGAACACGCTAAAACAGTCCCATCACTCCCGATTTCATCAGCGGGGGAGGGGATAAAAATGTCTGTAGTTTTAGTTCCAATAATTGATTTCAGTCCTAAAAATTTGTGACGTTTGTGACTCAGTGAAAAGCCTTGAAGAAAACAATATTTATCTCAAATTTGTGACATTTGTGATTTTAAACTCGTGACGAATGTGATTGTCTAAAACATTGGATCACATGCATCACAAAATTTGTGACGAATGTGATCTCATTCTTCACAATTGTGACGAATGTGATTTGTGACACATGTGGCCTTACAAGGCTTGGTTGTTTTTTTTTCCGTTTTTTTTTCTAGACTTCTATAACATTTGGTGAAGGCCTATACCAATAGCTATACTTAGTTGTGTGCATAATCTATAATCTAAAATTATCTTTCACTCCATTTTTCCAGAATAGAATTTTATTTTAAAAGCAAAATGACCAAACACTAAGAGCGTTTTTAACTCAAATTGGACGGATAAGAATTGGACTAAATATCAATTTTGTTTAAAATTTAATTCGTAGTACTTTTCCTTATTATCTTTTCATACTGCCCTAGTTAAGATTTTTAATGTTTATGTTAAGATCTTTGGATCTCAGTGGAGGACCTTTGATATTACCTAACTATAACTTTAAATGGTCAGAATTGCCTATCCTTATTGAATTGACGATCCTTACTTATCAAAGAATACTTATGATCTTAAGCATTTTAGGGATGATGGAAATGATTGAAATGCACAAAAAACTTTTTTTCAGGCAAAGTATGTAATTATTTTTGTTTCAGATTTCGGTTTTTTATTACGTTACTTGCGAGTAAGAAAGTTTAGTCAACTTGGCGCCCGTCAAACCCTCGAGAATTATTGGACATCTAAAACATCAACACCAGAATGGTTTAAAGATGTGGACCCGAGTGATCCTGGCATACAAGTTATTTTGAGATCTGGGTAGTGTTGAATTTGTTTGAAGTCACATTATGCCTTAAAAATTCATATTTTTTTAATCGTTAAGAAATGTTGAACATGTGTTTAATATTGTTTTTATAATGAATCATGCAATAGGTCTGTCGGGATCCATGATTACATGTAACATGTTTTACAACTGAAGAAAGTAGCACTGAACATAAAGTTATGTGTCATAAAGGTAGCAAAATGTAAACAAACTAGTATTTTGACTTTCATACAATATACTAATTCCTTATAAACATGTCAATTGCTAAAAGAGCAAAGAAGGCAAAATATAGTTCATCTATGTGACAAATGAGTATTTCTTTTGAAACTGTAACAAGATACCCAAAATTAAAAAAATATGAGAAATATAAATGATAACATATCTGAGGCATTATGTGTCTTTAATGTGTGTTTCTGGCATCGTCACAACAATTTTTATATTGTTTTTTTTATATGTTTTAACGTCACGTGTAATTCGTCAATTGTCCAAAAAGAGAACGAATACTTTTGTTTTGTATATTCGGTAAGAGAAGAATACCCATTTTTTCTGTTTCAGGTACGTAATGAGCCCAAAACTGTACGACAGTAATGGACGACGACTTGTTTTTGACAGACCAGGTAGGTGGTCCCTGTGTTTGTTTTTGTCCCATTCTTCCTTGGTTCGTTCATTTGTTCCTTTTTAGCTCGACTATACGAAGTATATGGAGAGCTGTCCTACTCATCCAGACGTCGGCGTATGTGTCCGCGTCCAGATTTCAGTTAATTTAAAGTTTTGGTGCATTAAGTATTTTTTTACTTTTACTTTTTTTCTTAAGATATCAACTGAATGTTCCTTATAATTACCCGCATTGATAGATGTTGGAAATAATAGATAGACTTGAAATATTTGACATTTAATTTGTATCTTTCACAGGGAGATTGGACGCTGACACGGTGAAAAGAGCGGGCGGTATAGCAACTGTTTTCAAAACAATTTGTATGTTTGTTGACTGGGTTAATACAGACGAAAATATCCAAGTAAATGGCATTCAAGTTTTTGCGGATCTCTCTAACGTAACGTTATCATCGGTAACGACGCTGTGGACGGCAGAAAATGGAAAACGACTTATGCATTTCTATCAGGTAATATGAAGGTATTCGAATTTAAAAGTTGTAAAGCAATAAGTGGCGAAATATATTATGAAACTTTCCTAAACTGTAAATAATAATGCCCTGGCTTTGCTTCCATTTGTGACCTTTCTTGTTTCATGTTTAGTGACCTACTGATTTCCGTGCAAATGTTGCTGTGATGCTAGGTTTTGTTGGAAGCCGCGTTCATTGAATACTGTCTTTACTTGTTGATCTTTTTAATAAAATTCCATATTCCTATGGGGATGTCAGGATGTCACTTAACGAACATTGATTATTTATAAAAATTAGAATAAAATGTGGTCTTACAAATTGTTCAGTTGTAATAATTTTGGCGATGAATTCGCGTACGTTCCGCAAGTTTTATTTGAAATTTACAGACATATGTATTTTAAATTTGGCATATTTATATAGTTTTAAGTAAGATACAAAAACTTATTCTTTACCTATTACACAAATACCAATGGAGCTCTACTCTATAAACTATTTTTATGATTCAAAAGAGAAAATTGAAATCATTAATGATCGTCCAAAGGTTGAAAATATTACAGGTTCTGTTTGATCGAGCCTGTTCATTTAGGATACTTGAAAGAGCAAGCTACCGTCCACTCACCCTAGCACCGGCTTAAACAGAACTTGTATATCACACGGTTGCTGTAGTCATTAGATACATGAAAGACTATCAGCAACCATTATTAGAATACAGTAAATAAGTGACACTTAACTTTCGCTTACGAACTATAACAAATAAAAAAATGCAGAAAATATTTAAATTAACTTCAGTTTTAATGTTTAAATTAAATTATTATGAAGAAACTTGTAACTCATTTGAGCAAATCTCTAGAATTATCGAGTTTTGATTTGATATAAAGAAAACATGGTCGTGAGTCCAGTATGGCTAGAAACTACAATCTTAGAGATACACACTTTAATTAAGCTCTAGGCCACAACTTCCCTTTTATTTTCTTGAAGAAACAAAGTACATGTATTTTTGTATTGTTTTTAAGAATTCTGCACCATCGAGAATCAAGCAGGTCCATTTTTACAGTGAGCCGGTTTTCTTTGATGCTGTCTTTGCATTGATGAAGCCATTGATTAAACAGAAAATGCGAGATAGGGTATGAAAATTTTTATGCTTTTGTTATTGGTTTGTGTAATTTGTTTGAGCATGCCAGTGTATGTCTATTGTATGATTTGTATATGGAATGCGACTTGTATATGGAATATTAAAATGATTATAATTTGTATGATGATGTTCTATGAACAAGTCTTAAATAAATCTAGTCATATACATGTACTAGTTGACAAGTACCGAACTAGTTTACATATTCCTAATGTGTCTACAATCATTATATACTTTGACAAATATCATCTCTGGCTGGTCAACATTTTCTTCATTAGTTTGCTTTTTGGATTTATATCATAATACAAAATGCAAATTGTTGTAAGATTTCAAATAATATGTATTTGCCTTATTTTAAACAGATTAAAATACAGACAAATAAATGCTCGTGAGTCATCTAAACTCCCCCATATGTTAACACTTATCACGTTAAATATCTTTCAATTGGACAAAACCATTAATCATTTTAGACCAAAAATGTCTGAATAGCGAATAGTTCGGACCATTTCAGACGATACTGATATGTCAACTAACCGTGGTCTGCATTGCTCGCATGGATATATTCAGTTTCTGCTAGCGGGGTAATGATAAATGAGAAAAAAAAATTATGTATATATTTATATGTAAAATGTTTTTTGTAATGCCATGTAACTAAGCTGTGTGAGCATTTTTACCTATGTGGTATCAAAATGATATTAGAGGAATCTACTTTATATACGCAATGTATGTATGTAGGCAAACAATATAGATTTATTGTTATGATAATCATAAATTTACATTACAAGATACGCAAGTAACATATTTCTTTTGTCATTGATCAGTTATTTAACATTTCATTGACAAAAACATGGGAGTGATAAATATATAGAGGATATTCAAGTTTTTTTCTATAAATACATGATTTATTTTCATCGAGTGGTATGAAAATAAATATTTCATGAGTGGCGGTAGCCACGAGTGAAATATGGTAATTTTCATGCCACAAGATGAAAATAAATCATGTATGTATAGAAAAAACTTGAATTTTCTGTTTATTATATACATTTTTCTCTTTCTGGACATTAAATTTTAAAAGACTTTCACTTAAATTTTGAGTACTGGCAGAATTTAAAAGAAAGTAGTCCGGCAAGACACCAGTGAAAATACTGAAAATATGTTTCACTGCAGTGAAAAATAAATTTTTACAGTGAAAATACGGAAATTGAAAATACGCATTTTATTTCATCAATATTTCTCAATATTTCATTTAAAAGTATATAATAAATTACATTAAATGTAAATTTTGACATCATTTTGTTGTGCATTCCGTATTTAGTTCAGACACTTTATTTTACTATTTTGTATCATATATTCAGCTATTTCTACACGGAAACAGCATGGTGAATGTCTATAAGGAAATTGAAAAATGTATTTTACCCGACGAGTACCTTCCCGACGACTATAACGGTCCGAGTGCTGGACCGGAGAGTAAAATCATTGGTAAGTTACGATTCTCGTCTAACAATATAGGTCGTTACACCTAAAATATGATATTTTTTTCTCTCACTTTTTTTTGGCTGAATTATATGACGTTTTTCATTAGTGTCATTTTCAATTTTTAATCTCAAAATGATGCTTTGTTGTATTTATAATCCAAATTAAAAAGTATTAAATTTTTGAAAGTTAAGTTTGAAACTCAAGTGAAAATCAATTTTGAAGTTATTTGATTAGTTAATAATGGCTCGATCTCTATTCTGTTGTTTTTAAAAGCTACATGGTTTTATTTAAAACTGATAATCTTTTCATTCCTTTCAGGATGTATAACTTAGAACCTTTTTGTTTTAAGCAACATACATTTATTTTTCATTTGTCATACACAATTTTCCCTCAAAAGGGAGACAAATGTTTATGGACGAACTGTTTTATATTTGACAGGGTATAGCGTATGATAACTATACCATTATTTTAACTAATAAGGCTGGTACATGTTGTATGATAACTATAAACCATTATTTAACTATATAAGCTGTACATGTTGTATGCGGCAGTGAATACATAAATGTTCAGATATCATTTGATAAAAAAAAATCTGATAAAAACTTTGATATACGCCTACCATATATGTAAACAATTTATAAAAAAAATAGATTGAAATAAAAAGAAGGCGCACCAACAATGTAAAATCATTTGGCGTTTTCAAGCTGTACTTGTTGAACAAGATATCATTATTTCAAGCGCGAGTTGGTACATGTGTAGAACCACCGACGTTCTGTAAGCTTCATCACATAGAGTAATACCCAAGTCCGTAACGGGATTCGAACTCACACTGGTGAGGGGGAGTGGTTTGAAGTCAAAGACCTAAACCACTCGCCCCGAAGCTTCCGTTCAAGGCTTCACAGGTACGTAAACATAGTTTTAGACTGTTCATAATAGAATTTAACTGGACTGTTTTGCCCCTACATTCAATTGGACAAAGAACAATCTGGCTTGAATTTCTGTAGAAAAATTGAAATTTATCATCTTTATTCTTTATATTTGCAGACGACATGATAGCGGAAATGACGCAACCGGCGTTCTCAGATTACATAAAGAAATTATCAAGTGGAGAATATGGAATTGACTTTGATAAAAAGAAAACGTTTGATGGTGCCCCTTCCGAATCATTCCGGAAACTCAATGTTGACTGATTTACATTATCATTAAGCAACGGTGTTGTTAGTCTTATTGAGTATTTAGTGATTATTTATAACATCTAACTGTGCAAGGAAAGTTAATATTTTTTAAGTTTAGACAATGTGTAAACTGAACTAAAATGTTCCATTTCTTGTTGTATGTGTCCTCTATATATTTCATACAAATTGTATATTTGCTCAAAAGAAATGCACTTTCTTTCTATTTGTTATTGTTCTTGAAAAACGTCCAACGTTTGATACATATACATATACATGTATTGCTATAACAAAAAATCACGCAGAGTAAATACGTTAAAGTTTCTCAATACGTAAAGTAAAATTGTTCATCTCTTTTTTATTTTTTACTTTCACACTTAAAATTCTGAAAATTCGAACACTGCTATAAACAGTGCTTTGTAGACCCCTAAATTCATAATTTAGTTGAATATGTGAAATGATAATTTTACGTGAGCAGCATCTAACATGCTTAAAATACAAAGTATATTTTTCAGAGAAGTAAATTACATAACTTGTCACAATAGATTATTGTAAACCTACACAAATATAACACCTGTTTAAATTATTTACATAACGTATATCAAGGCCTGCTACCTTCTAGGCCGACTTTAGTCATTCGTGCTTTGTTGGAAATGTGCATATACTTGTGATTTATTTATTCAATTTGATTATTTAAAATGTATAGGTCGACTAAGAATACATTTTCAATTTTTTTTAAAAAACAATAGAAATGTATCATTTGGATGTTCTGATAAAATATTGCTTGCAGAAAAATGTTGATAAAGTTCTTAGAGATTTAATATGACCACTTGTATGCTGAATAATAGTACATATGAGCCGCGTCACGACAAAACCAACATAATGGGTTTGCGACCGGCATGGATCCAGACCAGCATGCGCATCCGCGCAGTCTGATCAGGATCCATGTTGTTCGCTTACAAACACTATAGCAAGTAGAGAAACTGATAGCGAACAGCATGGATCCTGATCAGACTGCGCGGATGCGCACGCTGGTCTGGATCCATGCTGGTCGCAAACCCATTATGTTGGTTTTGTCGTGACGCGGCTCATATATATTTTTTTCGAGTGGTTCGTTGTAATATCTGATACTTCATACTATCAACCTATTTATTTAATGTATTACATACCTTCCATTATAGATAAATTAATTTTGATTTAAAAACAACAGAAATGTTTGGATTCTATGCACGTTGCTAGTAGTAAACTCGTAGATGGATCTTTACTCTTTTATAAATTACGCCAGCAACATATACTATGTAAGAATATTGTACTCTGTCATTTTATATATAAAACACTAAATGTTTGATCCTTATGCATAAAAATGTTATGTTTGGAAACATTTCTTCTTTTTTGTCAATTTTTATATTTGATAAAGTTAAAAATGATCTATTTTAAATGATGCAACAGTTATCCTATATATTTAATATGTTATTATATAAGAGTCATTATGAAAGTGTTACATTTGTTCAAGAACAGACTGACAACATTTGTAATTATATTCAGTCTACTTGTAGCATTTGGAGTTATAAAGGTCAGTGTTACACACATCATGTAAGACAAATGTTTAAACTTCCCGGGGCTAATTTACAATGATAAATATATTTATGTTGATACGCTGAATAAATACATCATAAGTTTCAATTAATTAATGTAGATGAAGTTTTTTTGTTATGTTTGTATAATAGGGAGATGTTGATTACTCTAACACTGTATTCGCAAAAATGTTGCTCGGTGCCACGGGGACGACGGGGTGAGTGAAGATATCAATACCGATGCTAGGGGGCATTGGATATTAGTTTGTCGGTACACAGGCTTAATCAAACTGTGACTGGAACATTTTTAATATTGTCGTTTTGAGAGTTCTTTTAGCTTCTATTAGGATTCTATTTCATTTATATTAGGGTATCATACCATTTTATCACTATCGGTTGTATCCCGACATTAATTAAGTTCATCTATGGAATGTTTCTTGATATCATACTAGTACACACAGGCCATACATGACTGCTGTCCAAAACGATAGTTCTAGATTTATATGTACAGAAAGAGGAAATCATTGAATAATCTATTAGAATGACATAATTATATAACGGTTGACCTAATATCTGAAAACTCTCTCCGTACATAAAATTGTAAGAAAATATGTAGTATATAATCCAAAATATACATATATTTTCAGTTTGTGCTTGTTTTCTTACATATACACATACAATTTTTATAATCAATATTCCTGAACAAACAGTTTTTGTTTAAGCACATGTAAGAATTAAATTTAACAAATGAATACATAACTTAGTTTTGAGTTTTAATCTTATCAACAAGTATGTTAGAAAATGGACAGTGAAAAAAAATCAATAATCTGAAGAACGTGGATTGAAAATGTAGTAAAAGAAGAAGAAAAAAGAAGAAAGAGGAAGGGAAAAGAGATAGAAAGACCTTTACGACAATTGAATCACGAGGACATAATTATTTCAAATTGTAAGACAGATATAAGATACAAGATATCTCAACGAAATTATAGACAAATTTTCAAATAATATACAAACGATTTTTGCTGAATTAATAGTTTTACGAGCACAACAAATTAACTTGACTGTTTAGCTTGCATTTATTTTCTGTTATATTGTATCAAAAAGTAAGAGTAATTAAATGAAAATAATGTGTTTTACAGGTGTTAAATTCGTGCATATTATGCTGATATTATTGTAGTTTATTACTTTACAACTTATAAATTTGAACTTAAGTTGTCTATAATTATGCTTTCATCTAGCAAAAGGTAGCTAATTTACAAATAGAAATTCACTTCTGGTGTTATTTTCAGGGTCTGAACACCTCCTTACGCTATAAAAGCATCGCTTAAAATAATATAATGATTATTTAACTGATTTAAAAAAAAAGGTATTTTAGCATACTTGATGAGGTAATAGTATTGCTATGTAAGAGAGCTTTCAAAACGTGTTTGGACACTGTAAATATAAATAAACTTACAAACGCCAATTACAAAACTGTAAAAATCATTAATATATTCAAACGCTATATAATAAGCACATGTAAATAGATAGGAACATTGTGAATATATGTTATATCAAAGCTACGACTTATAAAATGGGTAAACAATACGACGTAAAATAAAAATTAAAAAGAAATCTTAAGCCAAAGGAAAGCGTGGTTAATAGCATCAAAATCGAAAAGAAAGAATTAAATGCATACATGGAAGACGAATATTACAGAATATTTACATCAACATAGAAAATATAGACAAGGTATAAAAGTAGTGGGACCTAGGATACATAAAAGGCAAGGCAAAAGAAGAGCAGAAAAAGGAGAAAATTGTAGACTTGGATTCTATTCATGATCTGATCGTAATAACATCGGGTCATTCGTGAGGACATCTCCTGCCATTGTATGACCCCCGGCTAAATTTTTCAGGCTCCGACAGGAACTTCGTGAGCGGTCCCAAAATCTTTGGCATGCCAAAAAATTGCCGGAAGACATTGCGAAGGTTCATTTTCGTGTTGAATTCGTATGCCAATTTTGCGCTTCGTAAGGCCGTCGTGAAGCCATCTTGTCAAATCGTGTAGTCTTCGTCTTTACTTCGTGTGATCATCGGTGCAATCGCCTCAAGAAGACAATACGAAGGAAACACGAAGATTCCCGATTGTCTTAAGAAGGGTACACGACTACGTGAAGCCCCCGCAATACCGTCGTGTCGCCATCGTATTTTGGTACGATGTCATTGAGATGGGACCACGATGAGTACGAACAAAGCAAATTTGAGTGGATCAAGCGTTGCATATTTATCATGGTGGACATATAAAAATCTAGCCTCAGATTCGGTGAAGGGGGGCAAAATAAAAGAAATAAAACAGGGGCAAAAAGGAAGATACTTACCGTAGACGGGAATACAAGGGACGCAGACAAATATGTCACCAAAGCAGTATGAAACAACAAAGACATACATCTGAGGAACACAGAGGGCGCCGCCTTGGAACGGTCAGCAGCATAAGTACTGCTGGGGAGTTTAAACCGGTTAATGGTGCACCAAACCTCACTCTAAGCCCCACCATGTTCCTATAAACGAGACAGTGTAAAGAAAATGAATCCCCGCGAAGTGAAATTCTAACAGTTGTTATGGTTACAAAAGGGGAACACTGAAATGCTCATGTAGTAACATATAAAAGTAAACCCAATGACCATAACAAATGTACTCAATGTCTTAAAGGAAGACAGAGCAATAAGAAAATCACCAACAAGGGCCCAATGCAGCAAGACAGAAGACGAACATTAAGGAAATTCAGTCCCAAAGGACTTTAAGAAATGTCCATCATAGAGTCTCCCACTTGGTCCGACAGATGTATTCAAAAGAGGAAACCGTTGCGCCCAACTGTAAAAGTGTTGAACACAAAGCATGCGGTAGGGTCATAACCTCTTTTAATAAAAAGTTTAATAATTTTGTAAAGACACCAAAAAAAATAACAATGACCCCAAGATCATACGAAGTTTGTAAATAACATTCCATTAAAAATCAGACTGGCTGATCCCTTGTCGGAGAAGTGTTATTAAATCACAATTGAATTTTCAGATTAAATCAAAGTTACGATTGTAAAATTTTATAAAATATTTACATAATTTATAACAGCGGTAGCCCTGTTTGAGTAGCTTGCTAGTAATGAAAAATTGCGATTCTAATTAACTGAGATACATATACCCCGTAAGGGGTTGCATGCGGTACGTCGCCATCTAGATGTGGATAATTTACTTTACCAAAATCAAATTCATCTCTTTTATCATAGATTTTCGTGTGAATAGAATTGTTTTTGATAGTAATATGAAGATCCAAAATAAAGTTTAAACCTAGTTTAGCTCCCAATATTATCTGCCATTGAAACTTGCCGCGGTTTAGCGAAGGTTTTATACATTGCTTTATATTTTGTATACATTTCAATATAAAATATATTAACTGTATTTATAGTCTGATTTTATTGACCTGTCAATTATGAATACATTATAGCACTCATTTAAATATTCGATCCCACTTCGGGTTTGTTCGTTTATTTTACGAGAATTAATATGGAGTGTATCACTTACGTTTGGAAAACTATCGCTAGATTAATGTAGGTTCTTGTAACATCCGCAATATCACAGTCGGTTAAGTGATTACCTTAAGTATGAGGGGTCCGAGGTTCGATCCCCTTTTTTGACATTCTTTTTAGACTTATTCTTTCTTTATTTTTAAGTATATCTTAATGAAAATGGTCAAGCGTTTGCAATTTGTCTACACGGATATGAACCAACTAAGAAACACTGGATTGTTACATTTTATATTGTATTTATTGATTTTATTCGGAATGAATTTTCAGTATTAATTCTTAAACATTGTTATATACAAATGTATAGTATTTATAAAAGGTGCAAAACATATTAAAACCGGAACAACCATAACTTAAAAACATGTTTAAAATAGTCATGAATAAAAAAAAATACTGGACATACTCTGTCCGATCCTACAACACGTTAAACATTCAGATAAAATATACCCGTGGTTTACCCTATTGCACTATAACGGTCAGTGTAACTAATTCAAAATAACAAGATGAATTTAATCACATCTTACTGCGCACATCTCACGGAATTTACCGAACATTTATCGAATATTTATATATTCTGTGCATTGACCGTGTAATCAGTATGGAATTGACAGGTTAATAAAATCAAACAATAATTTATTTGACCCCTGATCCTATACCGTTATATCTCTCTCTATATTTCTATTATTCTTCTCTGTCATTGTTACTAACCTGTCACCCGTAAACTTGATATGCTATGTTCGGGTATGTTGTGTGATGCTCCATTGCACTTCATATCTGACCATTACATATTATAGTTGTGTTATATTGTTATATTGTGTTTATATATTGTTTAATAAATATCTTGGATATTTCAGATTTGCATTTGTTGTGTCTGTCTATTACCCTACCTGTAATACAAATAACTGCCGACTGGGCTACGTCGACACCGTCGCGTGACCTTCGGTAGGAATCGTGTGTGGATCGGATGCGATCGCGTGACCTTCTGTAGGATTCGTACTTGCTTCGGCTGTTGAGGGGCAGTCGACCAATTTCGGGGCTATCTTCGCGCGAAATTTCAAATTTCATATTCGTGTGCCCATCTGAAGTCGATTTCGGGACAGTGTGACGCCTGCATTAAGGATCGCAAATATAACATCTCTGATTGAAACACACAGTCCCTAATATAAAGAACGCCCAAAACGGCAAAGTTGAAAAAGAAATCACTACAGCATTCCTCAAGCGTTCTTGTGTCATTCTTGTTGATGTAGTTATTTTTGTTTTATTGTACTGTTTTTCTTTTCATGTATACACATTCATGTCGAATCATTAAAATGTAAAAACAAATTTATATTTGAAATGTGTATGACTTAATAAATAAATAATACTGAAAATGAACACATGCCTTTTGTCACTTGAAATATTATATTGTGAAAATAATTTTATTATTGTAGTACAATCACGCATATCAATGAATATAATCATGTTATAAGTTATTCCTACCGGTATCTTATTTGTATATCATTTGTTTGTATTTTGAATAGAGGCGAGATAAAGACATTAAAGTATAGGGAAGTTTCTTGTTTCTAATGAAGATAATTATAAGGCTTTTTTTTTTTGGTGAATGATGTAAAACAATATTGCATGACAGTTTCATGTTTATACAATCTTTATATGATAATAAACGTCAGCTGTCCGTTCACCTATAGCCCGTTAACTATATATTCATTAATAAATAACGAAGTCAGGTATTTTGTCCCGTCTGTGCATACTTCGTTACTAAGGTTATAAATTTCATCGCCGAAACCGACACACATGGTACAGTAACTGGGCATTTCATGTCGGAACATTTTCTTTTAAAAGATACCATATGGCTTAATATAAATTTTGTAAAAAGAAAATCGTTTGGAAAATATTGTGATTTTACGCAAAAAATACATTGGAATAAATAAGTTAATGTAGCCGACAATGGAGTGTTGAAATCATCGCGTATCACCATGGTTAATTCAGATGCTTGGTTGAAGATTGAGGCACCACCCACTTGACAAGGTCTGGAAAAGGTAACGTTTAACATATTCTCAAGACTTTTACAAACTTTACACCCTTTTACAGCAATTCAAAGATGTAACATAATGTTAAGCCTACCTACACCGGACTATGTTGTGGACAAACTACTACAAACTATGAAGTGAAAAAAGATGATCTCGTAAGACTGGAAAAATAAAGCAATACTCGTACAATTGTAATTCTTCTTACACTCGGCCACAACAGAGGGCAGCACTGTTTTGATATATTACCGCCTATAGTTTTATTTTATTTTATGCGAGGTTTTATAAGATAAAAATATGCAGAAATTCAAAGTAATCATTGTTCAACATTTCATTTATAATGATAATTTATTGAAAATATGTATTTGGCTATTTATTAAACACTTTCTCTGTCCGTTGAATAATCGTTAAATCAGTGTCATGTGACAGGGCCTAGTGGAACGAAATGTAAGATTGTCAGCGAGTTGACAAAATCTACATGTATATCAATTTGGATTCAAATCATCGAATAAGTTCCAATATCACAAAATACATAAAGGCATCCCCTATTTCTAAAAATATATCGAAATAATTATATGACATTGTCATTACATTTCGAAACAAGAAAAGAAAGTTAAAAAAAGTCAACATCGTTATTCAGTTCCGATCACATAATTAATAAAACGAATTAAATTAAATTAAACTACTTATTTCCAGAGATTAAATTGTATTCAATATTAATACCAAAAAAAATTGTTGTTTTAAACATTAGCCGGTGCAAGGGGGTGTAAACGGCAGCTTGCATTTTTCAGAACCTTCCATGAACAGACTGAATCAAACCGAGCCTGAAATTATTTTTTTTCTACTTTAAACGTTCTTTGGACATCCCTTTTCTTTATTTCATGGGTTTAAACCCAAGTATTTAAAATAAAATAGAAATACTGTAAATCAAAATTAAAAAAGAACATAAAATTTTGGCTATATTGAACCTGTTGAACTCTTTTAGTCACCCTGAGGGTATTTAAATTTTTAATATCCCATTCATAGATAATGAATAATTGTATTTTACTTATAAGATCCGTTTGAACCAATCAAATGAGCACAAATAGTTTAGAAATATTTCCAGTTTCACAGAGTAGGCAATTTTCTGCAATAAAACTGTGCATAGCGTTTTCATTGATAAAACGAGTGTCCAATGGTTTCACTGAACGCTGATATCATTTAATTTGAATTTGTAATTCATTGAATGTTCTCTTGCTTGAATACGAAATAAAGTTATTTTAAAAAATGGTCTGTTTATTAAAACATCATCAAAAGAAATAAATGTCATTTCACGGCAGTATAACCCTTGTCAAGTTACAATGGTTCATTTATCATTGTGAAAATGAGACGATTTTCTGAATTAAATAAACATGTGTGAAATAGAATTAATGAAACAAAGATTTTTTGTCAATGATGAGAAATTGCTTAATAAATGAGCAAATGATGAGTTCAGAATCTATATGTTAATATGTGTAATAAAACAAACATTCATATCATTATTTTATGGCTATGCTTAAGTCACGTTCCACCGGGAGACAATGGGCAACAAAATAAATGCAAATCAGAAATGCGGTTTTGAAACAATATGAAATATAATGGTTATAATGGGATCTCGACTATTTATTACAAGTTATAATTATAAAATATAGTTTTATTTGTAGCGGTCACATTGCCATTATCTCTATGCAATTATTTGAGGGTAAGATATGGGAATTCAATTGCAATGTGTCGGAATAGTTCGTATCTGTATTCTTTAAAAAGGTAATTTTTGTTGCTCTTGGTTATTTAAAAAAATTTATTACATGCTTTTCGGTGGTTTATAGAAATATATCAGTGATTCAAAACTGGTAATTTCACTGTTTCAAACAGTGAAATTACCACTTTGATAATTTCACTGTCGTGAAATATACCTTTTGGTGCTCACTCGGTGAAATATATTCCGATCTTACACTGGACTAAACAAATATCCTCTATTTTATCTTACACTCTTAACTAATATCTAATTGCTGCCATACAATTCTATCTGAAAGAGAAAAAAAGAAATTGTAACTTTATGCAAGTACATGTATATCGTACAAAATATTGCAAAATAAATCCAAAGGGCCACATAGAACCGGCTTATGCAACATTTAATCTACAACATTGAAATCAAAATCAATGGCACCCGAAGAAGCAGTGAGATAAAAAAAAGGGTGCCAATTTGACAATAAGGTGGTGATTTAATGAGTGGCTGGAAAATACATATGGTGTAATACGAAAAAATGATGACATGACGTAAATTGTGTTATATGAAAATAGTGATGACATGGTGTAGTGCAAAAAATGATGAAATTGTGTCGTTTGAAAAAAAAATGATAACATTGTGTAATGTAAACAAATGATAACATTGTGTATTGTGAAAAAATAATGACATGGTGCAATGTGAAAAAAATGACATGGTGCAATGCGATAAAAAATGATGACATGGTGTGATGCAGAAAAATAATAAAATGGTGTGATGCAGAAAAATGATGAAATGGTGTAATGTGAAAAAAAATGAAATGGCACATGTAATTGAAAAATAATTATGACATTGGTGTTATTCGAAAAAAAAGATGAATAGGGAATGTGAAAAAATGATGCCTAGTTGTAATATGAAATTTGTTCAAAACGGCTTATAATAAGTTTATATATATATATATGATCAGTACATGTGCTGGGATTGACAAATATGTATTTCATTTGGATTTTAAAGACGTTTTGAGCTCCACACCCCAAGTGTCTGTGGTTGGGTTTATTTAATTAAGTATTCATCATTGTTCGCATTTTAGTTTGCTTATAATCATATATAGTCGGAAAGAAATGCTATTTTATACATTCTCACATGTCAGGGCAGTTGTACTGTTAAAGCGATAGGTAAAGTCATCGAAGATGACCTTGCAAATGAAACGTGAGTAATGTCACAAAATAGTTTGGTGACGTCATAAGGTCACGTCTCGGTTCACTTTGGATATTAACCAGACGTTGCACCGTACATTGCGAATAATGATGAACAACAAAATACACGTCACAAAGTTCATCAAGCTATTATTGTTGTTTTTTATCTTTTATCATTATTTACACAAAACAACAATAACTACAATTTGTTCGCTGACCTAATGATTGCATGGTCTAAAACTGTACGAATGTGGTTTCCGTAAGGTCAGATCGAGGCTAGATTTATTGCAGAATACGAAATAATATATAATGTTAAGTAAAATAACTTCTCACTACAATATTTAATGATGCTTTATTGGCAAATAATATGTTTTAATTAAATGCTGGATTTATTACAGATTTCAATACATTTAGTCCCGTGTGTTATTACACGTGTGGTTATATCAATTAGCTTCCTTTTAATAGTTAATTAATTAATTAATTAATTAATTAATTAATTAATTAATTAATTGATTAATTGATTGATTGATTGATCGATCGATCGATCGATCGGTTGATCGATCGATTGATTGATTGATTGATTGATTGAAGTTTTTCGAATTCAGTTGCTAGCTTGCTGTTGATCAACACCAAGCTCCCTAAAGGCTTTCATAAAACATATGAGCCGCGTCATGACAAAACCAACGGGTCTGCGACCAGCATGGATCCAGACCAGCCTGCGCATCCGCGCAGTCTGATCAGGATCCATGCTGTTCGCTATCAGTTTCTCTACTTGTAATAGGGTTTGTAAGCGAACAGCAAGGATCCTGAGCAAGGATCCTGATCAGACTGCGCGGATGCGCAGGCTGGTCTGGATCCATGCTGGTCGCAAACCCATTATATTGGTTTTGTCGTGACGCGGCTCATATTATGGTACAATTTGATCTGCAGTGGAAGCAAACAAATATATCAATGAAGAAACTTTTAGGAGTCAAAAGCCATCTCAAATTAAACTTGTAAATGTGCAGGTCAGCAACTATAACTAACAAAGGTGAATTTAATTATACAAATATATATCGGGCTGTAACTCAACATATTTGCTAATACAATTTGCATTTAATAAAAAAACAGCTTTTCAGAAAGAAATTTTATTTGAAATATTATATAATTTTAGGAACAAATTGTGCAACTATACTAAAAATGCTTAAAACACAAACGGTATGAAGAGAAAAAAGACACCACATGTATTTGGATTACCATAATAACTCCGAGGCTTGTTTCAAATACGGTTAAATTACTTAGTAACCAATGCCATTAAAGCATAAAAGAAAACAAAGATTAGAACAATGAATACCAAAAGATTTCCAGAAAATAAAATCTTAAATCCACTTTAACTAGTACTACACAAACTGTAATTAAAACAAATAAATTAACAAATAAATTAATTGTTGTCTTTCATCTCGAGAGAGAATCCCTATTTTGGAGTTTATATTGTCACACAAGCAGCACCAGTGCTGCGATGTGAGTGTAAACGCTCGTCCTATATTTTATCACATAGGTGGGCATATGCTATTTTTACTAATTCTAATAATCTTTTAAGTTATTTCAAAATTGTTTTTGAGCAAATAAATGTCAAATTAAATAAATCAAATCACAATGTGCAAATTCCAACTAAAGCTGCAGTCTTTTCGCTCACCCTCTTTTTTATTATATAGATATGTACGTTTATGTTTTTGTGTTGCAATGCAATTTAGAGAATTTCGTGTCCAAAGGATGAATTTACGAAGGGATAAACAGCGACAAATTCAGACCAAAACTATAATAACATTTTTTAATATGGACAATACTCGTTTAAGTGATAAAATATGATACTTTGATCCAGTTGCTTTCATATAACAAGTGTTATAATTGTAAATTAAAGTCTACAATAAGACAAAATACACATTGTAATTCAATATCGGACAAGAGAAAAATATTCTACTATAGAACATGACCTACAAAAGGACAAAAGTAAATTGTACAATAGGGCAAAAAATTACATTCTACAATAGGACAAAAAATAAGTTCTACTTTAGGACAATATAAAATAGAGAAAATAAGAGTCCCTAAAGAAAGCCCAACACGGCAAAATTGAAAATGTTGCAGGCTCGTTTTGATTGAGCCTGTTCATTGACGGTACTGTCAAGTGCAAACTACCGTCCACACCCCCTAGCACCGGCTTAAGCAGAATTCAACATTTAAAATGAATTGGTACAATTTTGAATTTTGAAACATCCACAGATGTGTAAGACTTCTTTAGGACAAAAATAAATTATACAATAGATTGCAAATAAACTCTACAGTAGATCAAAAATGAATTGAACGGTTTGACAAGATAAACATCCTTCTTCAGAGCAAAATTAAATTATAATTATGTAAGCATTCCTGAATTCGATAAAATGAACATTTTTTAAGGACAAAGTTAACATTTGTACAGGACAAAGGGAACGTTTCAAAATTAACATTTTACTATAAAACAAAATATATATGCTGTTGTTGGAAAAGAAAAGCATTTTATTGTAGTGCAAAATGCAGAGAGCGCTACACGAATAATACATGGAATTCGTTAGTAAGACTTAAGATACTTTGTTGACTATGACAATTTCTTATCTACGAGGGGTGATCCAAAAATTCGTGGACACGCTGCATAAAACAAAAAGTAATAAAGCAAATCACATAAAATTCTAGTATCTTATTAAGTGAGCATATATCGACAAATTCTCAAAATATTGTAAAGATTGTACAAGAATTAACGATTCTGCACCAGTCTATGTACATAGACACGACAAAACGCGGCGCAGCTCACGACGTCACAAACGACGTTATGCTATCATAGGAAGTAATCTATGTTACCGTTTTCCCTTATAACTTTTCAAAGTATTCTCCTTTAACCCGCACACGTTTTTCATGGCGGCGGACCCAGTCGCATACCATTCCTGGCTGAATGATGACAGTATGCATTGGGTGGCTCCTCTCAACTCGTCCATATTGTCAAAACGTTTCCCTCTCAACTCTTTCTTTAACCTGGGAAACAAGGCGAGGTCACACGGGGAAGATCAGGCGAATACGGTAAATGACTGAGGACTTTTACATGTGTTTAAATGAGATGAAAACGTTTACATCACAGAGAAAAAGTAAGCTGCGCCGCGATTTTGATACTTAATGTTTTTATGTTGTCATATATAGATAAAAATGCAATTGGTGTTTTAAAATTTGGTCAATTTATTAAAAAAGCATTGATTAATAATATCCAAAGAGTTCACCTCGGTAGGAAGTCACGTTATGGAGATACACACATTGTCCACGAATTTTTGGATCACCCCTCGTATAGTATTGTTTTAAAACAACTGAAGAAAAGTTGAGTGTTAGAAAAGTTATAAATCACTCAAAATATGGTGAAATAGTGATTAAAATACATCTTTGATTGATGTATGCAGATAGTCAACGTAGCAGGTGATACTTATATGAGCCGCGTCACGACAAAACCAACATAATGGGTTTGCGACCAGCATGGATCCAGACCAGCCTGCGCATCGGATCCATGCTGTTCGCTATCAGTTTCGCTACTTGTAATAGAGTTTGAAAGCGAACAGCATGGATCCTGATCAGACTGCGCAGATGCGCATGCTGGTCTGGATCCATGCTGGTCGCAAACGCATTACGTTGGTTTTGTCGTGACGCGGCTCATATCTGAGTTATTTACATGTACGATCAGAACGTGATTAGTGTTCGAACGTTCACGTCTGCTAATTTAACGATCAAGTAATAAATTACAATCATTGTCAACGTACTTTTTTTACTGATGAATCTGTTTTGACAAGACAGTTTTATGATGAAATATGAAATGAATTATTATCTTAAATATTGGTCCTTACCACAGCTGAATAAATATATCAATTATAAATGCTTTATTAAACATACATTAGTAGATATAATAGTATTATAGTTCTTAGTATTAAGACGCTGCGTTTTTTTAAGGCTGCTTTTTGCTGACCTTTGCCTTCATTATTGTCCATTATTCGGAACACCTAATCGATTACCAATAATCATTAACCCTTATCCGTTTGAGGAAATGACCGAAATACAATGTATTGCGATTGTGAGAAACAAAGATGATATCTAGATAAATTATGTGTGCAGATTTTAAAAGCGGGTATCAAAAGAAAACGTGACATGCATTTGAAAAAGCTTTATTTTTTCACGATGAATTAAAAACAATACGTTCAATAACAAAGACAAAAATAATAAATATTGAACGATGTAAACATCTAAAATATTCTTTGATATTATATGACGCCTGTTACATGAAATAATTAGATGCATTAACACAGCCAAACTTTCATATCAACATTGTTTTATATGTTTTTCCGTCATCTATTATTAAATGGCAAGTTCAATTTCTAAGTGTAGTTGCTATTTTGAAAATTATCAAACAGAGATAACTTTAAGTCCAGCAAAAATACAACAAATTGAAATGATGACATACAATATATTTCAGAGCAATTTTAAAAAAATGTTTATACTGGTTTTGATTAGTTATCGTTAAATGACGCAAAGCATAACAGCCTTTGAACGAGACATATCCCAGCACCGTCTCAATTGTTTTACCAAGATAAGTAGTCAAACTTTTGACGGAAAAAACTATATCTTAAGAACAATTGTATTTGATTATGTCATGTTACACTCATAACAAAAACCAGAAACCCTAGAAAACAACGAACTTTGGAAATTTTGAGGAATGTCTAACACTGTCAAAAAAATGAAAATGTTGCAGGCCCATGGCTCTGATCCGGTATGAGTGAGCCTGTTAATCGATATCAACTAATACTATAGTGCCTACGCTCCCTAGCACCGGCTGAATGATAATTCAATATCTAAATTACAGAAAATCGTGCTACTGAAAATTTATACACACAAATAAATACATTATGTCTATATATGTTATTTGAATCTAAAATAGGAAATTTTTGTTAAATAAAAATTGGCTTTTGGCGCAAGAAGAATGGAAATATAAATATTCCATAAATAAGGTGAAACAAAATAGAAACAAAATAAAACAAAAGAAGATCAAAAATCCTAAACCCCGAGTAGAAATAAATTGCGTTATTTGATGTTTGAATGCATGTATAATATTACAATAATATTTATATTTTTAGATGCGAAAATATCAAACATGCCTGGTGATATTACTTAGTATTGTTCTGCAAGCGTCTACCATGATACAGAAGGTTGATATGCCTAGAGGCTTGCAAGGTTACTTCAATGGAGCGAAACTTCAACATAATGTGTCAGATGTAACAGGTTCGTACTAGATTTTTAGTTTCATTTAAACAAGCTGTATTATGAAACAAGATCATTCTATTTCCATTCAGTTAGTACTGGTATTATGGTAGGAAATATGGGCATTGCGTACAAGAAACCCGCATGCACGTTATCACCGACAGAAACCTTAACCAATAGGTCATTGTTTTCTATATGATGATGATGATGATGATGATGATGATGAAATAATAATAATAATAATAATATTTAATGTTCATTAAACTGTAGTATGAAATAAAGCCCATGAAATCGTCAGTTCGTTATATTCTCAACGATATAAGAATATTACGTGTCTTAAAATATAAAGGCAAAATGAGAATTTAAGCACGTTCGTTGACAGATGTGATATAAATAGGCGCGCCGTTCACGCCCCCTAGCACCAGCTTCAACATGATTTATTTTCTTTACAATATATGACTCGTTATATATTATCAGTATTTCTTACTTTTTTCATTTTTGTTTTATATCTTTCAATTAACAAATAAGACACGTAAGAATGTAAATTTCATATTTTATTACTATAACCTACTTCCGTGATTCACATGCAATGTACTTTTGTCGTCTGCATCATTTTCTTAGTGTTGTTGTCGCTCGGAGTTTTTGTGTGTGTGTATGTGTTTGTTTTTTTTTTAAATTCTTTAAAAAAATGAAATATTTCGAAAGTACATGCCTGAAAAAAACTTGACGCCATTACAAAAGTGCATGCTTATACTAATGAAAGCATTATTGCATCCACTGTGTATGCAAATGATCATGAAACTCCATATGCACAAAGTACACCAAGTTCACTTTATTTAAACATTTGTAAATATCAAAAGAGTTTGTATTTGAATATTGAATCCGTAACATATTTTGAATACATTTTGTAATTCTGAACGTTGATGTAACATCATCTTAATCATCAAGGAATTAATTAATCCAATAATTACATTTTGCCAACTCTAAGACAACTATAACGATTACATTTTGGACATCTCTTTTTGACATCTCTAACAATTACATTTTTGACAATTATAACAATTACATTTTTATATCTCTAACAATTATATTTTTGGCAAAGTTTTGCACATTCTGAATTACTGACAAATTATCTAAAACCTGCTTCCATTATTTCTAGGGGAACAGATTTTCTGGGAATGCATGCAAAGAGTCATGTGGCAAATGGCAGACCAAATTGGCCACAATGTCACGAGGGAAACACGTGATTATTTGGATCGTCTGCTGCAAATCGCGGTCGATTCAATTGACACACAGTTCCCGCGAATTAGGAAAGAATACCGTATGATGTCGGATGCTGAAAGAGATAGATTTCATAAAGCTATACTTGCTTTAAAAGAAGATACGGTAAAAGACAAATTGTGATTTTTCTTTTCTTTTCTTTTTTTTAAGTCAAAATCAAAATGACCATCTAAATATTTCACGGTGTAATTCTATTTCACATTCTTTAAAATGGATGCAGACATGGATGTAGACAGTTATTATATAATCCGAACATTCATTGGCTATCAAAAAGTATGGCAAAATATTTCGCAAAGGATTTCTGAAAGCAATGACAGAATATTGACATCTAACATGATGTCCCGAATCTCTAAAAACACTAGAGGCATGACCTAACGGTTTATTCATTCTATTTTATTTATTTCTTCAAAATTCTCTTCGTGGTTAAAGTATTTTTATTCAATGTATCAATTTTAGTTACAACGCAAAATAAAGAAAAAGATTCTTATGCATTTTAATGGCGTAACTATAATTGTATTACAGACACTGAAGCCTAATGTTTACACAGCGATAGCCGAACTGCATGCCGGGGAGGTCATACCAATGGCGCATTTTGGAGCAGGATTTCCAGGCTGGCATCGTGTTTTCCTTCTAATGTAAGAACATAAATCTACCGGTTTTAGTTTGATTTTAATTCATTTTTAAAACAATTTTGAATATCTCTGTACATTTCAACAATCTATTTTGCAAAACAACAGACGAGGGCATTTGAACTTTTATGTTTTCCAAAAAAGTATAACAATACAATATATGCATGTACAGTATTTGTAAGTATCCGAAAAGCTGATATTCCGGTCAAGGGAGCTTCTGAGTTTGTTATATGTCAAACCAATCAATTGATAAAAAAAACCAGTACACTGTAATTACTTTTTCTGCATGGCATAATAATATACCATCTGCCTCCCTTTACTTTGGTGTGATCAAAAATATACAATTTAGCTTTAAACACTTATCTTTGTGCCTATTTCAATTTTTGAAAAATAAAATCTTCCACTTCAAAAGTATTGAAGTCTTAATTTTTGTTCCAGTTTTGAGACAGCTCTTAGAATGAAAGACCCTTCGGTATCTATTCCATACTGGGCGTCCAATCTAGACAATGAAATGGACGATCCAACAATGTCAGTGGTTTGGTCGGACAAATTCTTTGGCAACGGAGATGGTTTTGTTACTATTGGCCCGTATGCTGATTTTAAGGTATACAGTTCTGGTTCAATACTTACGCGGAATATAGGCTCATCCGGGACGCTAATGACTAATGAAGGTATACATGGAATATTGTCTCAGAATCATACGAGAGACATTGTAAGCCCAACGGCTCCACAGAGTCACAATCTAGAGCTGCAGCATAACACGGTGCACGTGTGGATGGGGGGTAATATGGATGACCTCAGTACGAGCGCCGAGGACCCCGTGTTCTTCTTGCATCATTCTTTCATTGACTATCTTTGGGAGGAGTTTCGAACGAGACAAAAAATGTTAGGGATTGATCCGGAAATGGATTATCCTATGGAAAATTGGGGAGGCGACGCGCATGCGCCGGAATCTATAATTGGATTTGGTGATTTAAGAAATGTTGATGCTCTGAGTAATGTATTAGCAAACATGGTTAAATATGATCCATCACCGGTATGTACACGTTCTCATCCAACTTGTATATCTAAATATCTCAGATGTGATACTTCGAAATCACATCCAATTTGTGTCAGTTTGTCACGTGAAGAAATTAATGGAAACAAAGCTCGTGATAACGAAATATGTGTTGAAGCACAACTCACACGAGCTGTACAAAATACTTTTGCAATAAATCAGTACTGTGATATGAGGAAGTGGTCATATATCCCTGTGAAAATCGTGCTACAACGACCACCTGAATTCACAAATTATAAAGCATATCCTGTATACAACAATAGACCTGTAACAACATCTGATGTGTTCTCGACAATTTCCATTAATAAAACAATTAGTGAAAGACTTGCAGCATATCCTAACTGTAGACGCACGAGCTCCGTGGCTCGTAAAATATATGTTGAATCATATGGTTTAAATTATTATGGTAAATATAAAGACTTTACCATTCTTGATCAGAGGCATGCCCTGTCTTCATCTGTTACTTATCTTGGTGTTAAAAGTCCAGATTCAAACTTCACAGATGTGATTGTGTATGCTTTTGATTATTGCGGGAGAACTTGTAGACCATTCTGTCTTGATAGGTCTGTTAACCCGCCAAAATCTTCACCATGTGCCGGTGTTATACGAATTACTCCTGATAAGCCTAAAATGTATGGTGATAATTATGCTGAGGCTGTGAACGGCGTGTGGAGTGCTGAGCACCCAGATGATTTACCAAGCGAAGCACAGAACCCCTATTTTATAACTTTTTATTGCGACTATTCTGGCGTCTGGCCGTGGGATGAAGCTTTCCAAAGAGAGAATGCTCGTGGGAGAAAAAATAGTCCCAAACAAACTTTAAAATCTGAACCTGTGTTACGTGAAAGTAGTTCCGTTAAAGACGTTGTTAAAAAGCCAATGCCAGTTGTTCGGAAAATAAACCCTACATTACGCGCAGGTGCGAAGAAAATTAGAGAAAGAATAATTAGTAAATCACCTAGAAGGATTACAATAATAAAAGCTAGGCCGAAAAGGCCAAAACTCGCGCCAACTACACCTAGACCTTCCACGAAACATATACCTGTACCTAGTGTTATGGTTATAGATTTGTCGTCTGCTACTAGAAAACCACCAGGAACTCAGAAACAAACACAATTTCATAAATTATATGGCAAAACACGTGCGATATATCCAAAAAGAGTGCATTTGCCTGAGAAAAGACTTTTTACTCAAAGAGACATCCATCTTGAATTCCAGAGACAACAAGGAACATCCAATGGCAGATTTCCTATAAGAGGTATGTCCAAAATCATGTTGAGATTATATACATGTATTATAAAGATTGTTGACCGGTTACATGGTCCATTGCAAGTAACCTGGGTTGTATAGACTACAAACGTTTATACACTGTTATATAACTTGTCAAAATTCTTTATAACGAATTTATAATACTGTATGGTTTTCTGAGATTAAATATTTCAAACATCGCAGAGCAACAAGTGAACATCCAATGTATGCGATTTCCTTATAATAGTATGTCCAAAATCATGTTGAGATTATCACTACATGTAAATATAAAGATTGTTAACCGGTTTCACAATGGTGCATGCATAGCTGACGTCTGGCATTGTAAGACCCTAAGCAACAAACGTTTATGACACTGTTAATAATAACTTAGTCAACAATATTACATATATTACCAAGCGAATATAATAACTGTAATCAGTTTACTGACATTATAAATTTATTTCAGAATTAATGCGCAAGACCGTGCAATAATTCATATGAAAACTTTATACTAGTAAACGTCACGGTTATCCAATGAAAATGTTCGTTTCAACAAGCGTGAAATAGCTTGACGTAGCATGTAAAATTAGAAAAACTGGTTTTTGAAATTAAAAAAAAACAGCAACAACATACAATTTACCAGGATTTGTAAACATCCGACAGTTTTGATGTTGATTTTAATGCAAAGTTGTTTTTATTCATATGAAAATGTTTTACTGCGGTAACGTATCTAAATATCGTATGCAAATTCGTTTTATTTCATTTCATTTGAGCAATTATATCTATACAATTAAATGATATTAAACAGCCCTGTTTGGAAAGGATGTAACATAAATTACAATTTATGCTGAGTATTGCATCACCAGCTGTGGGGAAATGATATTGTGCATGTACAATAAATTAGCCTTTAGAGCTTTTCCTGACATCTACTCCACCCACTTCAATTGACATATGCATTCTATGTAACCCCCTGGTTGTAAATAAGTAATTGATATTAATTAGGGTTGCTATGTAACATTTGTTGCATATATTAATATGTTAAATGTAATTGTTTAACGCTGTCTCACACAGTTTACAACTTAATAATAGTAAGATCTGACTTTTGTGACTTGTAATTTCCTAAACAAATTAAGGCTTTTTTAAAACAATCTCTTTCATTGACTATATATGTACAGTTTATGAGTCACCATTCCCTTCTTTGTTGTTTTAATTGAAATACACTGAAATATGTGATGAGATAATTTGTTTGTGCTGTTATCTTTGAGATTGAGCTAATGAAGCAAAGTTTTTTTTTTCATTGGAATAATTTCTTTTTAAATGATAAATTAATATTTTATTTATTAGTGAGCTGATTGCTAAAACTTTTTTAGATAATTATTGCAAGTGGCGTGCCAAATATATCCCATAGACTAGAACATATTCATATCTGAAAGTTCAAATGTAATCAAAAGAATAATTTCATCATCGTCATCATCATCGTCATAATCATCGTCATAATTATTATTATTATTATTATTATTATTATTATTATTATATTTTTCCACACTACCATGATGATGATGATGATAATCATCATCATTATTATCATCATTATCATCTCACCATTATCATTTTTGTCGTCATCATCATCATCATTATCATCTTCATCATCATCACTATCATCATCCAAAGTGCATTATTTATATCGTTATTATTTCAGCTGTTAGCCATTTCATTTTAATTTAATCATTTCATTTGTATTGTATCAATCAAAGTACTAGAATAACGTGATGGCTGACTGTGTACATGTATTTTATATTCTATATTTTCAGATCAGTGCCGGTTAAATCCTAGTTGTTTCCTGTCTGTACCGTGTTCACCTTGCCAGCATAAAACCCGGAAACAGTGTAGATCTCCAAGTCGCCTTGTTGCTATTTGTGTCAACGGCATATATATGCTCGAACCTATTTACTTCAACTTCATGGGATAGGCTCTTTCAGATCGTCCTGCTGGCGTATAAACTTATTTAAAATATTGATTTTGTTATTATGAACTCACCGAAATTTCAATATCCTGATACTTTGAATTTCAAATTGGTGGAAAAAAGAAAGAAAATTACTAATCAAAATAATAATGGTAAAGATTTTGTCTGTTATATTGAGCAATATTTTTATTGGTGTTCCTGCTTTTGATATTTTGTCGTTATTTAAATAAAAATAGAATTGCTGCGTTATTTTTCTTACAAGTTGTGTTAACATTGATTAGAACATGTGAAAAGATTCGTGATATATGAATAGTGATAACTAATATCCAATCGGGATTTGGGGGGTCATGAACCCGACCCCTGTCTCCTCCTCCTGCATGTGCAACCCCTCTGGGATTTAGATATCAACAATTACTAACGGCGTTGGGGTAGTAAAGATCAAGCAAACTAGTAAAATCATCAAAATTTTGGCTCGTGTCCCTTTCTTGAAAAATAATGTAGTAAAATGCGGATCTCCCCTTTGGAATAGGATTACAATAAAGTTTGCAAATTTCTCTGTTAACAAACATCTTGAAAAAAAAAAGAGAAAAAAGATCAGTACAGAGAACAAAATAGAAACTTCATTTAAATGGGAAGAGTCATTTCAAACACTTTATACATTGAACAATAACCGCGCGCTTCTTTTTTTATAATTAATTCATGAGCTCCTTTCTTTACTGGTTCGAGCGCATCGACGATAAACATAGAAACAGACACCTTTTTTATGAAATGATATCCATTACTTAAGAGATGACAAAATAAACGTATTTTTTTTATTTGAATTAAACAAGGTACAGCACCACTAAATATTTTCCGTATTTATCTACATTACATGCTACTCTTTGTCCATAGTCTTATAAATCATGGTTAATATGGTGTGATATGCATGTATTTATGTCTGTATAAAATGATTCTTTTATAAAGCCCGTGTTTATGGCAAGCAATGTAAGTTAGTCGTGTACAGTTTATGTCGGAGTATCCCAAAGATCATAGAAAACATTTAAAACTTTCTGAAGTGGAAACAATTGTTTAAAATATTACCATATTTTCAAACCTCTTGTAATCTTAAATTAACTGTCCCCTGTTCGGAATTATAGTACTCTCAGTATTTGTCTAAATTTCAATAGTGGCGTAAATCCTACTTTAAAAAAATCACAATATTTATTTTGCACAAAGCGCCATGCTTTGTATGCGCATGCGTAGTAGTTAGCCAGGTGCTGCAAACTGTCAAAAGTCATGTAAAATCCTGCAGACATTTGTTTATATCTTGTATTCTCGGTTTGCGCCTGAAAAACTAACATTTCCTTTTCTGATTACAAGGCAAATGTGAATGAATTGCTTTATTTTTTCACAAATTAATCACTGCATTATTTCCTATGGTTGGTAACAATGGACGCCGAATTTACAAATGGCGACTGACAGTAGGACACACTGTCTGTTTTCAGCTTTAAATTGACATGTTATGTTAAGGTGACAGTGCATGTCGATATCGTATAATGCAAAAGTAATAGTTTTTATACATGCTCAGCCTTATTCAATAAGTGTGGCTAATTAATTAATGTTAAATTTCTGAAATAATGTCGACTCGCAAAAAGTCAAAAGAACAACGCATCCTTGCTAACCGATACCAGGTTGTTTCAAAACTTGGTAAGGGCAATTTTGGGACAGCGTTTCTATGTAAAGATCTTCGACATTCTAAATCACAAGATGAAGAAGCCCAATTGTAAGTATTCTTTCATTTACTGTCAAAGTTCCATACATAGCTGTTGTTTAGTACAACAAAATATTAGGTCAGTTTCAGCAGTCTATCTATCTATCACACATTAATGTCAAATCACTCACAGGGACGTAGACATGACTAGACTTCAGAGACACCTATAAGATTCAAGAGAATTTGGAAACCAGTCCCTAACTCTTATCAATTGACCCCTTGATTCTTGTACATGCCCAGTGTATAGCACTGATACATGCAAGGATTACCTGGAATTCTTACCAGTACACCTCTAGGTAGGTGGCCGGGAAGCACTGAAAACGTCTCTGAAAAATCCCAAGGGTGTTCCCATAATCGAACCCGGGACCTCAAGAGTGACAGTCATTGGTCCAACCAAGTGAGCTATCGCGCCACTCTCAGATTGTAAATGCATCAAGTATGTTGTAATTTTCCATTTTAAATATTCTTAGTCATTAGTCAAATGTTAGAGCCAAATTTTTTGTAATAAAAAATAAGGGTGACTCTTTGTGACTGAGATATCGTGACATTAAATTTCCGTCTTTATTAAAAGGAATTACACCAGCATGGCATTGAGAAACAATTGATAACTTTTGTTAATTTTTTTCAGCAAAGTAATGAAAGAGATATCAGTTGGGGATTTGCAGCCAGATGAGACTGTGGATGCTATGCACGAGGCTAGACTTCTGTCAAAGCTTGATCATCCCAGTATTGTGCAATTTCATGACAGTTTTATTGATGGAGAATATTTTTGTATTGTCACTGAATATTGTGAGGTAGATGTATACAATATTTATTTTGTTATAAGACATGCCATATACAAGACAATATGATCTTAAGTTGACTGATAGGTAGAGTTGTAATTTTATTAACCGAATATATCTTATTATTCATGATACAAAAAGAAAACTTTTTTATACTCTCTCTCTGTCTTTAAAATTTGACATATTTAGTTTACTTGGTGAATTCTGCAAACAATATTTCATTTAAATGTCCATTTGATCACATTTTCTTTGAAACGTAATTCATTTATGTGAGAAAAATAATCAAATTTCTCTTGCACTTTGATTCATTTTTGCATATTGAAATTTCATGAGATAAAAACTCTAAGAATAACAGACTAGTTTATACATATTTGTCTTTGTACACTGGTTTGATATTATGATCTGATGCATTAAAAGTTTATCACATGAATAAATGATTTTCTAATCACCTAGGGAGGAGACTTGGACATGAAAATACAAGAATATAAAAAGTTGAAGAAACAGTTCGATGAGAAGCTTGTTTTAGACTGGTTTGTTCAATTACTTCTAGCTGTACATTACATGCACAGTCGAAGAGTACTACATAGGGATCTTAAAACTAGGTATGTAACGCATATCTGTAAGACATGCGTTTTTTTCTGATTGTTTAATGACATTTTAACAGTACGTCAGTTAGATACTTGTAGACAATTATCTATCCTAGCATTTCTTAGTTGACTCTTCTGTGCCATTTGGTGGGTTATTCCCACAAGTTCTTATTCACTTCTTAATGTAAATGTTTTAAAAAACAGATGAGGTGAGTAAAGGACTTTTATTAACAAAATAAGTGCTAAACCAGCTATGAACAGGACTTTACTTTAAACCAGATCTTGTGGATCAAAGATTCATGAAATGTGTGCTTTTATTCTACAAATGTTAAAAAACTTGCTAGACAAATATTCAAGACTGCCAATTCTGAGCTTCAGGTTTGCATATTCAAGGATATTTTGCCAATTGATATAATGTGAATACTCAAAACTTACTACCAGTATTTGATTTATTGCAAAATATTTCATACATGTATAATAATGCTGAGAATTGGTACACATAACTATTGGGCTTTGATTATATTGATTTCTTTGTTTAGTGTAAGATTATCAATTTATCATTTTAAATAGAAACATATATTCTTTTAGGAACATATTTTTGAAGAAGAACAGGGTAAAGATAGGAGATTTTGGTATATCTAGAATATTAATGGGAACAACTGATCTGGCATCAACTTTTACAGGAACACCTTATTATATGAGTCCAGAGGTTCTCAAACATGAAGGGTATAATTCTAAATCAGATGTCTGGTGAGTTTCTTATCTTATATACCAACGGATCTAAGTAATACACATTTTTAGGTTGTTAAGTTTTTAGGTACATGCACTCCTGACACAGTTAAGGTTATATATAAGTGCTTTTTTGAGCTTAACTCTGGTCAGAGAAGACCACAGACACTGTTCCAGAAAGTTAAAGTGCGCTAATGTTAGCGCTTTAATGAAAAATGACTCTTATTATGTGTAAAACCATTCTTAATTTTAGATATGTGATAAAGAGAATATTATATCAGTGTAAATTTAATACTCAGTTTATTGACCTCATTGAATAAAACAATATTATGCTCGCCTAAGACTCGCATAATGTGACTTTATTCAACTTGTTCAATAAATTTAGTATTAAATCAACACTCTTTCAATATTCTCTATATATTTTATATCCTAGATCAAAGTCATTTTTTGAAACCTACAAATTAAAAGCCAAATTTTAAATCAAATGTGAACGAAATATTTGTTTTGATAAAGATTTTAATGGATGATGTTGTTTGTTATTTCAGGTCAATAGGTTGTATATTGTATGAGATGTGCTCATTGGATCACGCTTTTGATGGGAAAAGTTTGATGGCAGTTATGTATAAAATAGTTGAAGGGGAGCCGCCAGATCTACCAACCAAATATTCTAAAGATCTCAACAAAGTTTTAAAATTGTAAGTTTATAGGGAACTGTACATATTAATGCTTTTCTTTGTTTATGTTTAATAAAAGGTTTGATTTTGAGGTGTTGATTTGCTGTATAGTCAGAAGATTTATTGTCTGTAAATGTTGTTTATTTATTTGTTTTAAATAAGTGTCATTAAAAGCCCATTTATTTCCCTTGATCGACATTTTTGAGTGCTGTTCATGGTATGTATTTGATATTGACAAAACATTTGAAAACAACAAGTTTGATATAACTGATAGAACCTTAGGTCTAAGCTGAATAATTCACTACTGTTACATACAGGAAGTATAGTCAAAGTTGCTTGCAGAATACTGTAACCATATTTTTAGTGATTTAAATGCAAAAGGATTGAAAGTTACTAACTAAAACAAGTCACTAACTAAAATCATTTGTCATCAGAAGTTCTGGAATTATGGTTTATCCTGTTTCAATATATATAAGTACTTCTTTTTGTTAAGTTGAAAAATATTTATTTTAGCCTGATTGTTAAATATGTTCTTTCACCATTTTCTGATCTGGTTCCTTGAACTTACCAGTACTGGTGTAATAAAAGGGTTGGGCTGAAAACCAGGACCCCTGGGCTGAGAGGTTGACTCTTTCACTTCTTGCCTTTTGTTCAGTCTCAAACTTTTCTGATCACCTGTAGATAAACGCACTTATAATATAAACATGAGAATAGACTGGAAACATAAGACTGGATTCTTATCTTTATGTTATTTTTATTATAACAGAATGTTGAACAAAGATCCTGAGAAGAGACCTTCAGCTACAGAATTAATCAAAGTCCCTCTAATATCTGCTCACATAGCTGTAAGTATATATAATCACTCTTTTTGTGCTGTATTTGTTAAATGAATATGTGAGGTTTAAATTTATTACAGTCCAACAGTTTTAGGGAAATGTCTTTAAATAAGCAAATCAGAAGTTTGTCGGTAATTTAATAGGGTTAAAAACATGCTAATATATCTTAACTTATCTGTGTTGTTAAGGGAATCTTACTTTAAAAAAAAAGAAGAAAAATATGGCTAATTAAATTCCACAGTCAACTTAACTTACTGATATGCCATGGTAATTCTGTTAAGTGTTAAGGACGTTTTGGAAGTTTTAATATATAGGCAGAATTAAAACTGTTCAATAGACGTGTCTTTATGAAAATTTCCAAAAACGTCTTTAAAATCTGGCGCAAAACAAACGCATGTTTTTAGTTTATACTGAACTTATTTCAGTTTAATTATGTTGGAAGATATAAGGTTATAGATGCATATTCAATCCTTTTCTGGTACCAACTTGTACTGAGCAATGAGTTTAAAGTTTCTACCTTTCTAGCCTGACTTTAACAGGGTATGAACCAACTCGGCTTGCAATCCTTAGATTACTAGTCTGAGTTATTAACATCTTTTCCATGCGGCCACATAATTGTTTTTTTATGAATGTATTAAGTAGATGTATGACATTGTTGTTATTGTTGTAGAAAATGTCAGAAGAATATCAAGCTAAGCACAATAGTCAGGACAGTAACCATGCCAACAGTGATGCTGTAGAAATAGCTAAGGCTCTGTAAGTAGTTGAAATCAGGGGTTATAAATTCCAGTTTTACTCACATTGGCAACAAGACTTGATTAAACTTTGAGAATGCTAGGTCAACAGGGCTAGTATAAAATTGCAAAGTTTAAAAATGATCATTCACTTTTAAAAGATTTACATCAACCATATTGCACTTTAACAAGTATCTTTACATTCCTAAATCAGTACTGCAGAAGGACATATAGCAGTGTATAGCCTTTAGAAAAATTAGATTAACTCCTGTGTAAATTTTGATCTTTTCTGATTTAGAATTTTTTTAATTGAATCCTGTCAATGACTTTAGAATCTTTTCTGTGAGGAATTTATTTAGCATGCTTTTGAAAGGTTAGTGGTTCTACTCCTGTGCCTAGTATGCCTCTTTATAATAAGAGGAGATACAATAGACGTTGTCTTTCTCCAGTACAGCTTGATAATCATCAGAACTAATACTGTTGCAGTGTTGTTCTGACTTAATTTCCTCCAAAGGGATCTCCCCTAGCAAAACATATATATGATATACTCACAACAGTAGGTGTTAATCACTGTTTGGAAGCTGTCAACTGTTGCCCTGTGCTTCATCTCATTGTTATTATATTTCTGGTGCTATTGGATTATTAAAGCCAGTATTTTGTGTAAAGATTGAACACAGCTTACTCCACATAAGAGATACTGAACTTTCAATTATCTCTTATAAATGGAAGGAACAAATGAAAGTCTGTGAGCAATGATATATATTCAGTATATTGTATATAATAATAACACATGTATTTATTATTGTAAACAGACGTGAGAAGTCACGTTTAGATGACTTAAGGAAGTCGGAGGATGATATAAAGTTCAAGAATTTACCACCAAGGGAGAGAATGAGATTACAGAAGATGCAAAAAGCTGATAGAGAAGCCAAGAGATTAAGGTTATCTCCCTTGAATTTTATTTCCTCATTTGTACAAGTACCCTATGCATAAAGATTTACTACATATTTAGCTTAGCATTGTTGTATAGATTTGTGAACAGGTCTTATTATTAGGAATGTAATTATTTAACTTAAATATTATGCAAAATAATTTAATTTCAAGTTTGATTTCAAGATAATTGTCTATAAATATTAGATGTTAAAGCAATTTAGCTAAATTAAAAAAAAATGAGTTTATTTTGAGTCAAATTGTATAGTTAAATCAAGAGTACTATTACTTTTCAGTTATTTGTATCATTATACCCTATTTGATTGGACTAAACCCTTCTAATACTGTTTTATTTTTTCAACAAGAAAGATTTTAATAACATTATTTAGAATTATATCTTAAGATGTTTTCATAACTAGTTTTAAAGTTATATTTGACTATACAGTGCAACCATGACAGAGTGGCCCTCTGTAAACCAATAATGTCTTAACAACAGCAGTAGCAGTTCTTCCCAAAGTTAAACTTTCACGATAAATTTATATTTAAATTTGTCAGCAGCAACCAAAGATTTTGACTCCCAAAGGGAGTTGTCTTCAAAGGTTACGCTGCACATTTATACATTCAAGGTGTAGAGTATACCATATACATCTTAAAGTACATTTATATTTATATATACATGTATATTTTATACTTTGTTATTTATTTTAGTGAAGTGGCTCGAGTTCAATTGATAGAAAACCAACAACGTAGAACTGCCATTCAACAAACATTGTTTAAACCCTCAGTAAGTGAATAGATTTTATATTTCTTAATATTCCATTGGTGTTTAAATTAATTATAAAACCCTTGGATTTGCTGGCAAGGATAGAAACAGATTTATACCGCATTTACAGCTGTTCATTCTACCAAGACTTGACTGTATAAATAATATATGAGCCATGCCATGACAAAACCAGCACAATGTGTTTGCGACAATTTCCAACATGGATCCAGACCAGCTTGTGAATCCACGCAGACTGATCAGGATCCATGATGTTCGCTGATATATTCAATCTTCTATTACTCTGTATCAATTCTGCATGGTAAAGGTTATGTAGAATTAATTACAACAATAGTGGTTTAAATCTTTTCATTCCCTCATAATTGATTGAATATTTGTATGAATTTGTTCTAATTATCAAAATGATTTTATTGACAGACACGCTCGAATGGATTGAAAACTTTTTAATTATAAATTTTATACTTACCTCTCACAGCTCATAATTAAAGATCATATATTTTAACATCCTTGTTAAATATTCATCAACTTTTAAATTAACTCAATATGTATAAGGCATTCATGAAAAAATAGTAAGTATGCAGTCCACTTAAAAAGAAAAGATTAGTTCTCATAAAATTAAATGTAATTTAACGGCTAAAATACTTAACATGTAAATGCTTTGCTTTAAGTATATTTGTGGCAGCATGGCCTAGTGGTTAATCTAATGATGGCTAGCCGCATGAGTTCAAACCCCGACAGGGGCAAGTCGTTATTTCCTTGAGCAAGAAACTACATTCATTGCTAAGTACTAGTTAGTTTCAGGAACAGGTTCTAAAGTGTATCTATATGCTTATAGCTTCCTACACAATAGAACTAAATAAATTCTGTATAAACTAAAGCAGATTTTAACCTAGGTCGTGATCGAATTGTTTGCTCAAAGTACTTACTCATAACAAGACCATGAAAAGTTTATATTCGACTGAACTGTGGGATTAGATTTGTATGTCTCTCTAATGCAAATAAAGAACTGAAGCAGACGTTTAAACCAGGAAGTAAAATTATGTGTCCATTTATTTTTAGATACCAGCATGGCAGGGTGGTTCAGGAGAAGGGATAGATTTAAAATCGGCTCTCACTGTGAAAAGTGTGGGTACGAAACCTGCCAATAAGGACTTTGGTACAAGATCTGCACCAAGTAAGTTACCCGCATGTTGTGATTGTGTCCTGTAAGAATAACCTCACTGTGAGATTTGCACTTGAAGTGGTGTGATGAAATTTCCTTTAAGAAATTCTGGTGACTCAATAAAGAAGAAAATGACTCAATTAAGAAGAATTTTAAACTTTAAAGCTGCCTTTTAGATCCTGAATTTTTTTATCTTGTCTGTTTTGAGGAAAAAGTCAAGCTATTATGATTGCTACAATGTTGTTGTTGTACTTGATGTTATGCAAAAACTTTAATGTAACCCATTATTCAAACATTTTAAAAGTTATTTATCAGCATAAAACTTGGAATACTTGCTTATCATGACAAGGTGCAGTTGTTAGACAATAGGCAAAGTTCTGAAAGCAATATTTTTGGAGTTATGCCCCTTTATAACTTATAAATTTTAACAGATGAGCATTAATATCGCATGCGGTGCTCTTGTTATTTCTACAAATTTGTTCCATCTCTAAATGCAAGTCTTATATCATTTTACAATTGAAAATCATTTTGGGTTTTTAAAGGGACTTTACTGAAGTTCTGACATGATGGGACTGGAAATAATTTTTCAAGATTGATATTTAGTTTGATGTAGATCTAGACCTATAAATTGTGTGAAAATGTCAGGTCATTTGCTCACTATGTTTTTCCAGAACAATTATTCTAATTATGAAAAATGGCCCAAAATTGAATGGCATTGCGACGCTTTTCACTCAGATTGGGCTATGAATAGCACAAAAATACAAATTTTCAATTTATTTCTGAGTATATTTCTTAATTATCTTTTGCATATCTTTCTGATATAAGTACGCACATTGTTCTATGTAAAGAAATTAAATTTTATATTTAAAGCTATCGGCCCTCAGTGGAGTTCCTTTAATATCTTTGTTTTAAATTTTAGTCTAAATATTCATTTTATTGATGAAAATTTTACATCAGATAGTTAAAAAGCATAGGAACATGTTCTCATCTGTTTTCTCCCCCTAGAATAGTCTCGACTTTTTTCAGATTTTCTATTCTTGAATAACTGTTAGACAGTACTGTATTCTTTTCTACACTTAACCAGTAAAGATTAGATGTAATGAGCCATGTCATGACAAAACCAACATAATGGGTTTGCGACCAGCATTGATCCAGACCAGCCTGTGCATCCACGCAGTCTGATCAGGATCCATGCTGTTCGCTATCAGTTTCTCTACTTGTTATAGGGTTTGTAAGCGAACAGCATGGATCCTGATCAGACTGCGCGGATGCGCAGGCTGGTCTGGATCCATGATGGTCGCAAACCCAGTATGTTGGTTTTGTCATGACGCGGCTCAAATGTTGACACCAATATAAGCACCTGTCTTGACACACAATTTTCCCTATCTATAGTGGTGTTATACGATGATGATAAAAGTTCCGACGAGGACGAACAACAACAGACAATCAAATTTAACCCAATGAGGACCGCTGGCGGTCCGCCAACCGAACAATACCTGCCAAAAACCTCTGCCACGTCTCCAGATGAAAGAGCAATTACTCCGTTAAAAGATAAAATGGTTTATGATAAAGTGTTTTCCTCTCTTGATTTTAAAGATGGTGAGTTCTTTATATGTACAAGTTTGTCAACATTTGTTTTTTGGCCTTTGATTATATTCGTTTCATCTAGAAACATAACTGTACATATATGAAAAAAACTCTTATCAGAAAATATTTTGATTAATTATAATCATTTGGCCATTTTATTAAAGCAGGCATGATTTTTATTTTAATTATAATTTCTTGTGTTTGTCTCAGTTAACAAATTTCAGCAAATAATTTTAGTTATGAAACATAATCTGATTTTTTCTTTCTTTTTTAAACTTTTGCACAATATTTTTCACTTCTGTGTATATCACTAACATTCCCAGCATGTTTTTTATAAAGGAAATTTTTTTAAGAGATCTTTGCATGATTTTCTCTAAACTTATCATTCTTTTAGTTCTAAAATAATAATGAAGCATTTGAAAAAAAAAGGTGACATGCATTGATTATTCATGATACCATGTGTTTGTGATATGATAATATTATGCCTTTATTGTTTGATAAATTCATGATTTTGTTAGTGAATAAGTCATATATTTATTTTTGATATTTGCATGTGGTTTTTATTAATGATTTTGTTTATTATTGATAATTTTGAGTTCTCCTTTCTAATTGGTTTTGCGACATTTTTTCATTTTAAGGTTATTTTAGAGGTATACAGTGTTTCTTTCAAATAATAGCTGCATGCTAAATATTACACTTTTAATGTAGAGCATTAAAATCATTGAAATATTATGATTTGGCTATAGATTGACTTACTTTGTATCAGTAGTTATAATGAATATAATGTCATGATACATATAAGCTTCAAATAACCTTACTTGGTTAGCAGTAGACTTGGCTTGTTCAAATATGCCTACAACAAGCTAAAATAAATATGCTTAAAGTTTACACAAAACAAAATAATTCCATGGGAAGATTGTGTACTAGTGTTAGTCCATGGGCAGATTGAGTATAAGTTCAATGGAGGATTGAATGTTAGTCTCCCTGAAGATTAAGTGCTAGCCCATGGAAAGGTCAAGTGTTAGTACAATTATTTGAAGTTTGAGTGTTAGTCCATGGTAAGATTGGCTGTTAGTTCATTGAAAAATTAGTGTTAGGTCATGGAAAGATTGAGTGTTAGTCCATGGGAAGTTTGGTGTGTTAGTCCCTGGTAAGATTGGCTGTTAGTTCATGGAAAAATTAGTGTTAGGCCATGGAAAGATTGAGTGTTAGTCCATGGGAAGTTTGGTGTGTTAGTCAATGGTAAGATTGAGTGTTAGTTCATGGAAAAATTATTGTAGGCCATGGAAAGATTGAGTGTTAGTCCATGGGAAGTTTGGTGTGTTAGTCAATGGTAAGATTGAGTGTTAGTTCATGGAAAAATTATTGTAGGTCATGGAAAGATTGAGTGTTAGTCCATGGGAAGTTTGAGTGTTAGTCCATGGTAAGATGGCTGTTAGTTCATGGAAAAATTAGTGTAGTCCATGGAAAGATTTAGTGTTAGTCCATGGGAAGTTTGGTGTGTTAGTCAATGGTAAGATTGAGTGTTAGTTCATGGAAAAATTATTGTAGGCCATGGAAAGATTGAGTGTTAGTCCATGGAAGTTTGGTGTGTTAGTCAATGGTAAGATTGGCTGTTAGTTCATGGAAAAATTAGTGTAGGCCATGGAAAGATTGAGTGTTAGTCCATGGGAAGTTTGGTGTGTTAATCAATGGTAAGATTGGCTGTTTGTTCATGGGAAAAATTAGTGTAGGCCATGGAAAGATTGAGTGTTAGTCCATGGGAAGTTTGGTGTGTTAGGCAATGGTAAGATGGCTGTTAGTTCATGGAAAAAATAGTGTAGGCCATGGAAAGATTGAGTGTTAGTCCATGGGAAGTTTGGTGTGTTAGTCAATGGAAAGATTGGCTGTTAGTTCATGGAAAATAAATAGTGTTAGGCCATGGAAAGATTGAGTGTTAGTCCATGGGAAGTTTGGTGTGTTAGTCAATGGAAAGATTGATTATAAGTCCAAGGGAAGATTGAGTGTTACTCTGCGGGAAGAGTGAGTGTTAGTCCATGGGAAGTTTAAGTGTAAGACTTAAATGTTTTGAATATTTAGTTTAAGTCAGTGGGATGATTCAGTGTTAGCACAGAAGTTTGGATTTTTGCCTCCAGACAGCAGCTCATGTTTTACTATCAACTTAATTGAAAGAGAATAATATATATTTCACCCCTTTTCTGCTATTGACTTAAGCTCCACTTTAATAAAAGAAAGACCCCAAAATATTTTTACAAATTATTTTTAATTAAAAACTTACTTTTTGTAGAGAATTAGTTCTGACAATTTAAATAATAGTTCACCATTCAGAGGTTTCCATTTTGCAAAAACCTGTATCCATTTTCAAAACAATGGAAAAAATATTGTATATTTTGGAAAAGCACTTGTAAATTAATTGCATGCCAGTATATGCCTGATATACTGTTACAAATAGGCACGTTTAGCGCGGAGGAAGGTAGTCTAGTACTGGTGTAACTCTCCAGGAACGATGGTTAGGAAACTACCCGCCTATATGACTGAAATACTGTTGAAAAGGCGTAAAATGAAACAAACAAACAAAACAAATAGGCACTAATATAGATCACTCTTGTATGTGGCTTATATATACATGATTATATAATAGTCTTGTATTTGGTTTATTTTGCCTGGCTTGCTGTATAAATCTTACACAAAATAAAACCATATAAATCTTATAGAGATAATGTTTTACATCTGCTTGTTAATCATGATATTTAGATATAATAAGTTGTTAACAGTGTAATGTACATGTGTTCTGTAATCAGCATGGTGTAACAAAGTGCATGACATCTAGGTTTCTTGTTAAGAAAACTTCTAATTTGATCAATTTGTCTGAGTTTATGAAAAATTGTAAAAGCAAGCTGAAGTTTCTCCCTTATATATAATTTTATATTAGAACTTAAATATCTATATCAAATATGAGCTAATTCACAATGATAGATATACTAACTAATAGAAGAAGAATTTTTTATTTGCAAATAAACTCTTAAAAGGGTCATATACAAGCTTTCATAATATATACAATTTGCAGACTTTTTTGCAGACACAAGTGGTATATAACTTCTTGCTACATACAAGTTTTAATCATATTAACAAAATGTGTCAGACCGAACAAAAACCCTTATAGATAATTCAATTTTCTTATTATTATCCCCCGCCGATGGAATCGGGAGGGGGATATAGTTTTGGCGTTGTCCGTCCGTCCTTCCGTCCTTCCGTCCGTCCGTCCGTCCGTCCGTCCATCCGTCCGTCCGAATTTCGTTTCCGGAGTAGTTCTCTGCAACTAATGGCTGGAATTCAACGAAACTTTATGGGAATGTTGATCAGCATGTGCAGTTGTGCACCTGGGTATTTTCGTCTGGATATTTTTAGTATTTTTAGAGTTATTGCCCTGGACTTAGTAAAATTTTGTAATTTTCAACTTGTGTCGCATGTAACTCAAAAAGTATTTGACATAGAGTCATGAAACTTTACAGGAATGTTGATCAGTATGTGTAGTTGTGCACCTGGGTATTTTCGTCAGGATATTTTTTAGTATTTTTAGAGTTATTGCCCTTGACTCAGTAAAATTTTTGTCCGAATTTTCGTTTCCGGAGTAGTTCTCTGCAACTAATGGCTGGAATTCAACGAAACTTTATGGGAATGTTGATCAGCATGTGAAGTTGTGCACCTGGGTATTTTCGTCTGGATATTTTAGTATTTTTAGAGTTATTGCCCTTGACTTAGTAAATTTTGTAATTTTCAACTTGTGTCGCATGTAACTCAAAAGTATTTGACCTAGAGTCATGAAACTTACAGGAATGTTGATCAGTATGTGTAGTTGTGCACCTGGGTATTTTCGTCTGGATATTTTTAGTATTTTTAGAGTTATTGCCCTGGACTTAGTAAAATTTTGTAATTTTTCAACTTGTGTCGCATGTAACTCAAAAAGTATTTGAAATAGAGTCATGAAACTTTACAGGAATGTTGATCAGTATGTGTAGTTGTGCACCTGGGTATTTTCGTCAGGATATTTTTAGTATTTTTAGAGTTATTGCCCTTGACTCAGTAAAATTTTGTCCGAATTTCGTTTCCGGAGTAGTTCTCTGCAACTAATGGCTGGAATTCAACGAAACTTTATGGGAATGTTGATCAGCATGTTGAAGTTGGTGCACCTGGGTATTTTCGTCTGGATATTTTTTAGTATTTTTAGAGTTATTGCCCTTGACTTAGTAAAATTTTATAATTTTCAAACTTTTGTCGCATGTAACTCAAAAAGTATTTGACCTAGAGTCATGAAACTTTACAGGAATGTTGATCAGTATGTGTAGTTGTGCACCTGGGTATTTTCGTCTGGATATTTTAGTATTTTTAGAGTTATTGCCCTTGACTTAGTAAAATTTTGTAATTTTCAATCACAATCATCAGTCACACACGGGGCCAGAAAAGGAGTTTCAAAAATGCAAAATTAAAAAAATCTTGTCTGACAGTACAAGGCCTAGAGCTTTGATATTTGGTATATGATATAACATATAGGTCCTCTGCCAAAATTGTTAAAAGTTTTAGCCCTTGGGTCAAAATTGGCCCCACTTCCAGGGGGTCATAGATTTTCCTTATATGCATATAGTGAAAACTTAAAAACTCTTCTTGTTTGAAGGTACAAGGCTTCAAGTTCAAAGAATTTTACAGTTTATGCCATGATTAATATATAAATAAAGCCTTATGTCTTCAGTTGTTGTGTTAATAATAACCAGTACTCGGCGGGGGATATAAATTCAACGAATTTGCTTGTTTATACTGTTAAGATAATGTGTATTATTTTGTATTTATGAACATTTAATTTGTTTTGTTCAGGTATTCCCGAGTCACCAGCTCTTGCCAACACATACTACTCTCAGTTTGAAGATGATTTTACACCATCAGATGATGATGATGATGATGAGAATGCTGTAACCGTGGTTGCTAAGAAAGGCGTGGCTGGCAGTGGTACTGACGACGATGATGATATACAGTTTGGTTCAGGCACGCTCACACGTAAAGATGACGACGATGAGTTCTATAATCATCTACAATATGTTCTAGACAAAGATAATGATGCTGGTAAGGGTCAAGGTCTCTTAAGGTCAAGTTTTATAAGATAAGATCAATAAAGCCAGTAAGGGTAAAGGTCACTTAAGGTCAAGTTTTATTATATGTTCTAGACAAGGATAACAATGCAGTAAGTGTCAAGGTCAAGTTTTATAATCACAATAAATTGCAAGGTCATTGATTCCAGTAAGGGTTAAGGTCACTACAAGTTTTATAAAATGTTCTAGGTAAGGTCAATGCTGCCGTAAAATTTAAAGGTCACTAAAGGTCAAATTTTATCATTTAATATTAAGATAAACTCTGCCATTAAGCAGGTATCATAAAAGCCATTAAAGTTTAAGTTTGATAATCTGTATGTTCTGAACAAGGTCAGCAATGCCTGTAAGTGTAAAGGTCAGGCTTTGTAATCACAATATGTTACAGAAAAGGTTATTGGTGCAGGAAACAGTCATGATCACCATAAGTTATAAAAAAAATAACAATGCAGTAACTAAAACCTTGTTCTTTTTGTCTTCCTTGTAGGGGGTTATAAATATAAAAAGAAACCAGATTCAACACCAGATTAATATGGACAATATTTTAACTACCAGTTTTAAACCCATCTGGTTCTTGTAAAATTGTAAAAGTTATTTCTCTTCTGAGGCATAATTTGCCTTTAAGTATAAGGTGCCACAAAGATACAAACATAAATTCAGACTGAGTTTTAATTCAAAATTTTGAAATTACTATTTCATTTAAGAAATTACTATTTGATTACACTTCTTGTTGATTTCCATGGTGCGGTAATTTAATCTGCAATTTGAAACTTGTATATATATATATGGATAAAGGATAACAAAATCGACTTTTCTTACTATTACAGAAGGTACATTAACTCTTGCTGATGATGTTGAGGCCGGTGCTTTTGGACCTGTTGCTAGAGAATCTAAAATTAAAAATCTCAGGGCGTATCCTTTATTGATCATTGACTAAATCTCAATTCTGGCTTTTTTTTCTTGATAAGAAATACAAATATAAGAGGAAAATAATGATAATAATGTCACCTTAGTGAAGTAAAGGGTTTAGTCCTTCTAAACTTTATAGGAGTTAACCATTTTTCTCACTAAGGTTACAATATGTTGCTTAGCAAAGAAAGGAGACAGTAAGACTAAGAATAACTGGCTTCCTAGCACTTTGACCTGACAGAGGCATTTCTTTCTTGTAAGAAAGCTATCCAACTAGCTTACAAAGAGAAGTTGGTTTTGGTTCTACTCCAGTGTCCACATGTGCCAGAAAAAATGCATGGAGCGTACATCAACTCTTGCTGGAAAGTATCCATATGACTCACAGTGTCGGAATGATTTTAACACAAACAATAAAGCTATTTCTGTAGGTTTACTCTTAACCAGTGGCACTAAAAAAAATTAGGTTATGCCACCAGGAAAAAGCCAGGTCTTTGTAGCCTAATTTTCTTATTTTGGCATTGAAATCCCTTTAACTTCAGTCTTACCGTTCTAAAATAAAGCAGGGCTCATTTGATACATGTCCACAAATTAAGCCTGTTAAAAGGTTAAAGTATAATAGTTTTCTTTCCTTAACCATGTTTACAGTGAATGTGAAAAAATGTTAGGTGCAGAAGCTTTCAGTAAAGCGTATGATTATTTAAAGACTGCGAGGTACGAGCGAGCTAACGAGGCTACAGAAGAGGACATTATGCAGGGACTTCGAGACTTTGTAAAAAATCCCAGTGACTGTTTCTTAGTGGACCAATTGTTATTTTTAGAAGAACAACACGGAACTGCATCTTTATAGTGGGACGTGAAGTGGGTATATTTGAAACTGATGTTAAGCGCATTTTGTATGGAGATAATAATTATAAATGAATGTGTGCTGAAAATTCAGCATGTAAAATTTAAGTTTGAAATGCTCCCCCACTTTCATATTATTGAAAAAATGGTGCATTGAAATGCTCCCAAAATTGGATTATATTGAAGAATGGTGCATGGACAGTTTCCAAACAGTTCCTTCAACATGAGATTTAGAGGAGAAAATTATTGTGTCAACATTGTAGCTAGAAAAGTTTGTTTTGTAGTAGTTACATGTACTTTGGGGGCTTTGAGTCCCCTACCTTCCATGATCACCGATTATTCATTTTCTAGAAATATCTAGAAATGTTACGTAATTCTGGTTAGTGCCGGTACTATTTTCCCATTCCGTCCATAACATTTCTTTATTTTGTCGAATGAATGAAATTAGATGTACGTGATAGATTAGATGAACATCACCATAAATTCATCAAAAGAATGTACCATATGTAAAGGATAATTACTAACATAATATTCAGTATTGTTGCATTGTAAAATTTCTAATTTGACATCCTCATAAATAACTTGTCAATCAAAATTTAACTCCCACCTCAATTATACTTAATTTGAAAATATAATAACTTCAATATGTGTGTATTATAGCTTTACAAAAGTGGTTAGAATCCTAGCAGATTTATTTTTTGCTACTACATGTATTTCATGCAACCTAAAAATGAAATTGGGATAACATAGCTTTTGGATCATTTTAACATGCTCCTTCTAGAACAGAGCAGAATTTGTCAAGTAGATATTTTCAGTTCATTTAAGCACCCAGCAATTGTTTAATAAGTTTTTAAATTGCTATATATTGATTTGCTATTGAGAAATAAATCATATAAATCATAAAATAAACTGGTATGATAAGATGTTTCACTAGAATATGACAAGTTACAAACTTGATATAATTTCATTTATGGACAGTAATGTGCCTTACATAGTATGATCATGTAGTTACAGTGTAGATTTGTTCGGGTAATAAGATAATCAAAGATGTAAACAAAATAAAATTTTGGATTATCTTGTATCGATTAATTTGTTATACTGCTGAAAATTTGCCATTGAATGGTTGACGAAAACAATTTTTGTAATAACATGTATACATTTTTACACTATAATAATTAGGTTTTTATCTCTGAACATTTGATGCTCTAACTTCTCTATGGTAAATATATTTAATAAATCAGTTGGGCATTTGAGTAATCAAGTTAGGCTTGGGATGCAAGAGTCATTTAAGCTATATTTGAAAACAAAATGATTGATTTATTTTAAGCTGCATGGACAGTATCATACATTTAAAAAAACCTACAGTAGAACCTCACTAATAAGACAGCTCCAGGTTTTTAAGAAGAATGGACTTTATACAGTTAATTACTTTACTGTTTTATATCCTTACCTTTTCATTATGTTACTAATATCAGATAGTTGTATCTAATAGTATAAAATCAGTATTTGCAGTTTGTTGCAGGTGAATTATAAAGGCCAGTTTGACATTATTGACTAGTTTTAAATCATAAAATCTAATGCTATAATTATTAATTTATTATTCATAGGAACTAAATATACGCTTTCAGAAATGTAACAAGCTTTTAGATGTAGTCATCCTGTCTATGAGATATATGTATTTTTAATTGCCATCTGAAACCTCAATTGGCAGCTGCACTAGAAAGCTGTAAGTAATTTTATTTTTTGCATAACCCTAACCCTATTACAATGGGTGCAGAAATTACTGTACTCCAGAAAAAATAACTATATTTATAAAAAATAAGGATATGAGGTATGATATTGAAAATTGTTGAGTACAATACTGAATTCTATTGGACAAGGACACAGCTGTCAAACCTGTATTGGATAAGGAGCTAGCTGAGTCTGATATAGGTTTTGCAGCTGCGTTCAAGTCCAATAGAAACAGTTTTGTTCCCAACCATGATTAATGACCTTTATTTCACACAACTATTTTTGGACATTTTGACAGATCTTTGTTACATCAAGTACAATAACCTATTTGATATTGATTTGTTGGACTCTGAAAATGAAAACAAGGCTAAATTAATAAGATTGGATCAAACAATGATTTCTATTGAAACATCATGTGATGCAAATGCTGAATGTTCATTAGTTATATTGTATCAGGTGTGAAATAATAGTCTTCAGTGTCTATTCTAGGATTCGAAAAATAGGGATGATTTTTTTGAAAAGTGAGAATTTATTACATTTGATGATCTTTTCTTTCTTTTTCTATGTAAAATTTTCCCCCTGCCTCTGAAAATAATAGGGGGAAATTCTCAAAAATATGAGTGAAACCCCACATCCCCCAGCCTAGAATAGACACTGGTCTTATTCTTCAACATATAATGTGTAAAGAACTTTTGTTTGAGATATTGGCTTGCAAAGTTTCATTTGAAAAGCTTGTTGGTAATTTTAGTTAAGGGTAGCATAGGGATCAAAGCTCATTCCCTGTCCTCTAAGGTCTATTATATAAGAGTTAGTTAGTAAAATAGTATGTAATTTTACTGCATAAAGAAACATATAAACAGAAAATGTAGGGTACACAAAGGGTATTTAAACAAACAAACAAAATATTTTGCGATTATTATTGTTACTTTTTATAATGTGTTATTTTGATTCACATAGTTTAATGTAGTACATGTTTTTGATAGGAGCTTTTATCAAGCTTGTTACAGAGGCACAGAAAAAACTAAATGTTTTAATTAGTTTAAACTATCACATACTTTAATACATTTTCAGCAAAGCTGAAGTGATAGTGTTTAGCTCTTGTGAGTTATTTAGTCAGGTACTTTTATATATATTTAATCATGTATTGATGATAAAAACATTCGAAACAGATTCTCTGATACATTCCATTTATTATTATTTTTGTTTCATAACAACAAAATACAAATAAATAAACAAGTAAGTTCAATATACATGTACCAGTATTGTAAATTGTAGATATAAATCCAAGTTGTCACTGTTAATTATTTCCATGACTTCCTCATCATCTTACAAACATAGTTAAGTTTTGTAAATTTGCTCTGACCTTCAGGTCTCATCCAATAATGAAGGAGTCAGGTATAGTGGTCTATAATTTAAAACTCTGTTTATGCAATGTTATATTAATGTTAAGTTATGTAATGTTAAGTGTATAAATTAAAACATGTAAAGCTATTCTGATATATGCTATTACTTTTGTAATTTTGAAAAAAAATGATCAAGGATACAAAATTAATGTTATCATAAATTATTCTATGCAAAAAAGCCCTTGGGTTAAAATTGGCCCTGCCAGGGGGGGGTCATTGATTTTCCTTTTATATGTGTATAGTAAAAACTTAAAAAATCTTCTTTTAAGAAACCTAAAGAGCTAGAGTTTAGATACTAATCATGAAACACCATTGAGTGAGTGTCTACCAAGTTTGTTCAGTAAAAACCCTGGGGTAAAAATTGGACCCGCCAGGGGGGAGGGGGTCATTGTTTGTCATTATATCTGTGTAGTAAAAACTTAACATCTTTTAAAAAAACTCAAAGACCTAGAGCTTAGATATTTAGCATGAAACATCTTCTAATGGGTGTCTACCAAGTTTTTTAAATAAAAGCCCTGGGGTTTAAACTGGCCGCTCCGGGGGGCTTATGTACAGGTGAGCGATTTCAGGGCCATCATGGCCCTATTGTTTAATTGACCAATGGCAGATTATCTTTTATATTCTTGGTTATTGTTTATCTCATATGTTGGAATGATTGCCAATGATTTATTTTAATGCTTGCTGCTAACTTAATGCTGTGATATAAAATAATTTGTGCTACTTATCATTTAACATGTGTATAGATCCACAGTGAGAATATAGCGATTTAGAAGTGATTACATATATAGGTAGAAGATGAGAATCTAACTGTTCTAGAGAGATTTGAGTGTGAAACAGGTAACTGAAGAAAAAACATATTTGAGTGATGACAGATATAGACAATTGAAAATAATTGAGCCATATTTTTTGTTTTGCTCATTTATGTTGTCTTTCATTTTTAATAAATTTAGTTTTTTTTTCTGTTTAATTCTTAGTTTAGTTGTTGAAAGATTTAATCAAGAAGCAGCTTTGGTATTATAGTGATGTTTTTCTGATGTATTTCTACAAGAATGAATTGTCTTAAATGTTTGTGTATAATTGTCTGGAACTAAGCATATTTCCTGTTTGTATATTGCAAGGTACCTGCAATTATTGTATACCATACTTATTCTAACAAACCAATTTCTTGGGTGGGCTTCTTTACTTAACGTTACTGTTCAGATCTATTTCAGCGTTTGTTTTTTCCAAACATACAAAAGTCCTGTTTCTGTATGATGTAGTGGTGCCATGGTAAACCTATGATAAAGATTAAAGACATGAAAAAAAATTTAAATGAGAAAGTTATAATGTTGTTTCTGATTTCATAATGAGTTCTGTGATTCATGTATTCATTGACATTTGAAATAATAAATTTAGGCTTTAAAATGTCTTTAAACCCTTTACTTGCTGGAAATGAAATTGACATTTTCCTGAACTCAGTAAATGTGGGTTTCTCCCAGCAAATGGGTAGGTATGAACAAACTCTTCTGTTTTAGCTTCACGGTGCACTATCCGTGATGTTTCAATAGATTAGTCAACCTGTTTCACTTATTTTAGAATATGTAACTGTAAGAAGTTGTTTGTACCTATGGATTAGCTGGTATAAACCCCAAATATTCTTCATTCCTGAGTTAGTCTATTGATTTGCCCTTACCACCAGTGTAGAGCCAGACCAGCTTCTATATGCATGCAGTCCAACCAGGCTATATACTAATGGTGGTACATGTAGCTGAAATGTTGTATTTTGATACTGAAATCCCTTTAACGCTGAATGGACTGTTCCATATTTAAATCAGGACAACTGTATGTATGCAGGACAAGTCTATTTCATAAAGTCAGCAGGTTAAAGCAGCATGCCCTCCAGATTCTTGCAAATTGTCAAATTTTGAAAACGTTTTTAAATGTAAAATATTGAGAACAAAGAAAATAATTTACAAATTGCAATCAGCACTTCTATTCACACAAATTACCAAGAAGGAGGTCAAAATATGCCTTAAAAAACCTTACTGCATTTGACATGTATGATGATAAATACTGCAAAATCAGCCTTTAAGCATGTGTAACATGTATTGGTTATTTCTTTTGCTTTTCTTAAAATCTTAGTTCTTTTTTTCTCAAGTTTGAATTTCTTGAAACATTTTTGGCTCATGCAGAGGCACACAGCTTTAAAGGTTGATTGAAGTTTTGGCTAGTTGCTGGTAGTTATTTAAAGTGCATTCCAGATATAAAAAAAACTTGGTACTTTCCATCTGTGCATATATTTATCAAACAAAGGTCAGCGAAAACTGGAGGCAATTTAAATTTGTTAAATTTCAATGCTAGATATTAAATAAATACTGATGACTATTAGCTCTTTACAATACTGTTTAATTTGTATTTTTCACATTTTTATCATTATTTTATTTGTGTGATACAAGAAGATTGTTTTATTTTATGTTTGTTTAAATTATATTTCTTTCAAGATAACATTCCTCTGCATTTTATCATTTTAATACAAGACATGTCATTATTGATTATTTATCATGCAATAAACTTGACAAAGAAAATGTGTGTTTTACTTATTACTTATCTATAATTATAGTTTTGGTTCAAACTAACCTGTATAAGGTTTTGTGGTACTTAATCTGTTTTGTAAGGAACTATATTACCTTGTGTCTAGCTGTATGGTACTTATTAGTCTATACAAGGTTGAATTATGTTAAATAAAATTTTGATCAGGTTGTATAGTACCTAAACAGTTTAAGGGTTTTTATGTCCCCACAAAGTGGGGTGCATATAGCGTTGCACTTGTCCGTCTGTCCGTCCGTACGTCTGTCCGAGCAAACATTTTGGGTTTAGGGGCTATGTAACAGTAAAGAGAACAAAAGAGAACAATAGGTTCATTCCGTGATCAAAGGGTTTAATGGCTAGTAGCCCTTAAGAAAACAAAGAAAATAACAAAGAAAATATCCCCTAAACCCAAAATGTTGGAACGTCCGTCCGTACGTCCCGAAATCTTGTAAACGCAACTCCTCTTAAACCGGATGGCAGATTTTGCTTAAACTTCCAGGGATGAACAACCTTGAAGTGTAGATGGTAGTCAAGGAAGGATTTTTGCTGCGACCAAATTTAACAGAATTATGGCCCTTTGTTGATTTTTTCACTATATACCATATATATGTTGTCAGTGGGGGCATCCGTGTACTTTGGACACAGTTCTAGGTTTATTCTAGTAATTCCTTGAAGTCTTCAAATGTGTTCTTTATTCTGAACCACAAAGGATTTTGTTAGGGCTTTGTCCTTCAGCGCATCCTCTACGGAAGCACAGTCAGGAAATCTTAATATAATTTGTTTTTAGCTCGACTATTAGCAAAATAATCGAGCTAATGCAGTCACCCATGTGTCGGCGTCCCTGTGGTTAAGATTTTGTGTGTAAGCTGGTATCTCCATAACTACTGAAGGGAATGGATTGAAAATTCATACACTTTTTCTCTGTGATTATCTAACATAATTGACAAGTCCCATAACTCTGGTTTGCCTTTTACATAATTATGGCCCTATTTACTTAGAAATTATTGGTTAAGTTTTTGCGTGTTAGCTGGTATCTCCATAACTACTGAAGGGAATGGATTAAAACTTCACACACTTGTTCTCTGTGATTATCTAAGATGATTGGCACAAATCCCATAACTCTGATTTGCTTTTTTCATATTTATGCCCCTTTTTCGACTTACAAATTCTTGGTTAAGTTTTTGTGTGTAAGCTGGTATCTCCATAACTACTGAAGGGTTTGTGTCTTTTTTGTGTGACCATTTTATGCATTCATGATAATTAAGCAGTGATTTTCTCGATAAAACATCTTAATAACAAGCCTTTGTACCTTTTCGGACAATTTTATGTATTCATATAGGTATTAGGTAAGCATTATTATACTCAATGAAACACACTTTTGACAACTTTTTCGAATAGTCGAGCGTCGCTGTCCTTCGACAGCTCTTAATTTTGTTTACAAGTTTCCAGGACAAAGTTGTCCTGTGTATTGCTTCAGATATGCCCCATTATTTTAGTTTTAAAGTGTCATTTTCTCTGAGTTACTTTAGTTCGTTCTCTCACGGATTTACATTACATGTAATATAAATCCGTGGTTCTCTGGCATGAAATTTCGCGCAAACGGCATTAATAAATTTAGTTTACATGGCTTGGAAATGACGTATTTCTGAATCAAAAATGTAATTAACTATATATTAACCTTGTTTTCAAGTTGCTGAGTTCGTGAAAACAAATTACAATGTACATGTATTAAGAAAGCCACTATCATTGTACGAAATTACCTCACATTTTACAAATTTAAATTCAATGAGATTTTTACTGATATTACTAACCGAAAAAAATGTTGATCTATGATCAATCCGGGAAGCAGAACAAACTGTTTGTTTTGAAATCGTAGACCTTGAATCTAGAATAGAATACATAAATTTCATCCGTCCATTAATTTAGCCTAACTTTATAAGTGAGAAATGTGTAAATTCCTATCCTCGCCATCCATGTTTAAAATGTTCAGAGATACTATACAATGTATATACATTTGAATAGAATGCTATATAGATATTTAAATTATATATAACTTCCAGCTTTTCTTCCGGAGAAATAGGGCCTACTGTACCGTCTGTGCATTATTTTAGGCAATCTTGAGCGCCATTCTGTATCATATTGATAAGGAGAATGTCGAACATTTCTCTTTTAACTATAAACTTTTTGGTGTTCATAAGCTCCTAACTTTTTCACTTCTGCTCGCCCATTTCACTGATTTATATATGCCCAAATTCAATGATTTTAGATTTAAACCGTTATTTTCTGTGAATTAATGTTCTGGATTATCTATAGTTCTAAATTTCGGATAGCTCTCTAAATTAATTACGGGTATTGTTGCATAGACAAGATAATGTATAATGCGATACTTGTTAAGAGGTATAGGTAGAATAACAGATATACATACATAGATCTATATTTTTATTATTTTGGTAGAATTAATTTTTCCTCTTTATATAGATCTGCCCATGAAATATGGCGGGAAAAACAGCGCGGAACAATACGTTTACATACGTCACGCACGACAGAACGAGCTGCTGTTCTCTTACCTCCCTTTGAAGGAAGGCGGCGCAGGAAAATTAGCCTGGCGTTGCAAATTTGGTGAAAATGGCACAATCCCTATTTGATTCGCTTTCAGGTATGCCTTACTACAACAGAGAAAATATTTTTGATTGACAACAATTGATTTTTTTAGGTAAAATTTTATTAGGATGACTGGCTGTTGGAACATCTCAAAAATTTGTCGGTGGAAGATCCGCCATTTTGTCTAACCCGACCGAAAAAAATATTTCGGTCCTGTAGTCTTTCGCATTATGACTTCAAACATGAGTTTTCTGGTCTTTAAAGTGAGATTATTATGTTAGAATTATTTGATATCAGTTATTATTGCATTAAGTGCACCAATATTAGCAATGGTCATTATTGACCTTTGTTTTGATGTAGGGCACTCCTGCTTGTTGGAATATCCATAACAAATGTTTAGTATCAAAGTGCCTGAAGTACGTTAAAGCAACATGAATTGTCAAAATTGGCCCCGCCCCAGGGATAACTTGATTTATATAGACTCATATGGGACAACACATTTAAATTTCATTATGTAAAACTGCAATGTACAAAGCTTAGTATTTAGCATGTAGCACCTTTACAAAATTGATACGAAATAATGAATAAATTTACCCTTGCCTGCCACCACTGGTGTCATTTGATTTATATATGAGCCGCGTCACAACAAAACCAATATAATGGGTTTGCGACCAGCATGGATCCAGACCAGTCTGCGCATCCACGCAGTCTGATCAGGATCCATGCTGTTCGCTTACAAAATAGATAAATACAGAATCCCTAAAGAAAGCCCAACACGGCAAAATTGAAAATGTTGCAGGCTCGGTTTGATTGAGCCTGTTCATGAACGGTACTGGAATGTGCAAGTTACCGTCCACGCCCCCTAGCACCGGCTTAAGCAGAATTCAACATTTAAACATGAAATAGTAAAATTTTGAATTTAGAAACATCCGAACCCTATAACAACAGTCTGCCGAAACAGACATTCGGTCTGACAAACCATAAAAATCTGTTGGACCGAAACGAAATCTGTCAGACCAAATAAAATAAATCAAAACCTATCGAAAACTTGTGTTTTTATTTTAAGACACTTTTAGGTTTTTTATTTTTTCACCGTAAAAATCGGCACAGTCCGTACAGCTCATTTTCATCTCCTTGTCATACACCAACGATTCACGGTCCTGCTTCCATTTTACATTAAATTTTGTCTTGGATCTATTATTTTCATCCTTTAACTGCTGTACTGCACGCTCCGCTGACGTAGATTTTCATGTTTGTCCACGTTTGGCACCTTTAGCGACGCCATTTTGTATACATGCGACTTGGATAAAAGCCGGACAGTCGCGTCTGGAATAAAAAATTGTCGGACCTAATCAAAATTTATCGGACATGTCCGTCGACCGACTTATTTCGGGAAGTCTGTAACAAGTAGAGAAACTGATAGTGAACAGCATGGATCCTGATCAGACTGCGCGGATGCGCAGGCTGGTCTGGATCAGTGCTGGTCGCAAACCCATTATGTTGGTTTTGTCGTGACCCGGCTCATATAGATTTTTATCACATACCCATGCCGATTTTGCGACACCGTAAAATGGTATTGCACAGCCATGCATATATTTTGACGTGAGGTCATTTGCCTGCAATTTTGCGTTTTATAAGGTTAAGACATGCTAAATGTTAGCGTTATTCTGTAGGCGTGTCAATGAAAAATGGTTCTTTTTTCACATCAAACGGTCTTTATTTTTGGTATGTGATGAATAGAATATTAAAACTAGGTCCAAAATTGACCTAGTCCCCAGGGTCACTTGATTAATACAGTTTTGTATAGGATAACACATTTAGTCTTATTGTGTGAAACAACAAATCCCATAGCTTAGATAATTGGTAATAACCGCATGTAGCATCATTTGTTATATTTCTATAAATGTTATATTAATAATGACCCTGAGGTCAAAATTGTTCCTGCCATGGAAGTCACTTACCTTTTGTAGACTAGTTATACCCCATGTTAATAGTTTGACAAAAAGTACATTTTTTTACCAAGGTATTAGGGATTGGTACATGCTCCCACTTGATATTAAAAAGGAAAGTAACTTTTTTAACTTTAAAAAGAAAGTAAAAGCAGAACTAAGCGAAAACATGAGACAACTTGAACAAGCTGCTTAAAATATTTTTTGTTAATTTTAAAGATAATTGTTTTAATCAGTATAATATGTTTTATAAAAATGTATCTTACGGAAGCGTCCTGGTGCCAATTTAACGTGTTCTATAAAAATTAAAAACTCCTACGTAGGAGATAGAAAAGCCCTATTAGGAGCAGTAGGAGTTTAAAAGTAGGACTTTATAATCCTACGTAGAGGAATACTTACAAAGTCCTACGTAGGAGTTATAAACTCCTACAGTAGGACTTTTAAACTCCTAATTAGGTTTTTTTTTTATCTCCTACGTAGGAGTTATAAAGTCCTACGTAGGAGTTATAAAGTCCTACGTAGGAGTTATCATTTTTAGCTCACCTGTCACAAAGTGACAGGGTGAGCTTTTGTGATCGCTTTTCGTCCGTCGTCCGTCCGTCTGTCGTCCGTCCGTCCGTAAACTTTTACTTTAAATGACATCTCCTCATAAACCACTAAGCCAATTTCATCCAAACTTCACAGGAATGTTCCTTTGGTGGTCACCTTTAAAACTTGTTCAAAGAATTTAATTCCATGCAGAACTCTGGTTGCCATGGCAACCGAAAGAAAAAAACTTTAAATATCTTCTTTTAAAAATCATAAGAGCTAGAGCTTAGATATTTGGCATGAAACATCTTCTAGTGAGTGTCTACCAAGTTTGTTCAAATAAAAGCCCTGGGGTCAAAATTAGCCCCGCCCCAGGGGGTCATTGATTTTCCCTATATGCATATAGTAAAAACTTAAAAAATCTTCTTTTAAAGAACCCAAAGAGCTAGAGCTAAGATATTTAGCATGAAATATGTTCTAATGGGTGTCTACCAAGTTTGTTCAAATAAAAGCCCTGGGGTCAAAATTGGCCCCGCCCCGGGGGGTCATTGATTTTCCCTATATGCATATAGTAAAAACTTAAAAAATCTTCTTTTAAAGAACTCAAAGAGCTATGGCTAAGATATTAAGCACCTAACATGTTCTAATAGGTGTCTACCAAGTTTGTTCAAATAAAAGCCCTGGGGTCAAAATTGGCCCCGCCCCAGGGGGTCATTGATTTTCTCTATATGCACATAGTAAAAACTTAAAAAATCTTCTTTTAAAGAACCAAAAGAGTTAGAGCTAAGATATTTAGCATGGAACATGTTCTAATATGTGTCTACCAAGTATGTTTAAATAAAAGCCAAGGGGTCAAAATTGGCCCCGCCCCGGGGGTCTTTGATTTTCCCTATATGCATATAGTAAAAACTTAAAAAAATCTTCTTTTAAAGAACTCAAAGAGCTATGGCTAAGATATTTAGCATCAAACATGTTCTAATAGGTGTCTACCAAGTTTCTTCAAATAAAAGCCCTGGGGTCAAAATTGGCACCGCTCCGGGGGTCATTGATTTTCCTTATATGTGTATAACAAAAACTTAAAATCTTCTTTGAAAAAACCCAAATAGCTAGAGTTTAGATATTAAGCATGGAACATCTTCTAGTAAGTGTCTACAAAGTTTGTTCAAATAAAAGCCCTGGCCCGGCCCCAGGGGTGTCATTGTTTTTAACTATATGTGTATAGTAAAAACTTAAAAAAAATCTTCTTTTAAAAAGCCCAATGAGCTAGAGCTTAGATGTTTAGCATGAAACATCTTCTTATGGGTGTCTACCAAGTTTGTGCAAATAAAAGCCTTTGGGTTAAATTGGCCCTGCAATGTTGGGGGGTGGGGGTTGGGGGGTTTGGGCCTATATACAGGTGAGCGACCTCAGGGCCATCATGGCCCTCTTGTTTATAGAATATATGTTAAATTGGCACTAGGGCACTTCCGTGGTATCTTGTGATTGGTTTTGTGATATATATAAATAGATATCATTCATAGAATTATTCCTGCAATATGTGATATATATATGTAATTAACATAATGTGCAATAGAAATTAATATTATTTGATCTTAGAAATATAACATCAGTCCAGTATATCATCTCTAAGTATGGACCTGAATGCCAGTTCTCAAGAAAATATATTTGAGCCACGTCACGACAAAACCAACGTAATGGGTTTGCGACCAGCATGGATCCAGACCAGCCTGCGCATCCGCGCAGTCTGATCAGGATCCATGCTTTTCGCTTTCAGTTTCTCTACTTGTTATTGGGTTTGTAAGTGAACAGCATGGATCCTGATCAGACTGCGCGGATGCGCAGGCTTGTCTGGATCCATGCTGGTCGCAAACCCACTATGTTGGTTTTGTCATGACACGGCTCATTTGTTACCATCAAAGGACCCCATTGGAAGTAAGATCTCTATTTTATATTGAACTGTCATGGGTTATCCTGTGTTGTATATATTGTCTTGAAGTCAACAAGATCTTTGATTTAATTATGAATGTAAAGTTATTATTTTTCAATTTATTACTGTGTTAAAAACAATGTGATAGATATAAATTTTTGATAAATTGTCTTTATTGTTTTGTAATATGACATATTTATTTTATGCTTTTCAGTGGATTACTGATTTATCCGTGAAAATTATATTTGATTATAAATTTCACAGTGAAAATTATCAAAATATAATTTCATACTTTTCAATGTTTGAGATTTTCCCCATGTGGTACCTCAATTTTATTTTTGCTGACAATTCTGACAATGTCAGGCTGTTTAAACAAAAGCAAAGCTGAAATTGATAAATAACTTAAATGTCAAAAGTAATAAAAAGAAGAAAACTTACTTCTATTCATTCAAATTCCAATCACCAAATTTCGTCTCTAATTTTTTTTTGTTTCATTTTTACAGTCTGAAAAATACATTCCTTCCACATGCAAAACTGCTCTTGATGACATTTGGGCATATTAAAGTATCCTACGAGCAATAACTGCCGTATGCTTTATGAAAACTTGAAAAGCAATGACAGCTATCCCCGTAGAATAAGTAAACAACCCAGGGTTCCTGAGCCAGCCTTTGAAGTTTCCATTTTCCTTGTTGCTATTTGAATGATTTCACATCTGTCAACTCTTATTTTTTGTCTGTTACAATCCTCAAATAAGTTTTCTTTCTTTTGAAAAGGTGTATTACTAACCAATCCAACTGGTATCCTCTGAATCAAACACTATTATTTTCCTCCTGTGAAATACACAACTTTAAAAAATGGCTGCCGCTTACATTTAACAAAGCCAGGTCTAATATAAATTCGCAGTAAGTAACGGAAATATGGATGGATGGTTGGACTTTTTCTCCTACAAGAATTGTTTGTTTTTATTATTAAAAGAAGCGATCATTCATATTTTTTTAATAAAATGAATAATATCACAGTCATTTAACGTTGATTGTGGAACTAATTTTTCAGCTCAAGACTTCTTGTATTTAATGAGAAATTCCGACTAAATGGGGCTCTCAATGGGGAAAACAGATTTTAATATTAACGTTAATATTATGGAAACTTCGTTTTAACTTGTTTTTAAGCATAAAATAAAAAGAAAATTTGTTTGTTTGTTGTGGAAGATGTAATTTTATTTCATCGAGTGAACTTTAAAAACAGTATTCTCACTCGTGGCTACGCCACTCGTGAGAATACTGTTTTTAAAGGTCACTCGATGAAGTAGAATTTCATCTTACACATAAACAAACAAATATCCTCTATATATAACATGAAATATTGAGAATCAGTCTTTAATTATTTCAGGAAACATTGGAAATATGGAGAATCAGTCTGTTATTGTTACAGGTGACACATCAAATATTGAGAATCAGTCTGTTAATGTTTCAGGGAATATTTGACAAACATTGAACACCAGTCTATGTTTATTTTATTTTATAAATGTTAAATTATTAAGAATCAGTCTGTTATTATTTCAGGTAACATGTCAAATATTGAGAACCAGTCTGCTATACAGTCAATACTTGACAATCAGACCGTGATAGAAACACATACACCTCAAAGTAAGTCAGTTTGTAAACTAGCAAAACATTAAACATTCCTGAAGTTATTTAGTTAATTCTTTTCTTAATTTTATATTATTAACTTCATAAATTATCTATTATTAACAGATAATCATTAATAGTTTTACATTTTATATATTATATTGTTTATTTCTTTTCCTAATGATTTCTTTTAATATAATTGTTATAAATTTGTTAAACCCTTAGTTGAAGATGAGGATGTGTTTCAATGTGGTAAATGCAAGAAACAGTTCACCAACTTGAGTTTTTTTGTTGCACATAAGCAAGTACGATGTACGCCTATAGCTCCTCGCCCCACCATACAGAATACAACAGTAATACAAGGTCTAGGAAACAGTGCATTCACAGCACCTGCTCAACAACATGGTATCAGACCACAAATACCTCAGGTATAACACCATCAAATGTTTACCAAACTTTAAAAGTGTTGGTAAATATTCCAATATTAAATCAGTGTCCTTTGTTACATATTTATTTAATACAGAAACAGTATGCTTTTATAGATGATTTCACACAAGTTGAAATAATGAGGATAGCTCTTTTTAAAACAGTTTATTAGGCATTAAATTATAACCCAGTAGCTTGGTTTTAAGGTAGACCATGGGTAATGCATTACCTCCACTTTGAAGAGTATTCAAAAAGGCTAGAATCGCTTGTAAACTACATTGAAATTGAGGGGCGTGGGTTCTAACCCCAGATCAACTTTCTTCTTTCTTTCTTTCTTTCTTTTTTTCTTTTTAGCATTATTTATGTATCTCTCTGATCCCTTATGGAAGAAAAAAAATTTAATTTTAATTATATAAATATTTTAGATATTTTTTTTGCTAAATAATGCCAAAATTTATAGCAAATATGATACCAGATATTTTCGAAGTTCGATAAAATAAAAACTACACGGTAAAAGTATTTTATATTTCGCATGATCAACTAATATACCTTTAAGAAAATTTAGGCAAACTTTGAAAACAGCCCCTCATTTCGGTAAATTTTAGGGATATTTTGAATAAGGCATTTTAGATAGGGAAATGCTAAAATTAGTGTAAAAGTGGGTGGGGTAGGGAAACATTTTTATACATATTAAGAACATTTTGTTTAGAAACAAACATTTTGCTTGTGTAATGTGTTACCTGAATGTTATTATTTGTTTCTTAACAATGAGCAATAGAAAAACATTTTTTATAATGATGATATTACAGATTATTTACAATTTCCTCATTTCTGAAAATAAGCCCTTCTGGTAAAGTCTTAGTTCAGAAATATATCCATAACTCATAAACCACACGGTAAATTTTATTTAAATTTTGCATACAGGTGACCTTGAAGACATATAACTGTCCTATGTTGTCAATTTTACAGTTCCTTATGGTGCCCATTACCCATGGTCTACCTTAAAGCTAAACCCTGCAACATGTTACATATATGTGTCACCAGGCTACTTTTGGTAATGTAAATCTTTTAAATTAATATCTGGCTGGTACTTAAATATCTTCCAATTTTAAGAAATGATCTAGCTTCTTTTAAATATGATTAAACATCCGGCTTAAACCAGGGCCACATTACATACTTTCAAGAGCTGTTTATCTTGTTTTCTGATTAACAATTACAAGTAATTCATTTGTTTATATTTGCAAAATCTTATCATACTGTCTTGTCTGAATTATTATTTGCATTTTATGTTTTTCATGTACAGGTTTCATTACAGTGCTCATTAAATTGTTCAATTTTTATTACAGAATTCAAGTTCAGGTTTCAACACTGTGAATCAGACACCAAATTTGAACCAATCAACAAACAGTATGGTGTTGACAGATGATCAGATGTTAACATTTAGTGATATCACTCAGACTGTACAGAATGGCATTATACAGGGATCTACACTACATCTGGTAAATATATAGCCATTATAGGCATTGTATTTCTAACTTTACAGCCAATATTGAATCCAGTGATTTTTCACTCTTATTTGGTCAGAGGCCTTAGCCTCTTGATTTTGGGAAAAGTTACTGCAAGAATTGCTAATTTGTGGAGTATAAAAGCTGGTGTAAGTTCAGATCTGTGGGAAAACTGCATGATTTTAAGGAAAATTTCAATTGGGAAGAGGCCCTTTTATAGGTCTCTGTTATATAAGGTGAAAAATCTCTGGAATCATATTTACAATTATTGATATACACGTACCTTTTTCTCACATACAGAGATCCACCCTCTATTTGGTTAATATATTGGTGTTTTTGCAAGATTTCTTAACCAATTTTCGGTCATATTCCCAATTAAAATAGTATATTTTTTCCACTTCTTTGACAAAAACTCCTTTAAACTAAAAGGTTATGCGAAAAATGGTTATTATTTTGAATGTGAGAGCTGTCTTCATCCTCAGATATGGACAATGTTTTCATTGTAAGAAAATGTAAAATTCCCAATTTTGAGCCTGTAACTGCTTAAATTCTCAATTTTGAACTTAATTATGCTGAAAATCCTGGTTAATAGGGTATTGGTCATGTTCCCAAACTGCATGAATAATTATGGGATGTTTATCAAAGGTTCTCAAAGACTGGTTTGGTTTATGTATAATTAATTAAAGTTTTATTTTGTTATTGTTACACACAGGGACCAGGAAATACTGTACAGACAAATGGCTCATTCCTGTCCCCAGTGACCCAGCTAGCACCGCGGGCTTCAAACAATGTCACCATCTTGAGTGCTATACAACCAACCACCTCCTTGTCAGCGTCCAACGGGTCGGCCTTCACCAGCACAGCCTCTGTCAACAATCTGCAGCCTCTAGTACCTCAACAACAACAACAGTTACAACAACAACAACAGTTTCAACAACAACAATTACAACAACAACAACAATTACAACCTGTGTACTCAATAACAGCTCTACCAGAGAAACCACAAAATATGCACATTATTAAACCTAGTCCGACCAAAGCTGGTGAGTTTCTATCTTTAAAGTAAAAGATATTTACTACATACATGTAGTATCAGGTATTTATCCCTCTTATTCTTGTCCTATCTAAATATAACATACAAAAAACATAAAAAAATGGCAAAAATTACCATGTGACAGGTCAAAATTTACCTAACACTAGAACATATTAATGTCCTGTTATATCGTTGTATATGAAGACCAAAAGTGTCAAAATAAAATACCACCATATGTCATGCTAGTTTTAAAACATCTTCACTCAGTGTATTTACAAAGGTTAATTAGCTTGTAATAATTTATAAATATTTTCATCATAGCTTTGAGATTTAAAGAAAATTTGGGTTGAAATTTTGTTGAAAATAAAGCTACATCATCTGATAAAATATTATACTGAAGCCTATGTTTTTATGTTTGTATAAAAAATATTAACATTTTGTCACAGCAAGAAAATCTGCACAAGCATCAGCATTGAATGGTGGCGAGACAGACCACTCTGGTTACACTGATGACGGCAAGAAAAAACTTGTATGTACATACTGCGGGAAAGTTTTCATGAAAAATTTTGATCTTCAACAACATATCAGGTATGCAAAGTTTTTTTTACATTCTTTAAACTATCAAATTTTATGCCAAGCAGTTTTATCCAGTTATATAGCATTTACACTTTTCAACGTCACCAAGGTTATCAGTTTTGTAAGGAGAAAATGATTACTGAATTTTTGTACAAGAGCCTGTAAATTTAAAAAATGGAATGAATTACAAATCTTCACATGAACTTATGCATTATTATTTGTTAAAGGTAATGAGATTGTACATCTGTATTCAGGTCACACACGGGTGAAAAACCATTCCAGTGTGTTGTATGTGGTCGAGCATTTGCTCAGAAATCCAATGTGAAAAAACATATGGCAACACATAAGGTAAATATTCTGGGTTTATTTCCAGGGGACTTTAATTGAAAAGTATTTCATCCATTGATTGTGTTATCCTTTAAATATGATTTAAAATGCTGTTTTTTGTTGTTGTTTGTTTTTTTAATTTTAAAGGTCAAACATGGGTATAAAATTTATTTCCTTTTATTTATATGTTATATTTATTCAGGTCTGCTTTTGATAACACAATATGCCAAACAATAGATTAATATAAAGTCAAAGCAAAGTTTTACATCTTGGTGCATTTAGTTGATAATCAATGATTGATTGAAATCAGTTTCCTGATTAATTTGAACATCAATACCATGTAAATGTGTATGTAGCATCAGTACCATGTAAATGTGTATGTAGCATCAGTACCATGTAAATGTGTATGTAGCATCAGTACCATGTAAATGTGTATGTAGCATCATTACCATGTAAATGTGTATGTAGCATCAGTACCATGTAAATGTGTATGTAGCATCAGTACCATGTAAATGTGTATGTAGCATCAGTACCATGTAAATGTGTATGTAGTATCATTACCATGTAAATGTGTATGTAGCATCAGTACCATGTAAATGTGTATATAGCATCAGTACCATGTAAATGTATATGAAGTATCTATACCAAGTCAATGTGTAAATATCATCAATACCATGTAAATGTGTATATAGCATTAGTACCATATAAATGTATATGAAGCATCTATACTATATAAATGTGTATATAGCATCAGTACCATATAAATGTGTATATAGCATCAATACCATGTAAATGTATATGAAGCATCTATACCATGTAAATGTGTATATAGCATCAGTACCATGTAAATGTGTATATAGCATCAATACCATGTAAGTGACTGTGTGTATGTAGCATCAGTACCATGTAAATATGTATATAGCATCATTACCATGTATATGATGTATTACAGGTGTGGCCATCAGGACCATCAGGTGGTACATTACCTGTACAACCACCAGCAATGTTAGTACCTGTAGAAGATGAACCAGATAAATCATCTCCTACAGAATCTGGTGATGCCCCAGAGATAGAAAAACAGGTTAGTAGCCATCAAGGAACATTTTTGTCAAGCCTTTTTTCTGTTTACATGACTTAGTTGTCAAAATGCTGGGTCTGCTTATGTTAGTAAAATATTAGTTATAAAGATTTTTGACAAGTTATATAGAGAGACGAGGGTTATGTTGCAAACAACCATTTGTATACAGCCTGTCAAGAATGTTGATAATGAATTTATAATAACGCAAACTTTCCTTACTTGAGGAAAAATTACTTCGTAAATTGACAGCAGGATTATCCAGTGAAAAGTGAAGTTACAAACATGCAGTATTATAATAATGCATGCATTTATATGATTTTGATTGTAATTTAACTTCCCCATAGATCGATTAAAGTAATTTTTGCATAATTGTCACTACTAGTTTAAAAGCATTATGCCTTGGAACCAGAATCAAGGTGTTAAGATCAAGGTAGCATTTACAGACATAAGTTAATTTCAAAATGTGTGCACAACGCCAGTAAAATATTAGCCTAAGTATTTGCAGACTGGTACTGTATTTATTTTCAGATTGAGGAAGAAAAAGAAACCCAAGACACTAAAACTACAGAAAAGGAGAGGAGGTTATTGAAGAAAGAGCAGTACAAGTTAAAAGTTGTCATAGATAATTCCTACATGTGTCAGTATTGTCCAGAGAAATTCAAGTCTTATTATCAGCTCAAATCTCACATGGTCAAACATAAAGGCTTCCAGGTAGAATGAACTTAATAATTAGATCCCCTTTCTTCATCTTATTTTAAGACAGCTATTAAAATATAGATTTAGTATGTGTTGGTAACTCTGACAGTATGTTATTTGACAACTTTCTATGGTATAATTGTGATGTACAGTCATAAACAATGTTTTGTACCAATTATGTTCCAGAACCTTACTGATATCTTCCTTTTATGAAAAGTAAGGTTGAAATGTGCAGCAATTAGGAAAGGACATTATTCCAAGACAGTATCATAAGCCATCCATTTACAGAGGTCCCAGATATGTTCTATATTCTGTCATGGTGTTTTAACCAAACCAGTAGCAATCTGCGACTGTTCCTTCAAGTCTGGTCACTTTAAATATCTAAATAGTCTCTGGTTTCTATTAAAATGATATTAATTTTCAAGCTGTAAGGAAGTTGGTTCATCGTTAATGTATATTATATACTAGGAAAGGGAATGTAGTAAACATTATTTTTTTCCAAAAAATTAGGTATACAAGTGTGTGGTAGCAGAATGTGGACAAACGTTCAAGGACATGGAAACGTATATAGAGCACACAGCAACCCACAATGAAGATATCACCTACAGATGTCACCAGTGCTCGAAAATATTCCCCACCCTGTATGAACTAGGGGTACATCAGTATTCCCACAGTCTGTACCAGAATCCAGGCAAGTCAGGGCCTTGGTAAGTTTACAGTTTCTTTCTTAAGTTCTTATAATTAAAGGCCAATTAATATATCCTGTTGTTCTATGAACTGAACTGCTCAAGAACTAGGTTGTCTCCAGTTAAGATCCAGAATATTGATCGCCACAAGGTTGTTTTTGCCATTTCAGCTTGTCTGTTCGAAGAAAAGGAAGAGCTGTTGTACTCACTCAGACATCGGTGTTGGCATCTTACTTTGGTTAAGTTTTTGCATCCAAGTTGGTATCTCCAAAACTACTGAAGGGAATGGATTGAAACTTCACATGCCTGTTCTCTGTGATTATCTTATATGATTGGCACAAGTCCAATACCTGTGATTTGCTTTTTTACATATTTATGACTTTTGTTACTAAGAAATTCTCATAAAAGTTTTTGCTAACTGGTAACTCCATACCTACTAAAACTTGAAACTTGGCAGCACAATAGGAGGTCACTATCCATAGCCCATAACTCTAACATGGAAATTTACCGAATGATGGCCCTTTTTGAACTTAGAAATTTCAACATTTTCCTAACTTGGAAATTTACAGTAGCTATAAGAACCTTTTAAACAAAATGATTAAAAGAATAACTTCTATCTATAACCTTTGTATCTATCATATTTTCTTCAAGGGTTCTCCATAATACAAAAATACCAACAAGAAATTTAATGCAAACTGATGGTACGAAATTTTATGCTTGTCAGTGGGATAAAATGGGGAAAAACATATGTTGTGACAGCTGGTATACCTCTGTTAACTGTTTTTTTTGTTTGTTTGTTTGTGTTGTTGTTGTTGTTTATATGAGCCACGTCACCAACATAGTGGGTTTGCGACCAGCATGGATCCAGACCAGCCTGGCATCTGGGACTATCAGTTACTCTTCTTGTAATAGGGTTTGTAAGCGAACAGCATGGATCCTGACACGGATGGGCAGGCTGGTCTGGATCCATGCTGGTCGCAAACCCATTATGTTGGTTTTGTCATGGCACGGCTCATATGTGAATTTTAATACACCGTTTTTTGGTAGTTACTATATAAGTAAAAAAAGGCCTTGTCATAAGAACAAAGGTCAATCAAGCAAGAGAGATGGTTACTTACTGGAAAGGCAGATTTGTTTCCAATAAATGCTAGTAATTGCTTTTCCTTAAAAGACTAAAACTTTAACACGGTTTTTAACCAAAAATCAATTTTTAGAGATATTCTTTTTATTAAATTTGAATTGAGAAGCCTTTTTAATGATTTAAATCAAATCTTTTTTAATCTGTAAGAAAATGGTTTCTCCAAGTATGAACAAATAAACTTCCGAAATTTAGAATTGTTTTCCAATGGTTGCTTAAGTACTTTGATTGTAATGTGTATACCTTAAGACCCTTGAAAAACTGGATTTTGAAATAGAAATTACATAATTTTTTTTTCCTCAATAGGCATTTTCAGTGTAACATGTGTATGAGTAAATACGCTACACCAGAAGCCTTACAACATCATATGAGTACAACCAGTCATGAATATCCGTGCCCACATTGCCAGAAAAATTTCACGTGCGAACGGTTCCTCAGGAAACATCTGGCATCACACGGAACTGAAAGTAAGATCTTTTATTTTTGAGATTCTGTTCTGAATTCTCTCATTTTTGTGGTTTGTGTAGAAATAATAGCAAATGAAAAATCTTGGTGAACATTGGCTAAGAGATGTTGTACAATAAACAACTACAATAGATTATCATGTATTTTGTCTTGTACTGTCCTGCAAAAATAAATCCAATTATACATGCAGATCAGACAAAACAGGGAAAAAACACTGAATTTCTTGATTTTCTTCAAAATATTTTTTTTTTCTTTTTCTTTTTTTTTTTTCAAAATTAAAAGTCAACTTGGTGGTAAATTTCAATATTTATGGATCAAAATTTTCTGCAAATAATAATATGGCAATTGGATGCATTAATTTCAAATATGCAACAGTGTTTGTAATTTGTAAAGTTGTAAAGCAAACTCAAATATTGTCAAGCCAATATTAATATGAAAGCAAGGTGTTTAAAGTAATTTCAATACATTTAGTGTATTAGTACGTAATTCTGAATGACAAGATACTGAAATCAATAGAGGAAGATGATTGGTTGTATGTGTTGTTTACAAATAGAGACAAACAACTTTAAATGTGTTACTTAATTTAAACAGGTTAAAATGAAAAGGAAGAAAAAAGATAACTTGTTTATGACTGTTTATTCAAAATTATGCCCCTTTCCAATTATTTATGAATATGAAAAACCAGTAGTTGGATAAATATTTTAAGCAACCTTGTGTTTTGATGTGTTGTTCCCACCTTAAAACCTTCTAATTTACAATTCTATTTATAGATCAATATGAATGCAGTGTATGTCAGAAGAATTTAAAGACAGAACACTACCTCAAAAATCATATGTTGATCCATACTGGAGAGAAACCTTATGAGTGTGAAACTTGTGGTGCTGCGTTCAATCGTAAAGATAAACTAAAGCGGCATAATCTGATACATGACGCTAAAGTGAAATACAAGTGTCCTTTTAAGGCAGTCTGTGGTATGTTTTTGATATGCTGTATTTTAATAAATAGTAATTTCATGAAAACAGTTTTATACTTAGTCTCTCACCACAGATTTAGTTATATGTGGGATTCGTTGCCCAGAAATTAATAATTGCTAGTAAGTTATCCAAGAAAGCCTGTTAGGTGAGCAACTGCTGAGATATGATAACAAAAAAATGTGTTAAAGTCTACTAAAAACCAGAAAAAAACAAACAAAGCTCACTGTTGATCATAACAATATAGTGTTATGATATTCGAATTTCTTTCATTAACAAAAGAAAGCTCCAAAAGACAAAAAAAAAACATGTATATTACAGAACTTAATAATTACAAAAAGGTTTTATTTGAATAATCAAAATAAATGTTTTATTTTATTTTCTAGGCTGTACTAAGGAGTTTGGACGACCTGACAAACTGAAGGCTCATTTGATAACCCATAGTTCAGTAAAACCTTACTCGTGTGATATTTGTGGGAAAGATTTTGCTCGGAAACCTCATTACACTGAACATATGAGAGGACATAGAAATGACTATCCTTATAACTGTGATAAATGTAAACGTGGATTCTTCCGACCGAAGCTGTTCAAAGAACATAAGTGTGAAGATGCAAATGGCCAGTTGAAAAAGAAAAGGTTATTTCAGCCCAGAAGAGTTAAAAGAAAACCTGGACGACCTAGAAAGGTATTGAAAAATGACCCAAAAGATACTAAAGGGACAAAAAGCTTATATTTAGACCACCCAAAAGGAAAGTTTTTAATAGAAAAACTTGAAATTATGCCAAAAAGTGGAGGAAAGCAAGATTCTGGTGATAAGGAATCTAGTTCTCAACAGGAATTTGATGCAGAAAATGACAATACTGAAAATTCCAGTAATATAAGTGAAGAGCAGACGGAGGTTTCTGTAGGGACACAAGATGATATTGCTAGCATGGAAACAGAGCAAGATAACAGTGAGAATAGATCTGAAGATAGTCCAGACATTGTTAATGAAACTGACAATTCAAAGGTTGTGAAGAAACCTAAGCCCGAGTGTTATGTTAAAATATCACCAACTATGGTTCCACGAATGGTTGAGCGTTACGTTACTGTTCAATTGACGACAGCAAATGGCGGAGACGGTGGTGAGATTCAGGCTCAACTCATTCCAGCATCAGAACTTAACGGTCAGATACAGTTTGCGACATCCGTTCCCGGTCTTCAGCTGTCACCATCAACATCAACAGCCACTTTTCATCCTATTCAAATTATTGAAGGTCAACCTGTGACCTTGACTGTGTCCCAAGGTGATCATTTAGGTGATATAGGTGTAGGAGAATCAAGTGTTATAGACATTCCAGTGGACATAGTGACCGTTTCCAATGACGAAGCTCTACTCTGCGCTCAGGAGGTGACAAATGATGGTGATGCCTCAGAACAGCAGTATAGCACCCTCGTTAATTATACACCAGATCACCTTATCAACACATCTGTTGAAATTTTGGGATCAGAAAATATGTAACTTTATTACAGATACATCCAGCTAGCTTACAGAATGTTGGTGGTTCTATTCAGGTGCCTGTTTGTGCCTGAAATAATGTACAAGGGGCACCTGAGGATTTCCTCCACCAGTAAAGCTGAAAAATGAGCATATAAACATAACAGCATTGGTGTGATATAGAACCCAATCAAAAAAATTGTTTTTTAATATCAAAATATTTTCAGTACCTATATCTTAACCTTTAAACGAATTCATTAAAAGATGCAAAGGTAAATTAGCTGTGTGTTTCTTTTACAATGAACATGTTTATAAATGACTTAAACAATCTTACAATATATTTCATATCCATGTAAGAATGTCATGAAATTGTGATTTCATCTTCATGCACTCAGAAATTTTATTTCTTATATTGTTAGCAAGAGTTAAAGCAGAAGAAATGTGATGTTGATGTTGGCAGTTTAAATAAATACTTGTAACTAAATAAAGAATATTTAATGAACAGGTTGGCATTAAAAACTTACAGCGTTTGTACTGTATGAATTGAAAACGTTTTGATTTATACATTTGTATATCAAAGGTTTTTGATATTCTAGTATTATTCAAAATATACAAACAGTGTGATTGGCTAATATTTTGATGATAAAAGCCATAATTACTATGAAATTAATCATTAAATCAGATACCTCTTGTGCTGATGCAAAAACAGCATCCATTTCAGAACTTTGTTGATGAAAATTAAAACATTAATTGTTTGCAAACTGTTAAAAGTTATTCAAGTTAAAAGTTTGATTAAATTTTTATTTTGGTTGTTGACTTGCCAGTGTATTGAAGTCATTTTTTACATTCATAATAAAATGTGTTTAAAAGATATGCTTAGTTTATCTTATGCATTTTACAGATTTTTCAAGATAACACATTTTCAATCGCTGCAAGCTGTTTATCCAAAATGTTGCCCCATGCAAATTAAATACTTGACTTTCCTTTTTGTTTAGACAGTTGTATGACATATGATTAATAAATACGCTTGCAGACACTGTGTAATTTTGCACAATTAGCCTGGAAGATCAGGAAATTTCAAATCTGCAGAAATTCAAATTCTATGGGAAAAAAGGCTTTTCAAATTGTAATTTCATGTGTAAATAATCAGCCGATTCCAATATTGGAATATTTATGCATTTTTTAAAATCAATAGTTCATAAACAGATGAGTACCAACCATGGAATGGCACTTACGTGTCACATTGAAGGTGCCATGATAACCGCCATATGAACACATCTGCGGATGTTTCAAAATTGTACCATGTTGAATTCTGCATAAGCCGGTGCTAGGGGGCGTGGACGGTAGTTTGTACTTGACAGTACTGTCCATGAACAGACTCAAACCGAGTCTGCAACATTTTCAATTCTGCCGTGTTGGGCTTTCTTTAGGGATTCTTGTTATACCCCCGCACAACAAAGTTGTAAGGGGGGTATACTGGAATCAGCTTGTCCGTCCGGCCGTCCGTCCGTCGGTTTTTTCTTGTCCGCCCAATAACTTAAGATTCCTTTGACCCTTAGTCTTCATATTTGGCATGGAGGTTAGTCATGATTAGTAGATGACCCCTATTGATTTTGAGGTCTCCAGGTCAAAGGTCAAGGTCACAGGGGCCTTGACTTCAAAAAGCTTGTCCGCCCAATAACTTAAGATTCCTTTGACCCTTAGTCTTCATATTTGGCATGGAGGTTAGTCATGATTAGTAGATGACCCCTATTGTTTTTGAGGTCACCAGGTCAAAGGTCAAGGTCACAGGGGCCTTGACTTCAAAAAGCTTGTCCGCCCAATAACTTAAGATTCCTTTGACCCTTAGTCTTCATATTTGGCATGGAGGTTAGTCATGATTAGTAGATGACCCCTATTGATTTTGAGGTCACCAGGACAAAGGTAAAGGTCACAGGGGCCTTGACTTCAAAAAGGTTGTCCGCCCAATAACTTAAGATTCCTTTGACCTACAGTCGTCATATTTGGCATGGAGGTTAGTCATGATTAGTGGATGACCCCTATTGATTTTGAGGTCACCAGGTCAAAGGTCAAGGTCACAGGGGCCTTGACTTCAAAAAACTTGTCCACCCATTAACTTAAGATTCCTTTGACCCACAGTCTTCATATTCGGTATGAATGTTGATCATGACTATAAGGTGACCCCTATTGATTTTGAGGTCACTGGGTCAAAGGTCAAGGTCACAGAGACCTTGACAAAAGAAAGCTTTTCTTGTCAATTGCTGAAGAATGTCCTGTCCACAATGTATTGATTTTGACATTTTCACATTTGAAGCATGAAGGATACATAACTTAGCAATGCACTGGCTTAGTAACCTCAGATTTGGCAGGGAGGTTGTCCTTGAGCTCTAAATGGCCACTGTTGATTCTGACAAAGTGGTATGCGGGGGTATTCACACCATGATAGTGGCAGTTCTAGTTTTCTCTATTTGGTCTGTAGCATCTATAGGTTTAATGAAAGTACTGAAGTACAGAGATCCGGCTGTAACTTGCCACATAAAGTAATATTATTTTGTCTTTATATCAGACATTTTCTTAACAAGTTATTAAGATTGTCACCATTCTGTTTGTCACATAACCTGTTTGTCAATTACAGAATTCTTGAAAGTCAAAGACTACAATTCCTCGAAAATTTGCTAAAAATCTTTTCAAAATGAACAACATAATGCAAATTGTAATTAAGTTAAATATTTGGAGCATTACTCATGAATGTAACTGTAAAGCAATTGTAGTATAAAATTAATGATGTGAAGTGGCCATGTAAACAGCAAGTAAGTGAAAAATCAATATATTTGCAGTAGATCAGTAATAGGAGGCTGATCTTACTTAGTAAATGCGTATGTCATCACGACTGAAACGTTTCTGATAAATTGTAATATGGTAATGTCAAACAGAGTAAACGGTACTGAAAATATTGTTGTATGATCTGATTGTCAACCCAAAAAAGCATCTAATGAAACTTATAAATCACCTAGCTACATGTATATCAGAAGCAACCCTATGTGATTTTTAGCTCACCAGAACCAAAGGGGGATGCTCCGTCGTCATGCGTCAACAATCGTCTTCTGAAACCACTGGGCAGATTTACTTCAAATTTGGTCTGTAGCATCCTTGTGACAGTCACACTTGAATTTGCTCATAACATTTCCATAGGCCCCTTTTTTGGGGTCAATAGAGCTAAAAATAGAAAACCTTTAAACATCTACTACAGAACTAATAGATGGTTGATCACCAAACTTTGTCTGTACTGGTATCCTAGCAGTTTCCGGTCACAAATCGCACTATTTAACAAATAAAATAAAAATCAGTCTACGGTGGGGTACAAAACTTTGACAGGACAAAGTTAGGTACCTGTCCAGCATTGCCATGTGTTTAATGTTGCACTTTCATTTTACTTTTTAATTTGAATGTAGGCCTGAAATGTAACGCCTTTTTTCACCTTTATTAGAAAATTCATAGCAGTTTTCGGGACCTTTTTTATTTTGAATATAATTCAGTACCATAAAGCAATATTAAGATGATTTTATCAGACAAACAGAACTTCCTAACCTTTTCCGTGTCGTCTGCAAAAAATATTTTCCATAGTATTGATTTACCTAAAATGGGGTCTTAGTTATTGCGCATGGATATTCAAACTAGAATTCCCCAGGTGTTGCTTATTTTTGACTGTCGCAAGTTCTCCTATGTAACTTTTTATAACAGGCAAAACTTCAAAACATATAAATCGTTGTACTGTACTATTTTAAATGCTGTTTAGCACAGAAAACAAATGTTTCTCTGATTGATGAAGTAATGTGGATGCCTTACTGGTAAAAATAGACTGTATTGGACGAAAATGATAAACGGCCGGAAAACTGCTAGGAAACCAGTAGCATTCTTGGGTAGTCTTTTATCAAGTTTTGTCAAGTTTGAATATGGGTCACCTGGGATCAAAAAAAGGTCACACTGCCAAAATATGGAAAAAACCTTGTTAACACTAATGGTCACATTTTTGACTCAATTGTCATAAAACTTGGTCAGGATGCTTGTCTAGTTAATTGCTTGGACGAGTCATCTTTGATGAAAAACTAGGTAAAAACAGAAAAATCTTGTTAACTCTAATATCAAAATATCCTGGAAATTGTTTTATGATTTCTAAGTTAAGTGAGAATATGGGTCACCTAGGGACAAAACTTGGTCACACTGCCCAAATATGGTAAAACCTTGTTAACACTCTAGACGTCACATTTTTCACTCAATTGTCATCAAACTTGGTCAGGATGCTCGTCTAAGAAATTGCTCGGATTAGTTTGATGGGTCAGGTGAATGATCTTGTTTAATTATCGTCTGTCGGAAAAGTCGAAAACCAAAGTAAACTTAACGAAATTTTTCTCATTTAATTTTTTGCGATCGTCCGTCTGTCTGTCATTCCAGCCATCCGAAAAAATCTCAATCCTGCAATTTATCAAAAGTGCAAAATCTAGCTTGTGGATGAAGAACACTATTTACTCTGTGCATCTCGGGCTTTATACACCCGAAAAAAATTCTGCATTTGACAGTCCGCCCGTCTGTTAGCAATGTCGTGTCCGCTCTGAATCTGGAAAAATTGAAACTTGTTGGCAGAAATGTTAACCACAATGAGACGATGTTTCAGAGTGCAGGTTTTGGCCATACTGAGTTCAATGTCACTAAGTCATTGTGTATGAAATTAAAAATTTTCGTGTCCGTGTGTATCTTTTGGGAAAATTTAAAAAATTTTTTTTGTAAAAAGGTTACTTTGTTATGAAAACCGATGTAAAACTTTGGGGGGATTATTTTTTTTTTTAAAAACCTGCCCTTCTTTAAACGGGCAAAAGGGGGTTTTTAATGTGGGGTTTATTGCCCCCATCAAACCCGGGTTTAAAAACAACCCCAAAGTAGTACTTATCTGCGGGACCGCTCCAACGCGGGGGCTTTTCTGGGTTTCCCCCATTTGTAATGTTTTGTTGTTTCATACTCCTTTTGGTGACCCCTTTTTCTTTGTGATCCTTTTTTGTTTACTCGTCTACGGTAATATTTTTCCCCTTTTCCCCCCCTTAGTTTTTTTTCCCTTTATTTCGCCCCCCCCCCCCCTCCCCCAAAAAATTTTCCTACCCCCTTTCCCCCTTTGCCCTATTACTTAGTGAGCAAAATAATAAAATCATTTACTTTTTTTCCCCTTTGGATTTTGATTTCCTTGTTGGGGTTACTTTAAAACTTTTCTTTATGTATCTTTTTAAAGATGATAAGCCTGAGCCGGGCTTCCCATGCGCCAAATGTCCTGTTTTTTGGTTTAGTTCCTTCTGGGCTCCTTGCCACTGGTTCTTGTTGCTGGGTCGTGTGGGAGTTGCGTTCGTTGAACGCTGCCTTTCCTTGTTGGTCTTGTTTATGATAATTTTTACGATTTCTCAGTTCTCAGAATTGGCCTTACCCCGAAGGTAACTTGATTTATATAGACTAACGACATTATCGCTGTGTTTCTGGTAATTTTAGTTGTTGTTTTTTTTGTTGTTTTTTTTTTACTTTTTTTCTATTTGGGTGGTTCCAGTAGGCACAAACATTCTTTTATACTTGAGGACCATTAGCCGATTTTTATGGAATGGCAATATCACGTCACATTGAAAGTTCTATGACAACCGCCGTAATAAATAATAACTCATCTGCAAATGTTTCTAAATTTAAATCAATGCAAATATGTAAAATATTTAGCATGTAACATTGCCTTGTGGACCTCCTTCACTTTTTGTCTTGTGCCTTTTGTCTTGTGCCAATGGATTAACATATGTCTGTTCGATTCAAATTGATTTTTTTCTATTGTTTACATTATAGTTTAATTTTAGTTTTCCCTTTACCACTAAGCAGTAAGCTTGTACACGAGATAAAACAGCTGCTTAAGTGCACTAATTTATTTCAAATTTTATGACATTTTTTGGCTAACAAAGAAAAGATTTCAGGAACATAAAAAAAATATTATTTTATAAAAAGGCAAATAAATTTATTTTCTTATAATAAAAATGTACTTTTTTTAATGAATTTTAAACAACCAAGCACGTTGAATTGATTATGTGTATGTGTAGAAATAACTTAAATTACCACAAATAATACCAAGTACATGATTTTTTTAAAGATATACATGTGCAATGATTAATCCAACCTCCATATTAGGAAGTATAATGTCTGATTTTTTACTAGTGTCTGTGCTACAGGTGTAGTTGTTTTATTCAAGTAAGACATTGAAAACCTTGATTTTATGTCCATTCATTCCCACAAGCAATCTCGTGTTATTCTCACAGTATGCAAATAGTAACCTGGTTTATTATATTCTTGATTTATCAATCTACAGTATCTTCACAAAATTTGGTGAAGGTCATATGAAATTAATTTGATGGATATATTCGTTTGACTCACCGAGGAACCACAAACCAATACGGATCCATACCATCAACGGAGGTAAGTTGGGGCAGGGCCTTTCAGCTGATAATCATCTTTGTAGATTGCCTTTACCTGACCATCAAGTTCAAAAAGGTCACAGTATGTCCTTGTGCTGTCAGCAACATATATCTTCAGACTGTCGGACTAAACAAGTTAAGTGCAAAGGGGCTGGTAATAGATTCTTGGCCAGAACTTATCTTTATCAATGTGTTCTCTATTACACACCTTGAAAAACATACTTAAAATCTTAACACTACCTTCCTGGAAACAAATTGAAACAATTAGTTGATTATTACTTCGTAAAAGAATACCCATAAAAACGTCACTTCCTGATAAATCTCAGTGGTATCTAAAACTGTTATATTCCTCAGAAACTGTTTATCAGTTTGATTTTTCTTTCCTCGGGAAAAACGTTACAAGCAAACTTTATAATCAGAAAACTTTTGTTAATCCACATGGTGTTTGTTTTATGAATTTTTTTCAAATTCATACGTTTTTGGTGTCTGAACTTTCCCACCTAGTGAATTATATGACTTAGGCTAAACACCTTTTTCGAATTTGATACAAAGTAGTTTTATTTTCAGATAAAACAAAGTAAAAACTTTATATCTTCAGGGGAGTGAGAGGTCGATTATCAAATTAAATGCAAGTTCTTCTGTTCGATAGCTGATTGCATGTAACTTTTTTTCTCAAGTGAGAAAAAACGTTGTCTTGTTCTCTAGAGATTTGCATTTATTGGTTTTATGTCGGATGTCATGATTTGGTAGCGCTGTATGAAAGTATGGTGTATTTGCCTAATAGAATTGATGAAGGCTTTCTAAAAGTTGTTTTGCAGATTTTGATTTAATCAAAAGCCTGCAGTTTTGACCAACTCTCTGAACCTGTTCTATTTCATCAGAAAAAGTCTTAAAATTTTCAACCAAATTCATATGCTCTGACTTTAGTGACTTAAAGTTTGTGTTTATGTTTACAGCCTCTTCTTTTATATCCATCCAAGCTTTTCGTATCCTTTCATCAAACTTCTCCTTTTTTCCAGATAATTCTTGAACTAATTCTTCTTTTTCTGTCTTCAACGTAGCAATGGTTTCATCCATTTTCTTTTCAAAGTTTTCAATGAGATCTTTATGTTGTTGTTTGTAGGATGATATCAGATTCTCTGTATGTTCCTTAAATTTTTCCGTGGCCCTTTCTTCTTGTTTGTCAATTACTTCACTCTTAGCTTTCAGTAGCTTTTCTGAATATTTTATATCCTCAAGTAAATGATCCATATCTTTTCTTAGATTTTTAAATTCCTCACTTTTTTGTATGTCTGAAGCAAGGGTTGGTAAATGGTTTATATCACTACAGTTATACTTGCTCATTATCCTTGCATTCCTTGCAGGCTTCTTTGATACAGTCAGAGCAGTAAACTTAATCAGCTGGTTAGGATGGGCAGAACATTTCTCGAAATAAAAATCCTGCGGCATATGGTCACTATCTTGGAGTTTGTGATTTTGGAATTGTCTCCTGTGAATAACTTTTGGCAGGTTGCACATTTATATTCCACACAAATCTACACAGAAAGCTACAGCTGTAACATGACCGTCACCATGTCTCTCACATTCCTCACAATACATCTCATTAGCTTCATCAGAAGCTTGCGTTAGTGATGCACTGAAATAAGTAGCCATTTCAGCCAGTTATTCAAATGTATCCTTTAACAAACGTTGGTTTGCTTTAATATTTGTTTTTTTAAGATAATATAGCAATATTTTAATGCTATAAATGTCATTTTCGGTAATAGTTATTCTTAAACAAGGATGAATAAAGTATTGTGCTTTTCGAAAAAACGAATTTTAAAGTAATTCAATTTAGTTAAATAGAACTGTCTTGTTTAAGTACTAAGTAAACATTTGAATTAAGCGTACAAATATCATTTTATCGAAGTCGGGTGGTAAAGAGCTTATATATTGGATGGCTTTCCTAAGGGGACAAAAAAAACCATTTGTTGCTACTCGTGTATTATTAATTTGTTTGATATGGGGGACCAAAGAATATATATTTTTGCCATGTGATGGATAGATAAACTTTTATCAAATTGGTAAAGTTTTAATCTGCGTTCTTTCTGTATATCACATATCGGTTCATCTTTATAATAAAAAAATACTCATTATAATAGACATGTTAAATTGTTAAAGTTTTAAAATCTTTCAACCTTTAAACATTTATATTGAACATTTTTAGTTATCGTATTACTGCATATCACATTAACACTATCACATTACATTTAAATTTGATTTATGCGTTTATATACTGATTTCTTTAAAATATTTATGACCTTGATTCGACGTTAGATTTTATTGAATTTAGTATATCACAAACATACAATAGTGCATACATAAAACATACAAAGTAAAATCATCTAAACTAAAACTCTTATTATTAATTTATTCTGGTTATATAAATTATAAATTTCATTTAAAAGAAAATACAAAAGAAATTTAGATCTTGATAGAACATAATCTATAGGTAAACTTGAGATCACATGTATCACATTCATATACAAATATTCTTTTATCATATACAAATGAGACAATTTGTATCATCAACAAACACAATCAAAATAGTTTTATCTATCAATATCCTAGCACAAATATTACAGAAGTCATATTCATCATCCAGCAAATATTCAAACATTAATAAGGTAATATAACGTAATAACCTATATGAATACGGTTGTGTACAATTAGACATACATAAATTAACACAGAAATAGGGAAGGATGGTTCAACTTGGGTAAATTAGAATCTCAATATGTGACCAAATACAGAATGACCTAAAACTATAGAGGTGAAAACGACAAAAATGTGTACCGCCAAAGACATAATCGACCAATAAAAAAGTTTTGCCTAGGTAAACTAATAAACTAACTGCTGAAAAAAATTATAAAGGTCAACTTCAATCAACCTTATATTTTTAAGTTTATAATAAAAATGTGATCAGTAATAGTTCATGAATCATTTTAAAATAGGTAAGAATGTTTCATGTTTGTACTTTATATTTTATATTTTTAATGGCGGCCCTATCAAAACCATTTAAGGTTGATGTTTTAGTAGAAAAAAATCTAAGAGTACATGGATGGATATTCAATGAATAGAGGGGAAAAATCTGACCGTTTAAACGAAATGCCTGAATCTTCATTTAACTTCATTGCATAGCTAGTCAGTATATTTATATATTATACAGACATTTTTACAATACAATTATTTCCATACAAACGGAAGAAGAATTTTGCACATGCGCATTCTGGATAGGACAAATAGCAATGACGAAAGAATAGATTTTAACAGTATTTCACAGCATCACTAACCATTTAATATAATCTGATTAACCACCACAAAGTAAGAATACTTTGTTTTGATAAATAACCAATGCGATGTAATTAATTAACTTGAACATTTCTGCATTAACGCATTAATTCAGAGTCGTTTGTATTTGAAAGACACTGAGTGATGCATTCGATCCTGACAAATGAAACTTCGTATACAAGCATAAGAATTTAACCTTATATTTAATAAACGTGTTTTCAAGTTATGTCACCCGGAAAACAGTATTTTGGCATGACTTTAAGCGGTAAGTACATAAAACGTGGTTTGATATTAAACAAAATATGCGGGACTAGCTAATTCAATGATCCAAACGGAAATAAAAATGTCCTCTGTTTAAACTGGGACTAAAATGTCACTTTCTGTTCAAGGTTTAAAGTACCATTAGACAACTTTTTAATCGAAACAACTGCGCGTTTCAAATAATAAAAAAAATATTCCCCGTGTATTACGTATTACACAATTTGGAACGAAATGGCCACTTCGAAATTAATATTGACAATTATACAGTTATAAGATATGATAGAGACAGACATGGAGGAGGAGTGTGTTGCTATGTGAGGAATGATATTGCTTTTACTGCTAGACCTGACCTAAATGTATTTAATGTTTTCAATGTTGGAATAATTTTTATTGAACTTCTTTTACTAAAACCAAACCAATACTTTTTAAGTACTATATATAGACAACCAAAACAATCAATTTGAAAATGTTTTATATAGACTTAGATCAGATTGTGAATGTTACATTGTTGCAGATTTTAACATTTGTTATTACCAAAAGTATAGTTCATTTTTAACTCCAACACTAGCATTTTAAAGAATTTGATCTACAACAGATCATTACTGAGGTCACTAGAATTTCTTTATCAAGCAGAAGTATAATTGATCATATCATTACCAATAAAAAAAGATAGGCTAAGTCAATATGGTGTTATTTCTATTGGTCTTAGTGACATATTTTTGACTTTTGTACCAGGAAAATCAGCAAACAAAGTTTCTCAAAACATTATTTCTTTAAAGTTAGATGTGTAAAATATTATAGTAAAGATTAGTTTATTGAAAAATAAGGTCAAGCATACTGGAATAAATGTTTTTATTCTGATAATGTTAACAGTTCATGGGTAGCTTTTAAAGATATTTTCTGTACGAAATCTGCTGTGGTCATAGTATTATTTTTACAATAGGTTTATCTCTTAGATTTGGTTTGCTAAATTGCTAATCATGGTCATGCAACTACATAGTTAGGTGAAGAAGCAGGCGCTTGTTTTGGTTGAGTCTATTATATTTTGTTTAGGGGGTTGAGTTGTCACACACAAATTTAAGATTTATATGCATTTATTTTTTTCCAATGATTGTTATTATCTTAAATGCTTCTGGGATTGTTGTTTTATCAATTCATTTGTAAATAAGATTGTTATATGTCTATTAACGGAATAATTTTAATGAATACGAAATTAGTTCACACCTACATGTGTATTGGTAACGTGATGGTTTAAACCAATGAAAACACGTCAATATTATTATACTCGGGCAGAGAAAAAGTGTGCAAAGAGTAAATCGATAATCTTTATGTAGCCAGCAAACTTTGAATTGCAAGTATTTTTTCATATCTTTTCGGCAGGATAAACTGTCCGAGGATTCGTATCGCAAAATGGCTGCCCTTTACAGTATCAAGTGATTATCCCAAGCACCACCGCGACTTAGCGCGGGAATTTTAATTATAGCTAACCTCGGCGCGTATACCTTTTTCATATTTTATTGTAATAAATATTTACAAACTGTGTCTTTCGGGTCTTTTTTATCAATATATAACCAATAATGATGTTAATATGAATAAATAATCATATCTTAAATCTTTGACTATGATTTACAATGAAATTCTACCTTAAGTGTATTAAAAAGGTTTTTAATTTCCTGTAATTTTATTTTGTGATTATCCTTCAAAGCAGTCAATTGACCGTGAATTTTCTTTTCATATTTTGATTTCCTTGAAATCATCATTGAAATCATTTTTCTCATCTGAAGGCATGCAACTTTAATATGGTGATACATTAATTACATTCCATGAAAATGTTTAAAGATATAAAATATCTCATGACATGTTTGTTCATTTTACATTACACCTTTAATTCAGCAAACATAAAGTCTTCACAAAAAGTAGTATGCAATCGTACCTATATTACATACGAATGTATGTAATATTTTTCTTGTTATGTCAGTGTTGAATGCCATTGCTCATGTTAAAGAACTGAACCTTGGATGTCATCAGAGATTTTAGACCACATCAAAACAAGAGATCATTATTATACAAGTTTAGAAAATATGGTTGCCATGAAGATTTTTCTTGTTATTGTAAATTTAGAAATGTTGATCAAAGTTAAGTTAAACACGCTAAATCTTCTTATTTTTCTGATCAAATTGCTGAAAATAGAAATAATCCAAAAGGCATATGGAACATTGAAAACAATTAGGGTATAAATCCAAAACTATAGGGAAAGAAACTATTGTTTTAGAAATTGATAGTGAAAACTGTCATAATCCTTTTAAAATGCTAATCATTTCAATGGCTTCTTTACAGCTGTTGCTTCTAAGCTGGTGCATAAGTTACCTTGTGCTAACAAATTGTTTGACATTGACTCACAAGCTTTGTTAGATTTTTATAATGACAGAAATATTAAGAACAGTCAAATGTACTTGAAACATGTGTCCGAGACATTTGTTTATAAAGAGCTTAAGAATTTAAACTCATCAAAGAGTACTGGGTTAGATGAAATTCCTGCCAGATTTTTAAAAGATGCAGCTTCCTTTTGAAAGTACCAATTACTTTTACTATACATATGTCTATTTCAGAAAATTTGTCCCTGATGACATGAAAGTAGCTAGGGTAAAACCTTTATATAAAAAGAACAGTAATCTTGAAATAGGAAATTATAGACCTGTAAGCATTTTAAACAGTGTATCAAAGATTTTAGAAACACCACTGTATTCACATCATAATTTTTTGTATAGACAAGCAGTTGTTTTATATTTAAAGACTAGAAAATATTTATGATCAGCACTGATACAGTGTCACCTCGATTATGCATGTTCTTCTTGGTACCCGAGTCTGAACAAGTGCTTTAAAAGTAAGCTTCAAATTTGTCAAAATAAAATTGTTAGATTTATATAAGGCAAGGGACCTAGAGATAGTGTCAATAATGTAAGTCTTGCTAATATGTCTTAATTAAATGTAGAAAACAGAAATAAGCAATTACGTCTAATCATGTTTTTAAAATTGCTAATGACCAGTGCCCTTCATATATGAAAGAAAAATTTGTACCTGTTAGAGACATTCATTCTTATTCAACTCTGGTGAATCAGTACAATTTTAGGGTCCCAAGATGTTATGGGAAAGATAATGTAACTTTTTGTCAAAAAGCACTTGATGATTAGAATTCTTTTGCCAACAGGCATTAAAAAATCAATAAGATAGGAGATTACAAAAGCCCATTTACTAGAACATTTAGAAACTCATAATTTATTTCACTTGTATGACAAGATATTGATCTTCATTTTAATTGTTTTCCTGTTAGTAAAGTAAAAGAAAATATTTAAATCAACATAAATATTTTTATTTATATTACATCTTCCGGTTTTTTTTGGTTTGTTGTTTGTTTACATTGTATATTCTAGTAATTATATATCCAAGGCTCCCATTGGAAATAAGCCTTCGGTCTTCGTGGGCAATCCGCGGTTATTACACATTACTTTAACATGCTTTCACTATTACACAGTCACATTATCAATAATTGGTAAATTAATATCTAGTCAAGGGAAAGAGTGATAAATTTGGTCTCATCTTAAATGTTATTTTTTAGATTTTGTTCTTTATAATTGTCATCTATTAATTAATGAGCCTACTGTGATAGATATGTTTGACAAACTTCCGACATATTTTATGAAAATTTTGTTTTGATAACTTTTATGTAAAAATGTGTTTGTATAATGTTTATGTGTGTTTTAACCGGAATAAATATCTATATATCGTACTGTATACCTCCTTTGATTAAGTGGATTGGCAAGGCAGTAAGTTCCAGCTAGTTTACAATATCATTCATCCGGGACGTTTTAAGAAATTCGTAATTTAGATACATATGCCAATCTCATCTATGTTTCTTGAATTTGTGAAGTGACAAATAGTGTGACGTGCATTTACCTGTGTTACGAGGAAACGAATGATAAAAAGTGTGTTACTTCACTACAGACTACGCATCTTCATTTCTCAATATATTGAAAAATTATGTTAATACATGTACATTAATGTTACTTAAACATTTTCTTTTTGGTCATCAATCGGATTAAGGATAAAATCAGGTAAACTGAAAACTTAAAATGCATTATCACATGTTCTGACTGAAAATTAACCTTAATTTCGGCCCCACCCGTGGAAAAATAGATTTTCCTTATAAGTGACTTCTCATAGCAACCAGTGACTTTCCATGGTAATCACTGACTTCTAAAGCAACACTTGACTTTCCGTTGCAACTGTTTGCTTTCATTAACAACCATTGGTTTCTATAGCAATCATTGACTTCATAGCAGCCATTGACTTTTCATAGCAACCAGTGACTTCTAATACAGCAATTGACTTTCCATAGCAATTGCTTGCTATTTCTTCTATAGCAAACACCAATCTGACTGAAGTTCAGATCTACTTATTTCTTTTATGCAGATCAGATGACGGCCTTTATTATAATTCGGATTTCCCGAGAAAGCTGTTTTTAGCCATGCAATCAAACCGGTTTTACATAGCATTAGAAGAAGCATCAAAATACCGCAATCTATGGAAGCTAAACAAATTCTTGATTTTTGTTAGAAAAAAAAGTATGAAGTAATTTTTAACAAATTAACTTGAAAAAATAGAGTCAATTTTAAATGGGCAAGATTGTTTTGCAAGTTTACCTGTTCGCTATGTAGACAACGCCATGTTTGTTCTCGAAACCGTGAACATTACTCAGTATTGGTTTTCTCAGGGTTAAAATTAGAAACCACATCACTTTCAAAATTATGAAAGCTCGCCGATGATTGCAATTGGCTGTGTGAAATGTCACCAGAAATGACTTCGTATTTGGTTACGGATTGTAGCAATCATTGACTTCATATCAGCCGTTGACTTTTATAGCAAACTATAAATTTCCATAGCAACCAGTGGCTTCCATAACAAACATTAACTTTTCTAAGCAACGTGTGAATCTCCCACTGAATTTCTTAGCATAGACTTCCAATGAAACTACTATTTTTTATAACAACCGAAACTACTATTTTTTAAAACAACCAGTGACTCCTTTAGTTACTATTTTTCCCTTAGCAAAATCAACCTGTATTTCAGATACAAATATGCACTTTATGATAACAGTTTAAGATTTAGATTTTATATCTGCTTACGCTTATAGTTTACAATATAACTTGTTCCTTGTCATTAAGAGTATTATATGCTGGAGACCGTTATAAGGGCCATCATGGCCCTTTTTTAATGTTTTGTCCGGATTACACCTTTTATTCTACAAATGCAAGTGTAATATTTTAAGGCACACAAACCCTGTCGGTGAAAAGCTAGCTCACCACCGAGAGTGGTTCATGTCCAAATAAATTTGGCCAGTTATACAGCTCCAGTTTGACCTGTAAAAGCTGGACAAAGATTTTCCATTTTTAACTCTGGTAGCCATTTTGTGAAGCAAAGCGGAACGTGCCAAAGATATGCACAACAAGGACTACATGTAGTACTGATCACTCATTTGAGTTTGGTCGAAATCCCGCAAGGAGTATGACGGACAGACAGACGGACTGTGAAGGCAAAAATAATATATCTCCTAAAAATCTTGAAAGACATAATTTATTTTTCACTGCATATATTGATATCATATTTCTTTATATATATTGCATGCAACTGAAAGGTGCATTATATTTCGACAAAAGATACGTGACAGAAAACAACATTAAACAGAAAGGACAAGTTGTAGAATGCAATATTGTTAAAACTGAATTTTTTTAGTCTTTTGTCAAATTATTGTTTATGGCCACTACCCTGAAACTGGTAATACAAAAAACAGCTGTATGTTTATAATTCATCACCAACCAATGTATATGTGTACATTTACTCTGCAAGCTGATTTTGCTAGCCTTTCAAAAATGTAAATCTTGTGCATCGTTGATTTTCACATGACGAACTTGCATATTGAATTGACAATGTGCATTAATAAAGTACTTCTGCTGAAAATGTTTTTCCAAAGTTTTCCGTGTGCCAAATCAAGTCAAACTTGTGTGTAGTGATTAGGTTAAAAAATTTTTTACAAGACCACAATTAGAGACAGTAAAACAGATGACTGTTGATGAGTCTAAGTGTAACATTTGTTATTGTTTATTCCAGAAGCACTTTGAAGACCTTTATTACATTACATTTATTCATTCCCACAAAAAAGCTCTTGGCATTCGGACAATAAGCAATACATGTACCTATATGTCCAGCTATTCCATGTCTTCCGTCAATCAGGATCTTCACCTTGGTTAGGTCACTTGATAAGTGGTGGATATTGTTTGATTTATAACCACACACATACACTGATCCATATTCATCCACAACAAGTTGATTCGGACTTTTCAAGTGATCATCTTTATAGATGAAATATACCTTACCATTAAAGTTCAAACAGGTGACGGTTTCAGTGGAGCTGTCAGAAACATAAATCATCGTATTGTCAGGACTAACAGTCAAGTAATAAGGACATGAAAACAGATCCTTACCATTATCATCTTTGTCAAATGCTTTCATTATTTCACCTGACAAGCTTAAAATCTTAACACTACTTGGAAACAAATATGAAACAACGAGATGGTTATTACTGTAAGCTATACCAAAGCAAGAAGCATGTCCTGGTATCTCAGAAGTATTTAAAACTTTCATATCTTCAGAAAATTTTATCAGTTTAATATGTCTTTCATCTGGAAATGTAACTGCAGCTTCATAATCTGACACTTTCGTGATATCCCATGGTTTTGTCTCAAATTTGATGTCATTCATATATTTTCTGTTTGACTTTACAAAAGTGCATATGACCAGGCTGCATTTTGCACAATCTGAGAATATTAATGTACCTTCAGATAAAACAAGTAAAGAATTAATATCATTAGAGAGAGATTTGATATCAAAGTCAAAGACAATCCTCCTTTCTACAGATACTTTTTCAAATGAGAAATACGCTGTCCTATTCTCTGAAGATTGTTTTGCTGGTTGAAAGTCGGATATTTTGAATTTGTAGCGCTGTATATTGACATGATACATTTGTTCAATTGATTTGTGAAGATTTTCGCATAGTTGTTTTGCAGACTTTAATTTGATTAAAAGTTTGCAGTTTTGACCTAAATTCTGAGCATGTTTTAGTTCAACAGTAAGAGCTTTCAAGTTTTCAACCAAATTCAAATGCTCTAACTTGAGTGACTTAAAGTTTGTGTTTGTGCTAACAACCTCTTCTATTATATCAGTTTCAGCTTTTTTAATATTTTCTTCAAACTTTTTCTCCTTTTCAGATAATTCCTGAATTAGGTCTTTTCTTTCTTTTTCTAACTTAACAACTGTCTCATTTAATTTCTTATCAAAATTGTCAATGAGATTTTGATGTTGAAGTGTGTAAGCTGCTAATAGTTTGTCTTTATATTCCTTACATGCTTCAGTTGCCTGTTCCTCTTGTTTGTCAATCACTTCACATTTTGCTTTTACCAGCGTGTTGGTGTATTTTATATCCTCTTTTAATTTATCTATATATTTTCTTAGACCTTTAAATTCCTCACTTTTTTGTATGTCTGAAGCAAGGGTTGGTAAATGGTTTATATCACTACAGTTTACATGCTCATTATCCTTGCATTCCTTGCAGGCTTCTTTGATACAGTCAGAGCAGTAAAACTTAATCAGCTGGTTAGGATGGGCAGAACATTTCTCGAAATAAAAATCCTGCGGCATATGGTCACTATCTTGGAGTTTGTGATTTTGGAATTGTCTCCTGTGATACTTTTGGCAGGTTGCACATTTATATTCCACACAATCTACACAGAAAGCTACAGCTGTAACATGACCGTCACCATGTCTCTCACATTCCTCACAATACATCTCATTAGCTTCATCAGAAGCTTGTGTTAGTGATGCACTGAAATTAGTAGCCATTTCAGATAATGTTTAAATTTCATAACAACGTTCATAGTCACAAATAACATTATCCGTAGATATTCTTCTTTCAAAGTTATTTAATTTAGAACATTTGAATTCTATGGACCATTTTATATCAATGGCTCAATGCCTCAAGGTTGGTAGTTAACAGATGAAGAGAATAAAGCAGTAATCGTATCTATCATATATGCATGACTTAATTCTTTGTTAAGCTTTAATTTGATACTTATACACATTGTTTAAAGTTTAAATATGCACTAAATTTCATAAATGCAATCTATTTATTATACGCTCGAAAAAAATTCGGCATGTAATATAATGCAAATGGCAGTCCATTCGTCCGGCCGTCTGTTAGGAGATTATTGACCGCTCTGTACATTTTTAACCAAAGGAAATGGAAACTACTAAGCATAAATATAATACATAAAGAGACAATGTGCAGAAAGCAGGGTTGGCTATAGTCAGATCATAATTAGTCATTATGTATAAATTTAAAATATTTCGTGTCAGCTCTGTATCTTTTGAACCGCTGGAAGGAAATTAAAACTATTTTGCAGAAATATTGATAGTACTGACACGATGTACAGAACATAGGTTTGTGCTTCCTTGGTTTAAGGTCAAGGTCAAACTCACTCAATCAAAATCCTTATATTAGTTTGCATACATCAAAACGAGATGGCAGTGTATGTATTAGTTAATAAGTATGTTAACCCCTTTTTCCCAAAATATTATACATGTACTTTATATGTGTTTTTATCAAAGTTTAAAGATAAATTATGCTCACATCTGATATTTGGATATAATAATTATTGACTCGTTAAGTCTCCTTTAAAATGTAAAATAAACATCTTATGTGTTCAGACAGAGAACATGTGTTAAGTATAGGTAAAGACAGTGTGAATAACTAATATCATTAAGATTGGACCAAATTAAATTGACCAGTAATAGGGAAATGCAGCTTCCCAAACATAATTTGCGCATTCTCTTATCAAAATTAGACTTTCTTTGTTTCAATTAATTTCTGCAATAGGCGTATTTTACCCAAAGATATGCATAGTATATCTTTAAATTGTTTAGACGTTTTTGTTAAGATTATCATTATTGAGGATTATATGATTTAATTATTTTGAAATTAGACAAAATTTTTGCTTAAAACTGATGTACCTTAAAATATCTAAATTCATTAAGAGATCAGATTTTAGAAAATAGGTCTACCATGCACATTTTCCATTAGTATTCCAAAAAATTGATAATAAAACACGATAGGAATTATCATTTGGATATTCTTATAATGTTTGTTTAAAGAAATGTAGATATATTGTTCTAAGTGATTTTGAATTACCAATTTATCTTATAAATAATAGTATTTTGTTCTAGAACACTTCATTATCTGCTGTATAAATATATGTAATATCGGACCATGTATCTGACACCTTCCAACATATTACATGTATAATTATTTCGTGGTTTGTTTTTATAATTATCTAATGCTAAATACTATTAACGTAATTATTCATTGTATTACAGACCTATTTTTTTTAGATGCATTCACTTTAAAGGTAAGTTATCAAAACTTTGGACATTTTTAAAACATGTCTTTTGATTGTTAGCTGTGACAATGCTACTTCTGTTATGCTCTGTTGTGGACAGCCTTTCTTTAACGGAAAGACTGGTGTAGGTGGTTGGTCTGAGTTAAGTTGCTGTATCTGTTTTATGATACATCATCATACAATATATGTTAAAAAGTAGAATTACCATTATTATAAGTTATAGTAAGTTAATGTCATGACTTCCTCAGACTGTCTGAATGCTTTAATTTTAAAAGCCTATAAATACAGCGAGGTAGTAAGAATCCGAAAATACTTAGGGTCACTTACATAGGAAAACTTATTAATGTATATTATAAAATATATTATCGCATGACTTTGTATAGTGATACAAACGAGGAATGGCGACTCCTGAGCCTCGTTTTATAAATTTAGGTGAGACACGTTTCCTGAATTCCAACTCTAGACCTAGCCTATCATAACTTTCTTTTATATAAATACCAAGTGCCTTGTCCTACGTTTTATGGTTTTGGAGAACATTGTTTAAGTTGTGTGAAAATTGCAAATGCAACTTTAGTAATTCACACGAGACGATATAATTTTGTACCAAAATGAATAAAACCAAGCATGATGTTGACATCTTTTATCGTAGAAGTCCATATAAAATCTTGCTGAAAGATCTGTAGGGTAAAAAAGTTCTGTGCAAATGTATATATATCTAGTATTAAAACAAGCAATTTTTGGATAGAAAGTCCCACGAAAACAAAATAGTAATTAAGTTTCACGCGTGGTCTCTTAATTTTACATACACACTGAAAGGGAATAAATGTGTATTTGTAAAGAGTTAAAAAAATTACTTCATGATCAAATATTTTCTTTTGTTTTCTAAATAACGAATGCTTAGTTATTAGTTATTTTATAGTTAACGGTACATGTTTCTTGGCGCCATTGTCGCGAATTATGCGATACATTCCTGCAACATGAGCATTTGCAGAATAAAACAATTTAAAGACTACGCGGCTATGAACAGAGGGGAGAAAACTACAGGTCTATGCGTGAACCTCCTCTCCCCTTTGTGCATAACAACGTGATCTTCAAATTTGTTTCTTTGGTGAATGTTCATGTTGCAGGTTACACTTGTTTATGCATGTAAATCAGGTTGGCCTCATTGGTGAATCTGATTCTACATTGCAGACGAACTGCTTTTCTTACTTGTGGTTATAACACCTGCAACATCACAAAATAGATATAAATATTCTATACAGAACTATAAAACTTATTCTAGAGTCATTTTAAGTAATCAGCTGTATTTGATTGCTATTACTACACGACAAAAATGTCAATTCAATTCTGTCATTTTGTCGAAAATTTTTTATTTCATTTTGTAAAACAGTTCCCAACATAACTTGCTTAGATTCCATCGTCAACCAATGTCTTACTGGAATGCCGCTCTTGCATATTGATACTTTAATTACATGTATTTATTAATTAACCCTGCTTGAAACACCAGTGGTTACATTTTGCCACCAGTAAAGGGCCTGGGTAGCTTGTACATATGTGTAGCCTGATGAGACTTATACTAAACTGCTGGCTGAATAACTTCAAATTTTCATCTTGATATCCATAAATTTATAATGGACAGTTTCAAAAATGACAGCTGGACAAGTCTATTTAAGAAATTCAACAGGTCAATGTTTAATTCAAAACGAGGCGAATCCATTCATCAACGTTAATGGCGTTATATATCATTTTAAACTGGGTCAGAATACTTGAATATGATTGTCGTTTACTTAAAAAAAAAATATTAACATAACTCCGCCATTTATTCTCCATATTTATGGTAAAATAATGTTTAAATTACTGACTTGATATAAATTAAGTATTTTTTAAAATGCTAACGGTTGTTTTCTAAGTTTACAAATTCTTAATGCATGTACATGTACATTTTCTCTTCCAAATTCTTAATATTTTTTTTCTTCATAAGTATTATGTTGGTTATTCTTTTAAATCAAAACAGATGAAAAATAAAAATATATAAATAATTTAAAATCGAGATGGTGAAAGTACGGTATTTTAGGTTACAGTCACTGACAGCTTTAGTTTTAAACCCCCGGGGGTGGTTCGTTGGTTTGTGTATTTGATAATTTCACAACAGGAAATCGGTAACAAAATTCAACCAGTCAAATCTTTATTGGTTATAATCAATAATTTGTAAATCAACCAAATAAATCAAGAATTTTATTTTTACTTTATAGGAAAGAAAACAAAAAAGGTGAATTAATTATCAGATTCTGTTATCAAGTTTACTAGATATGTATGAAATTGACTTGAATTGAATTATTAGAAAGAAAAAACCTTTAAACATTGGAATTTTGGATTTGTGGTGTTTATAAAATAAATGTTATTGTTTAAGGAAATGTGTGATCATTGGAATAAGCACATGTTTTCTATAAACCAATTTGTGAGTATTATATGCGTTTAAAGAAGAGAAAAGAAAGAGAAAAAAAACGTTTTGCGTTCTTATACTATAAGGAGAGGAACTCAATTAAAGCTTACAAGATACATGATGATGAATAAAGTTAGTAAAGTGTTTATTTATTATTAATTTATAATCACATTTTTTTCATACATATATCAAATAGTGTAAAAATAGTGTAAAATGGGACGTGATTTATGTGCGAAATGCTACATCCGTTTCTAAGGAAATATCGCAGTATAAAAAGATTTATATACTGTGGCTGTATTAAAAGGAAAACACAATTAAAAGGACATTGACCAACTAAGAATACTTATATAGGGAGAAGACGTCTTATTAAGACCTGTCAAATGATGTAACTAGCTTGATTATTCTATTTCCGTGGTGCCAAGTATTCCCTCCCCGCACCGATCCAAAGATGGGGACATTTGTTTTTGTCCTGTCAGACGTTTTGTATTCTATATACTACAACCTTGTACTTTGACATAAAGTATCTATGGACTAGAGCCTTTTTCAGCGCAATTAGAAATATATCATTGAATTCCTGAAATGACTTTTATGTGAATCAAATTTATACAAGGTGAATAAGAAACAGTTTTAGAATGATTCCGAAAAAAAAGTAAATTTAAGTTGTCGTCGTGCTTCAAACGCGCCCTTTAAGGTATTAGGACCCTAATGGGCACTATAAGGAACTAAAAAATTGACATCATAGGTCAGAAGTATACCTTAAAGTACACCTGTTTGCAAAATTTAAACAAAGTTTACCGTACGGAAATCAAGTTATGGCCACTTTTCTTAACTCAAGCTTGGATGTTATGAGGGCCCTTTTTTTAGAAATGAGGAACCTTTAAATAATCTGCAATAACTTTCTAATGAAAAATGTTTTCCCATTAATTTTTGGTAAGAAACAAATAGTACCATTCAGCTAACAATCCACATAAGCAAAATTATGGTTTCTACTTTAAATTTATGAAATCTGTATAAAAATGTTACCCTACCCCACCCATTTTTACCACGTGTCTGACCATTTTTCTACTTAAGGAGCCTAATTTAAAAAATTCTTAAAATTTACCCAAATGAGTGCCTGTTTTCAAAGTTTCCCTAAATTTTTAAAAAAGTATATTGGTTGATCTTGTGAAATATGAAATACTTTTACCGTCTAGTTTTGATTATTTTACACTTTGAAAATATCAGGTACCATATTTATTACTAGATTTAGCATAATTTAGCCAATAAATACCTATATAAATTAAAAAAATCAAAATTAAACACTTCTTTCTTTCCAAATGGGACATGAGAGATACATAAATAATGTTAAAAGAAAAAAAGAAAGAAAAAAAAAGTTGACCCTTCTGGGGATTGAACCCATGGCCCTCATTTTCAATGTAGTTAACAGTAGTTCTAGCCTATTTGAATACTCTTCAACGCGGAGGTAATGCATTAGGGTGCTAATACCTGAAGTTGATCGAAAAGGTTACTAAATATATAGATGATATTTAAGTTTTTTCCTCTAAATCCAAGATTTATTTTCATCGAGTGGTATGAAAAAAAATATTTCATGAATGGCGGTATTGGTTGAATTTAGAAGAAAAATGTCTGGCACGACAACAGTGAAAATACGAAAATACGTTTCACTGCAGTGAACAATAATCTTTTTAAGGTGAAAATACGAAATTTTAGAAATGCGCATTTCATTTCATCAACTTTTCTCAATATTTCATATATAAGTATATAATAAATGTCGATAAATATGTCTAATTAGATGAAGGCTGATTTTGAAATTTTATTTTATGTGTTTATCAAAGTTGTAATAAAATTTGTAGCCTTAAATCGGCCACGGATTTATATTTTATGTAATATAAATCCGTGAATCGGCGTAGCATGTCAATGACACTTTACCAGTTTTGTTTATTATTAGTTTAATATATACATTTGTAATGATATTTCAGGGTGTTTCTATGAGCATTCCATTGTTGCTATGTTTACTGTTCGTTGCCATAGAAACAAAAGAGGTTGGTGAAGATTTCCCTTTACGTGAGAGTGATCAGGAATGGTTGAACTCTCTTTTCTACCTGCCTTCAGAACCGAGGGTGAGGAAGGAATATCGTATGCTAACTGAAGAGGAGAGAACACAGTTTAATGATGCATTTGTGAAGATGAAAAATGACAGGGTAAGACACAATGCCGACATATTGCTAACCGTGTCTGCAATCTTCATTAAAAATGTTAACAAATATTGCATGCAATGTAAATTACTTTTGAGATGCATTTTTTCCACACATATAGCTGTCAATCTTGCGACACACGCCTGGCACCTTTTCACATGAATAACCCAGGTAGCGGTACATTTTATGGCCAGGAAAAAAAACTAACATGCACAAGGGGTCGACAAAGTACCTTTAATGAAACTCTTAAAGACTTAGAGCGGAATAACTTTACTTATTATATTAGAACAGTTTTTGTTTCGTTGTAATTTGCGTGTACTTGTGTGATGCATTTTCTTTGTTTTTAGTGTTATTACATTAAAACAAATGTTAAAAAATCTAAAGGAAGATGTAAAAATCACGAAAACTTTACTTTTGACATTTTGTTTCAGTCTGTCATACCGAATAAGTACGATTTATTTGTGTCTCTACACGCCAGGAGATCAACTCGAAACAGTGCACACCGAGGAACGGGATTTCTTGGCTGGCACAGAGTTTATACTTTACTGTAAGCAGACTTTTTAATGAGTTCCAACCATCTGACAAGTGTTGTTTATGTCTAATAATCTTTTTTGAAATAACTTGTTATTGTCCAAAGTAAAGGCCAAGTTGATGGCAAAACATTTTTTTCTATGGTTAAACTTAATCATTGATAACTTTTAGAGTACTTTTATGGAGTTCAACACGAAAACTGGAACATTTCCCGAATTGAAAATTAACAATATGCCTTCTGGTTAAAATGTACCCTAAGATTGATTAGATGGTAATATCTTTATCGAACCTGAGAATTAGTGAAACAAGAGCTTGGTGTATTTTAAATATTTAACAACTTGCCTAAGGTTAATGTGATAAAATACAGTATGTTTTCCATTTATACTATGTTATTTAAAGCATAATCAAAATTGTGGTTTGCAAAATATACTTCGCATTTTTCTTTATTTTTTTGTATGAAGACATGATGTGGGGAAGGGCAGGTAAAGGTTATTGAATGTGGTGTGCATTAGCTGAACATCAACCTTTCGTAAAACGGACATCTGCATTTCAAAAACGGACATCAAAATTGATTGGGATGTTTTCTCCCTATACGTCGCGGCTACTTTGTAGCATGTTGCAGCTTCTGTGTTACAGTGGACACAAAATCTTTAACCGGCCTTTTTATTCAAACGCCAAATCTCAGTCTTAAATCATTTATTCGGAAAGCCTATTAAACACGCACATTGATCAATTCAGTCAATTTGCCTTACTAGGATAAGAGAAGTAGTCCGGACAAAACTTTAAAAAATAAAAATAATTAAAGGGCCAAAAATAAGGAAAGAAACTGGAAATTGCTGAAGATATGCACAACTTATCTTGGCACTGATCATTCCAATAAAGTTTAGGTGAAATTACACCAGTAGTACTCTCTGGAAGTCCAGTAAAATGTCAACATTCCTTTGGAAAAATTATAATCTTTTGTCGAATTTTGCAAACCTCTCCAGTCAACATCTTGCATTCGTGCCTATACCACATTGCAATTTGTACCAGAGTGTCACATCAAGCTCGATAAAAACAGATTTTGTCTGTTTATTATTGAACGTTATAATAAGGAACGAACGAACACTTGAGTATAGAATAAGAAAAACTGCGTTATAATTTTTTTTTTCAATATAATTATGTAAACTAAAAGCAAGTACCAATGTCTTATTGCATGACTGTATGTTTCAGGATGGAAAATGCTTTACGTGAGTGGTATCCTAACATGACAATGGCATACTGGGACACAACACTGGACGCAGTGCTGGAGACACCGCGGGAGTCGAGCTTGTGGAGCGAGGATTTCATGGGTAACGGTGATGGATATGTATTGAAAGGAGTCTTTAAAGGTAATTGTGAAAATATGAAATATTCGTTTACAGACTATTGCGTTTGTCTTTAATTTATCTGCAATGAACGTTAATGGTAAATTACATAAAACGAAAGTATTGTCTTTGGGCACTTAATTAAATTGCTATCTTGTTTGTTGACAATGCCATAAGTAAAGATATAGGAAAAGAAACATAATTTACACATTTTAAATTCTACATTTTGATAAAAAAAAACTCGGTACCATTCAAGTTTGTTCAAGTGAATTTTAACCACATTGCTATGCCATTTTAGACTGGGCCGTTCAAAATGGCGAACTGTACAGAACTGTCGGAGCAAAATATGGACCCTTGGCGGACAAGAATATAACATATCTACTAGAGCATGATCATATCGGCAACATAAGTTTTCCTCTACGTGGTAAAAATGTGGAGAACGTATTCGAGGAAATTCACAATCGAGTGCACCATTTTGTTGGCGGGGAAATGAAAGTTATAGAGACTGCTGCAGACGACCCGGTATTTTTCCCGTACCATTCATTTGTCAGTCTTATCTGGGAAGACTTCCGGGCTATTCAAAGAATGCACGGAATCGATCCAGAGACGGACTGGGATGAATACTACGGGCAAATGAGACACCATAGATTTTCACCGATGGGGCTTGGAAATTTAATGGCGATGGACGGAAGTAGTGAAATTTTTGCCGAAAATATCGAATTCGCAGACCGTCCGTTTTGTTCTCGTGAAAATCCAGATTGCGACTCCCCTTATCTGTATTGCAACGTTACCGTAGAGAAATGTTCCCCATGGACTATTGTAGAGTACGACATTATTAAAAAGGCTGGACAAGATAACAACATGTTATTTGTAGACGCTGCAGTTAGATTTATTGAAAGTAAGGTGAACAAAGGTTATTGGCAATTGGCCAAACTAGAAAACGGAACTGATTTGGAAGAATACGGAGATCCATCTGAGGGGTATAAAGATCTATTCAAAATAATCGAAGAAGAAAATGCCAAGAATGCAAGCAACTTGGAAAATGGTGACAGTCAATATAGTGAGGAAATAACTAATGAATATAAAGACACAAGTTTAGATTTTGATGATGGTCATTTTCATGGAGATCATGACCACGGATTTGATGATCACAGTCATGGATCTGATGACCATGATCATATGCATAATGACTATGACCAGGCGAATAACGACTATGATCAAGACCATGACGAGCACACTCATGACGGCCATACACATGAAGGTCATGAACACCAGCATGGTAAAGTCATCCAAGGAGGAAAGCAGATCCATTACATCGCAGCTATAGAAAACGTTTTCCCAATTCACTATGCTGTCATTGCATTAGCCATACTTACTGGGATACGTTTGATTCTTACAATATTGACTAAATGTAGAGCAGAAAACGGTAAGAAAATAACAAGGTCAAGGTCGAAAAAATACCGGATGGATGGAATAGTAAATGCAAACTTTAGCGATGATGAAAATAAAAAATCTCGAAACAGTTCTACTAATAATCGCCGTGACAATATATACACTGTAACTATAACAACAAACGATCCCGCGTCGCCGGAGTATAACAGCACGTTTGTACGTTTTGAACAATATGCTATCGGTAATACAGGTAAAGAATCTCCAAAACCAACGGGTACTGAGAGACAAGCCAGCACCGTATCTGATTACTTGGATATGACTTATGCAAGTCATTCTAGTACAGAGGGAGTGCATGCATCCGAACAAATCAACGACATGTATGAAAAAGATCAAGATTCTGGGGATTATGCAAATGATGATGATGACTTCGAGGACAGAAGTTTCAATTCTATAGAAAACGAAAATTTTCGTAGCGAGATTGTTGCTACGGGAACTGATGAACAGGAAGGTGAGGATAATTTTGATGTTGCTGCGCCAAGTGATGAACAGAAAAGTGAGGATAGTTTTGATGTTATTGCTGCGGCAAATGATGGACAGAAAAGTGAGAACAGTTTTGATGTGTTTGACACATATGATAACTTTGTGTTTAAAAGAGAAGCTAATGATGTTACAGAAAATACAGAAAATGAGAAAGAAAAAAGTGAGGACAGTATTAGTGCAAAGTTTCTACCTGGAACACACCTGTAAAAACTAGTACAGTATATTTGATAACCATGAATACATGCACAACTAAATAAGTATTTAAAAGCTATATACACTGTACATATATGTAGAATGATTGGATCAATGATAGATATAAACATATGGATTATTATTCGTAAAATACTACAAACTCGTGCATTATAAAGAACTTAGGAGACGGGTTGGGGCATCGAAGTCGTGGTGTTTTTTTTAGTGTAAATTAAACGATTTTTCTAAAATATCGACATTCAGTTCCTTTAGAATGTACAAGTCGGCACGCTATTATTGTCAGTCGATAAAAAAGGATGTATCATTGTGATTACACGGTTCTATATTCTAATTATCTACCTAAATTTATTATACAGGAATTTTTAAAAATTTCATACCTCTGATATTGAAAGCCTTTAAACGAAAAACCCCTTACATTTCAAAACTTACTGTATTTTTTCTTCCTTTTCTTACAAAAACTCCTTGACCATAAAACAAAAAACAATGTTTGCTTTTTGGCAATAATAACAGTTAGAAAATGACTTATTTGATATGGAAGTCACCAAAATACCACTGTTTGTGTTGCTGCCTTTATTATACATAATTTCATATTCAGCGCTTCTTCCTCCGGTGATAAGCATCTTATATGCTTTAAATCCATTATTTGAACAATATTAAACGCATATTTTCACTTTCTAAAGTAGAAAAAAAATCTTATACATCATGTTCCTTTAAACATAATTAAGTCAGAGACTCATCAGCCACGTCAAATCATGTCTTCCTGGTGTAATTACACGAGGTATCTTATTCTTAATGTGATATATTACCACATTTATATGTACATTTGTACTTCCTTTTTAAAACCATATTCTCCTTTAAATGATAGTCATGACGTAAATCAACCTTATGTTAACCCAATGGATGAGATCATAATTACATGTAGTTTTTTCCCTCTCCTTTTTTAAAAAACAGATTAACATTGTTAAACCTTTATACTAAATTTCCTGTTACATATGCCACTGAAGATCAACAAAATCCATACACGTCAACAACTTAATTCAGACAGAAAAAAACTTCCAAAAGTATCTACAAAGAAATTGATGTCATGAAAAATATGTCACTTTTGGTGTTTCATAAAAAAAAAATTTCTAGTGTATATTCCTCATACATCACTTGTTTTTGTTTTCAAATTATCTACAGTAGTAACTTCATGATGCATGTATGTATAACATAATGTGCGTTTAGAGAAAATGGACACTGTTACTGAGAGGGGTGGGGCTCAGCATATAGAATTAAAAAGCATTTAGAAAAAACTTCATTTTGTCCCATGCTTTTCTTAAGGAATGTTTCTTTGAGTGAGAACTCAAAAATAAATAATAATTACCCTTTCGGAAAAGTAGAGTCGCTTTTCATTAGTACTTTATCTAAAATTGCTTTTCATGATCCAGTACCATTAATACCTTTATAATGCATGGATTACTGGTAAAATAATATATATAACATGTACAGTTGTTTTAAATGTGCTATATAATGACAAATAAAGAAACAATGTATATATACAGTTGAATTGTTTATTCTAATCTGTAAGAAACAATCACAGCATAACTTCAACAACTTTTCATCTTAAATACAAATTATATATATCACAAATAAGAGGTTATACTACACCATATTTTCCAGTCATTTAAACATTAAGTTTGGGTTTCTAACATTTAATATAACTTCAGTTAGGGATCTTCAGGTTATAGTACACTAAATCAATTACCTGACTTCACCTATAAAGTCTATTCAAGTCAACTTCAGGTTAGAGAACACTAATTTTTTCACGACAATTACCACTAATATTTTATTACTCAACATGTGGTCAAAGTGCATAACTATTAATTTTTGGGTAAAAATTTGGCTTGTCATAATGTTATGTAATCTTATTATTCATCAAATTATGATGACACCCCTATATCTTATGAGAATCAGTCAAAATAAAAAAATGTTAAACTAAAGTGTTATACAAGGAACCAGTCAAGTTTACTTTAAGTTACACTAAACTATAGTGTATACAGGAAATGGATAAAGTTTACTTATGGTTAAAGTACACTATGGCATTATACAAGGAATTAGTCAGGTTTACTTAAAGCTACATGCCTCAAGATAAGCAAAAGAAATATCAAGAAAATAAACCGTATGAAAAATGTACCAAGATATATTACAAAAATGTACTTAGATTTCAAGAACATTAAAAGTATTCAACAATTAAAGTAAAAATGTACATGCTACATGCAATGAATGACCAATTCCGCAGTATTTTCATATATTTCTTATTCATAACTAATGCAGCAAGGACTTTTTTCCACATATTTTGACCATAAGTTGGCAATTACATAGATTGAAAATATTTTTTGCAATGTGTTGATTACCTTTTATTGTTCACACCACAATATTTTACTTTTTTAATATATTTTCAACATTTTCATGAAAATTAGCATGAATCTGGAGGCATACAGCTTTAAAATTGCACTACACTTCAGTGTTTTAAAAAAAATCAGTCAAAATTATGTTAAGTTACACTAATCTATAGTGTTTTACAAGGAATCAGTCAAGTTTACTTCAGGTTAAACTACACTATAGCTTTTTACAAAGGATTAGTCAAGTTTACTTTATGTTACATAAAACTTAAAGGTTTTAAAAGGAATCAGTCAACTACACTAAAATGTTTAACCAGGAATTAGTTCATATAGTGTATAAGTCAAATTTAGGTTACATTACAAGTCAAAAGATAAAATCAGCCAAGTTAACTTAAACTAATTATACATTTTAATGTTTCATATTTTTTAACATTATGTAATACTACAATTAAGTGTTACATCATCAGTAAAACTTAGGTAACATCCCACAGTGCAGTTTATAAACAACTTAAGATGACACTACACTATAATGTTTACTTATAAATCAGTCAAGTTAACATTAAATTATACCCCATTGTTTCCTAGTGTTTTAAACAGGAATCAGTCAAGTTAACATGTAAACATGTTCCACTGCACTACAGTAAAGTGTTTATTAACTAATCAGTTGCATTAAAGTTTCAATAAAAGCAAGTCTATTTTTTTGTAACACTACACTTGCATGTGTCAGGGTCACACACTATTTTGCATATGATGATAAAGAAGTAAACTTTTGGTTCATGTGGATTCAATAAAGACTTTCACTAATCATGACATAGTAAACAAAGTGTTTCTCTAAACTAATATTCAATTATATTTGACAGCGTACAAAAATCAACAATCTTGTATCACAATCATGAATTTATCCAATTATTTGCATTTAATCTTAGCTATAAAAACTTTCGGTTACATTCTCCAGCATTAAACCAGTCCAGCATTAAACCAGTCCTGCATTAAACCAGTCCAGCATTAAACCAGTCCTGCATTAAACCAGTCCAGCATTAAACCAGTCCAGCATTAAACCAGTCCTGCCAATCTCCTACGCAGTGATCTCCCCTTATTAGTACAGAGATCTCTGCCATCACAAACATTGAAATATCCAAATTTGGATATTTATATTTTTTAGCTTTTTAATTTATTTTTCATTATTTTGTATACTTTTGATAATATTTTGATAAAATATAACAGACGTAGGTAAAAAAAAGTTGAAAATAAAACAGAAAGAGAAAAATGACGTTAGATTTTCTATGTAACGGTCGATATTTACATTTGAATTTCGACGTTACGTCATGTGACTTTCATCATCATGTGACGTCTGTGAAGGCAGTGATTACAATTCTGCCAAGGGAGGTAATCAGTGTGAGGAGTTTGCAGTCCTGCATTAAACCAGTCCAGCATTAAACCAGTCCTGCATTAAACCAGTCCAGCATTAAACCAGTCCTACATTAAACCAGTCCAGCATTAAACCAAACTCCTCACAGTGATTACCTCCCTTGGCTGAATTGTAATCACTGCCTTCAAAGACGTCACATGATGATGAAAGTCACATGACGTAATGTCAAAATTCAAATGTAAATATCGACCGTTACAAAGAAAATCTAACGTTATTTTTCTCATTCTGTTTTATTTTTAACTTTTAGTGCCTACGTTCGATATAGTTTATCAAAAAATTATCGAAAGTATACAAAATAACGAAAAACAAAATATAATATTAAAATATCGTCTCGGTAGAAAATAATCTCATAATTTTTAAAATTATTTCTAAATATTCAAATTATTTATTTATTTATTCATAAACATTGTTAAATAAATGAGAGAACACTTATCTGATAGATAAATGCAGTAGATAAATCAATTTTTGAAAAAATATAGTAAATCAGAAATTCTGATATATCGGGACCTTGGTGGCAGAGATCTATGCCGAAGAATTAAGGGGAGGTCACTGTGTGGAGATTGGCATTAAACCTGTCTAGCATTAAACCGGTCTAACATTAAACCTTTACAGCATTAAACAGTCAAACATTAAAAAGGCCTAGCATTTAACAGTCCAGCATTAAACCAGTCTAGCATTAAACTTGTCTAGCATTAAACCAATCTAGCATTTAACCTGTCCAGCATTAAACCAGTCTAGCATTAAACCAGTCTAGCATCAAACCAGTCTAGCATTAAACCAGTCTAGTATTAAACCAGTCTAGCATTGAACCTGTTGCTGCCAAAACTGTTCATAAATGACTATAGTGTATTTGCATGGGTCATTTTCATGAATTACATGACTTTACTGTAGCAGATGGCCTTTATATGGATATAAAATATATAAAACATAAGCTTTCATGAAAGAAAAATGAACAAAGTTATGATAAAAAAACCTTAAACCCAAAATCATTTGTCAGACTATGAGACTTGGATACAAACAAAAAACTGAGATAATTTAGGAAATTATACCTTGATAAAACTTAGCACAAAATCTGTGTAAAGAAGATTAAATATATCTCTTATACTTTCAAAAAATTGAGAAAATAATATCAAATCTTCATATTTGTCTGCATTAAACTGACCTTATATATTGTCTGAACTTCTGTCTTATCAGTAACGGTTGTATATATACACATATTGTACAGTTTAATGACCAATCAGTGAAAAATATGTATCAAGCAGATTTAAAATGTTTCAATCCCTTTAATAACAAGGAGCATTAAGGATTATAACAACATGCAATTCATATGGTAATCATAATCTATATCCTTAAATCATTTTTATCTGTGCAGTATGACTAGGCTCTACCCAATGGGTAGCTCAATTTTTGTTTCTTGATATTGAAACACCTTAAACTTAAAACAGAATGATTCAAAATTCAAAGAAAGTTCATAATTCAAATGTTCCAAATTCAAAGAGTGATTGAAAATTTGTTCCAAATTAAAAGACTGACAGAATGATCCAAATACAAATGTTCCAAATTCAGACTGATTGAAAGACTGTTTCAAATTCAAATGTTCCAAATTCAAAGATTGTTCCAAATTTAAATATTCCCATTTTAAAGACTGATTAAAAGACTGTCCCAGATTTAGATGTTCCAAATTCAAAGACTAATTGAAAGACTGTTCCAAATTTAAATGTCCCAAATTCAAAGATTTTTCCAAATTCAAATGTTCCAATTTCAAAGACTGAAAGAATGATCCAAATTCAAATGTTCCAAATTCAAAGATTTTTCCAATTCAAATATTCCAAATACAAAAACTGATTGAAAGACTTTTCCAAATTCAAAGACTGATTCAAAGAGTGTTCCAAATTCTAATGTTCCCAATTTAAAGGCTGATTGACAAACTTTTCCAAATTCAAAGCACAGCAAAACCATAACACAAAATTTAGCAGGTTAAGGGTTAAATACTAACAGCCATGACTTGCTAATGCCAGCGGTACAGAACCAGGTATAGAGCCAGGTAAGCCTGTACATCTATATGTAGTCACACAGGGATCTATACCACTGGCCTGGCTGCTAAATGTCACCTCTTTGATACTGAAATCTCTTTAAATAACAATGGGTACTTCCATATCCAAAGCAAGATAAGTCTATTTTACAAATTTTAGCAGAGTTAGGATTTAAAGCAGTTCTTAAATAAAGCATCTAAAATACCTTAAAAAAAGCTTATAAGCAAATATATACATGTGCTATCTACATTATTTCTATACATGTATACATGTATATATATACAAAACTTTTTCTATACTTTACAATATATACATCTAATATATACATATTTTATACATTCATTATAATAAATATATATAACAGTAAAACTTAGAAAAAACAATGCCTGCATACACACACATACATGTATAATTAATTACATAAACTTGTTAGCACTTTACTTTAATAATATGTACACTGTCCTTCAATAGTTTGTTTACATATGTTATTTAAGTTAAGTTTTTCTATACCTTTTTTGTTAAAAATTTCCCAAATTTTCTTAGATTTGTTTCCTTTCTTTTCAGGAGTCATATATGTTGAAAAGAATTTATTAATACAATAAACATGAAATATGAATGAAAATAACTAGAAGGTAACTTTTGGAGAGGGCAGCATACATATACATGTAGATAGTGATATCTTTAAAAAAAAATATAAACAACCTAGCTACAGATACGAGCGTAACTGGCCAATTTACAAGTATTTTCAAAACACAGAGATTCCTGTCACCCCAGTCCCTTACACACATATCTTACCAAATTTCAAAAAGAACTTAACTTTAATTTTGATATTGAAAAAGTTTAATGGACAGCTGGGCAAATCAAATACATTCAGCATGTTAAGATCAAATTCCAATAAACAATTACCCTGTTTTAACAATAACATATTGCAAGCCAAAAACTAGTCACCTACCATGTCACCTGACACACCTCCACATACAGTACATTATTTCTTATAACTCTTCACCCATCCTTGCAACAAGTTACTAGATGTCATGGTATTTCACAGTATCTATAGATCTATCATCATATATCAAAGCTCGAGTGTATATTTTTTACACAAAATCTGACTTACTCAGAATACTATACTTTAAGTCACTATTTTCTCAGATGAACAATACAGTAACAGAATTCTGTAACAAACAAGATTAGAAGATAAACTGCACGTTAAAAGGTAAACTGTACTCAAAACTTAGTAATGAAGTTTTTCTCATTATAACATAAGATTATTCAAGCTTATAAACATCTCCCATTTCCCTTCCTCAGTGTAAATACAAACCTTCACAATGATCAATTAAATTTCAAGTGCAGCATAAAAAGATTTCAAAATTGAAGTACAGATTTTATTGTTGGAAGAAGACCATTGATGCCCTTCTAAACTGATGATATAACATGTGGCACAAACAGGAATCCGGTTAAAACAACTATGATCATTCTTTCTCAACCCTTAATATGCTGTAAACAAATTGACCCGCTTTTGCCACCACTAGTAAAGAGACAGGCCAGTCTGATCTACCATTGTAGGGCACTAACCGTAACCCTGACCTTACTCTACACTAGCTCAAATTTTTGTACCTGATATTGAAATCCCTTGAGCTTGAAATGAACTATCCCAAATTCAAAGTTGGACAAATTCATTGCACTAATTCAGCATGTATAGGGTTCATCAAGTTGGATGACTTTTTTTTTCAAAATAACACAATTCAACAATCCAAGATGGGATCTTACTCACTGAGTGAGTCACAAACAACTTATTGTGGTAGTATAACCAACCTGCCATGTTGCCATGGAGGCATGTTGCCACGGAGATTCATTCCAAGTGAAAACATAATTTTGGTGAATTATAAAAAAATGCTGTATTATTTTTTTGTGATACATAGATTTAGTCATACACATAAAATTTTACTCAATGAATAAGCTGTATATTTCCTTGTGGTTTTTATAAAATACCTATCTTCAAAAATAAAAAAATTAAATTGCCTCGAGATAAGACGAAAATGGATTATAAATGTGGTATTTATAAATGATATATTTGAAAAAATGTGAGTTACATCAGAAAGACTATCTTTAACACATATATATTTTATTATAAGCTAATGCCTAAAATAAAAAATCTTAACATACATAAACATATATCCCTTGTATAATGATGGTTGCATATACGAATGTAAAATAACACTAGAGCTATAAACGTTTGTGTCAACTAAATATGAGACGTATTAAATAACTAGCACAAATTAGTAAGCTTTCATATGTACAAAATAAAATAAAAAAGTAATAAAGATATTATTTCAAGTATTTCATTTGAACCAAGGGAGGTAACACTGTAGAAGTCATTTTTCGAAAATTATTTCCCTTTATAAATTAAGCATATGATTTGTATAACTCAAATTAACCAGACAAGAATTACATATAATATTTTATATATTATAATGAAAATTTAAATTTCAATGCAGAAAATTTTTCCAGAAATAAGTACGGCCAAGGACTGTTTCATTAATTCACTTTTTGACCTAGATGCATGGAATAGTGAATCAGGGGTATCTAACGCTTATGAAAGAACAAAATTTAATGGTATGTTTCCAAAACTATCTAAAAGTTACACACAAAAACAATATAAATCCTAACTAATTTATACAATGCCCTAATTGAAAGACAACGGTTACTATTTTACAAATAAAGAATTAAGGGCAGTAAGTCAAGACATGTAGGTTTATACACGTAAGACTCATCTAAAAACTGACCAAATTATTGTCCAAAAAAAATTGCTTGCTGCTGTTAAATATGTACATTTTAATATATGAACTTTTCACATGTTTGGGTACAGGAAAGTGGTTATACTATTGTAATACGCTGCCCTACAGTAATATATCTTAACCTTACAGGGCTAAATATCTTAAAATGAACGCATTCATCTTTTGAAACCATTCATCAATTTTATAGAAAATTTATAAAATCTGCTTTGTACGAAAAGCAAAGGGTGCAGACCATGATTTAAACAATACAGGAGTGTTCATCTTAGCATGGGTAGAACCTGTTGCCAACAGCATGCTACTGTAGGAACTAAATTTCATTTAAAATAACAAATAAAAGATATTGTACTTGCATAAATAATTCCGTTGTTTTGTTTTTTATTTTTTTTAAATAAAACTGCAGCATGAAGGAAAGGCGGTTAAAGGTTGCGACATATTATCCTAATTTACTCATAAACTTTGAGCTATATCTTGATCTAATGAAACTTTTAAGGTTGTATTTGGAAATCATTAACTTGTAACATGAAACCTTTTATAAACTTGTATAGACAGTTTACAGGATTTCTGAAATCTGAACCAATTATTTTGGTACATAATGTCATACATGTAATAAGGTAATATATTCTTAAGGGAATTCTTTTATAGAGTCCATTTTTTTGGTTGTGTTCCAAACCATAGTGGTGAAGAGATTTGAAATTAGCAACTCAAACCATTCTACCACTTCAGCCCTTAGTATATATTTCTGTATCTGAAGGTATTATTGATTGGGATAACTTTACTTCATTTTTTCATTTCCACTTTAAACATTTTAAAAGTTACAAAAGCGCAGTTGGAAAGTTCAGAGTTAAAATGAATGTTTCTCTCTTTATAAACTATGTGGGATTTCAACATTTTGCACAGGTCTCTAAAATTTGTGAGAGTTATTGTAACTATTTTATAACCCCTCTTTACAAGATTTATACATTTTTCTGTACATATTTTTATCAAGTTTTGGCTTGTGGATTTTTTAAGGGGAGTTCTGGAGCAGCCATTAGCTCTTCCATTGCCTGGCAGTTCCCCCTCATAAAGAGAATAATGCCGGCCTTGTATGCCGCGGGAATTGATATATGCGAGGTCAGCTGACTTTTCATGGACATCATCTGTTCCGCAGGCATATATTGTTCTCGTAGCATATGTACCACTTGACCTGTATAAAATAAATATCAGTTAAAAATGTATTAAAAAGAATGTTCAAGTATTTTAACCTGACCTGTTAATAAAACAAACAAAGATATCCCTTTGGTAATAATGCCAAGGCATCCCAATACACTATATTAGTAACAATTAAAGTTATAAAATTATTCATATTATGTTGATCAGTGATATATAGAATGTCCTTAATTATTGCACTTTTTTTTACTGAATATAAAACATGTTTAACAAAACAAGAGCTCTCTGTAAGACAGCACGCTCAACTATTCTCAGTGCTTGTCATTAAGAAAAGGGTTATCACTCTGTAAACAGTTAGCTCAAGAGTTATGGGACCTGTGCCCATCATATGAGATAATCACAGAAAACAGGTTGTGTGAATTTCAATCAATTCCCTTCAGTAGGTTTGGACATACCAACTGGCATGCAAAAACTGCGACTGTGACACCAACACTGACACCTACACTTGGGTGAGTACAATAACTCCAGATTTTTCAAATTGTTAAGCTAACAAAAAAGATTAATATGACTTAGTATACCAAGCACATTCATCGTCCGCCATCTTGGATCTCGCTGTTTTATAATCTCATTAAGTGGACACCAATCTCGAAACCTGCCGACAACATCCTGACGTCTCACCAGCAACACTGAGTCACTTGTTAACTGTTCCATTATAACACTCTCTGGTACAATCTCCAGTGGATTGGTTAAATATATACCTACAAATAGAGAAAATATAATTCCTAAATATGTAAATATCCTACATATGTGCTTGCAAAAATAGGAACACATTCTACATTACATGGATTTATTTGATGTCCTTCCTCCATGTAATATGCATGTACATGTTTATGGCACAAACTGACACTTGAGTATATCCATTAGCCTAATAACCATAGGCACTCAGTTTAACAACACAATTAACATATTTAATTTGATTATTTTGCATATATTAAAAAACAAGGTTTCACAGGAAGGGTATAAAGCTATATCTAATGAAATATTTTTTAAATTATAACATTTAAAAATATTAAAATTATGTTGTTTTCCATTATCTTACTGTCGATTATCGAAAGACTTGTAACATAGAATGTCAATGTTCTTTAACACACACATGAATATTGTATGTAAACAGAAGAAAACATTCTGAAACAATAGATTATCCAGCAGTTTTAAGTTGGGTTTTAAGTGTAAAGCTGCAGTAATGTATTTATGCTGTTATAATGACTGGTTCAATAGGACACAATAAGCCTGAGGTACATACTGTTGGTAATGACATATATACGTATCAAGCTGTCATACCCTCTATGTAACAAGTTGTGGCCTACCTTTACTACTGACACCATAAACCATCTGATGATGCCAGGCATCTGGTATAGTCCAGCCGGGCTTCACACCTCGCTGAAGATTTAATGTAGCTACTGGAACAGCTCCTGTTTTACAATATATAATCAATTGATATATTCATCACTAAAATATTTATACATGCCACTCATTAATTAAAGAAATAAAGATCTGATATTGTTTAACTACTGTATCATACATGAACAACTGAACCAGATTCATGGTGATGGTGTTAGTAGTTTTCACGCCGAATCACAGCTGTAAGTCACATTGAATTTACCAGAACACAGTTCAGCCACCGCTTTGTTCCTGGGCAGGCTGACAAGCAATTTACCAGTACAAGTTGCCTTCACTTAACTGCAACTTCTGTACATGCCAGAGCAGAGGTACAGTGTGAATGACTGTAGAAAGGATTTCTGTTCAATCGCACAACAAAAGTGACCTGCACCATCCAGAAATCGAACCTGAATAGCCTGATTCACGGTCCAATGCTCTACCTATTGCGTTAACAAACAGTGCATACCAGATTCATACAATTAAGAAACATAAATGTAAATCTCTGTCACCTTTCTTCATCCAATGTCCGAGCCATTTGAGTAACTCGACTTCTCTAGGAGGATAAAAATGGAAGAATCTTCCTTTTATTGCACCTCTTGTCCCAGTGGTAACACCATCAACAAGCACCTGTGCTGTAGTTCCTGTAATAAATGGTTATTAGAGTATTTATTGGTTGAACGCTCTTCTTTCCTACAAGACTAGTATATCCATCCCCATCCTGCCTTGTTGGTCTTCACTTTCATGTTTTAGTATTTTGATAAGGAATCCCTGGTATTTGAGAGGTATCCCTGGATTAAATCTTGGGGATTCCTATGGGATCCCTGGCAAAAACAGACAGAACCACTTATTTCCCTACAATACAGGTAGACCTGTCTTTTTAATTTGATATCTGATTTTTTTTATTACTTACCATTTTCATCCTAATTTTGAAGAAGATTGAAAAAACAACAACACATTTTATCTTAAATTTGTCTCTTTCTTTCCTTAAGTTTATATCCATGTATCTATCTTCTATAGAATATCCTCTATATCTTAGAAATATCCCAGGCAAATAGCTGATAATTTATGATAAAAGCCCAGGGAGTGAAAGGGTTCATCATTCATGATCATATGTGGTCCAATTTATCTTATCACATATTTAATCTTTATGTACAAAAGTATTAGTAAACAAACTTACTGTACACCGAGGATATGTCCGATTTATAATATATTCTTATTAAAATACAATGAACTTTAATTTTTCCATTAAAAATAATTGAAACTGTCTTATTTCTTGCAGCCCTTTTTCTATGCCTTCAAAGTTTCCTGCAGTTATTCACATATAAAGCCACCACGACTATTTAGCCAAGCAGACCCTTTTTCTTCATGAATGATAACAAGTCATGCATTCCATATTTCAAATTAAGATGGCACAAGCTACTACCCTTTTATAAACAATGTTGATAGTCAATGACAATATATAGATACATTTGTAAATAGGTACTGTTAGCACTAGTGTTTATACAGTGTTAAAATTTGGACATAGTTACTGAAGTATTTCTTTATTCAGTATTTTCAGTTCTTATATTTTCGCCACTTCATAAGAATGACAAAGTAGGGGAAAATTTAACTAGACAAAAAAATATCCCAAGGTACGATATTACGTTACCTGCATTATATCTGGAGAAGAGATAGTAGGGTATAGGTGCTGCCTCCATCCTCAGGTTTGACTGTATTGTGTTTGCCACCTCTTCTTTCTCCACTTGAAAATCAAACGCTTTCTACAATAATAAATACAAATGTAACAAATAAAACACTGCCTTAAACCTTCTAGTATATTGCTTATGATTTATCTGGCACATTTATGAAACAAATATATCCGTATTTCTTCTTTTACCAAACAACTCTTACAAATTAAGGACAGAAACAAGGCTGCATAAATTAAGATAAATTAGATGTACCACTAAACTTCAATATGATGCTAGCAGAAAAGCTCTCTCATATAAAAGAACTTAATGTGTTAATAAGCATGATTAACAGACACCTGGCATGTAATGTGTCTAATATTTTCTGTGGATTTACAAGGTAAATGATACAAAATCCTATATTTTCTGTGGATTTATGAGGTAAATGATACAAAACCCTTTATTTTCTATAGATTTATGAGGTAAATGGTAAAAAACCCTATATTTTCTATGGATTTATGAGGTAAATGGTACAAAATCCTGTATTTTCTATGGATTTATGAGGTAAATGATACAATATCCTGTATTTTCTATGAATTTATGAGGTAAATGATACAAAATCCTATATTTTCTATGGATTTATGAGGTAAATGATACAAAACCCTATATTTTCTATGGATTTATGAGGTAAATGATACAAAATCCTATATTTTCTGTGGATTTATGTAGTAAATGGTACAAAATCCCATATTTTCTGTGGATTTATGTAGTAAATGGTATAAAATCCCATATTTTCTGTGGATTTATGTGGCAAATGGTACAAAATCCTATATTTTCTATGGATTTATCTGGTAAATGGTACAAAACCCTATATCAAAAATTATTATTTGTGGATTTATGAGGTAAATGATACAAAATTTTATATTTTATGTAGATTTGAAGGGCAACAGGAATTAAATATATTTTATAATTTCTGTGGACTTGAAGGTCAACTGGTATCAATTAAGTTTAACATTTTCTCTTAATCTGCAAGGCAACTTGTACAAAGTATTATATTTTCTATATCTTATTTCAACATTCACATTAGGCATGAGTATGAACCAGATACTTACAAGAACATTAAGGACAGCTGTGGGACCACATGCCGATGTTCCTATCTGTTTAACTTGGACAACATAAGCTTCATACTCATTCCAAATCATCACTTTCTCCACGTCATTCACCGGACTTCTGGTTCCTCTTCGACGTCTTAACTAAAACACAAAATTATCAATACAATCAATGTCTACAGATTGTTAAAAAACATTTTATCAGATACATGTGCCAAGTTTTCGACTACCTAAAAATTGTATTGCAAGGCCGTCAAAATATTTTGACATGACTTCATCAATGTTATATATAGTGTAAAGTCGTGCTTAATGTTAGTGTAACACCCGTCAATGAAAACTGATTCTTTTTCACTTTAAACAGTCTTTATTTCAGGTATGTGATAAATAGAATATTATATTTGCGTATATTTATTACTGAATTTATTGCACTCATTAAATAAAATAAAATTTTGTTAGCCGGAGGCTCGCATAATATAATTTTATTCAACTTGTTCAATAAATTCAGTTCTTAACCTATACTCCATATAGTACATAAATTACATTTCAGACAGGTTAATAAATGATATATATGTTATAATATCATACAAAAGGAACCATCTGTATTGGTAATTTACCTTAGTTATAGCATTAGACAAAGGTTGTGCTGTTCTGCTTGCCTCATTTTCTCTTGCTCTTTCTTCAAGAAGCAACTCTAGCTGGTCAATATCTTCATATATTGGCTCATTGTCATCCATCCTGGTCAATAACAATACATATACATCATCCATCCTGGTCAATAACAATACATATACATCATCCATCCTGGTCAATAACAATACATATACATCATCCATCCTGGTCAATAACAATACATATACAACATCCATCCTGGTTAATAACAATACATATACAACATCCATCCTGGTTAATAACAATACATATACAACATCCATCCTGGTTAATAAAAATACATATACATCATCCATCCTGGTTAATAACAATACATATACATCATCCATCCTGGTCAATAACAATACATATACATCATCCATCCTGGTCAATAACAATACATATACATCACCCATCCTGGTCAATAACAATACATATACAACATCCATCCTGGTTAATAACAATACATATACAACATCCATCCTGGTTAATAAAAATACATATACATCATCCATCCTGGTTAATAACAATACATATACAACATCCATCCTGGTTAATAAAATATCACTTTCTCTAACCAGTACATCTGTATAGTAGCATTTCATATATCTATTATTAATGTCATTTAAATGTTAAGTCAGTTTCTCTTCAATAGCTGTAAAGCATGTTTTATAATAATTGTGTTTCCTTTAAACAAAGCCCTATAGGTAAGCATATATCCATGAACTTTTATAGATTTTCAGCAGATGGGTGAAATTTTATGGATTTCAACAAAATGGGTGACTTTATAACTTTTATATAAATTTAAACCCATATTGGCTGTTTTATAGATTTTAACCCTATGGATGAGCAATTAAAGATTAATTCTTGAAGCAAGTAGCTATGGATCTAAACACTTTTGAAATTCATTCATTAATTGATTTTATACAACCTGCTAATCTATTTACATGTACCTCATTTTGTGTCCTCTAGAGTGCTTTCCCTTGGATCCTGGACCATACAGCATGTTATCATTGGCCTGTTCCAAATTTGCCGCAAATTCCGACTGAGGCATGATGTCAAAATTTTCCATATCAAAAACACTGACACCAGCAACTTCCTCCATACTGGCTCCTGGCATTCTAATGTTCTCTTCCTCATCAGAGCTACTACAACTCTGGATGGGAACCGGTAAATTACAGTTTGACATTGATACAGGGACATTGTATGGCTGTTTCTCAAAAACTTTTTCCTGCGTGTTGACTTCGTCATCTTGAAAGTTTGAACCAGAGATTGCATTATTTGGCTCTTCACTTTCAGCAGGTCTGAAATAGTTGGGAAGAAAAGTTAGTTTAAATTCTAAAATTCTATCTTCCTCTTCAATGTTTTATAAGTATTTCAGCAGGTAAATAATCTTGATATTATAAAATTAAGAGATACAAAATAATGAAGTGAAACCTATACCAGCAGTAATGAACCAGACCAGTCTGCATTACCAGACTGTATACTGTTAGCAACTCAAGTTTGGTATTTGATACTGAAATCTCTTAATGTCTTCCATCTAAAACTAACAGTTCAAAATTCAAAGCATAACTAAGCTGTTACATGAATTCTGCTGATATTAGGTCAAAGAAATATTTCATCATTACTAGAAAATTAAATCAAACTGGTCACACAAAATTTACCTCTCATCTCCATGGTTACCGTTGTCAAGCTGCATCAGTTCCTGATCGAGACTTCTAGATCTACGAGTGTAATATGGACAATACAAGACTTCATCTGGGCTGGTGAAGTCCAGCGAGATAGACTGGCGGTGTAAAGGTCTACTACTGTACTCCCTAGTACCCTCTTCACTCAACTAAAATACATCAAGGCTGGCAATAATTCTCAAATACAAATACATTATAATTTGAAAATTCCAACTTATATAACTAAAACATTGAAATATCAACCAGTGTTAAAACTAAACTACATGTATTTTGAAATATATACCATACATAGAAAAAACCTACATGTAAAACCTAACGCCACTACATGTACTTCATTTTCAAACTTAAATCCTTATAAACTAAGTATTATGACTTGTTTTTTCAAAGACAAGTTTTTGTGGCATACATGTTACTTTCAGGTGTTTTTTTTGTTGTATTATCATTAATATTATGTGGTCAAAGAGAGCCATTCTTTTCTCATTTCCTAATATTAGTTCTTCTAATACAGCTTGCCTGAACAAGAGCTGTCCGTAAGACAGCGCGCTCGACTTTTTTATTGCTTGCCAATAAAAAAAGTTTTTGCAGTAAAAGGCAATACAAGAATCTCTGTATTTTTAAAGTGAACAATGGCCATGAGCATTAAGATATTTAGTGAAGAATTATTTTACTGAATTGTGTGATACCCTTGAACACTGCAGCAAAGTTTGAAATGTTTAAGTCAAAAGAGTTAAGGGCCATAATTCAAATAAAATCTTTGACAGAATTACCTTCTCCTGGACATGTTTGGGAATCATGATTGTAAACAAGTATTCCAACTTTCAAATTAATATCTCAAACAGTTCAGTCAAAAAGTGGACTGGTACTAAAAACTTAACCAAGATTCTAAGTCGATAAAAGGCCTTAATTTTTAAAACAAATCCTTGACAGAGTTACCTTCTCTTGCGTACAGATGGGGTAATGATGTGAAATAGCATTAAAAGTTTCAAAGCAATATCTCAAAGGGTTAAGGCAATAAGTGGATTTTACCCATATTCAATGTATTTTCTAAGTCAAAAAGGGGCATAATTCTGTCAAAAACCTTGACAGAGTTATGTCCTCTTGTCTGTTGATGAAGGTCGTGATGGTAAACAAGTATGGTCAGTTTCAAAGCAATACCTCCAATGGTTTTGAAATAAAGTGAGGTGGTACAAAAAACTTAACCAAGCTCAATACACTTTCTAAGTCAAAAAAGGGCCATAATTCTGTCAAAAACCTTGACAGAGTTATGTACTCTTGTCTGTAGATGGAGGTTATGATGGTGAACAAGTATGGTAAGTTTCAAAGCCATACTTGTAATACTTCTGAAATAAAGTGGGGTGGTACGAAAAACTTAACCAAGGTGTGACGCCAACGCCGACGCCGACGCCGGGGCGAGTAGGATAGCTCCCCTTTTCATAGAAAAGTCGAGCTAAAAATGAATTAATCAAGTGATTTACATGTGTAATAATTTCCTGACTGATTCCTTGTTCTCCTGTTATCTCTATTATCAATCTCAGCTCTATCATTACAATGAAAATAAAGAAAACAGTATAAATAAATATCATTTTTCTTAACAATGTGAGATTCTGTACCTGGCTAGATTGCACAACTGTCCCATCGTCAGAATTGGTTAAACTTGGTGCATGGAAGACTGACTCGGCACCAGTTTCTGTGTCCGGTGAAATCATCTCAGATGAATCAGACACGTAAATCCGGTCGTATGGATCACTGTCACTATTGCTGAATCGAGCACATGTGAAAGAATTATTACAAACTTTTTCATAGTTATTGTTTAAAGGCAACAACCCATTGCCACAACTTCTGTTGAGGAAATTATTTGATGAACTTGACCTTGAACCAGGCCAAGTTCTGTGTTTTGCACCATTTTCAAACCAGCGACTTTGTTCGGCATTTAACTCTTTAAAGCATTTATCACAAACATCTACTCCCAACTCCCTATGACGCTGACTGTCCACAACCATAGGTTTATCACAGCATGCACATAAATTATCTCCCTTTCCAATATTACTATCTCTATCTCCTTGCACTGAAGAGTCACTACTACTACCATGACTAAGCATATTACACGATTCACATTCCACTATTAGACATTCGTCTGAACACTTACAATCTGAACTCAACACATGATAATCATCATTTTCTTCAGTACTTTTATCACAAGATATATTGCATGGGTAAAGACATGAAAGCTCTCCTCTAACAGTACTGGAGGCAGCTGATAGCACATTGCTTGCCCCACTAGAAGGTCTCTGTTCTGTATTCAACACATTTTGTACATTCATTCTACTGGGAGACATATAACCACCATCTGTTGGATCAATTGTCTCGTTATCAGACTCTATATCTTCATCATTATTTGGTAAAACTTCATCCCCACACCCTTCATCTTCATCTGAGGTTGAATCTCTTGAAAAGAAAGCAAATCTTTCAACATTTGGAGGAAAATCTGCTTCAATAAAATCTCCTATGTCATCATTATTATCAACTTCAGTTACTTCAACCGCAACATCATTATTTTCTTGAATCTCAACATTACCACTTTCTACTTCCTCAAGGTTATTATCCAGGTCAACATTTTCCATTAAACATCCTAAATCACTATCAGTACTGACAGTATCATCTTGAGCACCATTGTCTTTTACTTCCTCCATATCTCTAACTTCCGGATCAAAATCATCACAAATGAGACTATCTGATGACTCCCCACTATGAAGCACTTCATTTACCATGTGTTGTGGTTCTTCTAAAGCATTTATTGAAAGACTTCTAACAACATTTGACATAAGACAACCAGCTGTCTCTTGAACCTCATTGTTAACATTAGGTAAATGTTCAGAACTTTGTTTGCATGCCTGGGATGATTTAGCATCATCCTGTTGAGCACTTTCATCATCAGAAAAACTTTCTGGAGTAGCAAGAGGTGCTGTTAATTCTTTAACCACCCTACCATTTTCAGCTAATTCTCTTGATGGTGCAACAGTTTCCTCATCTTCAACATGACCATTTGTTCTTAAACCATGACTAAAATTAGCTAAACCACCAGCACAATGGTTAGAAGGTATAGTCTCCTGGTTATTTACAACACCTCCCCTTGTTCTTCCAAATATCAGATCATTCTCATGTCTATAAACATTGCATACTGATCTAGAATATCCAGTTCCATTCAATCTAACATCAATACCATTCATTGTAACTTTTAAGTCTTTCTTGCCATTATTTCTCTTCATTCTACCATTGTTTTCCCTTCTGTCATTTGTATTATCATTTGCCAATTCATCTTCTAATTCATCTGAATCCTCCTTGCCATTGCATTGAACTTCCACACAAGTGGATTGCCCATTTACCATATCAGATGACCTGCTAAACCTCGTACAAGTCCCTGGAGCATTATCACAACCATTGGTGAGTGGTGGGTGATTGCTCTGGGTAGCAAGAGAAGTGTTTGGAACCCTCTTCCTGTCATTTGGGACTTGTCTGTCTTTTTCCATTGTTTCTGTTTCAAACTGATTACATCTTTTTTATGCTTTTTTACCACATCATCGAAGGTATGAGACAAACTGGATGTTACATCTGAAGGGTAAACATATTTATGTATAATATATTTTGATTAAAATGGATAGATATATAATCAATTAAATTACATGAAGATAAGATTTTGTATTTATGAATTACAGTGTTAATCATCATGATTTCATTTTTTACACAAGTCTCTTCAGCAAAAGTAATAAAAAAATCATTACTGTGAAAGGTTTAAAGCCTTATAATACAACAGAACCACACATGCATGTTTTCTCCATGCATGCACAAGTCATCACTCAGACCCTGATCCTTGATTTGTAGTCAGCTCAAACTCAGACTTCATGTATTTCATTATTTGACTGGTTAGAAAACTTCACAGAATGTACACTGACCAATGAAAAGCCTGAGATTTGAGAAAGAACTCTGAATGAAGTTTAATACAGGGAAATCAAGTGCGCCCGGCCAGGTGTTAGACGCCCGGCTATTACATTAGTTATCCCGAAACAACCAATTTTTAACAACCTTATTCAAACACATTTTTATTCTGTTGGCGCTGATGCATATTTATCAATAGGAAAAAATCAACGATTGTTCGAAGACTGTTGTGAAATTTTCTTACAATAGTACCTGACTGATCTTGAAACAAATCTTTAGTGGTGATTACCCTGCTGTTTGAATTTAGGTTAAAATATTCCTGGGAGTGACCCGTGTGGGTCATATCGTTTTTATTGTTTTTTCTAAGAAAGATCAAGACATGTTGATATTAAATGTACCAGGGTTTCTACTAGGAATTTTTATTTAAGAGTCCCAGGGACTCGTGCTCATAAAATATGAGGGTCCCAGAGAAAAATATGAGGGTCCTAATCATTTATTACTTTAAAGTAAGGTATTACTTATATATATTGTCTAGGTTTAATTCTTTACATTTATATACATTGTTCAACTACATATGCATTTTAATTGACCTTGTTAAATAAAATAAAAAATATAAACTATATATTATTTATTTTTGCTTTGTCAACTCAGGAAATACATTTCGCAATGACATAATCATCATTTATTGTTACATTTTATTTTTTCCTTTCTTTCATTTGGCTGAATGTTTGTGCAAACTTGCAGAAAGTCAAGATCTTTCACATCTGGTCCGACTAATTTTATAAATTGTTTAACTACGTCCAAGTGATCTTTAGACCCTTGATGACGGACCAATGTACTTTTTAAAGTTCAAACATCCTTTTTCCAGAAAATGGATTATTTTTTTTGGTTGAACGAAATGGTGCTTTTCATACCCTTTCTTCTCTTTTTTGGACGGCCACCGAAAGTACTTAGCCACTTTTTTTAAAACTAGGGATTTCTTGATGGCAGCTGAATGTTAAAATGACTTTCATAAAAAGAAGCTGGGCCCTTTTTAAGGTTTACTAAATTTAGTGTGCGCCTTTTTATTTCGAAATTTAATGAAAATTTAATTGAAAAAAAGATACTCTGCTGTTTTCAATTTTTAAAACCCCATTACCAAAAATACTTCTTTCCTTAAAAAAGGGGAAAGGGAATTTTCCCCAAATGACATTCGGGGGAAAAATTTAAATTTTTGCCCCCGGGGACGCAGATTTTAGAGTAATTGAGGGTCCTAGGTTACTATTTTTGCGTCAAGGACGCAGGAAATGTGCGTCAATAGAAACCCTGATGTACCAACCTTAAAATGAATAAATGTTGATAGATGCATTAATAGCAAGCTCGAAGAGCTGGCCCGAAGGGCCTGCTCACAAAGCGAGTTTTACGGTAACGCGAGTACCTGCTAAGTGATGGTTTTGAAAACTTTCGTCCGAAATACCGAATTGGACACATCGCAACTTTTCGAATTACAAGATAACGATAAAAGCCAATGTACTCTGATTGAAAACGAAAGCGTAGACTGGTGTCCTGTGCACTTATATAGGAACCATAATAGAAAGGGGAACCAGAATAAACGGAAGCAGTGTATAAAATAGCGAATGACAATTTTAAAACGGAAAATGTAAAATAATGAACGATTATTTCAAACTATCTTACAGTGAAAGAAAATTGAGCTCGCTTTGAGGCTTTGCCTTTTTCATATTATCTAAAATAAATTTAAAGCATAATTTCCCCTTCCATTTATTATTGTTTAAAAACAGCTTAACTGTTTGAATATTGGTTGTTCCAGGATACTTGTTGGGCCAAACCATTTTGAAATATATCTCGGCTGAGATGAACAAAAATTTTAGGAAAAAAAAATAAATTTTTAAATTAAAAAAAATCATAATATCAAATGCCCCCTTAAAAAAAATTAAAAAAAAAGAAATTTTTTAATGAATTCTTTCACATAAAAGGTTTTTCTTTTATAAAATATTTTAACTTTTTCATGAATTTCAAAAAAAAAAAAAATTTTCCTTTTAAAAAATTATCTTAACCAACTGTGTAAAAACCCTATTCCTTTTGATTTTAAATCAGTGGAATTTTTTTTCACCTTGGGGCAGAGGGAATCTTACCATCTATACTTGAAAAGAAAAATTGTCAGTACAAAAGAAATTTTCAAAAATACCTTTTTAAAATAATGATGGCATGAAAGTCAAAGTTGTATATCTACGGAGAAATTGAAAGAAATAACTTTATTTTTATTAAAAATCTATTTGGCAGCCATTTTTGAGGTTAAGTATAAAACATTTACATATCCAGAAAAATGATCGGCATCCTCTCATTACTAGATGGATGGATGGATGGATGAAAGCTCCCACAGCACTATTTCAGTTGAGATTTAATTTCATTTATTATTATTTTTTTTAATTTTGTTACAGCGTGGTTCAGCCAGATTAACCCACAGAGCTATATTTTTATTATCTGTAATATAAGTCTCTGCCAGATATATAATTGAATTGATTCCACGAAAATAATGCAAAATTTTAATGATGCATTGTCTAATTAAATCTCCGATCTGGTTATCACGGGTTTTCTCTTCGTCGAATGTTCAAAGTCCAAATTTATATTTATGCAAAGCTGCTGTCCCAGTCCAGGCTAAAAGGGGAAGACAAATTTTAGTCGGTGTATTTTGAAACGTCTTACAGCTGAGAATGTGAAGTATTTTTGTTAAATATGAAATCTTTTAATGTTAAGCTAGGTTTTAGAAATTTATTTCTTAATTTCATTTCAATGGACAAGATGAGAAACAAAAAATAATAAAATAAAATTACTTAATAAATGAATAAAATGCAAGTTATGTCTCATAGTGACTGATTTGTGCCATTCGTTTTTTCACCCGCGACCCCACCAAGCGAAAAGTCGAGAATTAACAAGTCAAAACGGCGGTCGCACGGGTCGAAAACACGCAAATAAGCACTCCAAAGTTTTATTTCATAAATCTCGCCCGCGCCCTCGCTAATTAGCATCTTTTCGTTCCGAACTCCCGCCATTTTAGCTTGTTGATTTTAGGCTTTTCGCTTGGCCGGGTCGCGGGGCGAAAAAATGAATGGCACAAATCAGCCACCATAATGCATTGATAAATATTCTTTTCAATCCCAAGATGAAACTAGCTTTTCTAAAATTGTCAGGCAAAGAGTTCCATGTGAAGCAGGTGCACCATAACTGAAAATATTTTGTCCAGTAGTGGTAGTCCTAACTATCTATGGGGGACTAAATTGTATAAAACATTAGGGCCTATAGGCCCTAAATTACCTTTGTGCACAATTTCATCGATCAAGAGCAGTATAAAAAGAGTCCCCAATGCTATGTTCCTAAATAAAGGGTCTAATAAATCAATTTATTGAGTCAAAAGATCTTTCTCCATGTCTGTTAAAGCTGGGGAAAGCAATAGTTTTGAAAAATATTCGGCAAACCACTCCCCTTTCATCCATCTCTATCCCACCATCCCCCACACAACTCCACAAAATCAGAAGAAATCAGATCCTGAATACTGCAATAGAGATTATGCAGGTTTTGTTGTTGTTACTGTTGTTTATTTTATTTCATTTTATTTTAACGTAGTTATTGGGCCGAAATAGTATTCAAATCCACATGCCAAAAAGTATCTTTTTTCAAATTTGTTTTATAAAAATTCACAATAGTCAATACCTAAAGATATGAAAAACAGACACATTTTACTATGAGGTTTTATTTACTAGTACTAAGGCGTGTATCATGAATCAGTGCATGTTCTAACAAATGACGAACCCCCACCCCCCATACCCTTTCCCCAATTTGTAAGGTAAATTTTAACAGTATAAAATATTCTTGTTTTCGCGAATATTTGCATAACGGCCCGAATTTTAACAATTTAAAGGACACAAGAGACTGAAAAAAAGGACTGATAACAATCGTTAACAAAATTATGTGACTCATAAGTTATAATTAGTAGACAATTACCAACAATTACAACTGTTTGATAAATTATTTTCACCTTATTTTCAGCTGTTTAAGTTATGTAATAAAATAATAATAGTGTGTTTCTGTAGAGAATAATTTATTGATGACGAATATTGCATTATTGAATAGAATACAATATGAATAGAATAGAATACTAAAAATAGTATTCTTGAACAACCTACGTTATGTTATGCATATATGCAGTTAATATACCAACCGTTTTTCTTTCGGACCAAAACATATGCCAAATCAATCTCCATATTGGCTTTTTAGTATTGAAAATAGTATACATGTAGTTTGATAATTTAGGAAGCTTGAAGCTCACTCATAGCCTAGGCACACTCTCAAATCCTTCCCTGGAACCAACTCGAACTAAGCAATTGGGTGAAAATTAAATGGCATGTGAACCCAAGTGGCCAGCAATTAGATTACAAGTCCGACGTGTTATTATTCGGCCATTGTGAAAATTGTGTAGAGCTTAATACATCGAGTCACAAAACAGTCTAATATAAGATCACGTGGTTTGTAAGCTTTAAAGAATCATCACTGGTTATTTATATTTTGTTGACTTCGTCACTTTTCTTGGGTGGAGAAACGAATCCACTTGTGCTCACTAAAAATGATACATTTTGAATTGTTTAAGCTTGTCATAAACGAAACAGTGAGTGGTTTTGTCCGAAAAAAAAAGATAAAGATTATTTTGTAAAGACTTGCATTAAGTGTTTCCGTTGCTACACTGTGCCAGTTGCTATCACGTATTCAAGTCATTTTCTAATGAGTGACATCCTAGATATGTTTGTTGAAAAGATTTGTCTAAATTGATTGCATTGTATGGAAACAGGATGTAGAAAATTATCAATTATTTGTGTAAAAGTATTATACGCTGTGTGTATAATTATATACTAGTACTTTTTGTATTTGATATTAGTCGCATATACAGGGCGTCCTTAATGTTTATGTATGTATATATCATTGTATTAAAGTAATGTCTATGAATTATATACCAAATACTAGTAAAATGGAATATTATGTCCTTAAAACATGTGAAATTTTCGATTTATTTTAAACTGGTATATGTAAAATATATTAACGCTTAGATTAAGGATAACTATTATGAAACACCCTGTATGAAATCGGCATATGCTACTGAAGCCGTGACCAAATATGCTAACTTTTACCTAAAAAACATCTTTTATATGTACAGCAGTATAGAATTCTACTTTCTCACGTGCCTCTAGATATGTCATGTTATAAGAAAAATAACGGTGATTTATTTAGATAAAAATTATTTATACTGAAACTGATCCTGATCGAGAACACGGGGCCATTGTAATGAAACTGTTTTTCTTTTTTTTATCTGTGTTGTAAAGAAAGATTTAAAAATGTGACACAGTCAGCTGATGAGCAGTTGTTGGTGTCATTGGTGCCTTGGTATATTGCCAATGACACAAGCCGTATGAAGAAAGAATCTTTAAAAATGTCAAGCACTGGTACTATAATGGTAATTGGTTTAAACATATTTAATTAAGCTCGATTGCGAAACAAGTTCTTACAACTTATATCAATCACTTTTGAATCCGCTTCCTGGAACCAACCAGTACTGGTGTCATATGAAGAAACGTGGTCCTGACCCGACTAGGGCTCGAACCCATGATCTCTGTGTTGAGAGGCAGACACCTTAACCACTAGGCCACCGCTCCCCTCATCATATAATGGTAATTGCGGTTATTTTAGTATTGGTACCATTGGGGATAATCTGAACGCACCCAGTGATCGATTGACTTATATTGCTGTTGGCACCATTAACATTCACAACAACAACAACAACAAAACACATACACACCTCTATCAGTAATGAGGTGGGTATAGGAATTTCTTTGTTCATTTTGTGTGTTCGTGTGTGTGTAAGTGCGTGCATGCGTGTGTGAGTGTGTGTGTGTGTGTGTTTTTTTTGTTTCATCATATAATTTTGCAGAAAGAGTAAGGAAAAGAAGGAAAACATGTCTTTTAAATAATATTTCTGTGTTCTGTTTCCCAGATGAATGTGCCACACATGACAATCCGCACTGCGTTGCAATCGAATCCACCTCCATCTGCGTTGTGATCGTTTTTTGTCAATTATTCTTTTATAAAAGGCAATGATAATTTTCAAAAGTTCAAAAAATGGTTGTTTTGTGCAAGTATCATACAAACGATGTGATACTTGTATACTTAGGGACCGTTTTGAACACATTTGTACGTGTTTTAACCAAAATTAGGCAAAGTGTCGTCTCCTTGTCAAACTGTACAGATGTGTTTGCATAAATGGCAATAAATTGAACCGTGTGCGTATAATAAGTTGGAAGAGTACATAAAGTGGGCTCCAGTCTCAATAGGTGTTTCCAGTAAAACATTAAAACATCAAGTAAAATTCAGTCATAAACTTACCGACAACAGCAAACGGCCAAATTTTATCAACCACTTCTGCGACGAATTCTCCGCCGCCACTGCGATGGATCCACCGCTTCTGCGAAAGCTATGGCCAGTGTCAACACCATGAAAACAAAAATTGTAGTTTAAAATGGCAAAAATAATCACAATAAATTGAAATGGTTTTTAGGTACTGATACACAATTACTAGAAGTGGGCAATGAATATTAAATTACATTTCGAAGTTCTGTAAGTAATTTAGACTTAGTAGTGAGCGAGAGCTGCACACAATTACGAACAACATTTTCAGTTTATCTTCTAACTGTTGTTTTATCTACATGTACATATATGACAGTGAACTTTGAAATGGGCTATCACAGTCTACTATCCAGTTACTAGAGAGAGCACATAGCAAATGCGTTAAATTATATTCAAAGGATGCCAAAGTACACGAACACAAAAGCAGCTTTTAGTCAACTTGGGAGGTACATGATTGAATATCTTAACTCCAGTTGTTGGACAGATAAAAAATTTTCTTAAAACGATTGTAATGTTCCTGTCAACCCCTCAAAAATTATTTATAGAATTTTAGGAAAATATGTCTTAATTTAACCAGCGTGTTAACAAATTTCATAAACGATATGCGATTTTTCCTTCTAAAGCTATAATGAAAATCATTTATATCGAAATCTGTATAGTTATGCTGATTTAGAGTACATGTAAGTGGAAACAAATATGCGATGAACGTTAAATTAAAGAATCTGTATAAAATTCACAAGTGCTATATGAAAATTTTGTCAGGTCTACAGAGATTATGTTAAATACTGTAGCTATTTCTGCTAGTAGAAGGTAAACATTTTACTTGTAAATTCGTGTTTGTAAAAAATGTAACTTAGAAAATTGTTATTCATGATCTAGGGGCGTACCTCGGCTTATTTTGAGTGTACGCCGAGTGCAGGTCTTTGGTCGAAGAGTCGCCAGAGATATACATAAAATATAGCTACATGTGCTAAAATAAGGGATTTAGGGGACATACATGCTAATTGTACTCTATTGTCTTTATCTATAGTAATGAAAATAACATCAAGTACATGTATTGGATGTAAGAGAATTTGCTTGAAGTCTATCATTGACAATATTTGAAAAAGTTCAAAAGGTATTTACTATTAGAAGAATAAAAAAAATGTTTAACAAGTTTTTTCTTTGTTATTGTTCTTTTATTGTTCAACATAACTTAACATGAGATACAATCAAGGAAAAAATTGCTTTAAAATGATTTGTATGACTTTAATACAAACACAACATCTTAAATGTTTTAGTGTAACAAAATGTTATCGTATTTATCAGCTAAGATGTAGTATCGAACGATCATTAAGGTTCCTTAATTAAAATATTTTTAAATGCGTATTATGTCGATGTTGAAGAAAATAAATATTATCTTTAACAGTTTTTATTCTCTACTCTTTCAGTTTCCATTCCAAATATTTAAGATATTTCATCAGGAAGTTAAATGCCTCACGCACATAAAAGCATGCTCGCCAACTCGTTATCTAAAGTTGGTGAAAATAAAAGAATTAGGACGTACTTGACGTGTCTAATATGGCTATACATTGTTTTCGTTGTATATTTGTCAAGTTTTAAATATGTATAGATGATATTCCTTATAAAAAAAGAATATATATATGTCATTGTTTGCAGAAGTATTTCTATTTCTATACACAATAAAATAATATAGTAGTCTAAACATCTTTCTGTAGTGATATATTTTGTAAATACGTGTATTCATTTTTACGGTCATATAAACAGAAGTTGAGTTTGGTTGCTGGCAAAGATCTGATTCATAGGGCCAAAACTATTCTACACAATTTGAAATGAATATAAGATGAACGAATGTTACTAAATTAACAAATAATATATTGACTTATAGCAACAAGGTAAATTCCATACAGCTAACTCCCTTCCATTTGGCTGCAAACTCCAAGTTGCAGACAAGATCTTAATTTTGCATATAGATGTAAAAAAATGAAATAAATGTTTAGTTTTCACTAATTTTTATTCTTGTGAAAAAATGATTGTCATATATCGGACAATTTCTTATCATTATTTTGATTTTGACAAGGTTTATTAGCATTGATTCTTTTAAGCATTGATATACCCAAGCAATTGTTTTATTATAATTTGCTCACATGTGCTTACTCCCTCTTGTTATAATTGATTTCTTGATTGTTAATGCATCTTCGAATAAGGTAACATCTTAAGCATACCTATACAATCGATTAGCAGCTATGAATATGTTGATCAATCTACGCCCAAATTATTGATTTCATTTTGATATTTTAGTTTTCGAAACTCTCTTCTTTTTATACGCCCGTGCGTATTTACGCAATGTTTTGTTATGGAAATGATACTGTACGTTATAATATGTGGCGCAAAACAATCGGAGCATCCTCGGCTATTATCTATAATAACCTCGGAAACCACGGTACCACGTGGTTGCAGAGAGACTGTAATTTTCGATAATGGAAAACTAATGTATATATTTGACATCAAAAAGAAAATAAAGTCTGTTTCAGTACAATTATGTTTGAAAATATGTCCGACAACCATTTTTAACTTAAATAAAACCTCTGATTTTGAACAAATCCGACTTAAGTTCAACAGGTTGGCATTTTGTACTTTCGAATTCTACTACATATAAATAATGTATTTTTTACTATTATACTGTATGAATTTACTTATTTTAGGTGGTCATTTACTTGATATATTCTATAAAACCTTAACAACACCAGCATTTAATTACATTTTGTTTACATTTTTAGTTAGACCGAAATACCGTTTCCGAGCTCCTTATCCGAAGACTGACGGAAAGGTCCGAAAAGTTGCGATTGGGCGAAAATTACGCCATGAATTCAATCCAATCCCGATGCACAGCTTTAATATTGAAATATTTGGTGGCTCTCATACCCTCATTTTCAACGAGCGACTATTTTAGAATATTATGTGTTACAACGTGATTTTAAGTATATGCAACATTCTTAAAGTTGCACGCCTCCAAATGAGCCAAAATATTTCAAGAAATTCAATCTTTAGAAAAAATGTAATAAGATCTTAAGAAAAGTAAAAAGATTCAATATTTTATTAATTACTAGTATTCACATGTAATGTGCGATTTATGACTGGTTTTGCAGTATCAATCACTATAATTCTACTAACGCAGTAAGAGGTATTTATCTATATTTTGACCTCTTTTTTGGTAATTTACGTGGATTGTTGGCGTGGGATTCAGGCGTTGATATTTTTTGCTTATATTCATAACATATATACGCGCTATTTCATACTTGATCATCATAGATAACACAACATCTCTGGTTTTGATAGTATCAACTGGAACCGCTAGCGGATTGTAAGTGCCGTTTGCAATGTGTCAGTTATTTTCTTTGGTCTTTTCACAGTATTATTTTCAAAATTTTCGTGAACATAATTAGCATAACTCTGGAGGCATATTGCTTTTATATCTGCACAGGTCTCTGAATAGAAACGATATTAATTTACGGAATTTGAAAAAGACAAATAATATCTTATTTTATCATGTTAAATCCTATCTTCATCTATTAGGGTTTACTGATATATAACATGTATAAATGGTAATCTTAAATCTTTAAGATAATATGAACTTGAATTTCGTTTTGCTAAGTATCTTAATTGGCCCGTGGATATTAACTACCTATACACACCATTTATAATATAGGCCTAAACTGGGAAGCCTCTAATTTTGATTTTTTTTTTCAATTATTTTCTTTCTTTCTTCATGTATATAGATAATCTCTTTGTTAAATCATTATTCATTTCATCTTATTTCATACCACATTCTTAGTTCTAACATATATTTTTTTATATATATATATGTATTTATATGTGTGTCACTGCGTGTGTGTTTATTTTTTCTCCCTATTTTCTTTGTTTACATTGTAATGTATTTGTAATAATTTCCATAACATGTATGTTTCTCTTCATTCTTGGAGTAAAGAAAGAAATTTTATCTTTTTTTATCTTACCTACCTTGTCGAAGAATTGATCATGGTAAGGGAAATCGACCGGGTCCTTTTGATACTGATCGATAATTTCCAAAGGGATATTTAATATATTTGTACTTCTTTTAACACACTTGTTGTACTACTGATTCCTTTGGTTTCTAAAGGTCTCAGAAATTCTTTAAAACTTATTTTAAATTTGAATAGTAAACTTGTACAGAGCGCTGATTATTAATTATTTTCATCGAGTGATATGAAAATAATATTTCATGAGTGGCGGTGGCCACGAGTGAAATATGATATTTTTCATACCACAAGATTAAAAAAAATCTTGTATTTATAGAAAAAAAACTTGAATTTTCGGTTTATTATATTCATTTTTCTCTTTTACGAAATTACCAATTGAAAGAACTCTTTTACAAAATGCGCATTGACTAGTAGCCCGGCAAGACAAAGGAGAAAATACGGAAAATTTATATCAAAAATAATTTTTTACTGAGAAAATACGGAAAATGAAAATACGCATTTTAGTTTTCATTTCATCAATTTTTATCAATATTTCATTTATAAGTATACTGAGTATAATAATTTGACATCTGTCCATCTGTAACTTAATATATAGAGGATATTTGTTTGTTTTACATGTAAGATTGAAATATAATTTCACTGAGTGAACACCAGATGCAATATTTTCACGAGTGGCGTAGCCACGAGTGAAAATATAATAGCTGGTGTTCACGAATGAAATATATTGCAATCTTATATGTAACACAAATAAATTTTCTTTTGATTTCATGCTTTTTAAAGTGATTTTAGGTATTTTTACTGATTTTGCCGCGTAACGTCGCGCATTCTCCTTTGTGACGCATCACATCATGACGTCACATCATCAATTTTGAAATATAGTTCTGTTAAATTTCTCTAATTTTGTTACATCTTTAACATGATGTATGGTGACATGGACTTTCTTTTCATAAAGAAGCAAAATTTACGGCATTTTTTCTGCCTGTTAATCCATTTAGTTTGATTTTCTTTTCATCCGCATTCAGATATAGTCCGGCTACAGTGAAAATTATATTTTATAAATTTCACTAGTGGTTTATCAGAATATAATCATCTGATATATTACAAAAAAACACTGAGAAGCATGAAATAAACATGTACCACATATGTTTCACTCGATGTACACTCCTGCAGCGCAATCGACGTACATACTGTGTTTAATCGATCGAGAAATGACCATACATTAATGTGTTAACCTATTTAGACCCTTAAGCGAATGTTGTTAACTTACACTACACAAAGTACACATTATTAAACAACCATGTGGTGTTGTTAAAATGTTTAAGATATTTATACAGGGAGTAAAGATGTCGCTAGCTGTATAAAATAGAACCTGGTATTAAACAAGCTATTAATTTTGAAATACAACATCTCATATAGTGAAATAGGAAGGACTAACACGCGTTTTTGCAAGCTGATGAAACGTAACACAGTTACAACATGTTAATAAACTCATATTGGAACGTGTTTACACAGCAGTTATATGTTTAGATTTCTGCATAGAATTCGCCAGCGTACGATTATAAAAACGCGTAATGGTGATCAATACAGTATACTGAAAGAATTATTCGTGGAAATACCATGTTCAGTTCTATATATGTTTATATTTATTACTAATTGGATAAAATCTTCGCAAGAGAAATGCCAAATAATGGGATACAAGAGATCGTCAGTTTGTCGTAGTAAGTCAATTTTATATTATTAGATCTATGACATAATCATTAAATAATATACATGTAAACTTCTACGATATGTGCTGTACATACAATATATTAATATATAATAGTTTATCTAGATCTACTTAATATGTATTAAACATACAATGAAATAAAAATGAAGTTATTATTATTATTGATTATTGTTAGAAACTACTATTATTTATATTATTATTAAGTATACTGTAGATCTACAGTACTTAACGTTACTGTACAGTACAGTATTCAATTGGGAAATAAGTGAAGTAATTATAATCTATAAATTTTATACATCTTTACTTTATACATGTAGATCTAGATTTATATACATACACAACTCATGTGCAGTGAAATATTTACATATGGATATCATGTGTTCTACATATACAGTAGGCCTTAAAAGCTTGTGACATAATTCATCGGTGCATATGACTTTTGATTTTAAAAAGGCATAAATGCCAGTACAAAGAAAAATGTTTTTATTTTATTAAAGATCTTTGAATCACATAACATGCATGTTCTTCTTCTCCTCTGCTAAAGACATGAAGTTAAGTGGAAGTCTAGTTAAAGCCTACTTTAATATTAAATACTAACATAGTCTAAAAATGGCAAATTGTTACTGTTAGTATAAAATGATTAACATTGTCTAAAAATGACAAATTGTTACTGTTAGTATAAAATGATTTCGGCATTTAAGGTAAATGATGTTCAGTTAAAATCACCTTTGATTCACAGGTTTTGTAATGAAAACAAGATCTAAATTACAATAGCAGTTGTGGCATCTTAAATAATTAAAATATAGGTTAGATTCAGTTCGGTCATTAAAGAGTACTTTTGTGGTACATGTACATGCATATGAAAATTATCATAGGTTTATTTACTGTGTTGCACAGATTTTTATCTTTCGTTGGATAGTTAAGCTTTTCTGTCCGATAAAAAATATTGACAGATTTTGAATCAATAGCTGATAATGTTAAATTATGAAGTGTATAAAAAAGAAATTTAGTTTAATCGTTTAAAGGTAGGACAATCACATAGATTTGAGGCTTTTCATAAAAGGTTTCGAAAAAGTCATTAGATTCTGTTTTTTACGTATAGCATGTTATTTAATTACAGTACATGTTTTCAATCACCTATAAGGTTTATGTCAACACTTAAGATAACATTTGCTTCCACAAATATTTTATTGCAAATAGCAATAAAATCCATAAATGCCGTTTTAATTTCCTTTTTATTGTTACCCTATCATGAATTATTTTTGCATAAAAAGTATCATATTACGAAATACAAATAATTTATACAATGTGCTCCCATCATATTGCATTCATTGTTATACACACACGTTACTATAGTAACGTTTGTCATCCTGTATAAATTTGTAGAAAATCACATTTTATTGATTTCAAAATCAGATAATTGCACGAGACACTTGCAATCACGGCATGACGTCTCCGGGAACAATAGAATGTTCGGGAAAATAAAACATTTATGTTACACATGTATACTGGAGTATAAAAGCATCTGTCAACAATACAAAGAGTGTTGAAATCCCTGAGGGCTTTTAGATTTCTTTGATGGGAGGTCATGTGGTTCTATAGTAATTGCATTGACCTTCAAATTATTGACACGAAGTTGTGATGCACGGGGCGGGCGACCCCACATGGATCTCAGAATTGAGCCTCGGTAAAAAATATAAGTAAAATTCCGCTGATCCAGATGTGCACTCTAAGTTTAACATAAAATAGGTCAATCGCTGCGTAAATTGTCAACTTTTAAAACATTTATGTAAAATTCAAAGCTTCCTTGAAGAAAATCGAAATGTAATTCTACCCTTCTAACTTTCCTGTACATTTACCCAGATTTGTATCGGATTTTTATGCAGATTCTTTCCGTCGTAGGCTATGCTGCGTTCAAAACATGCAAAATGTATGAAGAAAATGTCACTAAACGGACTCAAAATACAGAATTTTACGAAATCTTACACCAGACGATGCTAAACATTGATACGAAACCTTGTTGAAGCATTTATAGAGATTTGATTCAAAATAAAGAGATCGCTCGAGCTTCACATGTGCTGAAGAGATCCATAGGTGCATGATATAAAACATCATCAACACAATTACATACGGGTCGCTGCCATGAAAATTTTCTTCAAAAAAAAAGCTTTGAATTTTATAGAAATGATTGAAAAAGTTACGAATGATCTTTTTCTTCTTCACATATTGTATTACAGTGCACACCTGTATCAGCGGAACTTCACATTCAATTTTGAGATCCATATGGGGTCCCCCGTAATGACAGACATCCATCCAGTGACTTTAAATAATGATAAAACAATGATAATAAATAAATAAAAACAACACCTGGCTTTTCGAAGGGAATAAATCCAAAAAGGGACACAGAAATCAAACACTATCAACTGCATGAGAGCCGTCCGGTTAGCTCAATAGGTAGAGCGTTGGACTGTGAGACGGGTGAACCGTGTTTGATTCCCGGACGGCGCAATTCACTTTCGTTGTGATTGATCAGGAAATCCTTTCTACGGTCATTTGCACCGTACCACTGCTCCGGTATGTACAGAAGTCACAACTAGTACTGGTAAACTGCTTGACAGCATGTCCAGGAACGGTGCGGTGGCTGAACTGTGCTATTGTGGCTTACTGACGTGATCCGCAACACCACCACCACATGCATGAGAATGTGATAAAGCCATATTTTTACAGCAGTTACAGATTGTTTTATCTATACAAGTGGGGTTCACACGACTCAATTTTTGGGAAATATTTTTTGTCTGTTTCAGGCTTTACTTTCTGCAAAAAGTTCATGAATAGTGTACAAGGAATATTTTTAACGTAAAAGTGGCGATCTATTTTATGACCTGATTTTTTTTCACGGGCTTATCTTTTTGTGAAGTTATTTCAGCGACAATAAAAGTTATGTTAAACAGTGAGGGGTATACCTCCTGGCGACGACGGAGAAAAATGTAGAAAGATATGTTTATCTGATTTTTTAATGTTTGTTGTTTTTTTAATTAACCCGTGCACTTACTATAGGGACTTTTTAGCGTTTAGCGTGGAAACTATACGAAAATATGATAATCAAATATAAAAATATATGAGCCGCGTCACGACAAAACCAACATAATGGGTTTGCGACCAGCATGGATCCAGACCAGCCTGCGCATCCGCGCAGTCTGATCAGGATCCATGCTGTTCGCTTACCAACTCTATTACAAGTAGAGAAACTGATAGCGAACAGCATGGATCCTGATCAGACTTCATGCGCGGATGCGCAGGCTGGTCTGGATCCATGCTGGTCGCAAACGCATTATGTTGGTTTTGTCGTGACGCGGCTCTAATATTGTCGAAGTAAACATATGAGTTTACACTTAATAACTATATGAACATCACTAAAACAATGGGTCAGAATATGCAATAATAGCCATATTTCTACAATTGTGAATACATGTATTTCTACTTTTCTTCAAATCTTGATATTTTCCTCAAGGTTAATTTTCTATGTTTATTCTCAAAAATGATTATCCTCATTGTCAAGTTGAGCTGAATTGACTATATATATTTCAAAGGATTAGATGCTTTATTGGTGATTGACCAACAATTTATATCCGAAAATGTTTAGGATAAAATACAAATTTACTGAAAATATCAAACAGAATTTACATTGGGGCCCACATGAGTTATCTATCGTTTATGGGAAGTAAATTATGGCAAAATGCAAACTTATTTGTGACTTTTATCCGTTCACACGCTATATACCCTTGAATGGGCATAATGTCACCTTAACGAAAATAGTTACATGTATTTCCTTTAACTCAAAGCACTGAAATGTTTCAACAAATTTTCGCTAGTTAGATATTAAAAGATATTAAAATGCCATTACGACGAATGGTATCTTTTAAACACAATTAAATCACGTTTAAAAGTAATGCGCCAGTCAAATGTAAATTAAAAGTACTACATTTGTACGCATCATTTTAATATTGTTTGGCCAATAATCGTCAATATGAAATGATTGCGTATATTTTCAGGAAAACAGGTGCTGTTGTTTCTACTATGCGTGTCCACGTTGTCAACATACCTGACAGTCAAACTGGTGTATGTACATAGAGAAGTTCCCGTTGATGTGAGTGGTCATTCTTATTTCTATCCTTAAATAATAATAATAATAATCATGATAATAATAATAGTAATAAATAATAATAACAAGTTATAATAAAAATAATAATAAATAATAATAATAATAAGGGAGCGGTGGCCTAGTGGTTAAGGTGTCTGCCTCTCAACCCAGGGATCATGGGTTCGAGTCCCAATCGGGTCACGACCATGTTTCTTCATATGACACCACTGACTAGTACTGGTTGGTTCCATGAAGCGGACTCGAAAATGAGTAATAAAAGTTACAAAAACTTGATTCACAACCGAACCTAAATAAATGTGTTTTAACCAATAATAATAATAATAATAATAATAATAATAATAAATATAATAATATTAATAAAACAAAAAGGAAAAGAAAGAGCGCCTTAGTATCGTTCGCCTTAACGGTATACCTGTAACTTATAAAACAAATCTGATGTAGTTAACTTTCAAGGGAAGACCCGTTGCTAATGTTGAGAGAACTTGTGTGTCAACCCTTTTGGCAATATGTTACACCATTGTATTGTAACTGTCTTTACATGTATGTATTATGTTTTTTTTTGGCAATATAATATGTTTTAATCAAAGTAAACTTTCTTCAACAGGTATAAAACTTTAAAATTATTTGAAGTGAAGTTATCCCACTTGACTCAAAATACATTAAACCAATCTCTCCTTAACCCCTTATAAAATAACGGAAACTTAAAATACAAATGAAAACTCATGCTTTTGTTTGGTTTTGTTGTGTTTTTACACGCACAGACAATAAAGCACGTCGTAAATAAATAGTAGTAAGGAAAGAGTGGGGCACCATTGAAATGAATGTCCTCCACATGAAAGCGACTTATTTGAATGTTCACGTTTAAAGTTAAAGTCAGCTCTGTGTTTAAAGTTCAATCCAGTAGCATTCGTAACAATATTGACCTTTTGGCGATAAGATATTTTATTTTATGATAGCACTCGAATGTTGTTCGGGACATCAAGTGGCAGGCTTCAATATCAAAAATGTTTAACATTGTTAAATTGTTTTAAACATTCAACTTTTTAGGAACGAAAGTATGTATCCTACTTAGGCTGCTTTTCGTGAAATAAGCATAAATTATTTTTTGAAATATGCTTGTTTATATTTGTTGATTTTTTTAGCTTTTCACTTATCAATATTTTCCGATGATTTCAGGAAGCCGCGATCCAATGGGAAGAGAAGATGTGCAAAAATTACAGTAGCCTTATAGATGGAAAAGAAATTAATACAGGAAATAATAAGAAATATTTGATCACGTGGTATAATGTATCTCCATACATAAAATTACGACCAGAAGCCATGGAAAGAAGTTTTAAGCCCTGTAAATATAACAACTGCGAATTGTCTTTGTGTAAACGGACCGCAGAACTAAGTGACGCAGTTTTATTTAATGGCCGGAGACTTCCGAAAAAGTACGAGTATAAACGACCTATGGGTCAGATATGGATTTTTGTCGAGGACGAAACTCCATACACTTACGACTTTGATACCGAGCAATGGAGGACTAAATTTTGGCGGCCTGCATTTAACTGGACAATGACTTATGATAGAAAAACAACAGATATATATTTATCTAGTGGCGAGATATGGAAAAAGAAATCCCCAGATTCCCGTGATTTTCTCAGCATTGCTAAAAATAAAACAAGAGGTGCATTACTGATAAGTTCTCACTGTAGCACAGAATCTAAACGAACTGAGTATGTGAAAGAACTACAAAAATATGTAGATGTTGATATTTTAGGATCGTGTGGCCGGAAGTGGGAATGTGGTATAAGATGGGTTCATGACGACTGTTTTGGAATACTGAACACAACTTACAGATTCTATTTAGCGTTTGAAAACGCGCTCTGTCGGGACTACCGAACTGAAAAATTCTTTGAAAATTTCAATTACGATATAATTTTAGTGGAAAGGGCTGGTATATCAGCTGAAGATAAGATTGAACCAAAAGACGCGTATATCTCAACGAAAGACTTCCCCGATGCTCAAAGTTTGGGGAAGCGTCTCAAAACACTTTCAGACGACATTGACGAATATTCTAAATTTTTAGAGAGAAAGAGTCAGTATTATTTTCCTGGGTTTCAGGAACCTTACCAAACTGCGTTATGTAACTTGTGTGAAAAGATGAACGCGCAAGAAAAATACCACAGAAATATACCGGATCTATTAGATGAGCATGCGCAGCTTTTAACTTCCTGTAAAGATCCGACAGACATAGAAGTTGACGGAGGGTTTTTCAGATGGTTATTTAGAAAGTGGTAGTTCGGGATTTTAAAAGGTCATTTAAAGTATTTAAAGGCTAATTATGCCTCAGAAATGCTATCAGTTTTATTTCCCAAAAGCTTTTTTTGTATCTTCTTACCATTTCTAAAACAAATAGATCTACTCATTTGCAATATACATGGACATTATTTTGCTTCCTTTGCTCTTTGGCAATTGGTATACTTATAGTGAATTAATATTTTGTATAAAAGTCAAAGTACTGCTTTGTTTACATTTTCGTAGCTTTATGACTCATAACTGCACGTTCAGGGCTACTTTTTTTCAATTGTTTAAACTTTATAAATCCTTTGATATCTAAACATTTTTGAACATATATTTGACATTTCTTAAGATTAAAAAAATATTGATTTCTGAGACAGAATGTGCCTTTAAGAAAACCCATTAATTGAGTAATCTGTGATTTACAGATAAGTCAGTCATGCTAATAAAACATTTTTGGATTGCTTAGAGGAACCCACTGAGTTTTTGACATGAGGGGGAGCATTTTTTATTTTTTTAATTTTTATTTATCTTCAATAACCAGAATGATCATTTTTTTATTGTGTAGACTTATTTCAAGTCATGCTCTGTTTCTCCGTTTTTCCAGGAAAAATTAATCATTTTTCTTGTTCAAAATGACCTAAAACTGAAAAGCTTTTAAATGTTTTAACACGAATCATTTGACTGAGTTTTGGCTTAGAATAGCACTTTATGATGATTTTCCATTAATATTCGTATTAAGTTCTTTAACTCAGTTAATCAATGACGGATGGTTAGTTTTTTAAGTTTTTTTTTAAAGTTTTTGTTTTGTTTTTGTTTTTAAGTTTTTTTAAGACTTTGGACCTAAGTGGAGCTAAAGCTTTGGTCCAATAGTTGAATAGTATATTGTCATATTGTAGAGATAATATATTCTCTGTTTGCATAATGCTTAAAGATAAAAGCGTGCACTAAGATAAAAGTGTGCACTTGTCTGTTTAAACCCTAGATATCAAGTGTATATAAAGGCATTTTCACCTTGTTTATTTCATGCACATTTTGTATTAAAATACAATCATATAAATCATGTTTTGAAGGAACCAAATACTACGCCCCAAAACCATTAAATTAGTCCTTTATTACATCGTAACCATGCATCAAGTGTTGTCATCGTTATCTTGGTTTAAGACCAATTTGTATCATTCCATGCATATTTTACCCTTGGTCCAAGAAAGAGAGAGGTGGAGCAAAGGAACAATTAAGAACAAAAATGCTGGTAAATAAATTTGCAACATATTTTTATTGTAAACAACCATTCATTTAAATGTATCAAGAGCCAGTAAGTACTGTAAAATCGCAATGTGTGTTGAGATATTTAAAAAAAATCGCGTAATATCAAACATGTTTCATAATGTCACTAGTTGTTGTTGGTGCTGTATCATTAAAACAATCGTAACACCTCGGCTATTATTTATAATAATAATATCCTAAGCTGATGTTTGTCGTAAAGGGCCGAGTATTTGCGTTTGGCGCAAAAATCTATCGTTGACCTTTAAAGATTTTTTTCAATAAACTATTAAATCAGTTTGTAGAAATATATTTTGCTCCAAGAGGTTGTGATCATTTTTATAAAGCGGAACAAATTTGCGTGTGTATGATTTTTTGTTTGTTTTATTGTTAGTATTTTAAATATTTGTGTTTAGATGTTTATGATGGCGTATATAAGTTTGTACACAGTTTACGAGTATGTCATCCGGATGTTTACTCAGTATTAAGTTAAATTGATTTTATGATAATAATTAATGATCAACATTATTTTTTGTCCAATCACATTGCAGTATTTTTTAAATTTCTGCTTAATCTAAGTATAGGTTAGTGTTTAATAATACGTACTAACATTTTCATTCATTTATTTTCATTTATTTAACAAAAATAATTGGTCAACCGTGCCGCAGGCAATACGTATTATTAAACACTAACCTATACTTAAAATTACTGGCAAATAGCGGAATGGTTGAAAACATTGTATGTGACAAATGTCAAAGTGTATGTTTCACGATTGACAAATTTCGAAGTGTGCATAACCGTAAATATTATAATCCCTGGCTGACAAAAAAATAGTTTTTACACAAATGCCAAAATATGCATGTGCCGAATATGTTGAAAAAATGTCTGGCTTTCTAATGAATGTTGAAAACGTGGACCAGAAATAATGTATAAATGAACATCTCCACTAGTTAAGCTTGAAAGTGGTCATGTGACCTTTATAGCGTTAGTGTGACATTGAACTGAAGATTGTCTACACCGACCAATATAATAAGTACATTTCAGATGAAATGAATTCTCTCTTTTTTTCTTCTTCTTTTTTTAAAGAGACAGAAAAATAAGAACACCGTTTTTATCCAAGTTTGCTTTTTTTCAGTTATAATACCATGTTTAGACTGTACAAAATGTATTTAAATGTATTTGTGCCTGAAAATGATAGCCTTGCTCTGAATTATACATTGTACATGTATATAAGTTTGTTGTGTCCGATCTTATAGCGGTTTTATGTGAAGTATTTGTACATGTACATCATTAATCTGAGAGTATTCTTATAAATTCTTGCATTAAAAATTTATAAGTTTACTGTATACATTTGCAGATTTGAAGTCCAAAATAAAAGTTTTTAGAAATATATGGATTGTTATCTTTAGTTATATCACTTTATGGTTAATCTATTTGTTTTAATAACCTTTTGCCACTTTTTGTAAGCTCCTTATTTATTTGGTAACATGTTATTCTTATAATGTAATGTCGAGAATACTGGGTAAAATAGCCGGTCAATACTGGGTAAAGTAGCCGGTCAATACTGGGTCATATAGCCGATCAATACTGGGTCATATAGCCGGTCAATACTAGGTAAAGTAGCCGGTCAATACTGGGTCATATAGCCGGTCAATACTGGGTCATATAGCCGGTCAATACTAGGTCATAGCCGGTCAATACTAGGTCATATAGCCGGTCAATAATAGGTCATATAGCCAGTCAATACTAGGTCATATAGCCGGTCAATACTGGGTCATATAGCCGGTCAATACTGGGTCATATAGTATTTCACATACAGCACAAACAGAAATGTATTTCCTTATTTCAGGCTATCACAATTGATAATCATGTAACATTTTTCCATTGATGACAATTTTTGAAAATGGAGATCAATCGCAAACCATTATGGATCTCAGTTGTTTTTTTTTATAACACTTCTTGTATACATGAATCAGATATTTGTCATATTGACTATAAATCAAAACGGGTGTTACTCGGATATATTTGTGTCGATAGCAATTACTGGTAATTGATACAAGTAAAGGAAAAAAGAAGTAGAAATGGTGTAAGACAGGATTCTGATGTGATAATTAAGTTATACATCAATGTCTACAGACTGAAATCACACCTGTTAACTAAATTATTCAAATCTATATTACTTTGACACATAGACAATGATTTACAACACGAGACTATAAACACATGTATAAGTTACTTACATACTAGTATATTTCTTCTGAAAAAAAATAAATGTATAGTATTTGATATATACAAGAATTTTGAGAAAACGTTTACTACAAGACTATTAGAATAAAAAAAAATCCCCAAAGTTAGATAGGCATGTTTTTGCTGCACAACGTTTTCAAAAATAAAATTAAATTGCTCATCAAACTTTAATAACAGCCATTACAAACATTTTAGCATCACATTAAAAATGTAAAAATAAAATTGATGTAACTTAAAATTATTTTTAAACGATATCTAACAGCCAATCATACAGATGGAAGGCTTTTAAAGTCAATGATTAGTTATGAGGAATTTATTAAAACCATTTGAGCCGCGTCACGACAAAACCAACATACTGCGTTTGCGACCAGCATGGATCCAGACCATGAGACGTGGATTCACTTTCACGAGTCCACAGCGAAAGATATATAACAAAATATGGGCAACCAAAGGACGTCAAAGACCTTGTATAGCAGAACTGTATGTAATTTTCTTTACCAATCAAAGTCCTGCTATTCACATTGCCGTACCAAAGTGTAAATCTGTAAATGCCAAGCTTTACAGGGGCAAGGCCCTTCATAAATTAAAGAAATATTTCAAAAACCGTCGACCAGCAACTGGTCTCCGTGGTGTCAAGTTGCTGCATGCATGATTATGCTTCGTCACACAAAGCGGCCTTTCAAGAGAATATCTGAAACAGGAATAGGTTATTGAGCACCCTCACCCTCCTTATCCGCCAGATCTTGTCCCTTGTGACTTTTTTCCTATTTCCGATCCTCAAAAAACACCTTGCTGTAAGAAAATATCAAACGTGAAAAAATCTCGGTTCGGTTATTTTCCAGTGTCTCAACAGTATACCTCGAAAAGATTATGAAAACGCAATTAAAAATTGGATTAAAAGACTAAAACTTTGTCTATCACATGTAGGTGAGTATTTTGAATGATTGAGATAATTATTTTGGCACTATTTGTTAAGCACTTCTGAAAATTGACCCAGATACGTTCATATTTGAACACCCGTGGTATATTCTATTATTGAAAATATATCACGTCAAAAGAGGCGCATTTCTTAGTTACAAGAGAGCATCCGATACTATATAGATTGATAAATGTATGTGTTTAGGACGTGTACAAAATGCACATGGATACACAATACATATATACATTCAAGAAATAAAATGAAAGACCACGTTCAAAACATCAAACTCGTCATATTGTTATTATTGTGTTGTCAACTTTAATTGATTACTATGAGAAAAAGTGCATATTAACTGGGACAGATATAACGTATAAACTGTTGTGTTGTGTTGCGTTGTGTTGTGATGAATAACTTGATATGTCTATATCTGATTTGTTTAAAGTCATATAAATTAATGTATAAAATTTAAAACAATGAGAAACATTAAATTCGTTCCCAGCTCTTTATCTTGTTTGTTTATATATTTTATAACATTACTGACCTCAAATGACGCAATTAATGAGCATTTTATTTTTATCTATTATCCACCTGTAAAATTCCGTTTGCTGATAAAATTGATTTATTCTTTTATTTCCTCCAGTTGTGAAGAACAGGACATACAAAATACTTATAAACATACAACATATATATACAACATGTAACATGTACATGTACAATCATTTCTTATCGGTATAGAGATTATCAACACATTTTAATGTATAGTGAAAAGGAAAAAAAACATTATATAGAATAATACAATAAATATTACAATACTGTAAGCTTATGTGATGTTTTGATTTAAGGTATGTCCAAAAAAGAAGAAAGAAAAACAACCCAAAACAACTAAACAGTTATTTAAGACAAGAAATAAACGATGGATATTATTACTGTATCAACGGCACAAAACCGCTGCTGTTATAAGTCATTGCCACTTATAATGCTTAATTAAATATTGAATACCCAAACAGCGAAACACAATTACTAATATAGATATTTAAAAAAAAGGATAAACACACGCACACACACACACACACAAGACGTATTTAAGATCTGGTTAAGATCTGGTTTATAGAATTACATGTATACAATTTTTCTCCTATACGGCAGGATTATGAGAATTAGATTGTGAATTTGAATAAAGATAAAGCATGCAAACAGATGATATTTGATTGATCGGGAAATTATAGAAAATTGTGATAGCTTAATTGATATATCTCATTGTTCACATAGCAAAAATGTTATCTGATCAAGTTTAAAAAGTATAACATGCAATAGATTAGTGGTTATTGAGTTAGTGAAGATAACTGATTTATTATATTTAAACTACAGTTGTTCGATTCTATAGCTGTTCCAATTTTGCTTTTATCAAAAACGTCAATAAACTACATGTAATGTTTATAAGTAAGCATGAAAACATAGAAATGTGAAGTTTATATTAACCCTAACACTATTTCCAATTTTCTGAAGCAAAAGTTCTCAAAGTTGCACACCTAGGTTTGTATCATTAATTGTCATAAGACGTCTTATATATTAGCTTGAAAAATAGTACCACGAGCTGTACGAGATTACATTGCAGTTTTGTAAAGGTGCTTTTAAATATAAAATGTGTATGATATCCAAAAGAACATACATGTAATTATTAAGGTTAACAATCCATGTCAGACGTCAATTATCATTTATTACAATAGTGTAATACACTGTCATATGTACCCTTAGTCATATCAAGAAAGTAAATGGTGAGTTTTCCTGTTTATTTTTGTTCAATGTCAACATTCTAAAAATGTATTTCGGATTCATCAAACAAACGCATAAAAATACAATGCCTTTTAGGCATTTAGTTCATCTGAACACGTATATGGCTGTGATCTAGACTACATGTAAAATTAATACAGTATCTATTAATATTCTGGTACTACAAGACAATAATATATAAGTTATATAAAAATTCCTATAGCATTGGTTGTTAACAATGGTCCAGTACGAGACCGCCCACAGGTGAAATCTAAATTATCTTAATATGCATGCATATCAGAGATGGACGAGCAGACTGACTGACTTTTTACAAAATGATGCAGAAAATGTGTATGTTTTAGCCTCTACCTTGTCCACAATTCCATTGGTTTCCGGTAAAGTTTTGTTATTGTCAAGATTTTGAGATAATTTACAAATATTTTGATTTGATGGTGTTTTTAGATGAAAAATCTCATGACAACTTAATAAAGTTATTGATATCCTTGTGTCTGAAAACAATATCTGTATATTGTCAATAATGAATATAATTTTAGGACATGAAACTGTACATTTCGCCCCAGTAAATTTTCGAACTTTTTCTTGTCCTTATGGAAATTGAAAAATAAATCTCTATCTACCTTCCTCTTATGGAAATTGAAAAATAAATTTCTATCTACCTTCCTCCAATGTCAAACCCCTCGCGGGGACGTAGACATGACTATAGACTAGTCACTTCAGAGAAAGCTATGAGATACAAAGGAATCCAGGAATCAGTCCCTATCTCTTATTGAACAGTGTTGAATATACCCCTTGGTTTACACAGGGTCTTTCAAATAGAATGGACAGGAGACAGACAAATTTTAAGAAAAATGCTGTCTCGATTGGGTTATCTACCGACCGTGATATTGCATAGCACATATCACCATTCAAAAATCAAATTATAAGATAATGTTCTGTAAAATCAATGAAAAAAATACTAAAAACTAACTCTGACTACATTATATTATCAGTTTTTGCTTTAAAAGTAACAATTTTATAGTTTTGCGATGAAATTAGAAATTTTTCGTTCCCGGTGTCAAGGTAAAAATCTACTGTTCATATTTGAAAAAAGGTCTGAGTTTCATGAGCGTTTTTTAAATTTATGCATTGTTCAATGACAAAATAGAAATTGATTTTACAGAGAAAAGTTGTCATTAAATCGTATTATGTAAAATATTATAATATTTCACAATGTTATTTGCAAATATTTGATGTTTGATTTGGTGCATTTTCAAAATGGCGCCGATTATCGGCAAATATTCTGACCAAACAATCTATGTTTTTTATAACAAAGATGGCTTTAAAAAACATCATTTCCTGAAATATTTATTCTTTTTTCAAAAGTTTAAAGATTTTTAAATAACATCATGTCATAAAAAATTTCATTTTTGCTCTTGTATTTAATATTCGCCCTTTTCTTGAACATCACATAATTTGCTTATAGCAAACTATATTGATTTTTACCGAGACATGTTTAATTGTAGCGAGAAGGGTTTACATAGCGTGTTTCTAGATCATTCTATTTGAAAGACCCTGGTTTACATGCCCAGTGTATAGCACTGTAACATTCTAAGATTACCTGGATTTCTTACCAGTACACCTCTAGTTAGGTGGGAAACAATGAAAGTGTCTCTGAAAAATCCCAAGGGTGTTACCCAGAATCGAACCCGGGACCTCAGGAGTGACAGCTAGTGGTCTAACCAAGTGAGCTATCGCGCCACCTTTAAATTTCTATGTAACTAATCGAAACAGTAGATTAGTATTCTTATATTTTTTGTAATTTTCTATGGCAATTGGAATTTACCACCATGTTTGTCTTTTTGATTGTTCAATGTTGCACTTTCAGACAGAGATTTTTTTTCTGTTGTAAACATTTGCTAAAGAGAGAAATGTTGGCAAAACCAACTGGTTTAAGATTTTAGTCCTTTTGTATTTTAATGGTCATCTCAAGTCTTGATGTTATGGAAGTTCATAAATGAATTTTCTTATAACAACAGCATTAATATATGATTTAAATACTACCCTCAGTCCATAAATTTACAGACTTTCCATAAATATCATGAAATCCTAGACCTGATAAGACCACTTATCCATTTGGTATGGTAGTTGTCCCTTTATATTATGTCCCAGGATTTTTATATGCCTGAAAGGGCATATTATGTTATACCCCCTGGCGTCCATCTGTCTGTCTGTCTGTCCGTCCGTCCGTTAGCAATTTGGTTTCCGGAGCATAACTTAAGTTCCATTTGGCCCACAATGTTCAAACTTCATAGGATGATTGTCCATATTGGGTAAAAGACTCCTAATGATTTTGGGGTCAAAAGGTCAAAGGTCAAGGTCACTATGACCTTAAAACTGAAAACAGTTTCCGGAGCATAACTTAAGTTCCATTCGACCCACAATGTTCAAACTTCATAGGATGATTGTCCATATTAGGTTGAAGACCCCTATTGTATTTGGGGTCACAAGGTCAAAGGTCAAGGTTACTATTACCTTGATACTGAAAACAGTTTCCGGAGCATAACTTAAGTTCCAATTGACCCACAATGTTCAAACTTCATAGGATGATTGTCCATAGAAGGTAGAAGACCTCTATTGATTTTGGGGTCACAAGGTCAAGGTCACTATGACCTTAAAACTGAAAACAGTTTCCGGAGCACAACTTAAGTTCCATTTGACCCACAATGTTCAAACTTCATAGGATGATTGTTCATATTGGGTAGAAGACCCCTATTGATTTTGGGGTCACAAGGTCAAAGGTCAAGGTCACTATTACCTTGATACTGAAAACAGTTTTGGGAGCATAACTTAAGTTCCAATTGACCCACATTATTCAAACTTTATAGGATGATTATCCATATTGGGTAGAAGACCCCTATTGATTTTGGGGTCATAAGGTCAAAGGTCAAGGTCACTATTACCTTGATACTGGAAACAGTTTCCGGAGCACAACTTAAGTTCCATTTGACCCACAATGTTCAAACTTCATAGGATGATTGTTCATATTGGGTAGAAGACCCCTATTGATTTTGGCGTCACAAGGTCAAAGGTCAAGGTCACTATAACCTTGACACTGAAAACAGTTTCCAGGTGGCCCACAATATTTCAACTTCATAGGATGATTATCCATATTGGGTAGAAGACCCCTATTGATTTTGGGGTCGCAATGTCAAAGGTCAAGGTCATTATTGCCTTGACACCGAAAACAGTTTCCGGAGCATAACTTAAGTTCCATTTGGCCCACAGTGTTCAAACTTCATAGGATGATTGTCCATATTGGGTAGAAGACCCCTATTGATTTTGGGGTCAAAAGGTCAAGGGTCAAGGTCACTTTATCCTTAAAACTGAAAACAGTTTCTGGAGCATAACTTAAGTTCCATTTGGCCCACAATATTCAAACTTCTTAGGATGATTGTCCATATTGGGCAAAAGACCCCTATTGATTTTGGGGTCACTAGGGTAAAGGTCAAGGTCACTATTACCTTAAAACTGAAAACAGTTTCCGGAGCATAACTTAAGTTCCATTTGACCCACAATATACAAACTTCATAGGATGATTGGGCAAAAGACCTCTATTGATTTTGGGGTCACAAGGTCAAAGTCACTTTTACCTTAATACTGAAAACAGTTTCTAGAGCATAATTAAAGTTCGAATTGGCCCACAATATTCAAACTTCTTAGGATGATTGTCCATATAAGGTAGAAGACCCCTATTGATTTTGGGGTCACAAGGTCAAAGGTTAAGGTCATTATTAATAACTTAAGTATTAATCAACCAACAGCTGTAAACTTTTATAGGATGAACAGCGAATTCCCATGTCTTATAAATGCTTCATCCTTACTAAAAAAAAAACACTTTCGGGCATATAATGCTCCGCCTAGCGGTGCTCTTATTTGAATTGTCAAGATGTGTGCTTCATTTGATTACACAAACTTAAACATGCCATGTTGTATTATTTTCAGGTTGATGCTATGGGCTATTCACAAAGGGACAATCCTTAACTCTTTGTTTCTAAATGAGTTATTAAAAGGACCACATTTTGTAGTGATAATAAATTATTGAACTTGAAGAGCAAAATTTGTAGCTTGTAATAAAATCAGAAATCAAACAAACTGAAAATGACATAAGTTCATGTGAATCATTTTTGAATATTGAAGGACAAAAATAAACTGGTAAATGAGACATGTTCATTATAAATGAGACGTTAATTTAGACAGTGCAATGTTTACAATGATACTAAGGTCAGCACGAGTTCTCCTACTGCTGACCTTAGTTCTGCAGATTCTGCCAGCCTCGTGTGATTCCCAGGATGACATTCATTATGTGCCTGTATCATGTAATTCTTCAAAACCAAGTTCAAGAGTAAAGATGGAGTTTTCATCAGAGGTGATCGATCATGGTAAGTACTTCAGTTTTTTTAGCCCCGTAGATTGTCAGGAATTTTTTTCTGTCTGTCTGTGAGTCTGTCTGTCTGTGAGTCTGTCTGTCTGTCTGTCTGTCTGTGACTCTGTCTGTCTGTGACTCTGTCTGTCTGTGACTCTGTCTGTTTGTTACAATACTTTAACCTCGACAGTAAAACAGAAGTCCTTTTACCTACAGCCACCAAACTTCACAGCCTCACAGGTGCATGCAACTTTACGAAGACTTCCTGCCAGACCAACTTCAAAGGTCAAGGTCACTGTATGGGAATGGCATTTATACAAACTTAGCACTTGTTTTAATTAGGAAAAAGTATTTGTTTCTTTAGATACTAAATTCTAGATGAATTAAAAGGAATTTATAACATAATACTTCATATTAAAACAGGAGTTGTTTTCAGTATAAATATACTTTTCTGTATCTATAAAATTCTTTTTGTATATTTGTGTACTTATGAAAATAAATGATTCAAAGGTATAAAATAATAACACAAGAGTTGTTATAAAAAGATTGATGTTTGTTAGATTAATACAAAAGATTCACAATATAATGTAACAATTTATTTTCAGATTTATAGGAATTGAATATTACATGTAATTGATTTATCATCAGTTGAAGAAGAAATGGTTATGAGTAATCTTTGTGGTATCTTGCATTATAATTTTATACAAGATTTGAACTGTGAGTTGTGGTAATATTTGGTGTCTACAGTGTTTATGTATAATGTTTATCTTGATCAACCTAAATGAACTTTAAAATTTGATTTTCTAATAATTTCTTGACTTTGCTTGATTTACCTCCCTTTGCATTTCAGAGTATATAGTATCATTCAATGGATATTATAAGAAAGAGACAAGGAAGAGGTACCTGCATGCAGCATTACATGATTCAGATACAACAATGTGGTCAGTTGTTGACCGAGATAATCCTGCCTTTGATTATCCTAGTGACTTTGACCTTGTTAAAGTAAGTTTATAATTTAAAGATTAAAATAATAAATTTTGAATTTGTGTACATTGCTATAAAGTTGATTGTACTTGCACCATAGTTATAGTTAGTTAATCAGGACTTATTTAGGAAAAGGACCTCCACCCTACCCCACATCCACCTCCACATGTCTCTACTTGACTATCAATATTAGATGTTGATTATATTAGGTGTTTCAATACAGTTGTTTTTTTGTCATTGTAAAGTGAAAGACTGAAGAATGGATAATGTCTGGTTTACGTTACACTTGATTCTCTTATCCACTAATTTACGTGGTCATTGAATAAATGAACAAAATAAATTTTACTTTATTTCACAGTGTATGCCTTATTAAAATTTCAGTTATTTTCATTTTTGAAAGTATATCCAGGATATTTTTACCAAAATTACCAATAGCTGCCAAAAAAACTGTTTTAACTCTGTTTTTTTTTTAAACAACAACCGCTAAGACTTTAATTAAAATACATGATATAAGTCACAAATGATATAAATAGCCAAGTTGTCATAGTAAGATAAGTACTGGTAATGTAAATTAAAATGAAACATTAATACAATCTGTTTGAACACCAAGATGACTCAGCTTGATTTGTGGCAAATATGGAGAAAAAAAAACACAACCAGTACTGATTTGAGCTGTCTAGCAACCTGACCCATAAAACCAAGAAGATTTAATAGTACATTATTCATCATATGTTACGAAATAACAGTTAACCATGGTTATGATATGTTTTGTTTTTAAACAGTTTAAAGATCAACAAGCCAGTGGTATTGAATCATTGAAACATCATCCTGTTATAAAAGCTGTCACACCACACAAAAAGGTCATAAGGTCACTCAAGTTTATTAAAGGTTTGTTTAATATATTATCTATTTCATTTGTTTTTAGCTCGACTATTCGAAGAATATGAGAGCTATTGTAGTCGCCCCGGCGTCGGTGTCGGCGTCAGCGTCCGCGTCGGCGTCTGCGTTGGTTAAAGTTTTTTGTAAAGTCAAATATCTCAATTATTGCTTGAGATATTCAATTGAAACTTAAAATACTTATTTATAGTTAGTGATGTTCCGATTGTCGCAAGTCGCCGATAATCAGTTACTGTTATGTAAAACGACAATAATCGATTCACAAAAATTTGTTCCGCGACGTCGTCGAAAATGTTTAAAGTATCAAAGGGAATAAATTCTGACGGTAATTTTCTTTTAGGAACATCTCGCCGATCGCAAAAAAATCACTCAGAGACATCTTAGAGTTGAACAGGATCAATAAATGATGTAAACAATAGTAATATAATGTGATATGAATGGTATTATTTGACATCCATTGAAAAATAAAATCTATTTCGTAAAATTATGACTATATAAGGTTAAAACTGTGTTGAAAAGTGCTAAATGAAGTTCGTGTTACTAAATATAATCAAGTGCCTTGGTAAGAAATGTTACTTTCCTATTTCTTTTAACGCGACTTTATTCGAAAGTTATCGATTATGTCCCATCCGACTGAACCGATGATCGATTGGGACAAATTTCATCCGATTTCCATCACTATTTATAGTAACAAGGTACATCAGATTGACAAGTTGGATAACTCTACCTACAATATTGACAGAATTATGCCCCTTTTTAACTTAGAAATTTTAGTTTAAGTTTTTTGTAAAGTCAAATATCTCAATTATTGTTTGAGATATTCAATTGAAACTTACAATACTTATTTATAGTAACAAGGTACATCAGATTGACAAGTTGGATAACTCTACCTACAATATTGACAGAATTATGCCCCTTTTTAACTTAGAAATTTTGGTTAAAGTTTTTTGTAAAGTCAAATATCTCAATTATTGCTTGAGATATTCAATAGAAACTTACAATACTTATTTATAGTAACAAGGTACATCAGATTGACAAGTTGGATAACACTGCCTACAATATTGACAGAATTATGCCCCTTTGAAACTTAGAAATTTTGGTTAAAGTTTTTTTGTAAAGTCAAATATCTCAAATATTGCTTGAGATATTCAATTGAAATTTACAATACTTTTTTATAGTAACAATGTACATCATTTTGCAAAATTGCATAACTCTGTCTGCAATATTTGCAGAATTATTTGCCCCTTTGAAACTTAGAAATTTTGGTTAAAGTTCCATAACTCTATCTTGCATTAAGGCTGATTCATATCCCCTTTTCTACTTAGTCTCTTGGTTAATGTTTACATGCAAGTTTTACATATCTCAATAACTATTAAAGATATTTATTTAAAACTTCACATATGCAATTAGGGTCAGAATTGTAGGTCACTGACAAAGATCCATAATTCTATCTTGCATTTAGGCTGATTTTTCTTCCCTTTTTCAACTTAGAAATTCATGGTAAAGTTTTGCTTGTAAGCTGTTATCTCCATAACTACTGAAGGGTTTGTGCCTTTTTTGGGACAATTTTATGCATTCATAATAATAAAGCAGTGATTTACTTGATAAAACATCTTAATAACAAGCCTTTGTACCTTTTCTGTCAATTTTATGTATTCATAGGTAATTAGTATTATTATACTCAATAAAACACCCTTGTGACATTACCTTCCAAATAGTCAAGCCAATACTGTATAATTAGACTCTCTCTAAGGCCTATAACATGAATTTATAAAAAAAAATTAGCCCTTTTGTGAACTTAGAAAATTTAACATTATCAAGGCTCTTTAACTATCAAGCACTTAGAATAGTCGAGCGTGCTGTCCTACCGACAGCTCTTGTTCTAGTAATATTCTGTCTTTCTTTTGATGTATTGTAGCTGTATTAGATATAAATTAATTGATTTAATAATGATCTGCAAATATGACAACATTTGACTTGACATACATGTATTTAAATTTGCTCTTTTGATCATTTTAATGTCACCTTCTGGTCAAGTGTCTTATAGTCATATGAACAGCTTCCTAAAACACTTAAAATACTGCAGTCCATCTTTAAAGCTGTACAAACTGGTTTCTTACAAATTTTCTCACAGATAAGTAATTATTTCCAGTAAATTAGCTATAGGGAAGTTTCATTCTTTCCATTACATGATGGTATCAGTGTGTACAAAAATAACAATTATCCAGTGTTTGGATCAATCTTTGTAATATGTTTCTTATTATTGAAAATAAAAGAAGAAAAAAAACCCTGATATCATCTATCACATGTTACAATTTTATTGTTATTTTTATATAATATAAAGATCAATAACAACATGTGAAATTGATGTTATGTTTATCTATCAATGTTTTGGCTATGGCCTTTATCTAGATAAGATATTATACATGTATATTATAGAAGATGGTGAAGATAGCGAAGACAAAGATTCAGATTCTCTAACTGATATGAACCAAAACAGGAACAGGAAAAGTTTGTCATTGGTATATAGACACTATAATTACTGTAGAACTTCTTTCCCTACACATTAGAACTTAACCATGTCCCCAATTAAAGCAAAGTTGAAAGGTGGTATTTCATATAAGGTAGGTTTGATCAGAAAAAAGTAACAAATTGCATTCTTATTTTATTGGAAAACAATTGAATGTTAAAACAATTGAATGTTTTAGAACATACATAAATTTTACATTGAGAAATGGTTCTAGTTTCCAAAGCAATTGTTTAATATGTTTAATTAAAAATACCAGCCCAAACTGTCGATGTTTTAATATCCCTGTGACAATTGATCTTGGACATTCAGTCTAATGGTCATTTGTCTCTCACAGGAGATTCAGAAGTCATGTTGTGTGAGTAGTTTGTCTCCTGTGTAGAAATTGGTAATTACTTGTTAGTAATTTGTAGTTTGTTTAGTTGTCAAGAAAAGTCTTTAAGGTGGACCAACTGCAAAATATGACAAAAATACGAGTGTTAGAATTTGCATGAAATAATATAATCAAAACTGTTTTCATCTCATCTCCTAGGCAACGGCATACTGGCATTCTCCAAACAGACGCGGTCGAAATATACTCAGAGCTGTACCAAGACAGGTAAAACTTCAAAGACTAAACTGTAAATGACACCGTTTGATTTATTTCTTAGTTTCTAAATCAGAATTGTCTTTATACTTGCTGTTATTTATTTGAACAAAAAAGTAGAATAGTGATAAATTCATATTCTTTCCCCAGAAAACTTTGTAACAGCATAGTATTGCAAGTTGATAGTTGTACAACAAATTCTGGTTATGCCAACATGAATAAAAACACAATGTTATTTTAACGGTAATGCTCAGAAATTTCCATATGACAAAAAAAAAAACCCAGCTTTGGTGAGACTTTTAACTTTAACAAGGTAATTCTTAATATGTTTAGTAAATAAGTATGTGACATTGCAGTCAATTTCTTAAGCTAACTGAAGTTATTATTTTTATTTTAGATTGCCAGTGCTCTGCAGGCAGAGATCCTGTGGAACATGGGATACACAGGTCAGTTACTGTGCTCAAATATTATGTATAATGAATTTAGAATTTTGTGGCTTTTTAAATTAATTGACTTTTCTCTTGAATAAATAGTTTCTAATTTTGTTAACTTTTGCTATTGTTTAATGTACGTTGATTTCAATATATAGATTGTACATGCGTTAGCATAGGTTTTGTACCACAACTTGGTAGATTTGTCTTCAAGAAACTACCTCATAATGAATCCATCAACAACGTTTGAATGATGTGACACCCACATTGACAGTGTCTTGTAAAAATATAACTTGACAGAATAAACTATAATTTTCTCACATTTTTCATTTCCCATTTATTGTATTATTGTACAATAATACAGTTCAGTGTATAATAACATACATGTATACGTATTGTATATTTTCAGGTGAAGGGGTAAAAGTTGCTGTATTTGATACAGGGTTATCAGAGTCTCACCCACATTTTAAACCTGGAAGAATTAAAGACAGAACTAATTGGACACATGAAAAAACCCTGGATGATGGTAAATCTATCTCAGCATTTAATTATATATGACTTTGAAAGAGTATGACAAGAGATATAATGGGGTTGTTTTTGGCTCTATGTAACTTAACTGAATATCATCACCTGTTTTACATCACTGTGAAGTTTATTTCTGAAATGGGTGTCTTATGTATGTATAGAAACTATCAAGCTAGCTTACAGCAGGTTAAAAGAGATGGGGAGGGGGGGCTCAACAAAAAGAGTTGACCTTGTAGGTAAGGTGTATGCCTGTTAACCCAGGGATCATGGGTTTCTTGCCCAACTGAAATCCCGACTATGTTTTGTCATTTAACACCAATACTGAATAATTTATCATTTTCAAGAGAGGTTTTAAATAAGTTAAAAGCTCTGTTAACAACCAAATGTTACTGATATTTTTTATTGTATAAAAGAGTTACATGTGATAATGCTATATTATGATGCTTTTCTAGACTCTGAAAGATGTTTGGGCAGATGAAATGAATACATATTGTCACCTGTATGCAATATCTGATTAGCTTCTATTAAATTTAGAAGAACTTATTCCATTTTTGCACTAAAGTGATAATATGATATATAATTATACTTCTAGAAAATGGTATTTTGTTAATGATCAATGTAACCAGATTTTTGTCATATGTCACCTTGATATTTTAAATTGAATAAAATCAAATCATGAATACTGTAAATATAGTTAATTTCGTGGGCATGAAATTTTGATGTTTTGTCACAAAGAACATTTTCATGGGTTCTTAAATTTGTGGCTGTTTTATTTTTCAGAAGATACCAATGTAAATAATGTGATGCAAAATAATCTTACAGCATACAAAATGAAATTTCATTGAATCTTAAATTAGGAAAACCATGAAAATTAGTTTCTAACAAATGATAATGATTTTGCAGTATAAGATTAATGTTATATACATACTTTAAAATGATAAGGACATACATGGTATAGTATAGAGTCTGAGACATATATATAATAATTTCAGGTCTAGGACATGGCACATTTGTAGCAGGTGTTATAGCTAGTCATAGAGAATGTTTAGGATTTGCACCAGATGCTGAGATATATGTGTTTAGGGTTTTCACTAATAATCAGGTAAGTTTTAATAAAAATACAACCTTGCTGAGGCAAAAACAAACAACAAAAATAACATGTTGAGTATAACTTATGGAAAGAATTTAAAAAAAATTGTTGTTGTTTTTTCCTGTTTTTGAGTCTGTTTATCTCTCTCACTGTGGGCAGCCATGATCATGACATCTTCATTCTATAAGCTGGAACTTGTTAACTTAAAATCAATATTCCTCTGGATGTCAAGTTCATATGCAATATGTCCTTGACCCATAAATGAACTTCAAGGTCAAATTATAAAATTTCAGGAAATTTCAGAATATATTTCATATCTTATAGCTTATTTTGGACAAATGCATTCTTTTGACATAATGAGACTGGAAATAACTTTTAGAAATTAATGTTTTGAATGGAGATCTAGTCCAATAACTTGTGTGCAAAATTTAGATTTAGATCATTTGCTCGCTCAGATTTTCCAGAATGGTTATTCTAATTGTGGAAAATGATCCAAAATTGAAGAGTTCCTGGACTTTTCACTCAAATCGGGCTAAAATAGCACAAAAAATACAGTTTTCAATTTATTCTGACCATATTTTAAATATATTTTGCATATCTTTCTGTTTTAAGTGCTCCATTTGATCTATGTAGAAAATTCAAATTGTATCTTATCAGGCTTTTGAACCTTACTGGAGTTCTTTTAAGGTAACACAACATTGATTGTTTTTCAGGTATCTTATACATCCTGGTTCTTAGATGCCTTTAACTATGCAATATTGAAGAAGATAAATGTACTCAACTTGAGTATAGGCGGTCCAGATTTTATGGATCATCCATTTGTAGATAAAGTGTGGGAATTGACAGCCAATAAAGTCATCTTGGTATCTGCTATAGGCAATGATGGACCGTTATATGGGTAAGTTTCTGATAATTAGCTACTTTTTAAAGTAATAAAGAGGGTGTCTGTGGTCAAATGGTTAAGGTCGTTGACTTCAAACACTTGCCCCTCTCTTGTGGTGTGGGTTAGAATCCAGGGATTTCGGATTATTTCATGTGAGGAAGCTATCCAGTAAGCTTATGAAATGACGCTTGTTCTACTCTGGTGCCTATACGTACCTGAAACAATGTCTGGAGGGGAACATGAGATCTTCCTCCACCAGTAAAGTTGGAAAGTTGTCATATGACATCTACTGTGTTGGTGATCTACTGTGTTGTAGAGACTTAAAACCCAACAACTAAAAAATTAAAACGGTAAATTCTCTATTTTAAGATCCGATAAAAGAGATAATTTATTCAAATTTGTACAGAGTACATTATATTTCCAATGTGAGAAACAATAAGGAAAAAACTGATGTTTTGCTGTAATGATTGAAATTTAATTTATTTAATTTATAACTTATACATGTAGTTTATTTTTATCCATCATGCATTGGGATATAGAACAAGATAGACCAAATGTTAATGATTATTGATTAAAATGTTTGATTTACTCACATATCATAATTTAAAAAAAAAGAACTAAAAAACAACAACAGAAAACAATGGGATATCATGGTGTTAAAATACATTATACAAATAAGAAGGTTATCTAAATGACTGTAAAGTTTGTAAGATTATACTTGGACAGAATTTGTTAGCAGTGTCCAGAATATAACAGAAAATAGCTGGTTAAGTGGAATCATTATATGTAAATAGAAATAAAAAATCAAAGAGGAATATTCTTATTATAGAAAGCAGAGTTATTTTATGTCAATACTCCTTTGATTTTATTGAAATTTTTTGTGGAATTGATAACATCTGTTGTTATCCTTTGTTTAAATGATATAATAGATCTAAATTAAGTTTGGAATATAGATTAATTTCTACATATCTGAAACATATTTGTATTATTTATTTGAAAATATTATATACATATTTACTTATACAAATATTCAAATTTAATATTTATACGTGAATATTCAGCCGATTTTTCATTATTTTAACAGTTGTTCCCATCCATAAACTATAGGTATAACATAAGATCAGCATTGCAATAAATGTCTATGGTACATATTGTAAATAATACAGTAAAACCTCTGAAAATGATTTAAAGGTCCTATTTTTTCCTTTTTATTAATTCATTAAAAAAGTATCCACTAAATAACAGAAATTTTGAATTCTGAAAACTGGACAATTTACCATGGTTTGTTATGCTTAACTGGCGTGAAAAATACTTTGAAAACTGAAAAATACTTTGAAAACTGAAAAATCCTCTGAAAACTGGACAATATTGTTTATTTTACAGGACATTGAACAACCCGGCAGACCAGATGGATGTTATAGGTGTAGGTGGTATCAACTTTGAGAACCAGATAGCTAGATTCTCATCTAGAGGGATGACTACATGGGTAAACTACTTTTATTATGATCCCTAAAGGGATAGCATATAGTTGCAGCTTTGTTTGTCCGTCCCTTTGTCCTTCCACATTTTCTTGTTAACAAGAATCTTTTTTAGGTAGATAGATCTCATTGAGTAGAAGTAGAAGAACAGAAAGTCTGCCTTGCCTAATTTTGGAGTAATTGTCCTTTTCCATTTTTACACTTTGAATTTTATCCAGGACATAACTTTGAAACTACATGAGATATTAACAAGAAACTACTTCTCTGTGTGGGGAGAATCACCTTGTTCGACAAGCTCTTATTCTTAAAGTTAGAGATTATTTCCCTTGCCATGTTAGAAACCTAAAATGCATTTGTCTTGCTTTGAGTTTGGAATAGTCTATGAAAGTTTTTTACAGTTTCAGTTTTCAATATAGAATGGAACATTATTCAATTGGTCAGTATTTCATATACATTAATTATGTGTCTTGTCAAAGAAAGCATAATAAGGCTGCTGTTTATTTATTGGACAGTAATGTTAAAAATGATATAAACGCTACAGATAATTATGTTACAAATTTATATATCATGCTTATTTTGTATTTCTTACAAAAAATTAATATATCCTACCTATTAAATATAGATCTATCATTTTTAAAGAAATGCTAAAAAATATGAATTATTGTGATATTAAGCGTGGTCATTCAGGTAAGTGTAGCCCCTGTAGTGTGGTAAATGCTTTAACTTGTTGGTATAGGACATGTAAAAGTTGTGTATACACACACATAATGCCTGTATACATTATTAAAGATTTTTGACAGGTGATATGGCCCTATATAAATGGTTGTCAGGTTATATGGCCCTATATAAATGGTTATTTGGAAATATGGGTTATATTATGTATGTAACTTGTCAGAAATGTATATAACTAAATTATAATACAGCAAGCATCTTTTTTTAGAGAAAAAAAGTGAAATTTCTTCATAAATTGACAGCAGCCATGTATATAAAACTATATAAACATCACCATTATCCATACAAACATGTTGTATTATAAGTATTATATATTTCTATATAATATAGGAGTTACCAGCTGGGTATGGTCGTATGAAACCAGACATTGTTACATACGGATCAGCTGTCAGAGGATCGGCCCTTAAGTAAGTTACGCCATTAGGAAAAAAAATCATTTAAATCAAGCCTTTACTCCATGTTTAATTGGTGTGCATGTAGCAGCAATTTAAATTTTCATTTGTCTGTAAAAGCTCTACGATGCTCTTTTCTCTCTCTCAGACTTGTCTTTCTGTCTGAAAGGATAGACAACTTTAAACAATTATTTGTCAATGTAGTTTATGGAAAAGCAGTAAATGTAATTAATGATGAAAAATAATAAAAATGGTGGATTTTAGGTTGATAATGGAATTGAATCTTTAAGCTTATGTGAAGTTATATACAGTTCTTTTTATTGTTTTCAATAAATGAAAATTTATTGGGTGACTGTTTATATTTTCAGGGGTGGTTGTAGGTCACTATCAGGAACCAGTGTGGCTTCCCCAGTAGTTGCAGGAGCTGTGACCCTTCTCTTCAGGTAATATCATTTTATATGGTATTTTACTATACGAAAGAAAAACTGAATACATAATGAGCTGAATCATTCAATTTATTTCGTGCACCATCATTGTAGAATAAACAAATTTGGAATCATCCCATAAAGTTTACCACATTGAAATATATAAGTGATAAAGTATAATTAAATGTTGGATGTACAGGCTATTCTGACTAGACTAACCTGGTGAGGTATCTCGCCAAATTCCTACAAACATCAATGAAACCAGACCTGTCACACTATATATTTTATCTTAAGCTAAAATTAGGTATGAATGCCAAAAACTAAATAGGGAAACATACATTGTATTTAAAGGGACTCCACTGAGGTTTTTTTGACATGACGGGACTAGAAATAATTTTTTGAGATTATTACTCCATTTGATGTAGATCTATACTAATAACTTATGTGCAAAATTTCAGATCATTATCTTGCTCCGTTTTTCCAAAATAATTATTATAATAGTGAAAAATGACCCAAAATTGAAAAGCGTTTAAACGCTTTTCACTCAAATCGGACTGAGAATAGCACAAACATATGATTTTCAATGTATTTCTACTATATTTTTGGTTATATATTATTAATATTTATGTTTTAAGTGCTAATGTTTATCTATGTGAAATATTAAAATTTCATGCTTTTAGGCTTATAAACCTCAGTGGAGTTCCTTTAACACTTGATACCGGGTAGCCAGTAACAAATGATAAATAATGTCCAATAAATGTATATGGTACATATCGTAAGTATTACAGTAAAACCTCTGAAAACTTGACCATCTGAAACTGATTTAAATGTCCCATTTTTTGTACACACTGAATAAAGTATGGAGATTATGTCCAATGCTGAGGTGGTTATGGTTGCTGAATTGAATCACTTGTTGTCTAACCACTGTAAGTTCAATATAATTGGTTAACTTCAAATAAAAAAGCTTTTGAGACTTGGTTACCAATGTCAACAGTCCTAAGATGATAATTTGTTGATATTTTATTTTTAATTTAGGAAGGGATATGCACTATTGGCTCTTGCGTTATCTCCTTTAGTCTGACCTGTAAAGTCTATCTTAGCTATAGGGATATTAATATTATTATTATTTTATTTATTTCAGTTCTGTGTTAGATCGTATAGATGTTATAAACCCAGCCAGTATGAAGCAGGCACTTATCGCCTCGGCTCGTAGACTTCCCGACTCCAACGTTAATATGTTTGAGCAAGGTCACGGTAAATTGGACCTTGTCAAGGCTTATCAGACGCTGAAGACGTATAAACCACAAGCCAGGTACCTGTTTTAGTTGTGTTAACCCATGATCTGCATATATTTCTTTAATAGATTTGTCCAGCTTTGAATTTGAAACAATCTATTCAAAGTTCAAGGGATTTCAGTGTTAAGATACAAAAAATGAGCTGCCAACAGCATAGAGCCTGGTCAGCTACTAAACAAAGATTTATTAGCAAAAATAAATCTCAAATAAAAGCCAAATTTATATATATTACTTGGTCAAATTTTTGTTACAGAAAAATGACTTCCTTACATTAAAATAAATACATAGGGTTTTAAGGTGTGGAAAAAGAATGAGTTTAATGAAAATTAATAACTGTTTGTTTAGGAATTTAAAACATACATGTTTAATGTTCTTATTTTCAGTTTGAGTCCAAGTTACGTAGATTTATCTGAATGCCCATACATGTGGCCATATTGTTCGCAGCCACTATATTACAGTGCTATGCCTCTCATATTTAACATCACCATACTCAATGGTATGGGAGTGAGTGGGAAAATTATAGACAAGGTAACATTATACATTTTTACATTGTGACATTTTCACTGATTAGCTTTACGATTCTTTAAAAGTTGAATATTGAAAAAAAAAGTATTTGATGGGTCTGTTTAACATTTACCCCACTAAATATCTTCATGAACTTTGCCATCTTTCAATTTAGACAAAACCATTCATCATTTTAAGGGATAATTTCAACATATGTATTGACTGAAAAGTGGACCATAATCAAATAGTACAGACATGCTCATGGCGACTGATTATGGTAAACTCTTGTTGCATGGAAAGATTCTGCCAGCAAGCAAAGGTTTAATCATGAAGTTTTGTTCTACTTGTCTATGGATAACTATAAGAATTGTGTCATATTTTGACATATCATAAAGATTTAAGACCTGTCTTAACAATTTAAATGCATGTGTTTGTGGAAAGCTATAGTGTTTATCAAAAGCAATACATAGCTGATTCCGTTTGTTGGCAAAGAAACTTATTGGAGTTTCAACATTTTACCTTGACAACTATTGTGTGGTGTCATGGGTTAAGGTATCCTAATGTTGCCAGTTCTTGTACTGAAACATTTATAAAATACGCCCATTAATTACATAAAATCATGTTACAATGTTATTTCAGCCTAAAATCATGTTACAATATTATTTTAGCATAAAATCATGTTATAATATTATTTCAGCCTAAAATCATGTTATAATGTTATTTCAGCCTAAAATCATATTACAATATTATTTCAGCCTTAAATCATGTTATAATATTCTTTTAGCCTGAAATCATGTTATAATATTATTTCAGCCTTAAATCATGTTATAATATTCTTTTAGCCTGAAATCATGTTATAATATTATTTCAGCCTAAAATCATGTAACAATATTATTTCAGCCTTAAATCATGTTATAATATTCTTTTAGCCTGAAATCATGTTATAATATTATTTCAGCCTAAAATCATGTAACAATATTAATTCAGCCTAAAATCATGTTATAATATTTTTTCAGCCTAAAATCATATTACAATATTATTTCAGCCTAAAATCTTGTAACGATATTTTTTCAGCCTATCTGGGAACCGTACAAGCCTCACTACGGTAACTACCTGGAGGTCGCCTTCTCGTACTCTAAGACATTATGGCCGTGGTCAGGTTACCTTGCTGTATCTATATCTGTGACAAAAAGCGCCGCCAAGTGGGATGGTATAGCTCAAGGGCAGGTTACTCTAACGATAGAATCACCACCAGAGGTATTGTTACATTACTGTAATATTTTTACAAGGTTAAAAGATGTATGATAATATTTTTAAAATTTTGAAATTGTGCATACTAGTTTAAAGTCTTTTTCAAGTTTACAAATAAACTGATTAAGTTTCAGGTAATATCTTTAGTTTGAGGTGATTTCTATCCATAATGTGTCAAAATGTGCAAGATTACCCCATAGTGTATATGAAGCTTAATATAGAAGAGATACTGTCACATTTAATTAGTTAAAAATAGATTGTAAATATTACATATTACATGTATATATATTTTCAAGATACATGTATGCTTTAAAATATAGGCTGAAGGCACAGAGTTTTTTTTCAAGCACTCAAACAACAATGTATAGCTGTTTAAAGATTATAATAATGTCAGTAAAACAGTACTTAGATATTAGAATCATACTAAACTTCATCATAATCTGTTTAGGAACCACTGCTATCTCTCAGTTAAAATAAGATTTTTCTCTTTAAAAAAAAAACCAACACAATTTTGTTGCAGTAAAATTATTTTTAATGTGGTGATTTTACAAGGAGGGAGCATGTTTTTCTGCATTTAAATGTTTTATGACTGTAAAAGTTATTAATACTTTACAGGGTGATGAGACAGAGCCGAGAGTTTCACATCTGAAACTTCCAATCCGTGTCAAAATTATACCTACACCACAGAGAAGGTAAATATAACTTAAATAAATAAAAATGTATTTCCAAATACACTTTCTAAAAAAAAGAATTTTCTGAGAACAATAAATTACATGAATCCCAAAATTTGGGTTACCACAAAAAATCTAGGGCATTTTTTTTCAAAAAATTTTGAAGGGGGCTGGGCCCGTTTTAAATTTTTTGAAAAAAAATGCAATACGTTTATAAAATTTTGAAAAAAAAACAAAAAATGACAAAAATTTTCTTGGGGTTTTTTTTCGAAAAATTTTTTAAAAAAAGGAAAAAGTTTTATTATTTAAAGTCTGACCTGTTAAAATCTGCCCTTTAAAATCAAGGGACTTTTTTCCCATGAACATGTGCAAAAAACCAAATTTAAACTTGATTAAAAAATAATTTTGTGTTTTTGAATTGGGGGTTTAAAAATTTTTTTTTTTTCCCCGAAGGGAAAAAAATTTTTATTTATAAACAATTTTTTCCCAACTTTTTGTGAAATCTTCTTTTGAAATTGTGAATTTTTGTGAAAAAAAAGTGCAATTTTGAATTGTGAAGGGGCCTTATTCGACCAGAAGCCAGGAAAAAAAGCCCTGTATTTGTAACATAGATTACTGAGAATGTTTTGTAAGTCTCATTGACTGTATGAACAGTTGGGCAAATGAATACTGTAATATCGTAGTTTCCAAAACAACATACAATTTGATAAGATACAAAACCTATATTGTGTTGGTCCGACGTAAAACCCAACAAAAAAGTAGTAATTATACAAATTTAGTAATTTAAACTTGTTTATTTTATATTACAGTCAGAGGTTATTGTGGGATCAGTATCACAATCTACGTTACCCACCAGGATATTTCCCACGAGATAATCTACGCATGAAAAATGATCCACTTGATTGGTAAATAGTTTACATTAAGTCATTATTTCAATGTCAGTTTTGATTTAAGCAAAAAGCATTTGAGTTACACCACGACAAAACCAACATAGTGCGTTTTCGACCAGCATGGATCCAGACCAGCATGGCATCCGTGATCCATGCTGGTCACAAACCTATTATGTTGGTTTTGTTTCAGAAAATTATATATATAATTGCATTTTTAAATTTCATAACATTTCATTACAATGTCAAATACAGGGGTTAATCAAATAATTTTGCTTTACAAAATTTTTGCATTATCAACACATATGACTCAATAGTGAGGTTACATATTTGAAAAATTCTTGTTTCAGTTCTGTTAACAAGGTTTTCATTATTAACTGATTGGCCATCTTAACCATCGGTTAAAATGCTCTTAAAATCTGATGTATTTTCGGCCTGTATATAAAAGTTTAACCCTTGACCCTTGGCAAAATCAGTTGTTTTCTTTTGAGCATCTGTTGCCTCAGATAAAAATGAAAACCCTGTATTAAATTTATATGGAAGATATGAAACAAACATTTATTTTCTCATATATCTACAATTAGCAAAAAAAAAAAAAAAATTCTGATTTTACAGTAATACAGAATGGGTATATAACATTGTGAATTTGTATATAATTATAGGAATGGTGATCATATACATACAAATTTTAAAGACATGTACCAACATCTGAGAGCTGCTGGATATTTTATAGAAGTTCTAGGTATTGTGTTATGCCGTATCTTTTTTCATTAATCATTGATCTTTTGCCCTTTGTATTTTGATGCCCTTGGTATCTGTGTCTTGTTACATCTCTTTGTCCTGGACAAATCTTGTTGTGAAGGCAAAGTTATAGGTAATCTGCATATGATAGGGAGCATAGGTTTTCTAAGTGAGGAGTACTGACTGTCAGTTTCCTTGGTTAAAAGGTACAGTTGTGTCTATTTTTGTGTAACATCTGCTTGTTCAAAAGTAAAATATGATATGTCTGCAACATTAATAAAAAAGAGAGAAATATTCCTTTAGAGTTTCTAAAAATCTTTGACTTTTTCATCATATATAAAATTTTATTGACATCTGAAAAGTTTGACCTCTGATCTTAAAAATTAATTGACCATGTATAATTATGTATAATTTACCTGTCATATATTTCAGGTTCACCTTTCACATGCTTTGATGCCAGACACTACAGTAAGTTTTATACTAGTTACTATAGTAATATTGAAACTATAGTATTAACTATATTCAAGCCAATACACAAATGGAATGTAAAATGACTGGGTGGGGTTCTGGCTGCTCAGGCCCTGTTATTGGCAGGACATCTCTAACAAGTTTCTGTCCACAGTTGCAAACTTCTCAATGGTTTTGTCCATGTGGATTGGACAAGAATCTGATTGCATATTCTCCACTCAGTAAAGATCAATTTATTTTTTAGGATGGAAACAACCTCAAGCAACTTCACACTAGTATATAGACAAATCAGTGAAATAACAGTGATAAAACAACTCTACACAGTGTCATATGTTAGACTTTGAATCTCAATGCAGTTCCTTTAAGTGAGCAATGTGTTTGGTAAATCACCTTACATTTTAGGACCCGCTTTGATTAAATAGTTCTAAAATTATGAAGTATTAATATTCCTACTTGATACTGTCTGTAAATTAGTATTATATTGTTGTTTTCAGGTACGTTACTGATCGCTGACACAGAGGAGGAATATTTCCCGGAGGAAGTGACCAAGTTGAAGCGAGACATTGATAATGGACTGTCTATTTTTGTATTAGCAGACTGGTACAATGTATCTGTGATGAAAAAAGTCAAATTTTATGATGAAAATACCAGGTAGTGTCTACGTAATGTTTGATAAATATTAACAGTGTTTGACCTTTGGTTTTTCAGAACTGCTTTCACTTAGCTTTAAGCCAAAGAAGCTATTGAATTTAGTTGCGTACTGGTTGGGGAGATAACTTCGGCTGGTTGATAAACTCGGCTTTTTGTAATTAAATCGAGTTATCAGAATTTTTAATCTAATCAAGCTCACCATCTCATACTATTGCTGGAATTCGGCAATATCTGGAAATTTTGTCAAGTTTGGTAAGATATTTAAAAAAATAACACAGACTTTTACCTGTTTGTTTACAAAACATGCCTATAAAAAGTACGGGAATTCCATTGTTGTGCGCATGTGCAGCAGATGCTCATTTTGAGGCCCGCACAGGGGTACTTTTATATATTGACCGACTACCGGTAAAGCAGACGACGTTTACGTATACATTTTGTAGATGAAATTCAGACTCGCTTTTGTCTTGCTAACTCAGAAAAAAGGCTGATTACACAATTGTAATCTTTTTAAGTGGAATGGATTGAAAGACTGATGTTAAATGCTCCTTTTATATGTTAATGTGTAGGCTGAATACCACTAAATAAATTTCTTCTTCACTCTGTTAAGCTAAGCAAAAATAAATTTGAATCACTAATTCTTTAACTACATATTTCGTTAATAAATGATAATGCCTGTGTTTTTACGTAAAAATGATTTATATGTTACATAGCACGTTGCATATAAATATCGTGTTATCATAGATATTCATTATACTAACGTAATGCTCAACAATTTTGGTAACAAATATTTTTATTTGACATAAATGAACAGCAAAGAAATAATAAAATGTCTAAACATGTTATTTTACTTTTAACTTACTCATTTAAGAAGAAAAACAAAGAGCCGGAATTATCTACTCCCACGCATTTAAAATATCCTTTTTACCTACCTCTTCCAGGGCCTCTCAAAATACCTGTTATGTTTCTAAATATAACTTTTACGGTGATACCGGAAAATCGAAGAGCTGAAGTTTATTATGGTGCAAGATTCATCAGAATACGTAAACAAATAAATGAAATATGCCTCCAAAACACTGATTTTCGGCCGAGTTTATCTCCCAAACCAGTATAAAGTTATTTATGTTTGTTAAAATGTTCATATCAAGATTTCTTGAGAGTTGATCTAGTGTTTTAGATGTTTGCCTCTTGAACTGAGATTGTGAGTAAAAGCCTGACTGTGATCATGACCTTGGTCCAAGGCCATAAAGAAAGTTTCTAAGCTCAGACTCGTATCTCAAATATTTGATTGGTCAAAAATCTGCTTAGAACACTGAGGCCTTGTTTCCTTGTATGGCATTAGCTCTTGTTTGTTAAGTAAGCTTCTGTCTCAATGGAGCTATAAAAAAATTATGTTCAAGCTAATGACATATCATAAAACAACTTTATTTGGATTTTTAGCTTTTGAAATTTTTATAATGGGCTTTTCATATTTTTGAATTTTATTTATGCTCCCCGAAAAAATTTCGGGGGAGCATATAGTCGCCGCCTTGTCCGTCCGTCCGTCCGTCTTTCCGTCCATCCGTCCGTCCCCTTTTCTTGTCCGGGACATAACTTTGAAACAACAAGAGGTATCAACATGAAACTTTGTAGGTAGATAGATCTCATTGAGTAGGTGTGCAGTGCACAAGAACCGTAACTCTGCCTTGCCTAATTTTTGAATTATTCCCCTTTGTTTATTTTTACACTTTGAACTTTGTCCGGGACATAACTCTAAAAGTATAAGAGGTATCAACATGAAACTTTGTAGGTAGATAGATCTCATTGAGTAGGTGTGCAGTGCACAAGAACCGTAACTCTGCCTTGCCTAATTTTTGAATTACCCCCCTTTGTTTATTTTACACTTTGAAATTTGTCCAGGACATAACTCTAAAAGTATAAGAGGTATCCACATGAAACTTTGTAGGTAGAAAGATCTCATTGAGTAGGTGTGCAGTGCACAAGAACCGTAACTATGCCTTGCCTAATTTTTGAATTATCCCCCTTTGTTTATTTTACACTTGGAACTTTGTCCGGGACATAACTCTAAAAGTATAAGAGGTATCAACATGAAACTTTGTAGATAGATAGATCTCATTGAGTAGGTGTGCAGTGCACAAGAACCGTAACTATGCCTTGCCTAATTTTTTAATTATCCCCCTTTGTTTATTTTACACATTGAACTTTGTCCGGGACATAACTCTAAAAGTATAAGAGGTATCAACATGAAACTTTATAGGTAGATAGATCTTATTGAGTAGGTGTGCAGTGCACAAGAACCGTAACTCTGCCTTGCCTACTTTTGGAGTTATTGCTCTTTGTTCATTTTGACACTTTGACTTTGTCTGGGACATTACTCTAAAATTATAAGAGATATCAACATGAAACTTTGTAGATAGATAGGTCTCATTGGGTGGAAGTGCAGTGCTTAAGAATCATTACTTTGCCTTGCCTTATTTTGAAGTAATTGCCCTTTGTTTATTTTTACTTTTTGACCTTTGTCCTGGACAATACTTTAAAACTGTTAGAGATATCAACATGAAACTTTGTAGGTAGCTAGATATAATTGGATAGAATTGCAATGCTTAAAGAACCTGAACAAAGCCTGGTCTAATTTTGGAGTTATTGCCCTTTGTTCATTTTTACACTTTGAATTTTACCCGGGACATAACTCTGAAACTATAAGAGATATCATCAGGAAACTTTATAGATAGATAGATCTCATTGAATAGAAGTGCAGTTAAAAAAAAACAACATAACTCCGCCTTCCCTAATTTTGGAGTTTTTGCCCTTTGTTCAATTATTTTATACTTTCCTGTGTCCAGAACCTTCTCGGGGAGCATCACCCGGTTCAACCGGTTCTTGTTTTTAAATTTAAGGTACTAGAAGTATGCTACCAACAGGCACATTTCAGTCTTGACTAGCTCTATTTGTGCTGCATATTATGCATATGCTATTTTTATCTCTGTGACTTAGAGAGTTAATAAAAAAATGTGTTATATTTACCAGACAATGGTGGATGCCTGATACCGGTGGCTCAAACATTCCAGCCATTAATGATCTTCTCTCACCACTAGGCATGGCCTTTAGTGACCAAGTTTATGAAGGAGACTTTACTCTGGGTGACCATGACAGTAAGTTCTTATTTTACCTTGATCAGGGCTTTCATTAATTAAGTTCCAAAATTTGGAAGTCAGACACTGAAAATTTCTAATATTGAAGTCACATTATAAAGATAAAGAAGGACAAGCATTACATTTTGGAAGTCACAAGCCAAAGTCAGGAGTAAATGATTCCCAAATTTTCACTAATGGAAGCCCTGCTTGATGTATGCATTCTTATTTGGATATTATGTTTTTGAACTCCTGTTGAGTGACAGTTTGTTTTTATAGTTTTTCCTATATACACAGATTTTTCAGCAGATGATGAAAGTGTTTGAGTTTTTGGATATTAATGAGGCTTATAATGTAGAGATAGAGGGTAAAATATGCAACATTATTATGGATTCTTACATACTAGTGCACTGATTAAGTAAATTTGTAAGTATTTTTTATTTATGAAAGATATTTTGTGTAGAACATTGGCATCCTTTAATGATCTGTCATCTAGAGATAAACTTGTAATACCTGTATGTCTGTATATCAGAACCTCAATCAGATTACATGGACATAAATGTTAACTTATATTTCAGTGTACTACGCCTCAGGAACTAGCATTGCCAAATTTCCTCAACAAGGTATCATCATATCAAGGACACTTAAAGATCAAGGTAACCTTAATCATGCTTTATATGTATAATGAACTTGTCTTTCTTTGAATTTAGAGAGGGGTGTTAAGGTTGTTGACTTAAAACCAGTTGCTCTTCACCGCTGTGGGTTTGAATCCCGACTTTGGATTCTTTCATGGAGGAAGCTATCCAGTTAGCTTACAGAACGTCAGTGGTTCTTCTCAGGTGCCAACTCATGCCTAAAATACTGCACGGAAGGGCATCTGAGGCCTTCCTTCATCAGTAAAGCTGGAAAGTCACCATCTTACGTATATTGTGTTGGTGCAATATAAAACCCAACCAAAAAAAAAAAAAAAGGAATTAAAATACAAAAAAAAAAATCATTAAAAAGTCGACTTGTAAGCTACGTATTTACAAAACTAAAATTAAGTTAAACAATTCTAAGAGTTAAATTAATTGGTTAGTACTGGTTAAACCTACAGAATTTGATATGATGGTGTTGTGTCCATGCATTTATGTCTCAAATTTTCTTAAAATGGTTTTATAACTATATTTTGTTAAGTCGTGTATTATTGAACCAGTTTATGTACTGTTGCTAGGTAACGAGGTAGTTAATGGGGAGGTAAAACTGGTGGAGAATGTACCGGTGCTAGGTTTACATCAAACAACACTGAACCCTGACAGTGGTCGGGTTGTTCTATACGGCGACTCAAACTGTCTCGACAATAGTCATATGCAAAAAGGTAATAATTCCTTAAATCTTTCTGTTGATTTGAAAAAAAAACAAAAACAAAAAACATCAAATTTTTCTGAAGAAAACTAGATGTCGAAAGCTAAAAAAAAGCGTTTGTTTTCATTGAACTGATTATATGTTGAATTGAAAGTTATATGAAAATTGAATACAAAATGTTTGATTAGAATATAAGAAAAATAAATATGAGCCGTGCATGACAAAACCAACATAGTGCATGGAGTCTGATCAGGATTCATGCTGTTCAATTACAAACCCTATCACAAGTACAGAAACAGATAGCGAACAGCATAGATCCTGATCAGAATGCACAGATGTGCAGGCTGGTCTGGATCTATGCTGGTCGCAAACACACTATGTTGGTTTTGTCATGGCGCGGCTCATATAAGAATCTGTGCATTAAATAGCATCTGTTGCTGACTTTGAACTGAAGTACAACCCTTTCAGAGCAAAACCCTTTGGAGACAAAAGATTTTAGCTGTTGCTAAGAGGTAATGATCCAAAGAGGTTTACTATATTTTTTGAAGTCTGAAAGTTCAAGAAATTTATACTGTTGTTGTAAATAAGTTAAAGCTCTACAGAGGTATGCTTTGTGAAGATTGCACTGTAGTTTATACTACTGGCATGCGAGCAGTTCCCGTACAGAAGCAGTACCCGTATTTTTCATTTAAACGCTTGATTTTTACTTGCATTCATCAAAAATTCATTTCAAATCAAGCAGATACATAAACGAGACAAAATCTAAGTGTCAGTTCGGCAGTACGTATATAAAGTCTCATTTTAAATCACTTTCACCTGTGCGTCGTCAAAACGTGACCTTGTTTTCTCTGGGGGATTCCGTCCTTGCGCGCATGCGCTAAAATAATTACACGTGAGGCTTGTTAAAGGGTTTTCCACTAATACCACCTGTTTACAAATAAGTAGGCAATGTGATGAAAACTTGTTTAATTAGCAGAATGTTGACCAATATTACTATATATAATAATTTTATGGCTTTGATGCGTAAAATATCATGCATACAAGCATGCTATTGCCTGTAAATGCGTTGGGGTAACGGTACCGGGTAATAGATACCCGCGTTTAGTCTACGCTCTATTTCCTGAATTACATCTATTTATCTTTTAGATAATAGTCTGTTCAACAATTGTAAATGAAAAATAGGTCCGATATAATAAAATTGTATAATTATAATGGGTTAGATTTTATGTACGGGAACTACTTCTCTTCATACAAAATAATTGATAATTTCGGTACCCCATATGAGGCCTCATAACTAAGGGTTATTCTATGTTTAGAACATGATGGAATTTCCATGATTTGTGTGACGAGCTGAATATTGATGTGTAACTTTCAAATTTTGGTGAGTGAGCGTAATAAAAAATAATGTTTAAGTAACTACGATTTTTGTACGGGAACTGCTCGCATGCCAGTAATGTTGTAAATAAATTATTGCTGTAGAGAGGTCTGCTTTGTGGACATTGTACTGTAGTTCCAAGAGCCAGTGAAAAAAGGCAATAAACAGACCTGACTTTATCACAAAGTAATTATGTTAAAATGTTTTTTAGTAAAAATGATATGTATTTGAATTAAATTTTGTCATATATTTGACAATATTTAGTTTAAAGGTTGATATATTTTCAGACTGTTTTTGGATGTTAAGTGCTATTCTAGAATATACATCACATAACACCCTGCCACCTGTGTTTGAGAATCAGGAGCAAGTACCACTACCTCAATCACCTGTTCTTCCTGAAAGAATGGAAGGTATAGTAGTTGTTGATATTTCTCTTCAATTATATCAAGCTAGATAGGTTATCACACATATAGAGAAGAAAATTGTTGTTGAATGTTTAGTGTCAAAAAATATTTAACCTGTTGAAGTTGTCCATTTCTTGTAAAGAAATGATAAAAGGTTTACTAATTAGAGGAGAATTTGTAAAGGAACTAATGACACTAAGATAAATAAAATATTAACTAATGTTTCCTCAAATTGGCAGGCATAGATATATAGTTGTTAATTTGTTGAAGATAGCTCTATATATTGTTTATAACATCAAAATTATCTTAATATTAGATTAAATAATAGTTTCATACAAATTTATCAAGGTCCTTTTATGTGACCTAAAAACTCTTTTTGTTGATAGAAATATTTTTGATAAGTACATGTTTATCTTCAGGAAACCATTTGCATCGATATTCCAAGGTCATTGAAGGTCATCTAGGTACACCAAGGTCTCGACCTCTGCCTTTGTGCCCAAACCTAGTATGGGCAAAACCTCATCCACTTAATATAACAGCTCCATCGTAAGTTCTCAGACACTTTTACAAATTCACCTTTACTTAGCGGAATTTCTTAAAAAGACTTGTCCAACTTTTAATTGGTACAAATACAGGGAAATTTTTAATGGAAGTACTGACTGAATAGTGAACAGTGTAGACCATGATAAGACTTAAGTCTGCTGTAGTCACATGTGGTGGTGTGGCCAAGTGGTTAACGCATCAGACTAGTAATATAAGGGTTGTTGGTCGCGTTGTTTCATACCCCATCAAGAAGCTTTACACTCTTTGCTTTGTACTGGTTGGCTCCAGGAACAAATTTGAGAGCGTTTCAATATCGTTACAGCTTCCAATGCAGTTAAACTAAAATAAATTAGTATAAACTAGTAGTTACATGGGTAAAATAAGTTGCAGCCAGCAGACTTAAGGTCAAGATCTTTAATTCTTTTCAAAAATTACTGGACTTAATGGATAGGTTTTAAATTTATACACATAGCTCAGTCTACTTTATCACACTTGATATTTTTTGTATACTATATAGAAAATGATAAGTTCACAAGATATCTTGATGCTTGATGAAGGCATTGATTTGAAGCTGAGACTTACGATAATGCATGAAATAGCAATGAGAACAAATCAATTGTCTTATTTGATTGTCTTATTTGATTTCATTGCTGATTTTTTTATTTACATTTAAACTTTCAAAGAATCGCAATCTGTCTTTCAGGAATCTATATCAGCCTCAAAAACTCTTGTCTATCAATAATTTTGACGCAGTAAATCTAGCTGCGATGGGAGGTCAAAAAGCAAATCTTCTACCAGAGTCAGACAATGAAGCTGTGGACGTACCGCACCCAGTTCACGACGAGTCCCAAGGACATTCGTATACACGAGATGTTGATTCCTTCACTGTATTCCCAGCTCTAGCATTCCTGGCAACAGCTCTCGTTGTTTTGTTTTTGTTAAATCAGTATTACAAGGGCAGATCAAAACCAAAACGAAAACGTCCACGAATGAAGAAATTCCATAATTTGATGTATGGTTACAAAGTGCCATCTGTTTGATGAAAGTTTCAGGGTTCATATACTTTATATATATACTCATAAAAAGTGCAAGATTTTGATCCCAATGTGATTATATAACAAAAGATATCTACAGGAAATTGCCGCAATTTATTAATAGAATTGAGGAGAATCGAGATTTTAGCCTGTCACTAGTCAGGTGTCTTTATTTCAACTTTTTAAAAATCCAGGATATACCATATAATGTCTTTCAGGATTAAATGATAATGAAATGACTATAATTGGTCAATTTGCTGACTTTGCTAAAATGTGGAAAATTTGGATAATTATGAATGATTTAATTTTATCACTGTTATACATAGAGGATATTGAATGAGTGTAAGTTCAATACTGAATTTATTGAACAAGTTGAATAAAATTATGCGAGCCACTGGCAAGTATAATATTATATTATTCAACAAGTACAGTAAATTCAATAATGAACCTCACAAATAAAATCTTCTACTTATCACATTTAATGGGTAATTACACTATGTATAACGCAAATATGAATGGCTGTGCAATACCATATTTATGGAGTTGCAAAAGCGGCACAGGTTTGTGATAAAAAGTTTTATTTTAAAGTGTGATTTATTTATATTCAAGGACATGCTGGTGGTGTATGGATTATTACTGATCCTTCACCATAGTTAAAACATGGCGGAAATATTTTACTATTACAGATCCTCGTTACTGATATTAATTATGATGCAAGAGGTGTTTATATCTACTCTGTTTTTGTTTTTCAAATTTACCTGCTGTTGACCTTGAACTTACATGCAAAATAAGGAAACTTAATACATGGGAAAGATAAGAGACAAAAATAAACAATAAAAAACTTCCGCTTCAATGTACCTAATCATAATCTGATTTTTGTCATTTTTCCAAAAAAGTTTTACTGAATTTGGACCAGTCTACTTTTGAAGTTTTTTCATTGGCCAGTTTTAAATCTTAATGTTATTTCAGCCAATCATAAGCAGTACATCCTGACTGGTATACAAACATTATTTTTAAACAGATATATTATTGAATTTTCTTTTTACTTGGTTTATGAAACTAGGTTTATGTATGTATATTTAAATGCAAAATTTATTGTGCTATGTGTAATTATTGGCATTTAATGTTCATTAGTTTGTAGATCATGTAACTAAATGTATATATGAAGTTGTTGAATTTATTTTACATTGTTTTGTGTGATGAGGAATACATTTTTTGAAAATATGCAATAATTTTAGATAACTCAATATGATGAAATCCATTCAGTATTGTATATGTGAAAAAACTACAGGTAGTGAATGAAATATAGTATAGAAATACTCCAAAACTCAGCAAAAGTGAGTTTTCTCCATGTAAGCTGGGGATTAAAACAATTTTTTACAGTTACAACATTGTATATAAGCCCAATGATCACATTATTGGGAATTGTTGTGCACTGTGAAGCTATAACAGTAAGTTTGTTTGTACCACAGATTTGATGGGGAAAAAAACCCAAATATGCTGAGTTCTGGATGAAGACTATTTTACAATGTAGTTTAATTTTTATATAAAATATTTTTATGCAGTTGAAGGAGATAAAGTATTATAACATCATTTGTGTGCATGTCCAGTCATGCAATCTTGTACAAGTATTTGTTAAAATTTTTAAGAAAGATTTTTATTCTACCATTATAAAAGGTTAAATTTGTTAACTTAATGAACTAAAAATGTAACTATTTAATTTATATATCTTTTTAAAGTATTTATTTACAATAAAAAAAAGATTAACACATCTGACATGCTACATCTTTTACATATAAGAATTTTCTTAAAAACTTGAAATATAATTAGTGTGTTTTGTATTGTGAATATTTCCTTTATATGTACTGAATGTTTTTTCCACTGATCTCATTAGGGGGGAGGTTAATCTATGTCATCCCCCATCAGCCTATATTAATTAACTAATGGAATCTAGGTTCACCTATTTCCCCCTGTCTGTCTGGATGTGAATCAAGAAGTGAATTTTTGATCTTACTCTATGATGAAAGATGTTTATGTACTTGTTATTGTTTGACAAACTTAAATAGAGGATATTGAATGAGTGTAAGTTCAATACTGAATTTATTGCACAAGTTGAATAACATTATATTATGCGAGCCTCTGGCGAGCATAATATTATTTTATTCAACAAGTGCAATAAATTCAGTAATGAACTGACACGAATTTAATATTCTATTTATCACATACCCAAAATAAAGACCGTTTTAAGTGAAATGAGATTCATTTTTCATTGATGCGCATATAGTATAATGCTAACATTTAGTGCGTTTTTACACTATGTTTGTATAATGCTAATGACGTCACATCAAGATATATGCACAGCTGTGCAATACCATTTTTACAGAGTCGCAAAATCGGCACAGGTGTGTGAAAAATATTATTAAATAGAGCTCTATCCTTACAGTAATAGTCTAAAGAGTTAACCATTTAGCAAGCCACTACTTATCATACTTACATATAACGCAAAACAAGTCAGTACATGTGTATTTCCAATTGTTTATTATCATAAACATTGTTTATGATACCTTTTAATTGATTTTTAACCAACATTGTTTGAATTATTTTTTTTGTGTGTGTATTTTTTGCAGTGAGTGTTATTCAAATGCCACCTAGTGCCACACTAAACTATATTTTTATCCACAGTTATAACATTGGTCAAGACTAGTTCACAAACAGTAACCTATTTGTGACAATATAATTTTGCTTAATAAGCACGGTCATTTTTAGTTCAAGTTAATTTGCTGATAAAAATCAAGATTTAATATTCAGGTTATTGTAATATTTAGTAGAACTTTTGTCTTGTAAGACTCTTTAATGAATTTTAATTCTTAATTTAAATTTTACTTAAATACATGTAATGTGAAGCAGATTTAGATCGTTAAAACTGTTTATTTCAAAAGCTGAAATTAAGAGATGCAATTCCCATATACATGATCCACTACCTTTATAGCAGAGATTATGTGTACAGAAACAAAGCTGATAATGAAAAATTAGATTAAAGGGAAAGACATGTAGTGTGGCACTATATGCAATATGTTGAGTGTATTTAATGAATACATGTATAATGTATGAGAGTGCCTTTTATGTTCTTTTTGACGATTATTTCATTGTGGGAAATAAATTTTTATAAAATGTGTATTTTGTTCAGTTTTTCATTTGTCCTTAATAGAGTTAATATGCTTTTTATTTACAGATAACATATAGTAAAATTGATTCTAAACAACACTGTATCATTGTCTGGTCATAAAATGCCAGACGTTTAAGTTTGTGACTACTTTTTATACGCCCGTTAATAGTTTCTCCACTGGTGTGTGGGCTGTCTGGCGGGCGGCGTCCAATTTTGTCCGGAGCTTATCTCCTACATGCATGTAGAAATTTTAATGAGCCTTCATGGAAATGTTCACTTCTATGAGAAGCTGTGTCACACACATGAACCAGGTCGAAGTTCAAGGTCACAGAGGTCACCATGTTTTGTCCACAGCAAAACTTCTACATGCATAGAGGGATTTTAATATACATGTAACTTGGCAAAAATGTTCACCTTTGTGAGGCGGATTGTTGCATGCAAAATTTAGGTCCCTGCTGCCAAGGCCAAGGTCACACATAGAGATCAAAGTTCAGACAAAAATATGAAAATGTATTCAGACCATTTAGTCAACATTTATTGAGGGACTCAATAAAAATTATCATGACTACTATTTAGGTTAATATATGCAAGGTCAAGGTCACTTGACTGTAGTAAAGGTCACTAGATGATAATCTATAGAGTTTGTTTGTTTGTTTTATTTTCTAACACCTTTTCCCAACAGTATTTCAGTCATATAGGCGGGTAGTTTCCTAACCATCGTTCCTGGAGAGTTACACCAGTACTAGACTACCTTCCTCCGTGCTACACTACCAAAGCATCTCCTGGAGATCGAACCCACGCCAGAGAGGTAACTGGATTAGAAGTCATAGACTCTAACCCCTCGACCACGGTGGCAGTAAACTATAGAGATTTTGTAAACTATAGAAATTTTGTCCAGAGCATATCTCCTACACATATGAAGGGATTCAAATGGTTGAGCCAATAAAATAATAATCGTACAGTTAGTTATCTTGATCAACATTTATTTACAAAATATTTTATCATGCTAACATAAGTAAAATTCACTTATTTTCACACTATTTTTTATGATGACTCACTTTTTCACATTTTAAAACCACAGTAATTGTTGTTTTTATATAAACTATATATTCATTTATTTCACAAGTCTGATCTCATGCCAAATCCAGGACCTCGAGGAGGTGTGTTAAGAGCTGTCAGGCCTCCTTTTGGTTCACATGAAAATCTCTTGTCCTGACCACTCCTGAAATAAAATATAAAAATAAGTTTTGGGGATTTTTTTTGTAGAAATACAATTTTTAGTCTATAATTTTAAAAGTAGTATGCTGCAGATAAATGTTAAGAGTCCTTGTGTGGACAAATGATAAAAGTTGGAATACTTTGTACATATAAAGTAAAAACTAGAACTATCACTAAATGTGATTAATACCCCCTGCAAGACTGCTTCGGAAATGGGGATGTTACTAGTAACAGAATACCTTGTAAAGAATTGAAACAGAGTTATGGTTGTGGGCAATTAAAGATAGTTGTGGTTCTTGTATGTTGCATTTCCTTTCAATGTGGTTGGCCATTGATGAAGTTTTATTGGATTACTCTGTAAGAAGTCCAGAAAGACAAGGAAAAGGAACAAAGGGCAATAACTCTATAAATACTGAATGGCTATTGTACACTGCACTTCCTCTCATTGCGATTGACCATTGTATGAAGTTGTATTGAATTCCAACTACTAGTTTTCAAGTTATGCATTGGACAAAAAAGTAACAAAAGCAATAACTGTAATTAGTCCAAATAAGAGTTATTGTTCTTGTGCACTGCACTTCATCTCACTGCCCTTGACCATTGTATAAAGTTTCATTGTATTCCAACCATTAATTTTCAAGTTATGCACTGGACAATAAGAAGTAACAAAGGGCAAAAACTTTTAAATTAGTCAAAAAAGAGTTATGCTTTCTGTGCACTGCACTTCCTCTCAATATACTTGACCATAGTATGAAATAGTTTTGAATTCCAACTAGTAGTTTTCAAGTTATGCTCTGGACAAGGAAAAGTAACAAAGGGCAGTAACTCTGTAATTAGTCAAAATGGAGCTATGGTTCTTCTGCAATGCACTTTCTCTTATTGTGGTTGACCATTGTATGAAGTTGTTTTAAATTCCAATCAGTATGTTTAAAGTTATGCTCCAGACAAGGAAAAGTATCAAAGGGCAATAACTCTGTAATTTGTCAAAATGGAGTTATAATTCTTGTGCACTGCATTTCCTCTTAATGTGCTTGACAACTGCATGAAGTTGTATTGAATTCCAACCAGTAGTTTTCAAGTTATGCTCCAGACAAGGAAAAGTAACAAAGGGCAATAACTCTGTCATTAATCAAGATGGAGTTATGGTTCTCATGCACTGCACTTCCTCTCAATGTGCTTGACCATTGTATGAAGTTGTATTGAATTCCAACTAGTAGTCTTCAAGTTATGCTCCAGACAAAAAAAAGCAATCGAAAAGTAGCAAAGGGCATTAACTCTGTAATTAGTCAAAATGGAGTTATGGTTCTTGTGCATGGCACTTCCCCTTATTGTGCTTGGCCATTGTATGAAGTTGTTTTGAATTCCAACCAGTAGTTTTCAAGTTATACTCCGGACAAGAAAAAATAACAAAGGGCAGTAACTCTGTAATTAGTCAAAATGGAGTTATGGTTCTCATGCACTGCACTTCCTCTCAATGTGCTTGACCATTGTATGAAGTTATATTGAATTCCAACAATTAGTCTTCAAGTTTGAGTCCGGACAAAAGAAAGCAATGGAAAAATAACAAAGGGCAATAACTCTATAATTACTTTAGATAGAGTTATGGTTCTTGTGCACTGCACTTCCCCTTATTGTGCTTGACAATTGTATGAAGTTGTTCTGAGTTTCAACCAGTAGTTTTCAAGTTATGCTCCGGACAAGAAAAAGTAACAGTTTTTGTTTTTTTTTCAGTTTATTTCTAGTAATATAGGCCTCAGGCCCAAAATACAAAGTACAACAATACATCAAACAGTAGAGTGATAAATTGCAAATACATTTGTTACTAGATGTAATGAATTGAATTTGTAAATAATTATACAGTATTTATCTCTTCCTTTCTTACATTCATTGCATAATATATATATTTAGCAATAGATATTACTTCATTTATTATTGTTGATGACATGAGAGAATAAAATAAATGGTGGGAATGATGATGTAACCATGTATCTTTAAAATAGACAGCTCTGATATTGTTATATAGTGAACATTAAAAGAAAAAATGATATTCATCCTCAATAACATAAATATTTGTCTTTAGGCAATGACAGCAATATCTTAAATCTCTATCTATTCCAATATGTCTACCTTTCTCTATCATAGGATTATGACATGAGCAGCGAAAATTAGAAAAAGCTCTTCTATACTTATATGCTAAATCTAACTAAGTAAAGTCTTAAAGTACTTGTAATGTAATGCTTTAGGACAAGAATCAACAACAGTATGCCAGTTTTGTGAATAACAATCAAATAAGCGTTGCTTAAACATATTAATGAAATTTAAGTCATCACCGACATCATGAGAGATCCATACGTATCCAAAACCAAATTGAAAAAGCATATCTTAAATGTTGCCAGCCCATGTTTTTCCGTCCAGATTCGTGAAGTCGTTTTAACATCAAATAACAATGTTTTGGGTACCTATGATCTCCCATACGTGTCAGTTTTAACCAGTATTTAACACAATTTGTCATTATAGATAGTACAGAGAGGTAATCTTCCACATTCACCAAGAGCAAAATAGCTTGTTGTATTTTGTGACAAGTTACAATATTGTTTACAGAATTTAACTTGTACAGATTCAATCTTATCAACATAATTATAGCCCCAGATTTCTGACGCATAACACAATATAGGTTTTTACCATTGAATCAAAAATTTTGAACATATCAATAGGATCAATGTGACCAAATTGTCTTTGAAAATTGAATATACAAGCAGAAGCTTTAAGTCCTTGTAGTGCAAGCATCTCTTGTGTTTGGACCATACTAACTTTGGTGTGAAAAATACACCTAAATATTTGTAAAATGGAACAACTTCAATAGGTTCATAATTAAACAACCATTTTTCAGTTTGTTTCAAAACACCGCCATTTCTAAAAACAATGATTTTCGTTTTGCTTAAGTTTATCTTCATCTTAACAGATTTGCAATAATCTTCAATATAATTTATTTGCTGCTGTAGATTTATAACGGTGTCAGAAAAGCTAGACACATCATCAGCAAACATAAGAGCAATTAACTCTTCAATGTCATTGGATACAAAAATACCTCTTTTACATTTTTCATGCAAAAAAGTAACTAGATCATTTATGAAAAGTGAAAAAATTATCGGACTTCCAACACAGCCCTGCCTTGTTCCAGTATTACATGAGAAGAAGCTTGTTAGTTTGTCATCAACTTTAACACATGATTTAAGTTTTGCATACATAGATTTTATTATTATTAAAAATTTTCCATTGATCTTATTTCTAGAAAAAAGCGTCCCATAATTTTTGATGCTGAATACTGTCAAAAGCTTTTGCAAAATCTATGTATATACAATAAAATCTACCCCGTTTCTTCGACAGGTACTTCTGGATCAAAGACATTAGAGTAAAAAATATTATCAATTGTTGAATAGCCTTTCCTAAATCCAGCTTGAGACTCATCAATTACATTATAGTTATCACACCATTTAGTAAGACGAATAGTTAATATATTAACAAATATTTTACATAGGGAATCTATTAAAGAAATACCTCGATAATTATTTGGATCTGATTTAGAACCTTTCTTATGTATTGGAGTGATAATACTTTGACTCCATTCTTCTGGGAAGTTTCCGTTTTCAAAAATTTCATTAAAAAGAGCATTCAAAAATGGTAAAATTATATGAATAGAATGTTTGTACATTTCTAAGCAGACACCATCAGGTCCAGGCGACCGGTTTGCACGTAAATGGTCTATACTTTGCATTATTTCTAGATCAGATATAGGAACGTTAATTTCGTCACAATTTAAGTAATCACGATTCACATTGACCACGGGCTGCTCATCGATAGAACTATTTTCCCCAGTTACAGGATTCAAGAGTAATTTAAAATAATCATACCATTCATTACATGTTATTAAAGAATCTGCATTTTCTTTACTATTACCTTTTTTAAGAATATTCCAGAATTGTTTTGCATTTTTCCTGGAATCAACAAACAGCTTCCGTTTAGCTTTGCAGTGGAAATACTGTTTATTTTAACATATTGCTTTAAAATAAATTTGTTTTGGACGTTTTTTATTTTATTAAATCATCTCTTTCATTTGAAACCCGGAACTGTCTTGGAAAACGGGTTTTATCTCTTTTTTAGAATTTGACATTGGTTATCCCACCATAATGGTTGAGATGATACGTTTTTGTGATGTTTACATTTCATATCATCTGCAGAAACTTTTAAGATATCTAAAAAGTCTGGAAGAAACGAGGACAAAGTTCTATTCTGTGAATTAATACGTATTTCATGAAATTGTTTTGAAACTTAGGCGTAAGATTATTTATAAAATTTTCTTTGAATTCTGGTTTCCACTTATACTTCAGCCATGGTGACATATTCTCACCATTTTCAAAATTATACTGATTTTGACTACCTATAGAAGGGAATGAAAAATGGCAAATAATAGGAAAATGTACAGACTCGTCATTATTATCAACTTTAAAATATGTTACATATTTAAACAAACTAGTAGTAGCTGCCATATAATCTACAACACTGGCTCCATTATTTGCTAAACAAGTATAGTTACCAGGAATATCATCAAAAAATCTTCCATTAAAAACATGTATACCATAAGTACAACATAATTCAATAAGTGATAATCCAAAACGATTAAACTCTGTATCTTTAGATAATCTAGGCATATTAAAATCATCTTCTGGGTATGGTACATCATCATCAAATATAAACAATAGATTATCATCTAACACAAAGTCATTGAAGTTTTTTATACGTGAATTTAAATCTCCCGCCAAAAATAATTCTGCATCGGGATATTTACCTTTAATCTGACTAATACTTGTATTCAAAATTTCAATACCATTATTATCTTCAATCGAATAAATAGACGAGTATTCTGGAGATACATATGTAAATATAAGAATAACATCATTCACATAAATCATAGATTCAGCACTAATTAATAGCACTACACATTCAGTAATATTATCAAATATACGTTTTATAGACCCACGTTTGATCAACCAGTCTTTAACAAAAACCGTCACGCCGCCGGAACCACGTGCAGCTGTATTCTTCTTTCTTCTACAAAAGTTAAAGTTTGTATATCCAGGTAAAAAGTTTTCGAACTCATCATTTGAAACACCCCAAGTTTCACAGAAACTTAATATATCAAAGCGTGAACAGTATGACTGAAAGCTAATATCATTATAATATTTTTTTAATCCTTCAATATTCCAGGAACACATCTTTAAATCAATATTAATAGAATAGTCATTTTCATTGCGGAAGTGATGCCCAAAGTTTGTTTCATGGAGAATAACATTAGAGTTTTGAAAAGACTGAAGACAGTTGTCATTGTTGGTACTTGGGACCTTGCCGATCTCCTATCTTGTAACCGGAACCGGACATTCTTTCTCATTGTCGTATGAATAAACACGATGATTTATGACGAGTTTGTCATATCGTAAAAACGCATTTTCACCCTTGCTAATAGCCTCTTTTAGAAAAGGTATTAAAAGGGCACGTATATTTCTAACTCGTTTCGGGAAGTCCTCACTGATCCTAACATTTGAACCGGAAGAAGAAACATCATTGTGCCGGTCTGACCCTGGGCCACTAATGTTGTCGTCATGGTTACGCTGATTACGCGCTGCCTTGGTGATTTCGCGATACTTCTTCAGCACAGTTTCCTTGTCTTTGTAGAAGGAGAACTTAACAATAAGTGGGCGAGGCTTGTTTTTACTGTATAAACGATGTGCTCTTTCTAGTTTTCAAGTTATGCTCCAGACAAGGAAAAGTAACAAAGGGCAATAACTCTGTCATTAATCAAGATGGAGTTATGGTTCTCATGCACTGCACTTCCTCTCAATGTGCTTGACCATTGTATGAAGTTGTATTGAATTCCAACTAGTAGTCTTCAAGTTATGCTCCAGACAAAAAAAAGCAATCGAAAAGTAGCAAAGGGCATTAACTCTGTAATTAGTCAAAATGGAGTTATGGTTCTTGTGCATGGCACTTCCCCTTATTGTGCTTGGCCATTGTATGAAGTTGTTTTGAATTCCAACCAGTAGTTTTCAAGTTATACTCCGGACAAGAAAAAGTAACAAAGAGCAGTAACTCTGTAATAAGTCAAAATGGAGTTATGGTTCTCATGCACTGCACTTCCTCTCAATGTGCTTGACCATTGTATGAAGTTATATTGAATTCCAACAATAAGTCTTCAAGTTTGAGTCCGGACAAAAGAAAGCAATGGAAAAATAACAAAGGGCAATAACTCTATAATTACTTTAGATAGAGTTATGGTTCTTGTGCACTGCACTTCCCCTTATTGTGCTTGACAATTGTATGAAGTTGTTCTGAGTTTCAACCAGTAGTTTTCAAGTTATGCTCCGGACAAGAAAAAGTAACAAAGGGCAGTAACTCTGTAATTAGTCAAAATGGAGTTATTGTTCTTGTACACTGCACTTCCTCTCAATGTGCTTAACCATTGTATGAAGTTATATTGAATTCCAACCATTAGTCTTCAAGTTATAGTCCGGACAAAAGAAAGCAATGGAAAAATAACAAAGGGCAATAACTCTGTAATTACTTTAGATAGAGTTATGGTTCTTGTGCACTGCACTTCCCCTTATTGTGCTTGACAATTGTATGAAGTTGTTTCGAGTTTCAACCAGTAGTTTTCAAGTTATGCTCCGGACAAGGAAAAGTAACAAAGGGCAATAACTCTGTAATTAGTCAAGATGGAGTTATGGTTCTTGTGCACTGCACTTCCTCTCAATGTGCTTGACCATTGTATGAAGTTATATTGAATTCAAACCATTAGTCTTCAAGTTATGCTCCGGACAAGGAAAATGCAACGGACCGCTGGACCGACCGACCGACCAACCGACCGACCACCGGGTGACTCCTATATACCCCTCCAAACTTCGTTTTTGGGGGTATAATAAAGCTTCTTATTTCGTTGCATGGACTGTTACATACTATACGTACAAGATGAAATGTTATTTCATATACATGTATTATATTTTATCAGAAAAATTCAGCTGGCACACTGAAGATAGCTAAACATATACGAGTAGTGCAAATGTAGATATTAAATTATACTTTTGTCAGTCAAAAAGATCCACTGCAAGAAATCTTTAATATAGTGCAGTATTAATATATGACAAAACAAGAACATTCAGGTTTTGACTGGATTTGTCAATGTCTGTGTGATTAAAGTTAATACATTTTAATAGATCCTGTATAGTATATCATTAACTAAAAATCATCAAAGATGAGAATCCCTTGGCCTATGCTGATTTTTTTTTTTTTTTTGGAGACTTCTCTCTATGAAATATTTTCCAATTTGGCTGCATTTCACACAAATATATAAATATATTCATTCAATATTCATAAAAATAACTATATTGTAGAAAAGGTTTCAACTTACTGGGGACCTGATACTGGCCATTTGCCTTGTTTCAGTTCATCTAATATTTTTTTAGTATCTTCTACAGTTAAATCTTCCTGTAAAATTATCAAACAGGAAAATTGTCAAATATCATATATTTTTGCCATGCCATTTTTTACAGAAAATTAATATTGTGATTCATAGATATTACATTTTTGTCCCAGTATTCTATATAAGAAAGAAGTATAGTTATTAGTTATAATATATCAGTTAGTTTGAGTATCCTTGTAAAATTGAAAAAGATGAAATTTAAATTTAATTTACAGGTTATGCTGAAAATCAAGGTTGTGATGAGTCTGCTGAACTTTTGGCTTTGATTTTTTTAGGTTAAAAATATGGGCTATAAGTGCGAGCCCTGCTTCTGTTACTAATTTCAATCACATTGACACGGTTACAGTCATTGGATGACTACTGCTAGAGAGAGACCTTAAGTTCTCGAGCGAACACTAAAGTAAAAGTTCTGACAATCTGTAAGCTAGCTTGAACACCTCATATGAAAGAATTTAAAGTCTGTGATAGGATTCGAAACCACAGCGATAAAGGGGAAAAGATTGTCATTCATTTTATAAATATTACAGGATGCCAATCATAATCTATGTCGTCTGAAAAAAAACCACATCATTTACTACTTACATAAAATTTATCATTGACTTGCATCATAGGTCCATTAACACATGCACCTAAACATTCAACCTCTACCAGTGTAAACTTTCCATCTTTAGTTGTCTCCCCTACTTTAATACCTATAATAAAAATATTCATAAAGCTGATAAAACAGTTATCTTTCAATGTTCAGAAACCTGTTATAAATGGTTAACATGACATCATGACATACAAATATCATATATGAAGCAAAATAGCAAACCACTATAACCATAATAAAACATAGTAAATGCTTTACAATCACATTTGTTTACAGAATGCATTTCATGCAGAGTAATTCCACTATGTTACAATTGTGCCTATCTCTGTTTGTTTAATTTCTTAGGCTCACCAACACCGTCATATGGTGCCAATCTTTCGTAGCCACTTATGTTTATTTAATTGTTTAAGTTACAAAACTGTGAAAAAACACTGAAAAGGTCAACTTCATTCAACCTTATAATTAAGTTATTTTTAAATCAAAATAATCCATATTACAAAAAAACTTGATAATAACACTAATTATCCCAAGGAGAAAGGTATCGTAAAATAAATTCGGAGACTTTCAATATGAAATATTTACCTAATTCTTCCTTCACACAATCTAGAATGACATCTGATCCTACTCCATTTAGCATACATGGTGTGGTTGTGCACATCTGTACCAAATATTTACCAACTGGTTCTCTACAAATACGAATACAACAACAGATCACTTCAAGGTGAAAATATTGTTTATTTTAAATCCTATACAAACATAAACTGTGTAAGTCTTTATTCTTTGAGTTAACTTAATTTCTGGCTTAAGCAAAAAGGATAAAAGAATAAAATGTCCCGGAAACAAATATGCTGCTATTTTAAGTAGGACTTTAACTGTTTAGCAATATTTTGGTGCCTGTGACATTCGCGTCTATCCCTTTCATGGAAGAATTCTTTTTCAAAATATAAACAGTAATTTTGTTTACTACAGGTAACAGGTATACAACTTTATATACTTTACACAAAAAGAGTAATATTTATTCAAGGACAACAAGTTTATTTACTCTGAACAATAATGAATATCCTATTGATTAAGATTGGAATATCTGTTCGAGGGAAAGATATTCTGACCTGAACCACACACACATTTTTTCTTTTTTATACAACCATATTCTATCATATTATAAATTCTTCACATAAAAAAACCCCCAAAAAATCAATTTTTCATGGAAATTTATGTCATTTCATCCGTAACTTTTTTCTTACAATAGCATATGAATTTATAATGGCGAAATGAAGTCATTCTAAGAATACAGTTTCATTCTTAAATGATGTCATTTTAATGCAGTTCATTCATAAAATGAGCTTAAATGATGTCACTGTAAAGCATGCAAGTCATCTGGCAACCCCATGCAAAATGAAATTTCGAGGACGCGGAGAAACATATTCTCACATAAGTCCATACCTGTAGTTTAGGATTTGAAAACTGGATAAGCTCTTTCAAACAATGTGATTCAGACAAAAAGTTATACCTGTTAAACATTGTATAAAATGTAGCTACTTCGTAAACTCTCATTCTTGGCATTTTCAACAGGTCTGCTACAGCGTGCATTGCAGATAGTGGTGTCCAACCTGATATAAACAGAACACATAACATAAAATACATAGTGGTGTCCAACCTTATATAAAAAACATTAGTCAGGGCTTTTTTCAAAAGGTTGGGGAAGCAGCACCTTAATTTTGGGGGGAAAAAAAACACAAAATATATTTGCAAAAGAGGAAGAAAAAACTTGATGTAAATTCAATTTTTTGGGGAAAACTGCATGATTTTAAAGAATTTTTCTTTGTGGAAGCAGCCCTAAAATGGCCCCTGCTATAGAAGAACAGCCCTGATAGTGATTATTTACCTAACAAATAAATATCTAGAGGTGTCTAGAAATATACAAGAAAGTAGTCTAATATTAAACACTTAATGGCAGCTAACCAAAAGTCAGAAATATATACATGCATATAATGTTGAGTATGACATATCCTGGTGTATGACTTCATCTTTTAACATATCCTAAAATAAAGTTTAAACTCTGTTGCTTTACAAAACACATAATTATGATGAAAGAATGATTCTAACAATTTCCAAGTTCTATAATACAAACCATGTTGTCTCTGTGCTAAATCTAGCAGTGGTATACATGCCGCTGCCTCGTGACCTTCCGGGTAATTCTTTATTATCAAAGCCGCTTTCTATAATATCAACAAATATACAAAATATAAAAAAAGTCACATTTTTTTGACACATTTGTAAATTTTATACTCCATTTATCACAGTAGAACAGCAATTTCATTTCATTTTAAGATAAGTTTTATTTCAAGTTGGCAAGTTTACAAACAGTACAACATAAGCTCAAAGAGATTTTATTACCATTTTAAATTGAGATGTAAAATATATTTTACTTCCTTAAAATTAGTAATATATAATTATATCAGTTAATGCCTGTGAAATTTTTTCTTTCTTACAGAATGATAATTGTAAGAATTTTGGGTATTTTACCTTCAGATTTTCAGGTGAGAATTCAAATGGTGTATCAGGGTTGTTATCAGCTGTATGTCTGTGCTGAAAATAAAATAATTCATTTATTACAAACAATGCTAATAATATGTATACATTTTGTATTAAGAATGGTATACATACATTACAGGAATGCCTGTTACAAATATTTTTCGGTTAGGATTATTATTCTGAGTTACATCAACACTATTAAGGTCGCAAGGTGGAGGAGAAAATTGCAGACCTGTGCCACTATATTTTTTTTCAATCAACAGGCACCACATTCTGGATAGCTTCCTCAAATAAAAAAATAAAAATCTTGAGAATATAATACTGACTTACACACGATATATTTACCATTTAAAAAATTCAAAAACATAGGAATAATACTTACAACAAACAGGTGGTCACTGCACAGAGGGGCAGCTGTGTGTAACTTCCTCACCTGCTGACTCTGAAATATATCAAAATATGATATCAAGTACCAGATGACAGTAATTACAAAATTGTTATTACAAAAATGCTTGTGTTGTTTTTTGTTTTTCTGTAACATACTGCTCATATTCTTTAAAACAAAAATGGTGTTAAACATACATGCCATAATGTCCCGTATATCCGGGAAAGTCTCAGAAATAAGGTGTCTGTCCCTGAGATGATTTATGTCCAGGTGAAAAAAAAAAATCTAAAATAATCTACTTTGTAGCAAGGAACTTTACATTTTTATATAATTTTATACTGTGCTCCTCTTAGTTCACGGTACTTAACACTTTAAAACAGTAAAGAAGACAAACAATAAACTTACACTACAAAAAATTTCATAAACTGTATCATTTAGTCATTTTTCTGCTATATGACACAAGGAAACAACAATATATTCAATCAAAATAAGTTTTAATCTGTCAGATGTAGACCGTGTGTCGGCCATTTTGAAAACAGTATGTCATCATTTAACTCGCGATAATTGTGTTTTATTTCCGTTTTTTTCATGTTTCAGTTAAAATTTCTTATGTTATTTTGCATAATTTTAAATATTAAAAGTATCTTTACATTGTAACTCAAAATTTTTTTTTCAACAAACAAGAACATTTAGAAAAATGATGATTGTTTCAGACGTATGCACAAATTTAATGGACTTTTGTTGTTTTTTGCAGAAGTTTATAAAATGTTGTTCAGTTTTACGTAAAAATCTATAGATTTAAATTATTTTGCACAAAAACTTTGTTGTTAAGGTGTTTGAATAAAATATGTCAATTCTGACCAATTTTAACACTGGTCACATGAAAATATGCCATTACCGTGAGATAAGTGATGACGCGGAATTAGTGAATCCGGGTCAGCTCGGCCCTAAAACATACTCGGCCCCCGAGTCAGCTCGGCCCTATTCCAACTCGGCACGGGTCAACTCGGCCCACTTTTAAAAATGGGTAAAGGACATCAAAGGACTCCTATTGTCACGGGCTATTATTATCAATCAATGGGTACGTTAAATATACCGATTAATTATTATTAATGATAATTATGATTGACTTATTCATTCAAATTTGATTAGTGACCACCTGCAATTAATTAGAAGCTTATGCTATTAAGTAAACACGTTTTTGTTTCATATTTTTTTGAAAATTACTTTACAAACAAAATGCATCTAAGGAAACACATTTTTATTATATCTATATTCACAGGCACAAGTATCGGACCTGGGAAGAAAAAATATGAAGTTATTTTATCAATCTGTTCATATTTTTTCTTCCCAGGTTCGATAATCGTGCCTGTGTCTATATTAATTTTATAGAATCTGCAAGACAAATAAATAACTTTTTTTTTCTAAATATACTTTATTTCAGCAGAGGTACAATGTATAATTATATAATAATAATAAGATATTTCTCATTATTCATTTACCTTAACAACATGCAAAGCAAAGTAAATACGTTATAGGCCTATATATTTTTGTAAAGTGGGCCGAGTTGACCCGTGCCGAGTTGACCCGTGCCGAGTTGGTATAGGGCCGAGTTGACTCTTTTCCGAATTAGTGATGTTGATGTTAGGTCCCTATCTTTTCCTTTCTTACATAAATGACCTCCCAGATAGCGTCAAAGGTAAGGTTAGACTCTTTGCAGATGATACTGTTGTCTACCTAACCATCAGATCTAAACAAGATGCCCAAACCCTCCAAGATGACCTCCATGCATTAGAAAAATGGGAAAAAGACTGGTCCATGGAATTCAACCCTGACAAATGTGAAGTTCTCAGGATAACAAGAAAAAGAAACCCTGTAATATTTCCTTATACCCTCCATAACATCCAACTAAACTCAACTCAAGAAGCGAAATACTTAGGAGTCACTATTAGTCAAGACCTTTCATGGACCAAACATATAAACAACATCACATCTAAAGCAAATAACTCCCTCAGATTCATTAGAAGAAATGTTAAAACTCCAAATAAAAAGATAAAAGAAACTGCATATAAGACCTATGTTAGACCTCAGGTTGAATATTGCTCCATAGTTTGGCATCCTTGGCAGAAATACTTAATTTATAAGATAGAGCAAGTACAAAGATCAGCTGCTAGATACATTTTTAATGATTATGACTATACAAGTAGTGTCTCAAAAAATGATAAATGATCTTAATTGGCAAACCCTTGAACAGCGTCGAAACATCAGTGCTGTAACCTACTTGTATAAAATCCAAAACAATATTGTTTTTGTTGACCACCAACACCTTACTCAAACAAGAAATCTGAACTACCTGATACCCTACTCGAGGACACAATATCATCAAAATTCTTTCTTTCCTAGGAGCATACGTCTTTGGAATAGCCTTCCCCTTACTGTTCAGTCTAGCCCCAGTTTAAACATCTTTACTGAGAGGCTTGACCCATTCTATAAATTCTAAACTGCACACCATGTTTTTAAAGTAATAGTCTTGTAGAACTTTTATTCTTTTAACTTTTTAATTTGCATATAAACAAATTCTTTTATTAACAGTTCCCTGACAACGCGCCTGCTAGTCATAATCAGAATTGATTGTTAAGCAGTATGATGTAGATGTAGATAGATGTAGTTGAGTATATAATTTGCCCAGTTTTTATTAACTATTCTAGAACGCTAATAACGAACGATTATCCCCTTACAGCATTGCAAAAGAGTTGAAATTTCATTAACCAGGCTGTAATTAACAACCAAATTAAGAAACAATACTTTAAAGGGCTAAATCCTGATTAAGTGCAAAGAACCCATTCCCCACCCACAAAAAATGCACAGTGTCATTACTACACATTGAAAAATTAGAAGTTTTAAAAATTGTTTTAACTTGTAGTGATTTGCAAGTTGTAAGAAATGAATAATACTTTGCAAAATCAGTTAAACCTACAGCAGAAGACAATAATCGGCGGCTAAACGCCAGCATTTTCAATCCGTAATTTGTTTTGTAAGTCACCGGAAGCTGTCCTGGATCAGCAACGGAGTTAATTTTTTATAGCGAGTTGAAAATTGTTAACCTAAATAATCGTCTAGACCTAATTAAATAATAAAGTTTTGTATATAATTAATTCTAACACTTGCCAGTGTTCCTTTTTGAATTTACCTTTTCGGTTTAATTTGCTGCAGGACTCGTTTACTATGGCCACAATGTAAACAATATGGCGGCCTACTGAGCAAAAAAAAAATTCATTCATGTTTATACAACAATAAAAAATATTGTGTTATTTGTCATCTTTTAAGCTACATTTTTTATTGAATTGAATAAGAACATTGATAAGGTGCTTCCAAATCAAAATAAGCAACATGTGATTAACTTTCAATTCAGTAAATTGTCAGTATGAGTGAGTAAACAACATGATAATACATGAACTATTGCCAGTTTAATTCTTAGCTACAAGAAAACTATATTTTGTTGTAACAGGAGCTAAACTTGTAACATCATGGCTACAAAGGTCGGTGTTAATCGTGCAAAGAAAAGGGCACAAACTAGTACTCGTGAGAAAGTTGTGTTCAGTATATTTGTTAAGCTATTCACAGGAGAAAAATTTCCACTTAAAAACATTTCTAGTGAAATGAAGATTAGAGACTTGAAAATGTACATGGAGTTCGCAACAGGTGTTCCAGTTCATATGCAAAGAATCAGCTATTTAGATGATGGTAATCCACTGAATTGTTTGTTATTCCACAACGTAAAGATCCTTTTTTAGACTTAGACATTATCTTTCATTGTCTTTCAGTAGCATCAGTAATTGCATGGTGCAGATGTAGGAAGTCAAAAAAGAATCTCAATTCAGACAAGATTCTGATTTATGTTCTCCAATAAAGAAATCTTTGTGAAATAACGAGGCTTACTCCTGTCTTCCATCCTATCATTTTTAAACATGTTCAAGATCCTTATAAATGTTTAATTCCTTATCAAAGTTTTAAGGTAAAATCATGAAAAATTTAACATGAAATAAGGCAAAGCCTATGAACAGGGAAGTTGGTTTAAAAAAAAGTTCATTTTTCCATTTGAAAGGTGTCACTCGGTATTTTATGCACTGCCTCCGTTTTCACTTGGAATACTCAACGTTTATTATTAATTTGAAAAGTTGTGATTGTTTGTAATCGGAATACCCGCCGATTATCATTTAGAAACATTGAAAATGGCGGCACCCGACTAAAACTGGCATTGAAAATGTCATTGATCAGTATAGAATTTGTTTTTTTTATTTGATTTTCTTTTAAATATACATGTGTAGTCTGTAGCCAGGCAAGTCAAAGGCCGGGCACATGTACATGTATTCCCATCTGTCCATGAACCATAAAAATAATATGAAATTTCACAGGGAAGTTGTTAAAAAATTCCTTTCATTCTTTCCGTTTTAAAATTGTCATTCGGTATTACATGCACCAGTTCCGTTTTCACTCGGAACACTCGACGTTTATTATTTATCTGAAAAGTTGAGATTTGTTCCGTTATCGCCCAGAATACCCCGCCTTTTATCATTGAGTTACATTGTAAATGGCGGCGCCCGACTAGAACTGACACTGAAAATTTCATTGATAGGTATAGAATTCTATATATTTTTTATTTGTTTTTTATTTGATTTTCTTTTAAATATACACAACGTCACGTGTAGTCTATAGCCGGGTTTTGTATAGACTAAATCTATATTGAGCAATTTCTGTTTGTATTGAAGGTGAACTTTTAGACCAAACTGATATCCGCAGCAATGACATTGTTCCTGGTGCAACACTTATGATGCATGTCTGGCCTATGTGGAAAGAGTTAATCGAAGCATGTTCAACTAATGATCTAGAATGGGTATGTTATACAATATTAAGCAAATGCAATTTATACATAATTATAAGGTCATCACAGGTTTTGTATTACTTTTGTATTCAGGGTATAAGTTTGGTATTACAGATACTTGTTGATCAATATTAAAACTAACTCATTTTTTTTTATGTGTGTTTTAAACAAAAGCAAGAACCATTATGTTTGTATCAGCATGCATTATTGTATAGCCCTTAGTAAGAGATGTAATTTATGAAGATTAGCATTTCACATTTACACAACTAATATGTTTTCAGGTGTTTCGTCTTGGTGTCACCCAGCCAACTGATTATCACACACCAGGTAGTGACTACATGACAAAAAGAGCCCGGAAGGCATGGCTGCAGGAACGTGCATTTCTTGCCTTGTTCATTGCAGCACATAGAGGCCATGAAAAACTAGTCAGGAGATTGATAGAAGCTGGTAATTGTTTCAATTATTTTATGTTTTCCATTACTATTTTGCAGCAGTGCACAAACATTTTCATGTTATTTTTAATGAAATTTTTTAAAAGGGCTTACAAAATGAATGACAAATAATAAGAATTCATATTTTCTCTCATTGTGTCTATATTCTACTGAACGCCTTATTGGTCTGCCCAACAGTTTTTTGCACCCACCATTTTGGGGGTTGGGTACTATAGATAATTGCCCTTGTCCATCTGTTGACCGCAGTTGGTATTGCATGAAACTTCAAAAGTATAATTGCTAGAGTCATGACACTTTCTAAGAATAGTTGTCAGCATGTGAACTTTAATGCCTTGGCTATTTGTTTAAAATTAAGTGGGGATTAGCAAAGAAATTGCTACTGTTATAAGACCAGTAATTGTACTGTACAGATTTTTTGTGGCAAAACAATAGAAACATCATACATGGAGCTTGATAGGCACTCTTACCATGACTTTGTTCAAGTTATGTACATGTACTTGTTAACATAACTGATATGCAATTGTTGATATAATGACATAGTGAAAGTACTACTAAGTACATGTATATTGTTTATATATGAATAAAACTGTAACAATTTGTTTTTTAAGGAGCTGATGTCAATGCCTGTACACCATTGGGGCGTACTCCACTGCATGTGGCAGCATCACAGGGTCATGGTCACATTGTAGATCTGCTCCTGGAGAAAGGTATGTATTATAAGCATTTATAGGTTCTGTGTGCAATGATTGTAACATAAAATAGTTACAATGATTTCACACCTAGCCCACAATTTTATTTATTTACATAAATTTTCATACCATATTATTGTTTACTTTTATGAACTTTTTTGTTTGTAAATCATTTACTTATATTTGTAATTGTTTAGTATTTGTTTAGTTTAGTTCTATTTTGTACTTGTTACATATATGTACATGTATATAGGCTCTTTCATCTGAAATGATGGACAGTGTTTATTGTGTTGATGATAATTAACTAACTTAGGCTTAATTAATGCTGTTAGCACTCGTCTATAATAGATCTGTTTTAACGATGGTGCTGGGTAATTTGTTGAGTGTAATTGGCTTATTAACACTTCAAACATTTCTTTAGGTGCAGATATCGATGCGGAGGATGAATCTGGTGCATCAGCACTTACCATTGCCGCGAGATTCGGACACAAAACCTGTGAGCGACATTTATTCTTGTTCAGATGGCAGGAACGTGCCAAGCGCACAAAACCAAGTGCCGAGCCTCCAAGAATGGCCCATCAGTATTACGATTCCTCGTTTCCGGTGTGGAAACGTGGTGGAAAATGTCAAATATATTTCATGAACATTTTACCACCTGGTGAATATGAGGGATCGAGATTCAATTCTCCAAAGAAACGAACTGAATTAACCGAGGATGAAATAGAAGAAATTGAAGCCATTGGACGAGGTAATTTTCTTTTAGCTGTATCAAATGTTTGATTATATTTTGTTGTCACATTGTTTTAAATAAAATCATTTTTCTAGTGATCAACAAAATGTACATTTATAAATAGATTATTATTACAATTTCATAAATGATGCGAAATGATGTGCGTTTTGGAATACCAGTAGTAATGGACAAGTTGTTGTTTCCTTGAGAAAGAAACTTTACACTCATTGCTTATACTAGTTGGTTCCAGAAACAGATTTGATAGTGTGTCTTAATAAACCGACAGCTTCCTACAAAATAGAAAAGAAAAAATTGTTTAAACTAGATTTTATTATTTGTATGAGGAGGGATGTCACCTAGTTCCTTAAATGTTTATGCCCGCTAGTGTTTAAAATAATGCATGAAATGGAAACAGGGATTTCCCTCCACATACACTAATCGTGTAGCATTTACATAACCCTGAAGCAGGAAAAAAAATCACATGCCATTTTCGTATCTTTTTATCTTTTGCTCAACCAGAACCGGCAAAATCTGATTTTAATTTCCATGCCGGTTTTATTTGAATCATTTCTTTACTTGTTCATATAATGTTTATTAAGTAAATTTTGGAAAATTATTGTCTCACTCTGTACAGACTGTGGGATAACCTGGGCAAAACGAACAACCCTATAATTTAGATTATATGTGAATATACTTTTAAGTATGCTGCAGTATAAAACTTGCTTTAAAATAATTTTGTAATAAAATGAAATGTTGATTCATTACAGACGGAAGATTACCTGCCATTAAAGAAGGGAAAAGATTGCGAGCGAAAAGGTACGTATCATGTTTACATGAAGCTTGTGCAGAAGAAAAGCTTGCTCCACATGTCACCTGTATATATTATATTATATGTATATAATAACTAATCTACTAAATATACATAAATATAGATAAAAAAAAAAAAAATTTACTTCTGACAATTACATGTTTTTATAAGAGCTCCACTTTAATGTCAAAAAGCCTGAAAACTTAAAAAAAGATTTTAATTCTAACATAGATTGACTGAGGCATTTAAAGCATAAAGATAATTTATATTTTTTTCTTCTTTTTTTTTAATCAATTTTGTGTTGTTTTTTCACAAGAAAAGTTTTGGTCCAAACCTAAATCAAATGGTACAGAAATCTCTAAAAAATATTTCCAGTCCTGTCATGTAAAAAAAACAACCTTCGTGGAGTCC